GCCCGCCGTCACCGTTGCCTGACCGCACCCACCGCGCCCGCATGGCATGGCATGGGCATCGTATTCCACACCTCCGGCACGTCACTCGCATCATCGTCGTCCGGTGGCCGACCGACCGGCCCAGCCAGCACGGACCTTCTCTTTTCTCTGCCACTCTGTCTCTTGTCATGCGCGGGCGGGCAAGCCAGGTCTCGGCCGGCTTTCTCGCCAATCTGCAAGACACGCACACGATGGTCCCCCCCCTCGCGATCAGAGACACCGGGAGATTGGGCCCGTGTCGTCATGGCACGCGTCTTCCGGGGCGAGACACGGAAGGCAGTGAGTGAATGGAAGTGAGCTCTTGTCCCCCCTCGGCGCGCCCCGTTGAAAGGGGAGCTCTGGCGCCGGTGGCTTGCTTGCCCGCCGTCCCAAAGCTCACCGTCAGAGACGACCTCCCTCCAGTCAGGCAGTGTCTGTCCGTCTCCAGTGCAGACAAACCGCCCATCCATCCACCTGCCATCACCCCCCCCTGCCGGACCTGCCATGCCATGCTTGCATGCCATGCCCGAAAAAAAAAAAGAAGAAGCGCTCCCCACTGTCCTGCAGGGGTGCATTGTTCGCCCAGGCCACCTTGCAAGGGGGGTTCCACCAGCCGCACTCATGCTGAAACACGCTATCCCATGCTCCTTGCGTGACCCCCCGGTCATCTGGTGATGACGATGAGCAGCACCGCACCGTCCGTCCGTCCGTCTTTCTTGTCCACGGTCCTGGCATCCTGGCTGGCCGCCGCCGTCGCCGTCGTTGCCGCATTCTGACCATGGAATCGCCCTCCTCATCACGTTCGCGCCTGTGCATCGAGCTCTTCTTCTTTTTCTTCGTCTTCGAAATCCTGACAGGGGGGCAGCCGCTGGCGCTACTACCGCCGTCCCGGGACCGTCATCTTTCGTGCTCTCGGAGGTGGCCCCCCGGAGGCGCCGTAGTTAGGTAGCGGCGGCGCTGACCCGACCGTCTCTTCCCCGCTCGTGTTCAATATATTTAGTCTCGACACCCGGCTCGTCCGTCTCGACGCACGTACACCGACGCACGCGAGAAGAAGAGCCTGATGGAGTCGGCTAAAAGACCCCCCAACTGCAATGACAATGTTGGCTCGCCCCGTCTCCTCCGTTGGCTGGCCCGGTGTGCCTCTCGCGTCGTCCCGCGACGCCAGTCGTCTGGTCTAGTTAGCACTTCGTACCAAGTACCCGTGCCTGACGTGGACCGCTCCCTCGTATCAACAAAAGGACGGCGGGCTCGGTGGTAGAGGCAATCATTGTGAGACGTCGGACGTCTCCTCTTGGGCTCCATCCCACCCATCCACGAGGTGCCCGCCGTCGCGCCTCGTGCACGCATGCATGCATGGCCCCACGACCTGAAGCAGCTTGGACCCGTCCCATGTCGTCGTCGTCCGTGGATGGGGTTCGTTTGTCTGATCGAGTGCTTCCTACGTTTTACTGGCAACACTGCCCCGGCCATGACGGCAAGCAAGCACTCTCTGTTCGTACCATCTTGATCAAGGAGACCCCGCCAATCGCACCCCGTCCCCCGTCCGAATTGCTTCTACATTCACACGAGCGACGCCTCGCCGCAATCATCAAAGAAGCTCTGGCAAATCGCCCTCGCCGCACGGGCCTCATTAGACCGTCATCACCAGCCGCGCGCCTCGACAAGTCTCCATGGGTGAGCCTGCGGTCCGTGATTGGCCCCGCGCCACCTCGAGCTTGCGCCGGCCTCTCCTCCAACCACATCCCATCACATCACACACATCGTCTCGTTATTGCCTCTGCGAACTCTACGGCACATATGCATATTCATCACAGCACTGTAACTGTAAAAATGGGCAAGTCACGTTTCACACGGCCAACGACGACACATGCACCAAGGAGTGAGCCACTCACTGGGCGATTTGCCTCCTGGCCATGACTTTGACAGCCTTCAATCTTGCGACTCTGTCGCTGGTAGTCCATTCTCCGGCCTGGCGCATTTCCGCCCCGGCCGCGTCCCTAGTTGTACATCTTTGTTTGCCGCTGTTGATCCATGCATGGGTAGACTCATAATCGATGCCCGATCCATCTTCTGCGTGGGCTTCCAAAACTCCATGTGCCAAAATTGCAAGCAATGCCGCCCCATCTAGTGTCCGCCTTTCCATGCCCGCCCCCTCGCCCACCTTCGGCGCATACAACGGCCATAAATGCCGCCCTTATTTGATAAGCTTTCGACTCCTCCGACGGACCGATCCTGCCTAGTGAGGCCCCGGAGTAGCAAAGGCCTCGGCTGGCAAAGACGCCTGTGCCAAACATGTCAGTACTTGGTTTTGACCGCCAAAAATAGGTACAGAATGGGGACGAACCTTTTTCTCGTTGAAAATGATGAGGGCCTTGTCAAACTGCCACTCAACCTGCGACAGGCACATCTCCGAATACTCTGGAACCATGCCCGTTTGCCTCGACAGCTCCGCAATCATAGCTTGATGCTGATCGTTGGCAGGAGGGGCGCTGGCGGGTTGCGTGTTGCCGCCGGGCGCCACAAAGACGTTGGGGAGCGAGCTGTACGCTCGCAACGAAAGCATGTCGCTGACGACTCGGATCGGGCCCCTTCCAGCCTGGCCAGGGCCGAGAACAAAGGTCCGCGAAAAGCTGCGCTTGCCCGTTTCCTTCGTCTTCTGGTCGTACTCTTCGAACTCTCCGTGCACAGCAATGATGAGGCCGTCAACGCCCACCCGCGCCTGTCCGTTGGGGTCTGCCAGGCCGGGAAGCGGATGGCAGTCCATGATGTACTTGCTGATGTCCTCTTTGATGTTGGGATGCTTCGTCAAGGGTAATGATTTCCACAAGTCGTAGATGATGTTGGCGCCTTTGAAGAGCCGCTGGACTCGCGTGTGCTGATGGGTGATCCTGGTCAGGTTCCGCGACACCTTGATGTAGGCAGACCAGGGTAGAGGCGCTGGGGCATTGGGGTCTCTGACGGACCGCGTGTCCACCGCAATCGAGAATTGTGTGGCCTCGTCGTAGAGACGCGAAATCAGACCCTGCCTGTCGTTGTCGAAAGATGTGAAGAAATCCAAGAGGAAGTTTTCGCCTATGCCATTGACGTCGCGGAAATCAGGACCGCTCTGCGGTATGGGCTTTGGCTTCGCTGCCTCTTCCTGTTGGGCGATTTGTTCCGCGGTTCGCACCCGCACTCCGTTGATGTCCTGTAGTTTCGGGAACCACTGAAGCAAAGTTGCTTGAAGATTGGGGTCGGCAGTCTCAATGGGATTCCCGGTCGTGTAGATGGTCTCCAGTTCCTTGAACTTGCCCTTCCAACGCTCCAAGCCCTGGGTGTTTGCAATCTGATTGCCGCTCATGTCGAGGTTCTTCAGCTGAGGAAACGTTGTCGCGACTGTTTCAACTTGGATGACGTCGTCAATGTTATTGTTGGCGAGACTGATGCTCTCGATTGCCTCTCGCTTCGCCGCTGGCGTTTTGAAGAGGCCATCGCAGATGGCCATGAGACCCTTGAACGTCTTGAGGGCTCTGTCTCGGTTCTCGAACATGCCCAGTGTGACGAGCTCGGCGTCAGAAGCGAGGGAATCGAGCTTGAGGAGCTTGTTGTCACCAAGATATCGCGCGCTGAGGATCGACTGCAGCTTCGCACGCAGTTCCTGCGTCTCCTTGGACTCGGTGGCCTTGCTCGCGAAACCCAACTCTTCGTTTGACTCGACAATCTCGAGCTGAGTCCCCGCAAAGGTGAAGGTGTTGAGTTTGACTAGCTCCTCTGCGTCCTCCTTCTTCGCCCCGATAAACACGTAATCTCCGGCGACGTGTGACTATCCGCGGTTAGCAATGTGACGGCGCGGTGCAACCAAAAGGGGGTTCCAGGGGAATGCGTTGTTCTCAGAAATATTCCGTTGCTTGAAATCGCTGGAGATTGGAAATATATGCTGCGCGCCGACACCCTGGAAATTCGTCAATACTCCGACTCACCTTGCTTATCATGATTGGGCGTGCTCGTCGGGTGGAGCTGAGGGAAGATGCTTTTCTCTCGAGGAAGCTGAGCAGGTCACTCAGACCGCCGTCCTTGTTGCTGGCCGCCTTGCTCTGTCTTAGACCGTGGATCCGGAGATAGGTAAGGCCGGCAGCTCTGCCACGCGCGCGCGCAGCTCTTGCTTCGGTTGAGTCCGAAACGCGGTTCGCCAGAGCAGAAGAGTCCCCGCTCCTCAGGTGCTTCATGACGTTCTGTGCCGCTCTCGAGACGCCCCGAGGGTTCCGGGTCGCGGCCGAGCGAGGGGCAGGGCCGCTCCTCGTGGTTGTCGACCCGGGGGTTGTCCTCGGTCGTTTCCCGGCCGCATCCATGTCAAGGTCGCCGTCATCGTCGACCCTGCTGGGCCCCTTGCGCTTCTGAATGCCGCCCCTCGAACTGGGTTTGGCGTTTAGCGCAGAACCCCTGGCATCTCGACCAGAGTTGGACGAGCGAGGACCGCGTGGCGCCATGGTAGGTATATCAAGAACACGCAGTGGTCGTCGGAGCCGCTGGATGCGGTGCTCTCGATGCGATGATCGGCGAGTCGCGTATCTAGTACGACTGGCTGGCCGGATCAAGCGCAGTGGAGAGGCTTTGGAGGTCCTGGGCAGGACCTTTTTTTTGGGTGGTTTTTTTGTGGTGCTTTCTTTATGATGGTGCTTGTTTGTCCGTTGAACACGCGCACGGCGAGTCGATCGGGGCTGCCCAAGCGATGAACAGAGGTCTCCGGGAGCAGGTGATGCCTTCGAGGAGAACAAGGTTTGTTTGGGGTCGCGTTGCGTGCGGCGCTGGGGCGCGCCAAGGTATTGGTGTTTGTTTACAGGCGGGGTGGAGCGAAGCGACTGTCGTGCCGTGCCTGATGAAGGTGTGAGGCAGCGCCGGTGGTTTGAACGCCGCGGGGGGGCGTGGAGGCTGCTGTCGTGGTTGTCTGTGCAGAAGACAAAGAATTCAACGCGCAAAAGAAGAGGGACACGACTTCTTGAAGGATGCGGCGGTCGAGAGGTGACGTTTGACTGCGCCCCACTTTATGCCGGGCCAAGGCAGCCAGGCATCTTTGGCACCACTGCGCCACAAGAGGACCCTGGCGCGCCATGGGCCGGTGGCTGGTGACTCATACAATTGCGATTTACAGCCAAGCTCATACTGTCACACGACCTTCAAGGTGACCCAACTGCCGGCCTCCTCCTGGTTGGCTGCCTGAGGAGATTCCGTCCAGACTTGGAAGCCTGGAGTACGCCAGAAATTAATGCACTATTGTATGAAAGCGAGCATTGATCGGTGAAGGTAGTGCCAATGCCAGGGTCCGTGGCTTTGTCACGACCGGCGCCGATGGACTGTAGATAGTCCATTAACTCGATCGAACTGCGCGGGCAAGTGCGGGTCTTCCACAAAACAAATCGGTAATACAGGTCTGAATGGCTGGATTCTCATTGAGTCAAGGCAAGTTCCCAACTGGCACTAGCACACGTATGAAGCAAGGACAGAGCCCAGCTCGCACGGAATCATCTGTGCTCTGTCTAGGGTAGATTTGTGTCCATCCTTGATCAGCGCAGGAAGGAGCTTTGGTTTGGAAAACGCTCGCTGATGTGCCACAACCCCCCGCCGTAGCAGCGCGGCACCTGCTTCACGTACAGTTGACGACAGAGGCGAGGCGGAGCCCAAAATGCTGGGGCGTTCCCAGGCAGCCGGGTTCATGAAGTAGATTGTATAATGGCTACCTCGGCACCTACCTCAGATACTACGCGTTGCGAGCACCTACCTGCTGGAGCTTGACTTCCATGCCGTAACTTCGCTGGCAGTCGCAATTGAGCACGAACGAGGCAATCGAGCTCCGTCTCCCCCCCTTGCCCCCTTTTCGTGATTACGCGTTTCACCCAAGCGATGGCCATCAACGTCGCATGAGCCTCCAACGCAGTTGAACCTGCGCAAGGTGGTGATGACCGCGTCAAACGGCCGTAGATGCCATGTTGGACTGAAGCACACGGCACGACCGTCGGATCTAAGAGAGAGCCTTGAAAGAGGCACGGCTGAACGTATTGACAACTGCTGCTTCCCGGCAAAGAGGATCAGATATTGCCTGCCGTGATGTCACAGTTAAAAAGGAGTTCGCGCTTCGAACGCCTGGGAGAAAGACGACGCTTTGCGACGGCGTCATCGCCTGTGACCATCATGTAGCAGACCAGTCCTTCACTGATAGGTAGTGCCCGCCAGTGCTTGCCCCTTACGTACCTTTGCGATTGCTTCGTGCCCACGAGAGTCATGCCGGGCTGCCATGTCCCAACCCGATGAGAAGGAAGTGCCAGGCAAGTTCCTCGCTTCCACAAGCTTCCTGACAGGACATCAAGGAAGTTGCAGTCACGAAAGATGTGCATAAAACCCGATTCTGCTGCTGCATGTCGACATCCCATCCTTTTTTCTCCTCTTCTCTCGTCATTCTCGCCAGACTCCCTTCGTGCGCCAGCCCCTTTGGCCATGCTTCACGGCTTTGTTGTCGACGCCTACTGTTGCTCTTGATCATTTGCCCTGATCGTTCTATTCCCACGCAGTGTTGTGGCCTCACAGTCCCTGGCCGCGCGAATCCCGAGAGCCTGTGTCGGGCCGCACTGCTGCGTCGTCCTTGCCAAATGTACTGCCCCCCCGATCCTGCTCGTGAATGTGTCTCTGACCTGGTCTGCATCGTCGGGTGTCTCAGAATTACCATGAACCAGACGGCACAATGTGCCTCGGTTGCCAAGAGGCTTCTCATCAGCGACACCACTTGTTACGACGTTTGCGACTTTTGCAGAAAAGGGTACGGGACCTTCCTTGATGACCCTCCCAACCCCCAGTGAAGAGAAAGCGACTTCTGAACCGCCTTTTGACGGTAGCGATGTATGCTTACTATAGCTTTACGACTTTGTGAGGGGGGCGGTAGGTGAGAGGGGGAAGGGTTTTTTCTCCTTCGGGGGGTCCTTTTTATCCAGCCCGTACTCAGCCTTTGGCTGACAAAAGGACAATTTTTTCCCAGGTCGCTCCGACGAAGATTTGATGGCTTCGCTTCGATGACGACGACAAGAGTCCGCGCGGCAGCACTGTATGCCGAACAAAAGTTTGCTGGGAACATGGCGTTGATGGAATTCCGCTTGGCCAAAGGTGCCTGTGTCCGCTTGCTGCCGGGGGTGATGGAAAGACGTCATGCACTCGCAGGTGATTGCTGCGAAGGAATGTCGCTACTGTTGATAGGAATCGAGTGCCTGCTTGCAAGACGCCATCCGAAGCGCACAGCTTGCCGTCTGTGATGGTCCACAACCAACACATGCTCCGATGCGCCACTTGGCGTATGGCTCGACACTCTAAGCTTCAGTCCGTGAGCCGCTGAGCGGTCACATCGTCGAATCGAATGTAGGACTCAGGTTCTGGATTCGCCTCGGCGACTTCCATTCAACGGGTCCAATCATGGAGGCCACTGGATTTGGACGCGGGATTTGTTGATGCTTCGAGTTTCTTTTGCCTTGCGCCGCTGCAGCCCGGGAGACAGCCCTCAAACTCTCCCCAGTGGCGCTGGGCAGTGCCGGAGTAAGTTCTGTCTGCAGCACTCGATCGCCGTGTAAGTCGCGTCACGTGACACGGCACCTTTCTCGCGTGTCCCACCCACGTGTCCCGCCCACCGTGTCGGCGTCAAACGCGTAGAGTGGAATCTGGACACTGGCTTCACTCATGGCACGCGCCGCGCAATCCGCCCGTTGCTGCACATGAGCCCCTGAAGGTCGCGAGAGGCCCGAGCCAAGCTCGCGCAACGCTTTGATTCTGTTCAAGCCCCGAAAAGACGGCAAGCCTGGCAGAGACGCGTGCGCATGCTAGCCGAAACTCCTCGCCGCGGCCCAAACCGCCAACAGCCGCCATGAGCGACGACGAGTTCGACGATGACATTGCCGACGAAGACTTTATCGATGCCTTTGAACAGGTCGCATCGTCAGGGACGCGAAAGGGCGCCTTGAAGGAGTCGACTTCACGCCCCAATATTGGCCAGACAGTGACGGCTCAACAGCCGAAAGACTTTGCTGCAGCCTTGGAACTCCAAGACCTGCCATCTGATGCCTTTTCATCGCCAGAGCCCCCCCAGCGCCGCCGGGTCAGTCCTCCTGCGCGCCAGAGACAAGCGCCGCCGGGCCAAGCCCCGCGTACTGGACTCGCGCGCAGCAACTCATCAACGTTTCGGCAAACAACGCTGTGGGGGACCGATGCCTTCGAGAGACCGACGCAGCCATCTCAGCCGCAGAGCGCCAGGGTGTATAGAGTCGACCTGCCTCGCGAGGAGCCCAGCCATCATGCGCTAGACCTCGAAGCAATGAAGACGTGGGTCTATCCGACCAACCTCGGCGCCATCCGCGACTACCAGTACAGCATTGTCAAGAACTCCCTCTTCAACAACACCCTCGTAGCCTTGCCGACTGGCCTCGGCAAGACCTTCATCGCCGCCACTGTCATGCTGAATTTTTACCGCTGGACTCGATCCGCAAAAATCGTCTTTGTGGCCCCGACGAAGCCGCTGGTGGCGCAGCAAGTCGACGCCTGCTACAATATCGCCGGCATCCCCCGGTCCGAGACGACGCTGCTCACCGGAGATATTGCCCCGGCTCTGCGCGTCGACGAGTGGGGGGCGAGGAGGGTCTTCTTCATGACCCCTCAGACTCTACTCAACGACCTGTCACATGGCTATGCGGATCCGAAAAGCATCGGGCTTCTCGTCATCGACGAGGCGCACAGAGCCGTGGGCGAGTACGCGTACGCCAAGGTCACCAAGCTTATCCGGCGCTTTTCCAAGAGCTTCCGGGTCCTAGCTCTGACGGCGACGCCGGGCTCCAAGGTCGAGACGGTGCAAGAAGTCATTGACAACCTCGGCATTTCCCATTGCGAGATCCGGACAGAAGAATCCATCGATATCAGGCAGTATGTCCATCAGCGAAACATTGACCCCATGATATTGGACCCCTCGGACGAGATGAACCTGGTCAGCGAGCTCTTCACGGAGGCGCTCAAGCCACTCGTGGACAAGCTTAGCTCCCAGAACATCTACTACGGACGCAACCCGATGGCACTCACTGCTTACGGGCTGATGCAAGCACAGAAGGAATGGTTTGCATCGCGCGGGCAGCACGCCAATCAAGGCATTCAATTCATGATGAGGGCCATCTTCAGCGTGCTCACAGGCCTTGCCCATTCCATCAAGCTGCTCAACTTTCACGGCATCAAGCCCTTTTACGACAACCTCGTCGATTTTCGCAGCGAGCAGGAGGACAAGGGAGAAAAGGGGTCAAAGTACAAGCGCCAGCTCATCGAACATCCAAGCTTTCGGGACATGATGGACAAGATCGCCATGTGGCTCAGGACGGACGGCTTCGTCGGCCACCCGAAGCTCACCGCGCTCGCGGACTGCGTGCTTAATCATTTCATGGACAAGGGCGAGGCGTCCGGTACCCGCGTCATCGTCTTCAGCGAGTATCGAGACTCGGCAGAGGACATTGTTCGCATGTTCAACAAACATCGGCCGCTGATCAAGGCTAGTGTCTTTGTCGGCCAGGCAGATGGGAAGCGCGGGGAGGGCATGAAGCAGGCTCAGCAGATTGCCACCATTGACAGGTTCAAGCGAGGAGAGTTCAATGTGCTCGTCGCGACGTCCATCGGCGAGGAAGGCCTGGACATTGGGCAGGTCGATCTCATTGTCTGCTACGACGCGTCTGCGTCCCCGATCCGCATGCTGCAGAGGATGGGGCGTACAGGCCGCAAGCGTGCCGGAAATATTATCCTGCTGCTGATGCGTGGGAAAGAGGAGGACCAATTCGCCAAGTCCAAGGACAACTACGAGAAGATGCAGCAGCTCATATGCGAGGGTAGCCGGTTCTCGTTTCGGGGAGACCTCTCCACGCGAATAGTCCCCCGTGAGATCCGGCCCGAGGTCGACAAGCGGCACGTCGACATACCGGTCGAGAACACGCAAGACCAGTCTTTACCGGAACCAAAGAAACGTCGCGCTCCTCCGGGTAAGAAGAAGCCGCCGAAGAAGTTTCACATGCCCGATGGCGTGGAAACCGGATTCCAGACGCTATCGCACTTTATGAATGGGGGCGGAAATAAGGCACGCGCGAAGCCGCAACGTAACAGGGAGCTTGACGACGTGGTGGAGATACCAGACCTCAAGAGCGTTGTGCTGTCGGAACAAGGCATCCGCGAACTGGACCGAGAGTACCGCGACTTGCCCTTTAACCATAGCATGGTTGAAGAGGCAGATATGCCCAGCATGACAGCTCACCCCGAATTACAGAGGCGACTCCAGCCCGTCTATCGCGTCAAGCACGGGATCCACACCAAGCGATGCGTCAAGGTCCTGGCGAGGATGGGCTTGAAGCCAGAGAGCCTCGTGCGTCCTTGTCGAGAAGTCGATACAAGCGACTATCTTGAGATACCTGTGAGGGCGTTTGTGAATTCGGATGGGGAAGAGGAAACCGAGGACCATCGCGAGGGGACAGCCTCGCCAGAGAAGGAGACAGGCCACGCCACCGCCGCGAAATTGCCAAAGCAGAAACGAAAAAGAACCACCAGCACCACAAAGCTTGCCGCCTGCGAAGCAGAAGACGAGGAACCGACCTTGCTCGCGGGTGAAGACCTTGACGAAGAGGAGGACGAGCCAGGACTCCCAAAGAGAAAGCGGGGACGGCCGAAGAAGGCGGGAAAGGTCGCGGGCAGGACGAGGAGGGGCGGCATCAACAGCGACGAAGTGGGAGACGACTGCGAGCGAGACAGCGACGTCATGGACACTGACGGCTCCGACGACGGGGCCGACCTGCTCGACTTTGTCGTCGCGGACAATCAGGCCACCTCGAGCATGATGGATTCGCAGGCCACCTCGCCCACGTCACCAATCTCGCAAGATACCCCACGGAATAGGCCGCAGAAGCCGTTTTACGTCCCCTCTCACTTCCCCGGAACGCAAGAGAGCGAAGGCATCCCTGATGTGACGACACTGGTCGGGGCCAAGCGCAAAGAGTCGCCATTGGACTCGGACGACGAGTCGGGGGACCTTGCCGCGAGGAGACCAGCTCGTGGGAGACGTCGACTAGTGGATAGCGACAGCGACGAATGACGGGCGGCGGAGGCGGCGTATGTTTTAACAACTCAAGCACCCAAAGGACGGGAACGAAAGGCGCATGGGACACGGACGGGGACTATGGCATTGTAAAGCGAATGTATTCATGGCTGAGCTAATTGCATCGCAACTTGTTCGTCAAAAGTTAGGTTGGGCCCGGTATATGGAACCGGCGGCGATCGGTGGCTACGAAGAGGACCTAGAAATCTTGGTTCCGGTTAGCACAACATCCTCCAGAACGTGAGCCCAGAAGAGCGCGCGCGAAGCAACAGCATTCAAGCATAGAATCTCGACATCAGAAACCCAGTGTATAAGCACCACGCCCCCCACCAAACCCCCCTCGACAACGAGAACCCCAGCCCCTCAAGCCAGCGCGCGAGGATCCAAAGCAACGGACGCTCAAGCTCAAAAACCCGCGGACACACACACACAAAAGCATGCCTTCCGCGAGGAGCAAACAGCGACGTCGGGATCAAAGACTCGCGGCCGCAAAGGAGGAGACGGGAGAGGACCCGGATCGAAAAGGGGGGCAAAGTAGGCCGTGCGGGGGAGGGAATGCCACCCCGGGAGGCGTCTAAGACGGCTCTTCCTGTATAATATGGTAGGGTTGTATAAAACAAACATGATCATCATGCGAGGAGATTGGTTTGGCCCGCCTCCCGGCCCGCTGGAGTTGGGGGCGGGAAGGTTGGAAAAGGGGAAAAAAGAAGTATGTGTGTAGACATGGCTTGGACTTACCAGCTGGACGGGACGATTGTGGTGCTGGGCGGGAGGTGCTTGGCGACGGCGGTGGCGGTGATGGTGGTGGTGAGAGTGGAAAGTGTGAAAGGAAAGAAGTCGAGCTCGAGGTCGGGAAAAAATGGCTGTGGAATTTGTGGTGCCCGCGGTGGTTGTCGTCGGGCTTTCATCGGATCTGGCGATGGGTAGAAGTGGGGTCTGAAATACTAACGTGCCGCCCTAGAACGTCGTGCCCCCCCGAAGGTCGTAGTCTTTTAGATTTTCATTATCTTATAAATTAGTTTTATAAGATTATTATTAATAAGATTTATTATATATAAATTTTTTACTATATATATTAAGTATTTCTATATATAAAAATAATATTTATAAAAATATATCTTCTTTATATAATTTTATATAATATTTAAAAAAAATTAAATAAAAGAAAATAAAAAATCTAGATTTTACTTTATAACTTTATAATAAAAAAAGACTATTTTTTATTATTTATATATATAATATAATATATATTTATCTATACTTAAAAATATAAAATAAAATATTCTATATTTATTTTATTTTTTATAGAATTTTAAAGTAAATAATAAATATTTAAAAGTATTATATTATCTTTTTAATAACTTTATATAAATTAAGAATTATATCTTAAGATTTATATATTATATATATAATATAAAAATCTATAAAATAAAAATATAAAGTTTAATATTATATATCTTTATAATTTTTTATAGAATTTTAAAAATCTTATAGATAAACTAAAAAATAATTTAATTCTTTATATAATTTTTTTTAAGATTTTAAAATTTAAGATTCTTAATTAATTTTTTATAGATAATCTATATAATATTTTTTATAATAATACTCTTATTATTTATAGAGTTATTAAGCTTTAAAATTTTCCTTAAGAAATTTAAAGATAGAGGTTTTTTAAAAAATTCTAAATATAAAAGTATTAAATATTAATATATAAACTTTTAATTATTATTTTAATTCGAATTTTATTTATTTTTTATTATTATTATATTTCTTATATATATTATATATAATTAATTATAAATAAAAATTAAAAGTTAATATTTATTAAGAAACTCTTAGTATTCCTTAACGAATTTAAAGTTTTAACTTTAAGCTTATATTTAACTATAAAATAAGAATAATTTTAGAAAATTAAAAAAACTATATATAAATATAAAGAGTTATTAATATAGTAATATATTTATTTCTTATTTTAGTAGCTTTTATAGCCTAATTGCAAGGATATATAAAGGAGTAGTTTTGGTGTAAAACGGGCTCGACCTTCGGGGGGGCACGACGTTCTGGGGCGGCACGTTAGTGCGTCTCGGTGGGCACCCTGCGCTGCGACTTGCTGAGGGGCCCGACAGCCTACCTAGGGCCCTGAACCTGCAAAGCAAGCGGCAACCTGACCGGGCAGCCTAAACTTGGGGAGGCTTGCCTACTGTGCCCACCCCAACGACCAGGTGAGGGGGGTGTGCCGTTGCACTGGGATCACTTACAAGAGCTGCGTCACTGGCCATCACGAGCCACACTATATGGAATACACGTGTACGCAGACCACCGCCGCCCGCCACGGCCGCCGCGCACTCCTGCGTCCCAAACCATGCCGCCATCAAATCGTCTTGCATCGCCGGAGTGGTAGGTGCGCTGGTGAAACTTTCTCCAACTCCCTACTTAGTTGCCTAGCCGACACAGACGCGGCGGTTCGCCTTACTGCTAGGTAGTTTCGAACGGCGCCTTGCAAGTGTCCACGCCCCCGGCCTTGTGCTGCCAACTGCGACATGCCAAAAACAGACCTGGCCGCTCGCTTTATGTCCAGTCCGTTGGTGGCAAGTCACTCTGGCAACGTCCCCGGTGCGGTCTGCGATATGTTTGGGCCACTGCAAACTGGCATCATGATGATGATGATGATGCTCATTGCTCATGGAGTTGTCGAGCGCGCTCTCTGAAAGCTAGGTATGTACGTCGTGAACGTATTGAAACTTGTAAGATGTAGCGCCGTTATCCCCCCGCCTGCGTCAGACGCAGATTGTTTTTTAACACACACACACACACACATACATACATGACCGAGCATTCTTGTCGGTAGAACTGCGTTCCCCCTTGCCGTGCCGTGCTGTGCCGTGCCATGCCTTGCCATGCCTTGCCATGCCTTGCCTTGCCTTGCCCCCGAAAGCGTTCAATCGCAGCCGCAGGTCACTAACAATACTCGCCGACCTTGGAGCTAAGGGTGAGGCTCCATCCGCTCTCGTGGTATATCTGAAACGACAGAGTGTCGAACTCGCTGGAGGTGCATCTCGGTTTAGCGGTCCAGGTCATGGACTTGAGGGTACTATAGATACTCGGCCAGGAGTCCGGGGCTTTATTCCCCGTGGACTATGCGGGCGATGTGCCCCGTTAGCTATCGTTTGAACCCGTCGTGTGCGCGTATCACCAGACATCAGAGCAGCAGCAGCAGCATTCCCGGACCACCAAAGCCGCCTGCGCTCCATGTAGTGCGATGGGGGAAAGAAAAGGGGGGGAAGTCACCTCGTTGCACCACCACACTCCCACATTCTCATAGCAAGCGATTCTATCACACTTGCCCGGCGCTAGCTGTTTTCTCTTCTTGTTCGTGTCCCTCAGGTAGTGAAGCATCCGTTCTAGCGCCTTATCGAACGTCTCCTTGCCCGTTGCCTTGAACTTGCCGCAGGTGATTTTAGTGAAGCCGTCCTCATTGAGCTTGTATTCGCCGCTCCGCGGAGTGAGATCTCTGGCCACGGCCAGCAGTGAGGAGGAGGGTGGTGGCGGTGCGGCGCCGTGGTCTAAGGGGGAAGAGGGCGAGCCGAGGACCTGGATTTGCGTTGGAGCGGCGAGGGCCCCCGTCGTTAGCAGGATCGTTAACTCGATGGCTCAACAAGCAAGGAGGTCCTTGCTGCTGCGAGCGGGAGCCAGTAGAAGTACTTTACCTCTCCGGCAAGCGTGGCGGCTACGGCGAGGATAGTCGCGAGCTTCACGACTACGTATGGGTTACTGGTTTATTGATGCAGGGATGAGGCCTGTCGTCTTTCCTTTACCCCAGGGGAAAACGTTTCACGATTTATTCTTCTTTTCTACGTTTCTGACTTACTTTGCACCCTTGGCCGTGACGTGTCGTCGGAGGTGGTAGCTGCGCCGCTGAAACTCGCGAAACCTGTGCGCCTCGATTTAGCCCAACGGCCACGCACTTCACTGGCGGGGGCGTAGTTGTAGGTGGTGTTTCCTCCCGTGTCCGTACGCAGTTTGTAGTTTGAACTCCGCCTACAAGCGTCCAAACCCGGCCGGTGCTGGTGCTGAAACACTGAAACACGGGCTGGTTGGAGTCACGGCGCGCGCAATGCCGCCAGCCGCCGCCCGCGTGGATTGGGCAGAGGGAAAGGTCGACGATGTTGATGCCGTCGTTGGCCGTGAGAGCGCGCGCGTCTTGTGGTCTGGCGCGGGCACTGGGCAGCACAACTCGGTCGGCAAGCGTCTGTTTCGTTTCGTTTCGTACATGATTGCATTGAAGTACGTACGCAACCTACCATATAGGCGGTATGTATCTAGTGTGCGTCCGGAAGTGTCTCTGGCCATGTGCTTTTCGTGTGGTCCGACGCCACTCCTCTCGCATCGGTTGGGGTAATACTCGCTAGGGTTCCGGGGAGTTTAGAGCATAACCTTGGATATTCACGTGCGGTGGGCGCGTTTGGTGTGCCGGGCAGTCAGTCAGTCGGGTGCCAAGGTGGTAAAACTGACTTACTGCGCTGCTAGCTACGGGACTATGTACAGTGATCGGATGCTCCAGGCAGAGCAGCAGCAGGCGCGGCAACTCAAGTAGGGTTCCAGGTTCGCATCACAGCCGACCTTCTCTCTTCTCACAGCCGCGGCTCACTAACAGGTCTTTGCTGTCATAGCCGATCATGACGCTCCATCCGCTTTCGTGGAATATCTGAAACCCAAAGTCTCGGTAGTTCCAGGCAAGACATTTCTTCTTGGCGACCTCGGGGATCGCCTTCAGGGCTTTGACAACATCTTTCCAGGAGTCGGGGTTTTTCTGCTCCTTGGACTATGCAGGGTACAGTTGATGCCCGTTAGTGACCGTACGAACTCAAACTCGGTCGTGCGCGAGCCGGACAATAAAGGTGCCTGCCTGCCTGCCTGCCTACTTGCAGTGCCATTGGGCGGCGGCGGCGGGAGAACTCACCTCGTTGCACCACCACGTTCCGATGTGGTCCCAGCAACCAACTCTCTCACACTTGCCCGGCTCCAGCACCGGCTTGGACTTGTGTGCAGTCTCGAAGTATTCAATGTTTTTGGACCTGGCATTTTCGAACCTCTCCGAGTTCAGCGTGAACGGGAATCTGCTGCAGACGATTTTAGTGAAGCCTTGGTCGTGGATGTTGAATTCGACGGGCTGCTGAGCGCGGCGGCTCGACTGGGCGGGGGCGGGCGAGGGCGAGCCGAGGACCTGGATTTCGGTTGGAGGCCCCCGTCGTTAGCGGACCCAAACTCGACGTCTTTCTGCTGCTCCTGCTGCTGCTGCTGCTGCGAGCGAGCGAGCGCGGAGCAGCAGCGCTTTAGTACATACCTCTCCAGCAAGCGCGGCGAATGTGGCGAGAACAGTCGTGGGCTTCATGATGGCGCGGTTCACTGGGTGCGTCCGATGCAGAGACGAGGCGTGCTGTTCTGTCTTTTCTTCTATTTCCTTTTGCCCAGGCCAAGGGGGAAAGCTCCGCGTTTTCATTCTTTTCCACGTTTTGTCAACTTGCAGTATCACTACACCTTGGCCATGTGGTGGTAGCTGCGGCCGGTGAAACTCTTCGAAACCGTGTGCTTCTCAACTAATGAGCCCACGGACACGCAGCCTTACTAACGGGGCGTTGGTGATTGCCACTAGTTGCCCTTCCTTAATAGTAGTTACTTGATGGTTTCGAAGCCGTCCCGCAAGCGTCCAAGCGAGGCCAGTGCTGCTGGCTGCTGCTGCTGAAACCCGGGCTGGGTTGGAGTCACGGCGCGCGCGATGCCGCCAGCGGCCAGCAGCCAGCAGCCACCGCCGCGTGGATTGGAAGGGGGTGCTCTGGCCGTGTGCCTTCGTGCGTCTGACACCACTGTGCTCATCTCGCATCATTTGGTAATAATCGCCATGGTTCCGGAGAGCGTTGAGCGGAGCATCTTGGCTAGGCATTTACGTGGGCTTTGTGCGGTGCATACAGAGTGCCCGGCGAAACTGTGTACTACCTAACAGTGCCGCTGGCTACGGTACGGTAGGTAGTTAGGTGGTGCTCCAGGCAGGGCAGCAGCAGGCGTGGCCTGCAACCTCAAGCGGGGTTCAATCGCCAGCCGAGTGAGTTCGACCCCGTCCCTCCTCGACTCCACTTCTCCCCTCCTCTCCCCAACCCAATCCAACACACGCATTCCGCGTTTCCCTTCGTAGCTCCCGACGTATTACTCGTAGTACGTCACTCTCCTCCTCCTCCTCCACCACCACCACCTCCTCCGTCGCCGCCGCCGCCGCCCGCGTCGCCAGCCCTCCCGAGCTCGATCGAACCCCAAGACGAAGCAGAAACAAACAAAGCGCTCCCCTCCCCAAACCAAACCCCCCACCCCGGTCGTCGTCGCTGGGGGCGCAAAAGACAAGCCGCTGTCCGTCGTTGTCCACTGCCGCGGGCGAATCGGCGCAGAAACGTCATCGGCGCAGGAAGCCATCAGCACCAAGCAGCCAAGCCAAGCAGCCAAGCAGTCGAGCCATGGTGTGCGCCGGCGCAAGGGCCATTTCGGTCCTCAAGTTCGTGGGGACCGTGTCTCTCGGCTTGCTGACGGTACGTTTGCCTCCTTCCCGAGTTTTTGTTGGACGCGTGCAGGGCCCGGCGCGGCATGGCTCCTCGAGTGTCCGCCGCGCGCCGTGAACGTGCCGCCTTCTTCGCCTCCCGCCGTCTCCGTCTCTGTCCCCGGCGCCGCTTGCTGACAGCGACCCAACTCCAGGGCGTCTCGTACACCGTCTCGACCGTCTCCCTCCCCTCGCTCCTGCGCCTCCCGTCCTCGTCCTCGGCCTCGCAGGCCGTCGCCGCGCTCGCCGACTCCCTCGCCCGCCCGCTCCGCGCCCTCACCGCGCTGTCCTCGGCGCCACTCCTCCTCGCCTTCGTCCTCTCCCCGCGCTCCTCCCGCCACCCGTACCTGCTCTACACCTCGCTGCTCGCCGTCCTCGCCCTGTCTCTTATACACATCTAGATGTGTATAAGAGACAGCGGCAGTGTTCCCCCAAGAAGCAGTCGCCCGCCCGCAGGATGGAGGCCAGCTACGAGGTCCTCGGCGACGTCACCAGCGAGGCCGCCAGCGAGGAGGACATCGAGGACGTCAACGGTGAGGAGGTCCGGGTCGAGGTCGAGGGCCTTGCGAGGCGCTACGTGGTCCAGACTGGCCTGTCCGCCCTCGGCTTCGCCATGGCCATCGTCGGGCTCTGGGGCGATGGCTCCCAGCAAGTCGTTGCCTACGTCTCGTGATTGGGTCCCTTGACTATTGTAACGCCGAACGTTTGAACGCATTCTCCTGGTTATCGGTAGATGCAAAACACGTCCTGTTGTTCCAGTGTAACTGTCAGCGGAGTTGGGAGGCACCTTTGTTTTTCTTCTTCTCTCTTTCTGTTAAATCGCACGAAGGCTCGGACCATCTCCTATCCCCTCGCTGCCACATCCATAGCAAACAAGCACCGTATATGAAAGCCGATCGAGCCCACGCCAAGCCACTTGGCTCTATAATCCGTCTGTCCCGAGATATTGGCAACCTTCCTTCCTGGCATCTACGGATGGTAGCTGCCACAGTCCTCGCACTTGGAGATGCCGAGCTTCTCTGCCTCGTACTCAGAAAAAGCCCAAGCCCTGCCCCTGCGCTGCTGCATCTCCCTGACGACAAAGTCCGTCGTGTCATCCTTGCCATCCTGCGACCCTTGCTCCTCATCGTCCTCGTCCTTGCGGTTCTCGACGCTGAAGTAGCGGGACGGAGTGTGCTTTTCGCCCAGCCGTCTGGCCACGTCGTTGGCCTCGTTGAGGCTCACGAGGCGGCGCTTCCCCGAGTTGTTGCTCAACGCCGTGGCGCAAAAGTCCCAGATTACCTTCTTCATCGTCCCGGATCCTGGTGACGATCCAGACTTGCCATCGCCGGTGCCCATTGCCGCCAACAAAGGCACAAGGTCTTCCTTGTCGTAGTCGCCACTGAGACCCAGGTTTCGGAGTTTGTCCTTGATGGTGTCGGAGTCGGAGTTCTTGGCTTCTGCATCGACCGCAAAGTCGCCGACACTCTTGTTGATGAGATCATCCACTGTCCTTGAGGTCCGGTTCCAGTAGCGGCTGTTAGGCTTCTCGAACGTCTGGCTCTGCAGTTGATCGTGGGCAATCTCGGCAGGCGTGCGGCCGACTGCGTTTTCCCGGAACAGCAACTGGGGCTTGAAATCCACCAGGACCCTGACGAGCGAGATCACCTCCCGCTTAACGGCGGTGTGCAGGCAAGTCTCTCCGGCCCCGTTGAGCATATCCAGCTCCTCACCGTTCGAGTATTCCAGGAGAAGCTTGGCCATGGCAACGACAACCTCCTGATCGCGATACTCTGACGGCGTCTGGTTGTAGTAGTTGCTGTTATAGTGATAGTAGCTGGGGGTCTCTCCACTGTCCGACAAACCGCAGACTCGAGAGATCCACGTGTGCAGGGGTGTGGTGCCGTTCTGCTCGAGACTCTTTCGCTGCAGAAACAAGTGCTTCCGGAGATCCGAATCCAAGATTTCCATCAAAAGCTTGACCTGTGCGGCAGTAGGGTTGCCCTTGAGGGATGCATGGACAATATTCTCACCGCTTGCATTCCTGGTGGACTGGTCGGCACCGGCAGCAAGGAGCGTCCTAACATATTCGATCCGACCAAGACTGCACGCAACCATCAAAGGCGTGTCGCCGCTGGCAGTCTTCTTCTCGATGAACTCCGGGCAAGCTTTGACCAGATACTCGAGCAGCTCCACTGACTCCTTGGTTACGGTGCTCAGCACCGCACAGTGAATGACCAGGTCGTCTATCCGAGTGTTAGTTTCTGCACAGCAGTCATCAAGGATATAACGTACTGTCAGCTCCCAGCCATTTCGAGATGGCTCTTTCGAACCCTTTCGGGCTCTCCTTCAGATGCTTCAGGCGAGGGTCGTCTCGGGCCACTTTGCTCTTGCCAAACTCGCCGTAAAGACGGTGTGGCGTCTCGCTCAAAAAGAACTCCACTCCTTCAAGGGAACCACCAAGAGCTGCGTGCAGAAGCGGAGGGGTCCGTAGACCTGTCGTTCTCGTCACCATGCTACGACCCGCCGTGGCCCAGTCCTTCCTGTGAGACGATTTAGCCAGGCTGCTACCACTCGACGAGCGATCAGCTGAGCTTACCTCTTTTTTCCGTAGACCGTTAATCCTTGGTAATAACGAGGCTTCTTCTTGATTTCGACACCGCTCTTCTTGACCAGATGGTCAAGCGGAATTCCTGCGCCGGTGCGCTTGATGATCAACCCAAGAAGCCTCGTTTTCCCGTTCTCCACAGCCCAGCGGAAATCAGACTCGGGGAAGGTAAAGTTGTCGTTGCCTTCCTCATCGTCCCCTGGAAACTTTTGTCCCGAGAAGTGCTGTGCCATGTCCAACAGTGCCTTAAGACCCGCCATGTCGTCCATGTCCAGCACATGGACGAACAGACTTCGCTTAGAATGCACTTTTGAGACGGCACTGTTCTCCGTGGAAAATGTCTGGAAGGATCTGCAAAGAACTTCGAGCGGCTTGTCATGCGATTGGACTTGCATGGAAACCTTCCCGATGTCTTCAATGGTGAATGTCTTGTCCAGGTTTTCGGAAACAATTCTCGGCTGGTCGTCGTCGTCACTGTCCGAATCCTCGCTGTCGTACTCGTCCTCGTCCTCGTCGTCCTCTTGTTCCATTTTGTACCGCAGGTTTTCTTTCTCAGGTGGGGACCATTGGGCTTTCACAATCTCGAGGATGGCCTGGGCTATGTCCGAGTGGCCTTTGAGGAACGCAATCGAGAAGGGAGAGTTTTGCGAATTGTCCGAGATGGACATTTTGAGCGGCGCTCGATCCTTCTCCGGACCCCATGCCTCCAAGGTCATTGATTTGATGCGGTCCAAGTCCCCGACCCACGCGGCTTCCATACTGTTTCAGTCAGCCGTATATCCAGCTACATTTCTCGTCTATTCGACACTTACAGTTGGACGTATCCATCCCTCCTGGCATCGTTCATATCCGAGTCGTTTCTGAAACTGAAGTCGTACTTGTACTTCTCGTGCACCTTCTCGACCTCTCGGTCTTGAGATGCGCTCTTTGTTCTCGGTTGGGCGTCGATTTCGGGATGCAATTCGTCAAACACCTTGGCACCCTTGGCGATCAGAGCGCGCTCCAGATTCTTGAGCTCGGACAGGGATTCGTCGATGGCCTCCTTCTTCTCGGTTGCTCCCTTCAGTGTCCTTATGCGCTCCACGTCCTTGGTGTACGCCTTCTCTTCGAGTTCGAACCGACTCTTGGCATGCTTTATGTCCCTCGAGACGATCCAGTGAGTGTACGTATTGGGCTCAATATTCTTGAGATACTCATCCATGCCTGGTCGAAGCGTGGGCTTGGTGAAGTTTGCCTTTTCTCCGCTGTATTTGGAAAGCTCGTGAATGACGTCTCGAACGAGGTCTAGAGCTGATGTACCATGGTTCCACCTGCGTCTATACTCGTCAATCAGGAGGCGATTGGTGTCCGACGTAAGGGCGTTTGGATCAGCGCCGTTCTCCAAGAGTTTGATGGCGGCATCGGCGTTGCCAGAGCGAATAGCTGCAATGAGAGGTTGCTCTAAGGATTCCCGATAACTGCGTCGCGCATGCTCCAAATCACCGAGGTTCCCATGGATCGAGGAGACCTTGGCAGCCTTCAGCCAAGTGTCGAAATCGATCTGGCTTTCGGCTCCCGCGTTGAGTAGTTTGAGAACAAGAACCGAGTCTCCACGCTCAACAGCCCTGTGGAGGGGTGATGTCGTGTTCGCGTTCCAGCGGTAGCCTGTGAATGCCAGGTGATTGATGGATGTCTTCACACCCATCTTGTCCGTGTCGAGCAAGACATCGATCATTTCGTTCTTGCCGGTATCGATATACTTCTGGAAGGCCGTGTAGCCCCGAGAATCGGCCTGTGACGAAGTTGCACCGAGGCGAAGAAGAAGTCTAGCCATGGACTTGGCCTTATCCGTCGGGAGCGAGAGAGCAAGCGTCAGGGTGAGGATAGCGGCAGTGTCGTCGGAGTCGGAGCTGAGGAACTTGACCGGTAGGATGGAATCTGCCCCATACTAAGGATACAGTTAGCAGGAGTTGGGGAGAAAGGAGAGAAGGCGACTGCAGCACATACGTCGCACAGGAGCTTGACTGTCTCCTCGTGGCCCTCGGCAATGGCGAGATGCAGAGGCGAGCAGGGAACATCCCACGCGAGGACATCGATCTGATAGTAATCAGGCTCGTCCTCTGATTCATCCAAAACCACATCGTCGCCGTTCTCGTCACCATCGCCCTTCTTCACTTTGACAAATGACCCTGTGGCAAGCGACTGAACCTCGGTCTCTGTCTTGGTATCGTCGATTAGTTCGCCATCAGAGCCGTCAGCGTCGTCAGAGTCGTCAGAGCCGTTAGAGTCGGAGTCGGCTTCTCGTGTCGTTTCTCCAGCGTCAGGCTTCGTAGTGCCGATCGCCTTACGGCGCCTTGCCTGCCGCTCCTCTTCGGCCTCTTCATTCTCGATGCTCTTCTCCATCAGTATCTTGATCATTTCGGTCTGACCTCGAGAAGCCGCAAGATGAAGAGCAGTCTTGCCGTCTGCCAGCCTTGCTGTGAGACGAGCACCGTGGTCCACCAGACACTTGACGACCTCAGGTGTCGAAGCCATGACTGCAAGTTGGAGCGGTGTGCGGCCGGTGTAGTCGCGTTTGTTGGGGTCTGCGTCTTCCTGAGACAGCCAGTTGAGGACATCGTCAATGTCGCCATCGACGATGGACTGACACAATCTCGCAGTGTTGCCAACGTAAGCCATGTCGGTCCAATCCTGCTCGGTCAAGGGGTTGAAAGACCCAATTTGTTGGCGTCCAGGGTCGTCAATGAGAAACGACACCTTGCCCGATATATAAATCTCAGCCTCCTTTTCGGCCACCTCGATTTCCTCAGGTGTAACAGGCTTAGGGCAGAATCCGCAGCAGTCCTCGATGACATCTTCGACCCGGCCGAAAAAGGCTGGGTGTCGGTGGAGATAGACCTCACGATCCTTGGACTGGTTCCACTCGGCATTGAGGAGGAGATCTCTGGTGTAGCAGAGCTTCTCAATGCGCTTCGCGTGGAACTTTTCTCCATATGGGACCGTGAAGGTGTGGTAGTTGCTAATGTCCTCCTCGGACAACCAGTCGGCAACTTCATCCTCGTGCGAATCTTTGATGTTGCCTCTGATGGGGAACCTGTTGGTGTGCCTGGCTGGTCTTCCGCGCTCCATGCGTCTCTTATTCAAGTACGCTTCTCGGGCAGAGTTGGTGGGGAGGCGCTCGAGGACGAGCAGTCTGGCCAGACCAAGCGTTCGTTGGAAGCTTCGCTCAAAGATGGTAGGATCAACCCTGGATCGATCGAGTTCAGGCCAATATACTTCAAAGTTGCGGTGGGAGTACTTGGACAGGCGATTCTCGTAAGAGGGGCTCCGGCGAGAGAGATCGACGTGGTTGATCTGTGTGATGAAACTACCCAGAGCTCGCGGCGTCACGTATACTTGCTTTCCATCATAGGCACCGCCGGCGGCGTCAATGTCGAAGCCGGTCAAGATTTCACTGATGGATTTGTAGACACGAAGAACAATCTTGTATCGTTAGCTTTGGCCCGGGGTAGGCATCGGCTTCAGAGACCAACCTGAATATGTCGCACTGGGTATTGGCTGGCAATCGTGATGGCGTATTTGGTACGGACAACAGTGACTTCATTGAGCAGAGCGTCTCGGATAGCGCGTTCAATTTGCTTGATCTTCTCAATGGCTTGGTCGTGCGTAAGACCGTACAAGAAAAGGTCGACGTCGGAGGCAGGACAAAACTTCTCATGATAGTACTCACGGAGCTTCCGCTTCGATGACTTGAAGTCTTCGGGAACGGGCAGGAGGCAATTGACAACAGATGAGCCTGCTGCGACCACATTGCTCCAGTCCAATTCGACCAGGGACGACTCGGAGAAGACACCAAAGTTGTGCTGGAACTCGTTCAAGTCGGCGACCGTGGCCGGTGAGCCATGAGCACGGCGTTTGTCTTCTGGCAGAACCATGATGTACTTGGACTGCTGCTCTGGCGATTCTTGGGACAAGTCCCGAGCTCGTGTAGTGATGTGCTTGGTATCATCGGTGAAAAGAGGAACGACATTGATGTAAGGATCATCCAGAGCGGGATTCTGTCGATCCTGGGCATAAACCTCGCGAAGACGGGCCTCGTACTTGCGATACGGAGCCATGACGTCCTCGACGGTCTGCTCGGGGTGCTGCGCGATATGCTTGGCCAGCTCCTTGTGAGGAGCAGGCAACTCTGGGAGATTCAGTGGGGCCATCTTGGAGGTCTGCTGCGATAGAAGATACAGGCGAAAAGGATAGAATGGAGAACGACGACCGTTAAAGAAGTTTAGAGTGAAGACGATGATGCGAGATAATCAGGGACACTGCGGCTGAGAACTGCCGTACGAGGGACAAGAGGCTAAGGCCAATAGTGTGGGAGCCGTGGCGTTCGGGAAGGCGGGGATATGGCGGCTTGTAATTCAACGACGTGGCGAGCTGCTTGATGGGTTGGAGGACGAGGACGACAAGACTCAACGAGGGGAGGAATTGAGTGTTGTTTTATACATTGTGAAGAGGGGAGAATCTGTGTGTGTGTGTGCCTTGAGGAGCCCACACCGTCCGTGTTGGGAACATCGTGAATCGCCATGGTGCACGATGCGGGCCATTGCCTGGTCGTGCCTTCCGCCAGGCATTTCAGCTACCGGGGACCGAGGACTGGTGGCGCCTTCCTTTGGACGCGAGCGACGCGCCTCCAGGGCCTCCAGGGGCTGTGCTGCCTAAAATCCAGGGTCCCAGCGCACGCGAGACCCCGTGATCTCCAACCGACTCCCTGTACGTGCCCCGCTCTGGTGCCTGGAGACTGGAGACGGGACCACTGGCCCAAGCCGCCATCCTCGGAACCGAGGACCGCAGACCTTTCCCCAACTTCCCGCACCAGCCACTCGCTTGACGTCGCCCGAATCCATCCATCTCGCTCACGCACAGAGACTCTGTTTCGCGCATCGCCGACCGTCGAAAACTAGTGGTCCGAGTGGCGGCGCATCCTCGACGTGGAATTATCCGCCAGGCAGAAGCTCGCCCCTCCTTCGAGATGGACCTGTCACGATCGCAGCCCGTCCAAACGGGGGCAGTTCCCGATTCAGAGGTGCCGCAGAATCATCCAAAGTGCGGTAAAGTCTGTTATTTTGCCAAACATACGCTTGTCACCAGAGATTTTATGCCTTGCGCCGAAAGCGATGCCATGCCATGCCGTGCTAGAAGAACAAATATAGCGCTGTGCCGTGCCATGCTAATGAAAACCTCATATACCGTCGTAAAGGATGCCTCCGTCCATCCACATAAATTCTCATACAGGCGACAAGCACTCGTTCTGCTTCTTCTCCGCGGGAGAAAAAGCGTACAGCACTGTCACGAGAAGCTTTCCCGCCCCGGATACAACAATGACGGTCGCAGAGCCCACCTCCCGATAGATGACGGCACCGATAAGGGATCCCACAACCAGGGATACCAAAAAGGCGATGCGCCGTGTGCGTGGCCGATTCTTCGGAGCGAAGAGTTTTTGATCAATCAGGAGGTCGACCCAGGCTGCCGTCGCCATGGCCGTGCTGATTTCGGTCATGGCAAGACTCCGCGACTGGACAACCTGGCTTCCAGCAGCGAACGCCAGCAAGCCGACGACTGCGAGTGCTGTTGAACCCCGGTCCTCGACGCCATAGCGGTATTGAATGCCTGCGGCTCCCAAGACGAAGCAGCTTTGCACAAAGTTGCACAGAATGAGCCACCATCGTTTTCGAGCACCGATGATGTGGCTCAGTTGGCCGGTCAGCCACCCGGCCCCGAGGAAGAGGCCAAGAGCCATGCCGATGTTCGAGGTGATGAAGGATTCCCCGTTGAGCTGCGGCATAATCAGAGCCAGGCAGAGGAACACGGTGTTGCCGGTCTGGTTCGAGGCAAAGCAGTGGTAGTCGGGAAATGTTGTGGCATCTGTAAGTCCTGTCAGTCACGAGCGGAATGGCCCATGGCAAGGATGCCCATCTACCTTGCATGCCGGTACAAAAGGTGAGAACTACGAGGAGCAGCTCTGCAAATGCGGAGGACCGGATATCTTCTGTGAGGTGGTTGGCGACGCGGCTTGTCGTGGACGCTTTGGCGGCGGGCGAAACGTCTGTCCGACTCGTTTCTGGTGTCGATAGCCGTGTAGACTTCTCAGTCACGCTGTGACCCTCAGTAGTGGACGGCATCGTGCTTATGCTGTCGCTGTCATGGAAGTGCCCCAGAAGAGAAATCCGGGCAGAGTTGAGGCCAGGAGGTATGCATACGGCTACACCGTGAGAGGGAAATGAGTGCTATAAGTGTCAGAGGGCTGGGCGGCAAACAAAGTGTGACAGCCATGGCCCGGCTTTGCGCGCCGTCAGATCGGAGCCGACAGCCGTCGTCGAACGGCGCCAAGGACCCCCGGCAGGCTTGGACGGGACGGTTGCGGGCGCCTCCGATCCACTTGGCAAACTCTACGTCGCGCCCGATTCGTCCCATGAACGTCCTCGCCGCCTGTTCCCGACACGACAGACGACCACAGCCAAAAGAGATCTATCTTGTGAAACAGTGCGTTCATTGTTTGGCTTCAGCTCCGCTTCAGCTCCGGGATCGCCAAGCGTTGGGTTTGCACTCCTCGTCAGAGCCAGTCAGTCAGGCATCAACCGGCGCGTGATCCCGCACCTTTGATTGTGACCTTCGTGGCGGTGAGACAGCAAATAACTTGGACGGTGCTCGAGAATTCGGGTTTGGGCGGCAGTCATCAAAACGACGGGCAGAAAGTTCAGTTTTGGCGCGATGGCTTTGACTGGGAGCCCGACTCTGTCATTGTACTCAAACTGGCCTGGTTCTTGTAAGAATTCAAGAGCGCAAAGCAACCCATGCTCATGTCTCGGACGCTCAACAGACGCTGAACCTGAAACGGTGACGATGTGTTTGACTCATTCTGCGGCAAGCAGCCAATCTCGGCTGCGGCGATCGTAAATGATCTCTCTACGTGGCCGGTGCGGTTTTCGGGGAGGCGAAGGGGCAAAGCGAAAAAAGTCTTGACAGATCCGGCGATGCCGCCCAATCACGTCTGGTCCAGGGCAGCCCTTCCGGAGTGGGGCCCGGCCGGCTGCCGAACGGCTCGGCACACCGGCCGGTGGCTTGGGCGGGTAACCCGCCAGTGGGATGGGCCCACCGTGCACCGACAGCCGCTGTCTCGGGGCGGCACCGCGACGCCCGGTCTGAGCAGCTCTGACATCATATATCCAATCATCGACGAGTCGGTGCGCTGTTGAAGACGATGATTGAGGCTCGTCAGTGGGTCGACCTAATGCGGCATCTTGCTCAGATGCCTGAGCCGCCCGGCTCATCGCCTGGCCGCTTCAATTTGGCAAACAGGAGCCGCGTAGCAGATACAGATCCCCCTATACAGTGAATGCTTGCAAGGCAACTTCGTCCTTGAACAAGCCCGACGGCGCCGCCGCCAGAGGGCGTGTCACTTCGCCATGGATTTTTCGCCCTCGGCCATGTTGGCACTGAATGGCGTGGTTGCCCGATTAGGAAATTCAATTTGGCGTGCAGGTCACGTGAGCACGCATCCGCTGACTAACAAACGCGGTACGCGGGAAGGTGCGGCGCCTGGCGCCTCCGCCGCAATCGTGCTCGGTCGTTCACGCCGTGACAACAAGCCAACATTTACAGAACAGCTTCACCACGGCATGAGAACGCCCGAATCCTCAAATGTCGCACGGAATTGAGGACCCCCAACTACTTGGAACCCAATAGCCGGCTTCATGACGCGGAACAACCTCTCGGAGCACATCACCTGGCTGCTGCAGAACATCGCGTTAACCAAGCCGCCCGCACATTCGTTCCCGAGCACCACCGATCCCAGCTCGTTCGAGGCGTCGCAGTTGCAGGGCGCGGGATCGCAACCTCTTCCACCGCGAGCCCCTGCAGCCGACAGACCGGCCTCCAATCGCCCGCCGTTGGGGCCAGCGCGCGACCTGGCCTGGCCCGCCGCGAATGTTCTGCCCGTCACCTACGAGGTCACAGTGGAGGATCACAGCATGGGGCGGATGACCTCAACCACAAAGTCGAAGAAGCCGCTACTGGTATCTCAACGAGGGCAACAACCCCTTACGCCGGCTGCCACGAATGACGGACAAGACAGGTCCCGCCAAGATGCAGGTGCGTGCGGCAGGCATCCCAGGGCGCAGCAGGGTCTGACAACTATAGGCGCCTCGAGGGCATCCCGAACCAAGTTGAGCTCTTCTCCATCCAAGGCCGCATCCAATCGTTACCAATCCCCAAACTTCAAGATCGACTTGTCCGACTTCGATGCCGACGGTCTTGAATGCATGGATCTGACAGAAAATACAATTGGCTCTGCGGAATCGCTCGAATTCGGCGAAGACGTACGCCTCTGGGACGACGAGACAGCCACATGGTCTCCATTACCCTCTTCAAGGAGCTCGAAAAAACGAAAGAGTGACGGCATCACCCAGGAAGAATCTGGCCACGACGACAGCTTCCCAGATATATATCACGTTCTTGGAACCGACCCTCCCGCGGCAACCCCAGGGAACAGATCGTCGGCGCGTCGACCTGGGGTCACAGGCAGCATCAAACAGCGGCATGCGAGACAGCCTCCGGGCCAGCCTGGGGAGTCCGACTCCGTGACGAAGAAGCCGACCGATTCCATTCCGAGCCTTGGCCAAGTTATGTCGTCGCCTTCTAAGCGGGCGGCTGATAGACGTGAGGCGGCCGGGATGAATCAAACACCGACAAAAAGCACGCCACGGCCATCAGAAAGCAGCAAAAAGCGACGCCTTCTCCCCGAACCAAACTTTTTCTCTGAGGACGAAGGACACTTCGAAGTGAGCAGACCTCGGCCAGCCGAAAGAAGTGACTATATACCAGACTCGGAAGATGAGTTCGTCACGCCGCCCTCTCACAACATCACCGCGCGCTCATCCAGAGAATCCCACCCTAAATCCAGCCTGGAAGCAGTCCCTGTATTGTTGGAGGCATCTTCGAGACGGCTCGATACATCAACAACGCGGGCCGCCTCACCGCTTCGGGGCTCTGGGCTAGATTCCTCAATATTATCTATCGGAAATGACTCCAGGAATGGGCATGGGAGCGAACCCCGGCACGACCTGATGGCACCTCCTGACCACGGCCCATCTTCTGCGAGTCAGTCTCCCAAGCTGCTTTCTCACTTGTCTGAAAACCCTCAGGCTCTCGCGACGGGACATGCATTGATCGAGTCCCGGATACGGCAAAACGGACAAGATTTCATGCGCGCAATCAATGAGCGGTGGCCCAAAGAAAGGCGAAACGAGGTCAAGGCTGAAAAGGAGCGACTGATCAAGCAGCAAAAGGCAATACAAGATCTCAGCGACGCCATGGGTTCTTACACAGACCTCTGTGGGCAGCGAGAGGCACTGGCGAAACGGATCGCACAATCCTACGCAGATGGGCTCGACACAGAGGATGACGAGGTCCAGCTCGACGATCTTACAGAGGTGGTTGAGCAGAAAGAGGATGAATTGAATCGAATAATCACTGACGCTGGCCTGGGCGAATCCTCCTTCATTCAGCCTGCCCACGGGCCCAGTTCTGGAAGCATGGGCAGTGGGGGAGGACCTGTCGTCTTCGGCACGCAATCACCATCCGTCGACTCCCATGAAACCTCGCGGCTATCCAAAGTATCGCCGAACAATGTCCCCGTGGGCACGCAGGTCATTCACCAGACCCAAATGGCCGGGGCATCGCAATCGCGTGCCTGGAACCAACCCATTCAAGCAGCCCCGAGCATGCCGAGAAGTAGCCTGATATCTCATGAGGGTGAAGATACGACAACACGGCCGTTTCCGCGAGAGCCCCCTACGAATTCACGAGCCGCGAGTAGGCCTCAGGTGAGGCCCTCTATGATTCCTCAGTTTGAGGAATCTGCCGCAGACATCGCTGCCGCGGAGGACTTCTATTCTGAGGTTGACGAGCCGGACGTGCAACATCTACCTACACTGCAGCATCGAAAAACTCATTCGGATGCTCGCCATCATGCGCCAAAGACACACGGACACCTGGCCAGCGATAACTTCAGTGACTTTGGAGATGACGCCGAAATGCTTGCGCTTGTACGGGACTGCGAGACGCGCGAGTCCGTGGGATCGCGGCAAGTCTTTTCCGAAACATCTGGAAATGCCGGGCCCGTTGCCAGAGGGCGGACACCATCCAAGAGACAGGCCGCGCCTATTGTCCCCGATCTGAGCATCCCTCCCGAGCTCATGAAGCACTCATGGTCTCCAGAGGTTCAAAAGATGCTCAAGGACCGGTTCAGGATGAAGGGCTTCCGGCAAAACCAGCTGCAAGCCATCAACGCAACCTTGTCTGGCAACGATGCATTCGTGCTGATGCCAACAGGCGGAGGCAAGTCGTTGTGCTATCAGTTGCCTGCAGTGGTAAGAAGCGGCAAGACGAGGGGCGTAACCATTGTGGTCTCCCCACTTCTCAGCTTGATGCAGGATCAGGTCGATCACATGAAGGCACTCGGCATCCAAGCTGTGGCGTTCAATGGCGAGTGTTCTGCGGAATACAAGAGGCAGGTGATGAGCGCTTTCAATGAGCGCAGCCCAGAGCACTTCATTGAGCTGTTATACGTCACGCCAGAGATGGTGAGCAAGAACGCGGCCTTCAACAACGCAATGCAGAATTTGTATCGCCGGGGCAAGTTTGCACGGCTCGTCATTGACGAAGCTCACTGCGTGAGCCAGTGGGGACACGACTTCAGACCCGACTACAAGACTCTTGGACAGGTCCGGCTGAAGTTTCCCGACGTCCCCGTCATGGCCCTGACGGCCACGGCGACGCAGAACGTCATTGTCGACATCAAACACAACCTCGGCATGGTTGACTGCCAGGTCTTCTCGCAGAGCTTCAATCGACCGAACCTCTACTACGAGGTCAGGCCCAAGGGCACCAACGCTAGCGCAACCGAAAAGATTGCCGCCCTGATCAACAGTAAATATCCAGGCGTCACGGGCATCGTCTATACCATATCACGAAAGCAGGCCGAAAATGTCGCGTCGGCGCTCTGTGACCATGGCATTACGGCACGACACTACCACGCGGCGATTGAACCGAGCGAGAAGGTTGCGGTGCAGACAGCTTGGCAGAAGGGATCAGTCAAGGTGGTTGTGGCAACGATAGCGTTCGGCATGGGCATCGACAAGCCAGATGTCCGATTCGTGGTGCACCACGGCCTTCCCAAGAGCCTGGAGGGCTACTACCAAGAAACGGGCCGAGCCGGCAGAGATGGCAAGCCCTCCGACTGCATTCTTTTCTACGGCAAGGGGGATATAAGAGTCCTCAAGAAATTGATTGCGGATGGAGATGGAAACGCGGAGCAGATTGAGCGGCAAATGGCGATGCTCAACCGCGTCACGGCCTTTTGTGATAACAAGTCGGACTGCCGCCGCACAGAGATCCTTCGCTATTTCGGAGAAGACTTCACGCCCTCGCAATGCCACCAGTCGTGCGACAACTGCCAAGCCGGGCTCGTCTTCGAGCAGAAGGATGTTTCCGAGTACGCCATCGCGGCCATTCGCGTCGTCCAGAATCAGAGGCGCCTCACAACGAACCAGTGTGCCGACATCTTGACGGGCAAAAAGTATCCAGCCAATGAGCAGAGGAACTCAACTGATCAATATGGCATGGCACGGGACATGAAGAGACACGAGGTCATTCGTGTCATCGACCGCTTGTCTGCGGAGAAGGCCTTTCGCGAGGAGAATGTGGTCGGCAATTACGGCATGGCCATTCAATATCTCCAAATGGGGCCGACCGCGCGGCTGTTCCTCACGGGCCAGCGCAAGCTCATGCTCACCGTCGAGGTGACGGACGACAAGGGCTCCAAGTCGACCAAGTCCAAGGCAAAGAAGACATCGAAGAAGAAAGCAAAGGACCAGGAGAACGCGACGATCCAGTCCACGTATGTGTCATCCCCAGCTGAGAGGCGCAAGCGACGATCGAGAGCGCTGGAGAGCGAAGATGAAGACGAGTTCCCCGTCACCGCCCATGGGTACAGGAACGACGGCTTTGTCATATCGGACGACGACATGCATGGTGATGACGATGACGACGAGGACGACGACGAGGCGTTTGCCCCACTACCCCAACATCGACCAGCTAAGCCCCCGGCGAAGAGGGCTGCGATGCCTGCTCCGGGCAGGCAGCTCCAGGATCTTTCAGAACTCCACCAAGACCTGGTCAATGGGTTCGTGCTCGAAGCCCAAAAGGTGGAGGAGCAGATCCGCAACAAGAAGGAACTCCGGCGCCCGCTCTTTACGGAACGAGACTTTCGACAGATGGCCATCAAGTGGACGACTACGCTCGATCAGATGGCCCGCATCCCCGGCATCGACCCGGATAAGGTCCGCGAACACGGGCCTAGGCTCTTGCCGCTGCTACGGAAGCACTACGACTTTTACCAGCAGACGGTTGGCGTCGACGGAGAGTCCGACCAAGACCAGGGCGAGGACCAGGAGATTGTCGACTTGATCAGCTCCGACATCGAAATGGACGACGACATGGCCGAGGCCGAGGACTCGCACTACTTCAACCAGAGGCCGCGACCCGAGGTTCAGGCGTTTCACGACAGGCTGCAAGGGCTGAACAGCCAGCAGCAGCAGCAGCAGCAGCAGCAACAGTCGGCGAACAATTCCCGGCCAAAGTCGTCGTACAAGAGCGGAGGGAACAGGAGATTCTCGGGCAAGAAGTGGCAGAAGAAGGGCGGCGGCGTGCCGTCTAAGCGGAAGGCGAGCGGCGGCTTCGGGAGGAAGTCGGGCGGGTCGGCGGCGGCGGGGCCATCGTCGTGGGCGACGGCCAGCGGGAGCGGGAGCGGCGGCGGGAGCAAGCGGGACGGCAAGATCGTCAAGAAGTCTGGCGGCGGCATCGGGCTGATGCCAATGTGAGTGTGGCGGTACTCACGCGTGCAGTGCGCCGCCGGAGCCATCTTTTTTCTCTTTCACACGCAATCCTGGCCAAGCAGGGTCCATTGATGGAGCAAACGAGTCATGCTAGAAACGGGCCTTCTGGCATCTTATGTGCCTCTCGGGGGCGGGTCGAGACCAGTTGTGGTGAGGTCGGCATTTAGTGGCGCTCCGAGGAGACTTATATCACGATGCAGGAGTATCGGCGCAGCGTGGCCTCTTTTACAGACTTTCGGCGGCACCGCATCAGGCGCAAACATAGCATAAGACTCACGAATATATAAATGCAATACCCCATTGAAGCAGTCACACACCCTTTCGTCACGCAGCAACCAGTCACCGGCAGATCGCGTGGGACACAAGCATGAGAGCGGGCCGCGTTGACGCGTGCGTTTGATTCCAATTGATTTCAAGCAACTCGCTACCGCCGACTACCTAGCAGAAAAGAAAACATGGCCAAGAACTCGCCTCGGGGTATCTCCACACGTCGTCCCATCATGGCGCTCCTCCCGCACCTAGCATACAAAGCGCCTCGCCACGATCCCTGAGAAGCATGAGTGACAGAACGGGGGTCCATGAGAGAATGTGTCGGAAACATTGCGTGGGCGGCTGCCAACAAAAAAGAAGCAGAAGCTGTGGGGCGTGCAAGGGAAGGTCTGTCGCTGCGAGACCAGAGATGTCCAAGGACGCTGGATTCGACAAATCCCAGACTCCTTTCGCCGTGCCGGCCATCGTCGCCTGATGCGCCGCGCTGTAAAACAGGTCAAATGACGTCGTGAAGGGGAAGAAGAGAAGCGCACGGTCAGTTGTCTGACCCGCAAGTATATACATGGGACTCAAAAATCTGATATGCAACGCAGCTGCATGCCCGAAGGAAGGGCTGCGAAATCGGCGGGCCAATTAGGGTCAATGGCGCCACCTTGGTTTCGAGTCTTTCGAATCGATGGGCGTCGTCTTGCGGAAACCTGAACGACTGGCCGTGGAGCGAGCGCCACCAGCTGACTGAGGGCTGTCACGGCCCGTGCTTCCCTCCTTCTTCCCCCTGGGCATTGGGAGCAGCGAGCTTCGGCGCGATGAGGATGCCAGGGAGCTGGCTGGGCGCGGTTGGCTGTCCTCGACCGTCGACTCGGACCCCGACGGCTGCACCGACGCATGGCGTCTGGTGGGCAAGCTCGTCGTAGTGCCCTGGGTTGAGAGCCGTGGCTTGCTCACGGTTTGCTGGGAATAGGGGCCAGGAGAGGCGAGCCGTTCGCGGAACGACAGGCGCGAATGGTTGGTTCGAGAGGGCGTGTCACCGGTCGTTGGAGGTTCCGAGCCAGCCCGCCCGACACTGCTCCGGAACGTGGGCAGTCTCGAGCCGCCAGTGGAGGGCGTGACGGCGGACACAGATCGCTGCGTGCTTGGTGTCCGAGCGTATGGGCTTGGCGTCGTGAGACTCATGGGCTTGAAGTTGTGACCCGTGTCTAGGGTCCTGACGTTGGTGGATCCATTCCACGGGGGGCGATGGCCCACGGTCGACCCTGGGCGTGGCGTCGGCCCCCCGGGAACGGGAGTGACGGTAGACGAGCTAGCGATCGTGGACAGCCGCGGGGCTTTCCTCTTGGACTGATACGACGTCGGTGCAGGCAGGGACGAGTGTCGCCGCCCGGCTGGTCGAGGGACGGAGCCAGCACGAGGAGATCTCCCCTTGGCCGGCGGCTGCGGAGTGCGAGGGTCGAAACCGAGGCTGGACATGATGACCGAAGAGGGCGGCGAGCTGCCAGGCGTCTCACGGCCGCTCCCGGTCGTGGACCTATCGTTCGATAGCATGCTAGAGACCGAGTCTCGAAGATGCTGGCCGCCGCGTCTGTCGGCGTGCATCTCCTCGACGACGGCATCTGTCTCCCGCATCTGTTCCTTGAGAGACTCCCACCGGGCCTGCATGTCGCTGTGAAGGCGCAGAATCTCCCCGTTGACGGTGAGGCGCTCCTGAACGCCCTTGTCGATGATGGACAGGACCCTCTCGATCGCGGGACCGTAGTGAGTCTTTTTGGCTTCGTAGCTTTCCACCTTCTTCATCATGGCCGGGGGATTCGTCAGATGCAGGCCGGCGTCTACAGCCTCTCTAAATTTGAGCAACGAGCGCTGGACGGACTCGTGCATCTTCTGCGCCTGCCGGCCGGCGCCGCGGAAGACGATGACCCAGCGATCCTCACCCAGTTCCTTGCGGAGAGACTCGGCGTCCTTCTCCAGTTTCTTGTAGCTGGCATTCAGGCCGTCCTGCCGCATATCGAGTTCGTCGCAAGCAGTCGGGAACGATCTTTCGGCCCTCGCTTGGAATACGGATAGTCGCATGGGTAGGAAGTCGAGTGATGCTCTCAGCGGTTGCATCCTCGCGAAAAGGGCCAGGAGGCTGGAGTCGTCTTGAGACAAGGTCGGCGTGTCGGGTGAGCCGGGGCTCATCGGAGGGAGGCTGAGTCGGCCAGGGGCTTGCAGTCGCGGGCCCGGCGCGGGCGTGTCCTCGACGATGGTCTCGAGATCGCCAATGTCGACGTTGTCTCCGCTGGCGGCTGCCACGATGCTTTTGTGGCGGCGCTCCTCCATCTCGAACACCAGCCGGCTGAGCTCGTCCATCTCGCCCTGAATGTCGCCCAAGACGTTGTCCCACAGTTCCTCCCACTCCATGGCAATTTCCACTTGCCCGCGAACGCTGTGGAGAGTGGCCCGAATCTTCGCCCATTCATCGATAATGGACTCCATCTGGCTCACGGCGCGCTTCAGGTCTTCGGAGGGAACGTTGGAGATGTCATCACGGCCTTGGAGCTCCTCGATGGCGCTGACGTATGCATTGATGAGCTCCTCGAATCGGGAGATCGCGGCCTCGACCTCCTCCAGGCCTTCACGGCCACCAGCAGCCGCCCACTCAACGTCATCTTCGCTGTCGAGACCGCCGATGACCTCTTGCGCCTTGAAGATCCAGCTTCTAATCTGATCGGCGGCGTTGATGAGTGCCTTGGAGGCGAATTGGGCAGTCGGTATGGCGGACACTTTACTAGACAACGTCTCCGCGTCGGGAAGCTGCAGGGACGTCAACTGGGCAAGTTGGTTGGCGAATGAGGCGCGAGACAGGGTGTAAATGGACCCCGGCCGGGTGTGGCCTGGTGTAAAATAGGAGCTAAGTCCAGGGGTATACTCGCTGGGAGAGGCGACCGCTGGCGGCGTGACAGCGGACGGCGGTGTATCTTTTGGCGGTGGCGGCGGTGGCGGCTGGTGTGTGTCTCGGGGAGATGGAGGGTGGGCGATCCGCTCGAGGTGCTCACGCCGAGTGTCGAGCGTCACCTTTGTGCCATTACCGTTGGTGTGGTCCGGCAGACGGTACTTTTGTGTGTCCATGGCCAGAGGCTCTGGAGTCTGGATCTCGGGCAGCTGAGGGGACTCGGCGGCGACGGTAGGGGGTCCCGAAGAATCGAGCGAGGTCGTTGAGGCGTTTGCGGCGCCAACGCCTTTCCAGGGCCGGCCGCGCCTGGCGATGACGGAGGCGATGGAAGCCGCTTGGTGCTTCTGGTCAAGCTGCCGTAATTGCTGTTCGTCAAGGCGCCCAACGCTGTCAAAGTGCGGCGCAGGAGGGGGCTTTTTGGCGGCGCCAAAGCCCAATGCCTTGAGCCTGGCGGCCAGGCCAGGTGATGTCTTGCGGACGGCCGAAGGTGGACGCTGATGGTCGTGGAGCTGCTGGGGCTGGGACGACGGGCGGGCAATGGCGGGGTGCCCTCTATTGTGGTTGAAGGCGGTCGCGTTGGCCGTCGTGGCCTTGTCCGCGGATGGGGTCGCGCAGAAGACGGAGCCAGTCGCGCCGGCTGTCAAGCTGCCCCGACTTGTGCTCCTCGAGGTATTATTTGTTGTCGTACGGCTGAGCGCAGGCGTGTCGAAGGGGACGGGGGTCGAGTCGCGGTCCAAGGGATCGTGGTGGAAGGGCCCGTAAAGGTCCGGGTTCTGATGAGGCGGGGACGCTGCGGTCGGCTCGGGAGCGATGAAGGTGTCTTGGTCGTGGACGAGGATGTGAGCTCCCTGGCACGCGGTGAGCGCGGGAGCTGTTGCTGTTGCTGCTGCTGCGGTTGCGTTGGTGGCGCCACGTGGTGGAACTGCTAGGAGGCAGGCAACCTCACTGGCTAGGTCGGCAGATTTCAGGGCCTGGTTGCCGGCATCTCGGGGTAGCTGGCTGGTGCCTTGGACCGCGTCGTCGTCGAGGTGGAGGCGGCGGTCGTCTGGTTTGTGCGCGGAAAGACCCACGACGGACACGGCTGCGGTGGTGCCGTCGTCGTCGGTGCTCGCGGTGTCGGTGCTCGCGGGAGCCAGGTCCAGAGCAGGCGACCGCTCGGTGCGGGCGTTCATAGTCGGTGTCGGGCCTCCAACGCGTCGACAATCGGGTCTGGTAGGTGTGTGCTGGACGCGGCTTTGGGGGGCGGGCGGCGGCTGACAGCGACGGCTGGGGGTGGCTGATGGAGCCGGCCGGGCTGGCGACGAGCCGCGGGCGACGAGAACCTGGGAAGCTTTGGTGCCTTGGTGCCCTTGAACCCTGTGGGAGGGCAAGCGGGGCGGGGGCTGGGCCACTGGTGCCGGTGGTGAGGTGGGTTTTTCTTTGGCGCTGGCGCCGTCGGGTTCCTGACTTGGCCCGCTGAGTGGCGCGCGCGGCGGGTCCTCCAAGGGGGCGGGGGCGCTGGGCAGGCGTCGCTTTTGCTGTAGGTGGTAGGTAGGTACTGTAGGTAGCTAGGGCGGTTGCTGTAGCTCTCGCGCCCGCTGTTGCAGTGCAGCACCCGCGCGTCGGATCGTCTCGCTCCCTGCCAGAGAGGTGGCCGTCGGGTCCCTTGCACTTTCCAGGAGGGCTCTGGTCGATGTTATACTCGTAATAAAGGGTAATAGAACATGTGGAGAGGCCAGGCAAGGGGTATTCGTTATCGGGTCCCAATGGATGGATGGCGCTGCGGGCTGCCCCTGATGCCCTCGCTCATGGAGCTGCCTGCGCCGCGGGAGGTGCTGGCCGGATAGCCGTCCTCCTCGACTGCCTTTCGCTTCGATTGGAGCCTGATGGGCGAGCCGAGGCCGTGACGACACAGGCGAGACAGGCGCCGAAACGCGGGACGGATCCCCTGTTGGCTGGTGATTTTAAAGTGATGAGCTGACCTCGAGCAAGGGTGCTGCGCAGGGTGGGGTTGATGGGCGTGACGAGTGAAGTGTGAGTGACGACGAGTCGGGTTCGCTGCTGCGGTATCCGTACGGAAACAGTTGAGCGACCAGTTCGAGCAAGGTCCGCGAGGGATGCGGTCTCGAGCGGGCAGTCGGGCCTGGAAACGAGGTGCCGATGAATGAATGAGTGAATCTTGGGTCGCAACGGCAGGCGCAGTGCTGCCGGGCGCTGCAAGAAGCCGCTGTCGGTGCCGGTGCCGGGGGGACCCTACCTGGGGAGGTACACTGAGGTGCAGGGCGGGAGAGGTCCAGCGGCAGGACGCGGCAGCCTGACCAGTCCGGTGGTGCAGCGGAGACCTGGTCCAGCCGGCCAGCCAGCCCAGGGAACCAGAAGGTGAAAGAAGACGCGGGCGGGCGACGATGGATGCCTGATGAGGATGCGCCGCAGCGAATCGGCCAAGAACGCAAACGAAAACGCGGCAACACAAACAGCCAAGAAAGAAGGAATGAAGAGGAAGGGGTGGGAAAAAGAGAGAAAGGGAACCGGCACAACGGAAACGGGGGACGGGGTCCAAGGTTATTAGATGAGGCGAGGCGCTCCAGGGCGTCGTTTGGGCGCAAGGCTAATCACGACGCCTCGCTGCTGGCTGCCGGCTGGTGCAGCAGCTCCACGTCGCTTCTCAGAGCCGGGACCTGCCTCAAGCAAGGGGAAGGAAGAAGCTCTCGTTGGAGGCTTGGAGCATTGCTCCGTCGTCGCGAACTACTTCGCGCGTGTGGCAGACTGATGGCTCCGGCCCCTGTGCGCGCCCAACGGCCCGTGACTTGTCTTTGAAACGCCATCCACCGAGCCCATATCGTTTGCTTTGCTTCGCTTCCCTCGCCTCTCACCCGCTGTTGCTATGCTACCGTGCAAAGCACTTTTCGGTGCTCCAGAATGGCCCCCTGGGCTGAGACCATCCCGCTTCGCTCCGTCTCGCGCAAGAAGCACGTTGCGAGACAACACCACCACCAGCCAACGCTATTGGCGCCGCGGTCCTGTCGTCCTCGCGTCAGGCGAGTCGCGTCCGGCAGATTCTGTGCATCATACTTACGTCTCGCATTAGCCCGTCGCGTCACCAACTACGTACGTGTTGAGCGTAGGTCGCCTGTCTGGCCTGATCGGGTCGACACCATTCGCTGCTTTGCAACGGGGTAAGAAAGGGCTCCCCCCAGCGAATCCGTCGCCGTTCGTAGCAGGCGCAGTATTTGGGCGAATCTGCACACCCAGCCTCGGGGACGCTCGCGCTCGATCCTGGGCCGCCCTGAGATCGCCCACCATTCCCCCTCGGGGTCCTGACAGGGGGCCAAGGAGTCTGTAATTCGTCGTTCCTGGTCTGCTCCTTCGCACCCAGTGGTACCCTGCGCGGGACGGGGATTTTTTCTGGAAGCTCGATTTTGGCGTGCAATTAGAGCGAAACAGCAGCCCCCTTGCTGAGTACCCTGACAAGCGCGGCCTGGCTTGGGAAAGCCGCCGCTTCCCCGTCCGGCTCCTGACCTGGGGGCAGCCGATGTTTCTTCTTGGGCATCAAGTGAAGGCCTGCACGCACCTCGGGACGCCATCATGTTGCGCGAAATTGCGATTCTGCCCAGTACCTTTTGTCATCCGCGGCGGTGTCTCAGTGCTCGCCACCAGCACGTCCCGGTTGGCTGCAGGTCCTCGACCCTGGTCGGAGCAGTGGGTAAGGTTGGGTGGTCCGTCTTGATGTCGACCACGGCCTCGCTGGACTGTGCATGACGCCTTGGTGCATGCTCGTGAACGTCGTCCTGACCCGAGGCCATCTGCCTGCAGCTACCGTCGTTGGGCAGCACACTGGTATTATCATCACCACTTGCGCCAGTCGATCGATCGGGACGTCTCTTCACTCTGGACCACGCGCTTCGTTCCTTGATCTGCCAGATGCCCGCATGTCTGTAGCGGCGTCAGAGGGGTCAACCATTCATCCGTACCAGCACCACAGACGTGCAGACTTACACGGACACGGACCCCTCGAGATCAGAGCCACCGTTGAGCATATTCCCCCAACCTCGATGTGGCTCCCATGTGACCGCGGAGCGAGCTGTTTATAAAATGTCTTTGAAGCGCCACGGCCCCGTCGTGGCAACCAACGTGGCCCATGATGCGTGGTTGAGGTCTCGAGACACATTCCAGCCGGCACTCCAGATGCAGAGCGGTGGGGGAGGAGATGAGATGAGTGCCGCGGAGCGCGGCGCTGCCTGGCCCCATGGCGTTGCCCTGGGATATGACACCAACACCGACGACCGACGTATTGCGATCCCACTCACTTTATGCTGCCGGGCGAGGGTCCGCTGACGCGATTGCTTTGTTGTCGGGGAATCCAGGGCGGAGGAGTGGCTCCCGCGAGAATTGACATTATGCTTGGTCTCATCCATCAGCTGGGGTATAAAGGCGAAACGGGCACCGCGGCAACCCGCGTCGGCTGCTCCTGCCTGCTGCTGTCGGCTCCTGCTACGCGTATTATTGCTCGCTCCTGTTTCGACGCCGCCCAAGGCAAGAGCGCATCGCCAGTGGCAACCTGACCTTGGAAGTAAGCACCTTCCAGGCAAGGTCCAAAGGTACTTGGTACGGGGCACCAAGTCAGGAGTCGGGACGGAGTCTGTTCTATGGACCGCCCGGTCGTGCCTGCCGCATCTACTCTCCGCGCGCCTGCTCCTTTTGGCGTGGAGGAGGCGATCCACGCCCGACCGTTCCTGCCTCCTCGATCCCGTCGCCGGTGTAAACCGCCATCGCCAGCGGGCGCATCAACGGCTGCTTCACTCACTCAATCGCCACAACACCGTTCGCGTCACGTCGTATCTCGACTCATCTCATTTCAGCCCAGCATCCGCCATCATTCATCATCGCTGCTTGCCACTGTCCTCGAACGCGCCCTGATTATCTGCCTACGAGCCCGCGCGTTCGCCACTTGATCTCTGCTGCACACCGAGCATCTAAGACGCCTCTTCGTACCGCGCGCGCGACACTCCAAGCACCACCAGGCCGGTTGCCCCATCACCAACCGCTCCGACTTCCAGATCCCAGGTGGCCGTTTCACGCTGTCAAATTGCCCCCACCTCCACCTTCGGCCGGCCCGCGCGACGGCCGCAATTTCGAATCCTCGCGGCGGCGCCCACCAACCAAACGCTGCAGTGCTAAAGGAACCCCCTGCTTCCCCCATACGGACAAGGTAACGCAGTCAGTCACCTGCAAGATTCCACCACTTGGTCCGAACGTCTTGGAACCCGTCCTGCCTCGGATCATCTGTCACTTTCAAACCGCACATCTTCGTCACCCAGCGACGGCGCACCGCCCGCCAGGCCCATCATTTCTCGCCTCCGCATTCCGCGACCACGGCGATCCTTCAGTCCCGCTGCGGGTAAAACACGTCGGTCACCGTTCTCGATACCAGTCACAACCTCTCTGCGGCTCCTTCCTCGGCTGCGTCGAAACCCCTCTCTTTACACACGCTCGTTATATCCAGCCAGCATCTCCGACCCAAGACCTCGTCTTCGAGCACCGCTGGTCCGTCAACTGCCACGTCGAGAGTATAAGCAGCCACCCGTCCGCGCGAGACGTCCACCCCGAACCATCGCATACGAACGGCCGTTCTGGCCTTGCACACTCGGACCCGGAGCCCCTCGCAATGGCAACCACCGCAAACGAGCAGCAACTGTGCCGGCCGTCGTCGCCCGAGACCTCGCCGACGCTCGCCATTGGTGCCTGTCCCGATCTTTCGCGCTGCGTCTCAACCGCCTCTTCCGCATCTCACGGGTCTCAAACAGATGTCGGCTCTCGAGACTCCCTCGGCAGCGAGCTGACTTCGCGACACTCCTCTGCCTCGTTCCACTCGCGACACTCAGATGTGTCCAACCTCTCCGCACAGACCGCAAACAGCGGTGACCGCAGGCCGCGTCGCCGAGGCTACGTGCGCCCGCAGGCGACATACTTTGCAGCGAGCGCTAGGTCACGAGAGAGCGTAATGAACCTCGGCAGCATCGCGCACCTGCAGTATTATTTCGCTAGAACCGGCCTCTTGGACGGCAAAGGTGGGCAACTTGCGCGCAAGAAGCAGAACCAGCGAGCGACCTTGGACATGTCCGCCCTGGAGGGATTGAGTGGTGCCACCCCCGCCGTTGTGGCGACCGATGCGGACTTGTCCTATTCATCCATGGGTGGCAGCCCGGATCTTGGCGGGGGCGACAGGGAACTTGCCGGCCACTCTGAGTCTCCGCTCGAGGAGATGGATGACGAGTATTTCGAGGATAGCTTCGCCGAATCGGACCCTGGCATGCTCCCGCCAACCGTCAGCACATACCACCACAGGTCTCCGCACGTCCCCAAACCGCCCACGATAGTGGAACTGAAGGCGGATCTGGAAAGCAGCCTGCAGGATGCCGCCAAGTCACTCAAGGAGGTAGACGACCGCAAGGCTGGCGTGTTCAAGGAGGAGCCCCATCCGTCCGAGTACCCCAACATGCCCACGGCGAACACGCAGGGCTGGTATGAACTGCAGGGCATGCACATTCTCGACGTCGTCACCCTCGCCATTCGGGCCGCCAAGATGTACTACACGGCGCACGAGCTGCCTGACCGGCTCGATTCCATCAAGCCGGAGAAGCAGGTCCGCGCAGATCTGCTTGCCGTGATGGAAACGCTGAAGCAAATGGCAACGCGCAACTTCAAGGGTGGCATGAAGGACGACGAGATCAAGATCATGCAGGGCTGGATCGAGAGCGTCTTTGACATCCTGAGAAAGGAGGAGGAAATTGAGGCGGCGGAGAAGGCAGAGCAAGCCGGATGGGCTTGGCTGAGCGGAGACTGGTCAGGACGGGACCTGGAGAGGGAGAGGGCGTTTCTCATGTCCATGGACACGGAGTCGCCTCCGCTCCCTGAGTGGACGCCCGTCGCCGAGGCAGCTCAAGCACCGACGCCGTTCCTCAAGGAGATGCAAAACGGACTCCGCCTGATCAGGCTGCACAACGCTGCGGTCAAGAAGTCTAGGAGGCGATTTGGCGCGATTCCGACGTTTCACATGGACACGCAAAAGCCCTATCGGTGCGCCGACAACCTGCGGTACTGGGTCAAGGCCGCAGAGCTGCGCTTCGAGGTGATGCTCAAGGTGGACGCCCTCGGGGTAGCGCAGAACAGCGGGCCTCAGGTGTGGCAGGAGTTTGAAGCTGCCATACTCAAGTGGTGCCGCCATGTGCGGGAGGAGGTGACGAGCGAGCTGGTCAAGTGAGCGGCGCGCGGGCAGGCGTGCTCGAGCGCGCTGCGAGGGACGGTAGGCGCCGAAGGAGAAGACGCGGTCATGACTAATGTCGACATGTTGGGAGTTTGTTCCGGTTGGGGTCAAGATGCCTTTGCTCTTTGGAGGCGCACGGCCAGTAGAGGATCGGCCTCATGGTCGTCGCATTTTCCTGCAGCCCCTTTCTTTTGTATTATTCCTGGGCATGGCACACGTCCGGTTATTTGGCTTGGCCAAGCGCGATGGACGCAACCGATGAGACATACTTGATCTAACATTCTAGCATATACCCATAGCATAGGTTTAGGCGGCGCAGTTGTGTTGGCTTGTTCTGTACACACGCGAGCCTGTGACGCCACAGCGTGTCATAATGTTTTGAACACGGCGTGTTCTGGCTTCGATGTGTTATTAAGGGGGCAGGACAGGAGCCGGGGCGCAAGGCATACAAGGCGCCGGCACATTCAGTAATGTCACGATGGGCAAGAGGGCTCAGCATATTCCACCACATTATTGTATTCCGTATTCTAACTAAAGTATCCTTTGTGTGTGTTTTGGTGCAAGTCCAGGCGAGAACGAGTGGGCAACAAAGCATGTGCCAAAACAGGGGGCAACGCGGGCAAGTATCTAGGTGTCTGTCTTTCTTGGTGCAATATATCGTGGTATCATTCCGTCAAAGTGTTCAAAAGTAACAGAGCAAGCAGAGCATGCAAGTCGGGACGGGGTTTTTCCCTTTTCCCTTCACTCAATGTCGACCTTGCGAATCTCGGTCCACTCCTTCTCGATCTTGGGCACGACGACGACGAGCACGCCGTCCTCCATGCGGGCCGTGATGTTGTCCGCGTCGACGACCGCCTCCTCGCGGTGCGCGTTGTTGGAGTCGCCGGCGGCGGCGGCGGGGGGCAGGGCGACGCTGCGCTCAAAGAGGCCGACGCGGCGCTCGGCCGAGGCGAGCGTCTCGAGGAAGAACTCGTCGCCGGGGCGGTGCACGACGCCCGCGATGTCGAGGGTCCCGCGGTCGGGGTTCCAGGTCACGCCGAGGTCCTCCTTGCGCGCGCCGGGGAGGGCCACGTGCACGACGTAGGCGACGGTGGTGTTGAAGACGTCGACGGGGGGTGAGAAGGAGGAGGAGGACGACTCGTCGCCGTTGTTGTTCATGTTGTTGCTATCCGCGCCGGCGCCGGTGTAATAGCGCTGGGCCTGCTCGCGCACGTTCTGGAAAAACGGGTGGCCCATGACGCCGCGCATCATGCCTTGGAAGTCAAACGGCGCGCTGCCGCCGACGCCGCCCCAGGCGCCGTGGTGACGCCCGCCGCCGCGGCGGCATCCCCAGGGGTGGTCACGGCCCCAGGCTCCGCGTCCGAAGCCGCCGCCGCGACGGCAGCGTCCGTGGCCGCGGCGGCCGTGGGACGGTCCGCCCGGCCCGCCGTAGGGAGGCGGCGAGGCCTCGTCCTCGTCGGGGGTGACCTCGGCTGGGTCGGGGAAGTCTTGGTCCATGGTGTCGGGGGAGCCGGTGGCTTTCTCGTCGGGAGCGGCGCGCTCGGCGGTGGCGGTGGTAGCATCAACGTCGATAGGGGCGGCAGCGGCATCGTCCTGCTGCTGGGCATCTCCTTCGGTGTTGCCCTCGTGCCGGCGTCCACGGCCGGGGTGTCCACGACCGCGGCCGTGGTGGCGATGATTATGACGTCCTCCGCGCCGGCCCCAGGGCCACTGGCCCTCGTCGTCATGCGACCAGGGACCCCATTCAAAGTCCCAGTCGCTGTCCCAGCCAGAGCCGGGAGGAGGAGGAGGAGGGGGGTGGTGAGGGTGGGGAGGCCCGTGGTGGCCGGGCGGTGGCGGAGGCGGAGGAGGATGGGGGCCGTGACCGCCGTGGTGATGGCCACGGGGACCGGTGCCCCAAGGGAAGCCGAAGCCGGCCATGAAGGGCGGGAAGGGGGGCGGGTTGCCGTCGTGGTGGTCGACGCCTTGGCCAGGGGCGGCGGCCGCGGCGCGGTTCGGGTCGAAGGACTGGATGAAGTCCCAGAAGGGCACGTTGGCCCGGTTCTGGTCTTGGGAGGCCATGTTGGGAGGAGTTGCTTAGAAGTGTATATATAAGGCTGAGTACTCTGGGGTTATCAAGACATGCAAGATGATGCTGATGATGATAAGATGGGGAAGAGGCAGAGTGGGATGGTCCAGGTAGGTGTGCGAGAGGAGAGGAAAGTCAGTCGTCTTTTATATATCTGCGTGATTCGCAATGCCGTGCGTGGGCGCACCACCTCATCCTGTGCTACGGTCCCCATCTATTACACCACTCGACCTGTCTTGCGGCAGCAGGCAATATCAGGGACGCGCAAGTCGTTGCACCACCACCATTACCGCCAGGCAGGCAAGGCAAGGCGACGCCCCCGTCCCCAACAAGGCAATCTTGGGAAACAAACGAGCAGGGCTGGCGCAAGCCCCGGTCGAGGACTAGAGTCTGGCCTCGCACACCCACTCACTTACAGACTGCCGTGCGTAGTACCTACGTACGTAGGTAGTCTCATGGAAGCATCGAGAGGCGGACGCCCCCCCGTCCCTGCTTCACCACCCACCGGAGAGTTAACTACGGCGAAAAGTATACACACCTAGGAATGGTATGACTCCGGGGGACAGCGGGTACGGCGACGCGGCGTTCGACGGCGCCGGCGCCAGGCCAGGCAAGCTCGCTCGCCACGCGGCCCTCGGGCGACAATTCGCCCCCTTCCTCCCCCCAATTCCCCGCCCAGCTCGCCTGCCCTGCAACCTTGGACCGATTGATTGATGAGTGCTCTGGGGGTTTGACGGACAATGGGCAACGGTCGGGGTCGGCTGCTCGGAGATCTGTCCGTGGCCGAATGCCGCGCGGGAGTGAGACAGAGAGTGTGTGATGGTACGCGCACGCACAGGTTCGGTCGACTCGGCTGCGAGGTTGTATCCGAGTCGCCCATCTAGGGAGGCAGCAAAGAGGGTGACGATGGCCGACGACGACATTAGCATTCTGACTCACCTGGGTTCTCACTCGACTACCTACTTTCAACCGCAAGTATTCGCGGCACCGCATTCTCTGTGCACCAAAAGCGTTGACGAATTGGTAGGGCTGACTGACTGACACTCGACGTTGTACGCACGCGCATCTTTCCATGTGTCAATCAGTTAATCGTTGGAGTCGAGTTGGGGGTGACGGCAGGTGGTGCCACTGTGCCACGCACGCGCCTGGGGAATGGGGCATGTTAGACGACGGGACAGACCTACAGCCCTGTAGGCACGACAGCTGCTGACGCCACCCTCTGGGGGGGCCGCGTGGCTGCGGTGACCTGTCCAGCCATTGACTCGCCGCCCCCTTTCCCCAACGACATCTCGGACATCAACTCGACGAGCGCAAGCTGTCTGTCGCTCAATGATGGTGGCGAATTACAGACGGTTTGTCCATCCGTCGGTTGCTCCTACTGGCATGTGAATGTTCTCAAGCCCAGGCACAACAAGCTCAATGAGGACGACAATCACCAACTGTACAGTTTGCTTCGTATACTTGTTAGCTCGAATCTATGAGCCTACCTACTCAGGTCTGACTACCTTCCTTACAGTGTCTCCGTCTTTGTCCACAGCTCCCTTGTGTGAAGCCGCTGGGCGAACGCCCTCGCCCCTGGCAGCTGGCCGTCCCCGAGTAAAGATTCACGTGCGCTCCTCCTTCTCCCCCTAAGCATCTCATGACGCTTTCGGGACGGTGCCGTTGCCGGAGAGACACAGAAGACAGAGGTTGCTCCCCTACTCCTTCAGCTGGCTCAGAATCACGTCGGCCGCCTTCTCGCCCACCATAAACGTCGACACGACGGTAAACGTGCCCGGGATGCGCGGGTACACGCTCGCGTCCACGACGCGCAACCCCTTGACGCCGTACACGCGGAAGCTCGAGTCCAGCACCGCCATGGGGTCGTCGGCCCGGCCGATCGGGCACGTCGAGCTGGCGTGGTGGCCCCACGCCGTGTCGCGGACGAAGGCGTCGATCTGCTCGTCCGACGTCACGTCGGCGCCCGGCAGCACCTCGCTCACCGGCACCGGCTGGCTCGCAAACGCCCGGCGCGCGAGCCGGATCCCGTCGCGGATCGCCGCCAGGTCGCTCGCGTAGTCGCCCACGCCCGTGTCGAAGTAGTTGTACACAATATCGGGCACGTCGAGCGGGTCCGCCGACCGCAGCGTCACCGAGCCTGCGTTGTTCCTAGGGTGGCCCTTGAGGACCGCCCACGTGAACATGTTGGCCCGCGCCGTGAGGTTCACGCTGAAGTGCGGGAAGTAGCCGTGGAAGTTGGCCGGGCTGCCAAACAAAAACGTGTCAAACGTGTCGTTGGCAGACGCCGCCGCCGACTTGCGCAGGACGGAAAAGGCAGGCCCGCTCGTCGCATAATAGCCGCGGTCGCCGCGGACAGGGTTCTCCCAGCGCTCCAGGCAGGGATCCTTGGACGGGTCATCGTTGACGGTGCAACCGCGCAGGGCCGAAAAGTCCTCGGGGACGGAGCCCGTCACCGAGATCTCGTAGTGGTCCTGGAGGTTGGTGCCCACGCCGGGGAGATCCTTGACGACCTTGATGCCGAACCGGGACAGCTCCTCCTTCGGGCCGATGCCGCTAAGCTTAAGCATCTGCGGCGAGTTGTAGGTGCCGCCGGCCAGGATCACCTCGTGACGGGCCGACGCGGAGCCCTTCTTGCCCTTGGCTCCGTCCCGGGACCGCGGGCTGGCTCTGTAGAGGTACTTGCCATCGAGGAACTCGACACCCGTAGCCCGGGGTTCCTTGCCGCCCTTCTTGTCGAACAGCACCTTGGTGACGTGCGCGTTCATGCGAACATCGAGGGGATACTTCTTGCTACCGTCGGCGTTCTTCGCATCACGCACGGCCACGATAAAGTCCCTGGGCCCGATCCTGGTGCCGCCGTCGGCCGAGAAGGGAGTCTGGAAATAGCCACCGTCTCGGTCCCGCTCCGCCGTATCGGCGTTGGCATCCCCGCCGAGCGCAGTCTCCAGGTTGGTAAAGGTGCTGTTGGTGCCGTTGCTGACGGCAAAGGCTCCGCCGAGGTACAAGTCAAGCATCTGCTTGTCCCGGAAGGGGATGCTCAGGGGCGCGTTTTCAATCGACAGCCAGCCGTCGAAGCCGTGGCCCTTTGCCGTCTCCCGGTCCAGGTACAGGTTCTTCTCCATGCGCGCAAAGTACTTGCGCATGTTGTCCGGCGCCCAGGACGCGTCGCCCGTGAGGTTGGCGATGTGTTCAAAGTCGGAGCGGAAGGGGTACACGATGAAGAGGGCGTCGTGAACGGTACAGCCGCCGAGGGTTCCCGTCCGCGGGTACAGCGTACCGAGCAACTTGGAGCCGGCAGGCGGGCTCAGCCCCGTGTAGATGGACCCGTCAGGGGTCCGGTACGATGTCTTGAAGTCGCGCGCCTGGCGCTCGTCGTCGGCGTAGTGGCGCACGAAAAAGTCCCACGCAATGGCACCGTCCTCGGACGCGCGCGCCGCATAGGCTGGGACCGTGTAGTTGGTGCTCTTGCCCTGGTCGTCGCCTGCCTCGAGGAGGAGCGTTTTGTGGCCCGCGAGGGCGAGACGAGCGGCGAGGGGCCCGCCTCCGGCGCCCGACCCCACGACGATGAAGTCATAGCCCGTGAGTTGGACGGCGGAGGATACGGAGGCGAGGAGGAGCAGGGGGGACAGATTCAACCGCATCTTGGCTGGATTGACTGAAAGGCTGTGCTGGGTGCGGTAGACGGCTTCGTCGACGCAACTTGCAGTGCTCAAACCCAAGGCAGGTCAGCGGCCGAGATACTTATACGCCTTGGGCCTCGGCGGCTTTTGCCTTGCCAACAAGGAAAGCGAACCTCAACATGCGGGGCCTAGCTTCTCGCTCCCTGCATCATGGCCTCTGATCCTCCGAACCCCCGATCTCCGAATTCGTGGCTGCTTCATGTGCTGGTCCAGATCATCGTTTGCCAAGGTAACCAGCCTCACCAGGAAGGTTGGAACCCTCATGTCCCACATGGGTGACGGTGGCCATGTCAGTTGGCGAGTGGAAACTGCTTTGCCCATGCCAGGGTTCTGTCGGGTTTGGGTCGAGGCGCCTCGACGCAGCTGAACTACCAACTGCCGGACAGGGTATAACGGAGCAGCATGGTGATACCGAACCAACTACCAGTGCCTCCCGGCCCACGCTGAAGTGTGTCGCTGGCCGCCATTGGCAGTTCAACGTCGGAGAGGTTACCCGTATAGGAACGATGACGCCGTGGTTGACTGCCAGGTATTTACAAACAGTATTTACAAACAGCCTCCTTGCCCCCGCCCCGGAGACAACATGCATAGACTCGGCTGTCGCAGCACTAGGTTGCCAAGAGGCAGCTCGTCTTGTTTCTCTCAAGCAAGTTGAGAAGGAGGGGGCGAGGCTCGGCGGGAGCGAACGGGTGCGGGCCGCGCAACGTGGGATTCGCACACGGACACACGGGCAATGGCCGTGCGCGGCTCCGTCGGTCCTTGATTGAGAGTGAGTTGTGATGGCTCTGCCGGTTGTCGTCGGTCGCCTCACGCAGCCGGGCCACCAGGTAGACCAGGGCCTTCATCCCATAGCATTGCCGAATCGGGGTCGTCTTGTCCTGTCTCATGCGTTAGCCTGCCGTTGACACCATGACAAAACGCTTACCAACGCGGGCCGTCGCAACGACCCTGATGATCCTGGCTCGCGACTTTAATCTAAATACAGTTTACGCCATTGTGGGGGATTTCCAGAAGCTGTCCCCGACGACGTTCCAGCATCCGCACCGGTCGTTCCCGCTAGTGGAAGCGCATCCACGTCTCTCTGGTTTAACAACCCAGTTCCTGACGTTGATGGTGGCCCGCCCTGAGGAGGGCCCTCTTGGCGTTCAGCACTTTGCGTACTGAATGCCCGGATTCTTGCTTGTCTGCTCGCCTGCTTTCTTGTATGCTCGGTCTACTCGACGCCATTTCCGGTGTCTCGTTTGACTTTACCATGACTTGGCTCGGGGTCTTGGCGAGGGCTTTACCGATTCCCTGGTAATGCCAACATCGCCAAGCGAAATCTCACAAAGTTGGCTGTTCCACGGATCTCGCCCCAGTATTCCAACAATGTATCCTCGCTCATTCAGTCCCTGTCCGGTAAAAGTCGAAGCGCACGGATACAGAGGGGAAACGGAGTCGGCTTTCGGGGCACTGAAGCTCGTGTCTTGCATGCGGACTATATGTCTTAGCCCTCTTCCTGTGCGGGAATATTGACCTTTGACAGCGCATCAAGCGCCAGCTACGGCATGTCCCGTCTCGCTGGGGAGCATCACGCGCTCTCTGCCGGTTTCCCGTGTAGCTAGGACATGTCCGCGGGCTATGGCGCAAAGCGGCCGCAAAATCGACATGGTAGACGGGAGCTCGTTCGGGAATGTCCCAAGTGCGTTCACTGTCCTAGCAACCACCGCAGGCCCTCCTCCGAGTCTCGGCCGTGCTTCTTCGTTGCCGTCAGCTGCGGGAAGAACCCCCAGAACGCGTGGGGCAATCCCGGGTATATGTCCATTCTTGTCTCGACGCCCGCGTCCTTGAATGCCTGCTCCATGACAAGCCCGCAATCTCGGACTGGATCGAGCCCACAGACCTGGAAGTAGGTCCTAGGCACGCCCGTATGGTCAAAGACGATGGGAAAGGCCAGGGGGCTCATCAGATCGACCTCGTACAGCTCTACCAAGATCCCGTGTTAGTACATGCAGGCCAAGCCGTGTAACCACGTTCGCGTGGCCGGTTGCCTTACTTCGGAAGAAATCAATAGACTCGGACCACAACATTGGCGCCTGCGAGTTTTGCACGATGCTGACGAATCGATCCGCATACTTGGCCGGCACCGTCTCATTGCTCACACCCCCGGGCATCGGCGCATAGATGCCAGTGAGTGGCGGCGTCATTGCCGAGTCGCGGCACATGTGAGCCACAACCAGGGCCATGTCGGCGCCTGAGCTCTCTCCCGCTACTATGAAGCCCTCTTGCGGGTTGATGCCCAGTTTCTCTGCGTTTTGCGAAACCTAACCTGATGTTAGCGCAAACCCTTGCCCATCGCGCAGGTACTGACCCAGACTGTGGCATCAAAAGCGTCATGAATGGCTGCGGGAAACACATGTTCCGGGGCGTGCCTGTAGTCCACATTTACAGCGATTCCGCCGAGCGTGGTAAACAAGGCACAGAGCCACGCTTCCGTTTCAAAGTCGCCTACTAGGTAGCCGCCACCATGGAAGACGACCATACCCGGACAGCCATCGGGGATCGCCTTGCGGGGTCGATACGCCCTGGCTGCCGTGTTGCGGCCATGTCGCACAGGAATTTCAATGTCTTCCTCGACATGCGGGAGCGAAGCTGGATCAGGCCTCCCCTGCTCCCGTCGCATCTGCTCAATGGCCCGTCTAATGGCGAAAATGTCGGTCTCATGTGTCCATCCGGCCAGTAAGGGACTACCTGATTCTAGTATCTAAGTTCACGCTGTCAGCAAGGGCTTGGAACCTTCAGTTGCAGTCGCGGTGGAGAGAGAGGATGCCTAACTGGCTTGAACTCCGGGTCGACCTCTGAGAGTGCCTGAAGCTCGTCAAGTGCTAACATTGCCGAAGCCTGTGCTGTCAAGGGCAGCCGCAGTAGCAGTAGAGGCTTGTGCTGTCGACCTCTTGTTGGCGCCAAGCAGGCGTGTCCTACAACAATTTATACCCAGAAGAAATACGGCGAGGACCGAAACGTTTTGGCAGCAGACGCAAAAGTGTCAAATTGTGATTTGCAGTCCGCAGCGGTTTGGCAGCCCGTTTCGGCGTGATCTATTCCAGACATAGGATGGTACCTCGTCGCGGACCTGTCGTCATGAGGTGAGACACCAAAATCGCACGTCGTGCCCACCCGGTCCTTTGTTGGCCGACCGCCTCACGAGCTGTGTCGATTTCAGCTATCTCCGCGTAAGAGCGACCGCACGGTGCTGATTCTCGGGGCCAGACTCTGGTCACCCCTGCGGTTCGTCGGATCGAGGATGGCTTCGAGCCTTTGTGGACCCCTCAGTGCTCAGGCGTACATGGGGATCTTGGCAAGTGGGTTGCAAAAAAAGAGGGAGTCACAACGCCGAGATGCCAACCGGTGCTCCCTAAACCTCATCAATTCTTGCGAATGTCCTAACTATTGAATAAATAAAATTCGCAAGATAAAATTCGAGGCTATTAAATAGAGCCTTGAAGCTATCTAGGCATATTTTATTTCTTTGCTTGGGCGTTGAGTCGCGAACGAAGTGAGGTCGAGCGTTACGACTCCCTCTTTTTCTGCAACCCACTTGCTTGGGGATGTTCGGAGGGGATGCGGCGAGGTGGAGCCGATGGGGGCCGGCGGCAGGTCCGGGAATAAAGGCGCATGAGACCCCTGCCACCGATTGTTGCTGGATGCTCCATCGGGCTTGGACCCGGAGGTATTGGGCGGAGGCCATCGGACGATGGCGGGTGCGAGGGTGCGAAACGGATTGGACGCTGTGCGAGTCGTGACGTCGTCAGCGTGTCGAGTCCATCAGCGGCAGGGCATCGCGAAGAGAGGTACTTTGTAGCCAAATTGACGGATTGATCAACGCAAAGGCCATTCGAGCAGTTTTCTGTCAAAAGGAAAAAGGCCAATTCAGCGACGGCGCGCGGGTCGAGAGAAGACGTTCCTGGCTGACGACATGGCCGCTGTTGCGTGATTGGGCAGGCCAGCTTAGAAATGCATCCCCAATCAGCGACGTCGCCATCGCCCATCCTGGCAAAAAAAGAACGACATCCAACCTTCCGACTCTCATCCTCCATCGAAACCCGCATTCTCTGCCCCGACACAGCAGATCGCCATGGACGCCAAAACCGCCACGCTCCGTACGTTTGCCCCCCAATTCCCCTGCGCCCGCAGAGCAGCCCTGGAGTCTGACCGGATCGCTTCGCAGCCACTGCCCAGGCAGCTGCTCCGGCAGCAGCCGCAACCGACGCTTCCGCCTCCAAGCCCAAGGTGAGCAAGCCGAACCAAAACCCCCCACAGCTGCTCCGGCCATCGCCAGGCGCCCGGCAGATGGCCGCTCGGCACGTGCCTAGTTTCGGCGCTGACGATCTGCCCAACCACAGCCCTGCTGCGTGTGCAAGGACGAGAAGTCGAGGCGCGACGAGTGCATGCTCTTCTCCACGGCCAAGGACCCCGCCGCCGATTGCAAGTCCCTCGTCGACCAGTACAAGACGTGTATGCTCGGCTACGGATTCAAAGTATGATGCAAATGACTTGGAAAGAGGAGCGATGGAGTCGAGCATCTAGCCACCCACGAGGGGCGTGTACAACATGTGTGCTATCAAGACATAGACGGGCAGCAAGGAAAAGCAATACAGGATACCCTTCTCTCTGCATTCGCGTTCACGGCTGTGGTGTTGGTGATGGGAATGGCGTGTGTCGAAACCAAGCAGCTTCGATTTAAATGCAATTCGCGCAAGAGCCCGCAGGCCCGTGCTTGGGTATCAAGAGCTATCGTTACTGATCATGGCATCATCAGGCCTCAACCGAAACCAAACTTCCTTCTCCAGCCGCTTTCATCCACCAATCCAGTACCCATCCAAGGAGCGAAACATAACGGTCCATTGGTCAGATCCAGCCTTCATTCGGTATTAAATCACCATCTCGACGTCAGTGGTGGTGTTGTTGACGGCGTCGACAGCCATTTCGTCGCCGACATCCGCCATCAGGGAGTCCTCACTGTCGTCCTCGTCGTCGGCGGCGTTGGTCATTTCCACGTCCTGAGGTTCGCCGGCGGTGAGAGCCGAGAGTTCTTCATCACGACTGTCGTAGCCAGTCATGACGACGTCTTCGACGGTTCGGACGGAGTCGCACCAGAGCTTGCACAAGGCGAGCATCTGGTCTTCGAAGCCAGCGCGGCTCTTGGCCGCAGTGGCAATTCGCAAGTTGGCGACGCGAAGAATCTTCTGTCTGTTGCGGAGAGGTTAGACATCAGATGAGGAACGGGGGAGAGAGCACAAAAGGCGCCCGCTTCCGGATAACGGGCGAAAGACTGGGCGATGCCGCTTACTTCTGGCGGTTATGGAACCTCTGGCGAGCCGCGATGGTCTTCTTGCAATTGTCCAGCTTCATGATTCGATTGCGCTGGAGCTTGCCCTCCCTGAGTGCCTTCTGGGTGCGGACCTGCGCAGGGGGAAGGATGGTCAGAACACGGTCAGGGGAGGCAGAAGGGGCGACCGGCACCCAGCCGGATGATGCTTGCCTTTGCAAGGCGCTCGAGGCTCTCCATCATGGCGCCGCTGTCCATCTCCTGGGGGCGAGATCGCTTGCCGTCCTTCTTGGTCGCTGCGGAAGCCATCATGTCGGCGGTTGCAAATGGGAAGTTGGTGATGGTTGGGGAAGGAGAGCTTGATGCCGGGACGTGAAGATGAGCAGGGAAGGAAAGGATGTGCGATGGAGTGTGGTGTTTGCGAGTGCGAGATGTGCAGGTGCTACGAAGGAGACGAGCGGTGCAGAGTGTGCAGGTGCAAATGGTCCGGTGCGCGTCCTCACGGGGTGAAGCGAGAAGAAGGGTGTGTTCGAGTGCGGCTGGCGCAGGCTGGCCTCGAGGGTCTCGCTGGGCTGCGTGCTGCGTTTGCAGAGAAGGAGTCCCCCCAGGTAGGGGCAATGGGCGCTGCTGGCTGATGAGAGGCGCCGAATTTCCTTACGGTTGGGCGTCTCGCAGCTGTTCAGGGGACGAGGGGGGGGTGGGCGGCAGCTGTTTGCCAGTGCGAGAAGCGCGGGCACGCTGTTCACTCATAGGGAGTGGGCGGGAGCCAAGTTCAGCGGCAGACGGCCGGGCCGGCCAGGGCTGTTCAAGGTGTTCACCGTTGCCCCAAGGGACAACCCTGATTATCTTACCGCTCGCTGGTCCTCAGGTCCCGCCTCGTAGCGAGACTTGTTCGCTCTCTGCTATCCGTCACAGCGGTTGAGCGTCACGTGCCATACAGCCGCAAAAAGCTTTGTCTGAAGTTTCTATTCCGCGGCCGGTGAAGTCGACGATGGCACGGGGCTTCGAGGCGCTGCCTGTGAGAAGATGGCCACGGTTCGAGACCATGGCTCAACCGATCACATTTGTTTGCCCTCAACTTGTGTACTTAACGCACTGCAAGTCAACATGAGATAAAAAAGTAAATGTCCTTCTTGCCATATGGTCGCTGATGCGTCTTTGCGCCATGTGGTGGTGGATTTGTGTTGGCCTTTGGCGCTGCCACCCCCTCAGTAGCCTCTGGACTGCCTAACCAGTCGTCCCCCGAGCACAGCACACACTCACAGTCGCCCTGAGCATTTCAAGACACGCATCGCTCATGACAAGGGTCAATTACAGAAGCCTGGTGGCACAGTCTATCGATTTACATGGCCCATCAGCCCCTGCAACCCGGGCGCCCCCGCAGAGTGCAGCCCTTTTACCTCGTCAGAGCAATGTCGTCTATCCTCAAAATCATCTTGACCGTCTCCGCCGCCAGCTCAATCGCGCTGGTGCTTACCAGCAGCGGCTGCAGCACATTCTCCTTGGAGATGTTGATGTTGACTCCGCCAGACTTGATGCTGACCCCCGCGTTCTTCTCGCCCATCTCGTGTCGGTGCCTTAGGTCCGTCACCACCTTGATGCTGTTCAGACCGGCATTCTCCGCCAGCGTGGTCGGGATCACCTCCATGGCGTCCGCAAACGCCTTCCAGCAGATAGCCTCGGTGCCCGTCAGGCTCCGCGCCTGCTTGGACAGCTGAGCCGCGATCTCAATCTCGGCAGCGCCGCCGCCGGCAATCAGCGCCTTCTTCTTGACCAGGCAGCGGACGACGCAAAGCGCATCGTGCAAGCTGCGCTCGGCCTCTTCCAGGATGAGAGAGTTGGCGCCCCGCACCACCACGGAGACGGTCTTGCCCGTGGCCTTGGCGCCAGTCACCTTGACCATGCGCGAGCCGGCAGACTGCACCTCCTCGACCAGGTCAGCAGACCCGAGCTTGTCCTCGGTGAAGGAGTCAATGTCGGCAATCGGCTTGCACCCGGTCGACTTGCAGATGAACTCGACCTCGTCGCGCTCGATATCCTTGATAGCCAGGATGCCCAGCTTGGCGAGGAAGTGCAGCGACAGGTCGTTGACAGCATCGCGCAGAATCGACTTCTGGATGAGCAGCACGTTGCACTTGGCCTTCTTGATCTTCTTGGCCATGTTCAACAGGTATAGTCGCTCCTCCTTGACAATCTTGTCCATCTGTCGGTAGTCGTTGACCTGGATGGTGTTTTCCATCTTCGCCATAGGTTAGCACAGAGTCTCCCACGCACGATACACAGGGGGCGAGCACTCACATCCGGCTTGGGCGGGCTCAGCTGGAACTGAATCAGGCCAATGCGCGCCTTCTCCATCCTCACGGGACCGCCAGCGTTCTTGAGCACGGGCTGGTTGAGAACCAGGCCGTCAACCAGCTCACTGTCCTCAATGGTCCCTCCAACCTTTTTGATAATTCGGATGTTCTTGAGGTCGACGTTGTCGGCGTTCTTGAGATCGATGGTCTTGGTGACGGAGTTGACGGCCATGGGGCCAAGGAGGTTGGAGTACTGCGATACGATCTTGGAGGACAGGGACGTGTTGGCGGCTTGCAGGAGAGACGCGGTATCGTTGAGGGTAATGGGCTGGGACATGTCGTGGAGGACCTCGACGGCGGCGGCAGCAGCTCTTTGGAAGGCCTCGGAGATGACTGAGGGGTGGATGCCCTTGGACAGCAGGCGGTCGGCGGCGCCAAGCAAGCTGCCGCAGATGACGACGACCGACGTGGTACCATCGCCGGCCTCGACGTCCTGGGCGCCAGCCAGATTGACCAGCATCTTGGCGGTGGGGTGCATGACCGACATGCTCTTGAGCATGGTGTGGCCGTCGTTGGTGATGATGGTCTCACCCTTGCCGCTGCGAATCATCTTGTCCATGCCGCGCGGGCCGAGCGACGTCCGGATGGCATCGGCCACGGCTTCGCGAGTGTCAGCGAGAGTAAAGCGAGGGGATGTACGTCAGGGGCTGGCGAACCTCGGGCGGCGACGATGTTGGACGAGCGGACGGCCATGGGCTTCTCCTTATCCTGCTAGCTGTTAGCGGGGCACTCGACAGCTCTCGACGCCAGCTCCTGCGTAAGCGTACCCTGAAGGTTGCATTCTGGGACTGGCCAGCGGCCACGGCGGGTGCAGACATGATGGCGGCGTGTTCTCTGTTCCAGGGATGCTCGGGCTGGGGTGCAGGCGCCGCGTTGGTGTAGAGACGTAGAGACGGGTCGCGAGGGTCCTGGCAGCCTTGGATGAGGTATCCCACCTTGTGGCCCTAACTCTAGCTGGCGTCGCAGCACCCTCCAGAAATTTTGGCCGGCGCAGTGGATTATCCATCCTCCGACGCGCTGCGCTGCGCGGGCACGAGTACGTAACTCGCGGGTGCTGTGCGGCGCCCCAGCTGGGTTTAGCGCCGCCAGAGAGCCTCCCTGGTCCGTGCGTCGAGCTCAAGGCAACCTGTGATTACGGAATGCTTCCATCGACTGCCTCCAACAAGCGTCACACAGCCAGCACCTCTCCATCCCCATCGCAACCGCACGTGAATCCATCCCGCTCGGCCTCTTTCGTTTCTGCATCTTCTTCAAGTCGCATCTTCGGCAACTCTCGACACACACCCAGCGCCGTCGGCAGCGTGCCCTGTCCGCGGCCTTCATCATGGTGAGCTCCCTCGCGGCGAGGCCGGCGACTGCTTGCTAACCGTGACAGCCTTCCGCGACCGGTCAAAACTGGGAAAAGTACCAGAAGAACTTTGCCGACGATGAGATAGAGGAGAAGAAGATCACCCCTTTGACAGATGAGTACGTGCAGGCCACTCTACAGCCGAGCTGCGGGACGTACGACTGACCTGCGGCCAGGGATATCCAGGTCCTCAAGACCTACGGCGCGGCGCCGTACGGTGCATCAATAAAGAAGCTGGAGAAGCAGATCAAGGAGAAGCAACAGAGTGTGGATGAAAAGATTGGCGTCAAGGTGCGATAGCTCGCCGCCCGCGCGGTACGATGCCGTCTAACAACGAATACAGGAGTCCGACACTGGTCTAGCACCACCGCATCTGTGGGACGTGGCCGCCGATCGTCAACGAATGTCTGAAGAACAGCCCTTCCAAGTAGCACGATGTACGAAGATAATCGAAGACGAGAAGGGCGACGAATCGAAGAAGAAGTACGTTATTAACGTCAAGCAAATCGCAAAGTTCGTCGTCCAGCTCGGCGACCGCGTCAGCCCTACCGACATCGAAGAGGGCATGCGCGTCGGTGTCGACCGCAACAAGTACCAGATCATGCTGCCGCTGCCGCCCAAGATTGACGCCAGCGTCACCATGATGACCGTGGAGGAGAAGCCCGATGTCACGTATGGCGATGTGGGTGGTTGCAAGGAGCAGGTAGAGAAGCTGAGGGAAGTCGTCGAGATGCCCCTGCTCTCCCCTGAGCGGTTTGTCAACCTCGGCATCGACCCGCCAAAGGGTGCCCTTCTCTACGGTCCCCCCGGTACCGGCAAGACTCTCTGCGCTCGAGCTGTCGCCAACCGAACCGACGCCACCTTCATTCGCGTCATCGGTAGCGAGCTTGTACAAAAGTACGTCGGCGAGGGCGCTAGGATGGTCCGCGAGCTCTTCGAGATGGCCCGGACGAAGAAGGCATGCATCATCTTCTTCGATGAAATCGACGCTGTTGGCGGCGCTCGATTCGACGACGGAGCTGGCGGCGACAACGAGGTGCAGAGGACCATGCTTGAGCTCATCACCCAGCTGGATGGTTTCGACGCCCGAGGCAACATCAAGGTCATGTTTGCCACCAACAGACCGTCGACCCTGGACCCCGCCCTGATGCGTCCGGGACGTATCGACCGCAAGATCGAATTCTCCCTCCCTGACCTCGAGGGACGAGCCAACATCCTGCGCATCCACGCCAAGAGCATGTCTGTCGAGCGGGACATCCGGTGGGAGCTCATCTCCCGTCTGTGCCCCAACGCGACTGGCGCCGAGCTGCGGAGTGTGTGCACCGAGGCCGGCATGTTCGCCATCCGGGCGCGGAGAAAGGTGGCGTCTGAGAAGGACTTCCTGAGCGCCGTCGACAAGGTCATCAAGGGCAACCTCAAGTTCAACTCGACGGCAACGTACATGCAGTACAACTAGGGCAGCGGAGGGCTTATCATGTATTTTTTTGGGCAATCCACCTATCGCGCTGTGTATGACTACAAGGCGGAGCGAGGCTGGGGTGGTGGGCTTCCAGACGCGGTCGCTGATAGCTTGCCACGGTAGAGGAATAGAAGCCGGCGTTGACGGTGTCGTCAGAAGGCCCGTTTTACCGAAACAAGGTCGCCGAGGTGCTAGACGCGATGTGCAGCTACCAGTACCAGGTAGTCATTTCATGTCTGCAATTAGATGCTCGGCGAATGCATGGCCATCGCCGTCGTCGCGGCTGTTGCTAAACGGCAAAACTTGTGCCACACTACCTAAGTATGCTGCATAAAGACATATCGAATGTTTCAACCCCAAGATAGTTACTGTGAATGACCCCCCTGATTCCAAACTCCGTGGCTCCCAAACGTTCCCATTAAATGCGTTGCCATGCGCGCGGAACGTTCCGTTCCCGAGCCGAGCCAAATATCATCCACGCAAGCCAGCGGCTGGGCTAGCCTTGGCCCCTGGATGTCTCCCGGAGGAGGAAGAGAAGCGGAATAGCATGTCCTTCGATGATAGTGGTATATGTTGTCGTAAGAGTCGTAATGATAATAAAGATGAACGGCCGGTTATCGTGCGACAAGGCGGGCAAGAGGAGATCATGACGTAGGATCAGGCGCCCGGCATGCCGGACAGGCAGCCCAGGCATACCACCTCGCCTTCGCGTCCGCGCTCGACGCAGCAGCGGCTGCACACCACGGCACGGTGCCCGCACGCGTCCCATCCCTTGCCATCCTTGACTTCCCGCGGCCGTCGTTCAGGCTCCGCCGAGTCGTCGCGGTTCATATCGTCGACGTCGTCCATGTGAAACGACCGGGACAGCACTTCCTGCTCGGAGAGCACCGAGGCGGCTCCTTCGTCGGCGTTCCAGCCGGGGCATTCGCGGATGCATACGAAGCACGTGCGCTCCCCGCAGCCCAGGCACTCGGCGAACGAGTCCAGGTCGGACTTCTTGGTCGGCCGGCGATGGCATATGTGGCACGGCGCTAGCAACGTGCAGGCTGTCGTGGGTCGTGCGGACGGCTGTTGCGCGTGTGTGGATGGCGTTTTGTTCCCGAGGGAACGCTGGTCTTGTAGTATCTTGGGCTGCGGCGGAGACCGTCGCCGGTGGGCGAGCGGTGCTGCTGCTGCTGCTGCTGCGGCTGCTGCAAGGTCGTCGTGCAGGTGATGCACCTCGTCGTCGTCGTCGGAGATCCTAGCCCGCTTCGAGAGAGGCATTATCTTCCGCGGCGACAGGTCCGGCTGGTGGTGGTGGTGGTGGTGGTGGTTGAGGAGGTAAAACTCGGGCGTCTGCTTTTCCGCGTCGTAGAGTCGGTACACGCCGCCGCCGTCGCCATCCTCCCGCCGCCGCTTGCGGCTCGGGTGGAGGCTGTCATCGTCGCGGCTGCCCACGAACGGCATGGTGATGCCGCCCGAAGGGGGGCGAGAGCGAGGCGTAGGGTAGGTAGGTACGTGCTCCCCCTTGGGTCCAACGAGCAGGCCGTTTGTGGCGAAGAGGATATTGCGGTCGCTAAGCAATCAGAAATTCAGAAACGAGGCATGTCGAAATGCTGGAGCGCCGAGAAGATGCGGTAGATGGCGGGGAGAGCGTGGGTTGAAGGGGTTGCGAGCGTGTGGGTGAATGAGACAGAGAGGTTCACGGTGGTGAGATGCTGGTCAGGATCCTGGAGGGAGGTTGGACGGCATTTGTTTCGTCCGAACCCAGCGGCGACCAGGTGACTGACAAAGCCGGCGGAGGGCCGGCGCAGGCACTGCAGGCAACCTCCAGGGCTGGAAAGGTGTGGGGGAGCCGAGCCCGCTAACAGGGAGTGTTTCAGCGACCCAACTTCCGTGGATGGTGTCTGGGCAGGTTCCAGGTTGGCTGTGCCACTTCAACTGGGCGCTACTCTGCCGCTGCGTCTACCGTTGGGTGCGACTCCCCGCAGCACAGGTGGTTGCAAGGCTCCAGGCCTTGCTACATCAAGCGTTGAGGAACGCAGTATAATTCATACCTCAGTTGTTCATTCTAGAGATCGGCACTGGCTCCAGCTCTGGGCAGGGAATTGGCACTGGCAAAGACCCAGATGGCTCTCGAGGTCTGCCCATACTTACAGCAACTTCCCTTCATCAAAGCTTATAGCCTGTTTCTCCCTCACAGCTCTGTATAAACAACTGCAATCACGTAGATTCGTCTTGATGCGTTTGATTTCTAGTTTAATACTATACCTCTAAGGCTCTCTAGAGGTCTCGCCAAGCGGCGCGCAGCCACAACGCAGATGGGCCCGCGTAAAATGTTGAACACCACCCCAAGCAAATCATTGAAATTCCTGCTTTTCTTTTGTCCCATGTCCCCAGTGCACCAAAAAAAAACTCTCACAGCTCTCGAATGGCCTGCCGCCGATGCCTTAGTGGTGGAAGAGGCGGATGTTCTGCTGCACAAAGGTAATGCCTAGCTTCTCGGCCGTCTCGAACACGGCGCCGTCGTTTTGGCTGCCGCCGGGCGCAGCAATGTACTTGACACCTGAGCGGCCGACGCGGAAGACGTTGTCGATGAAGGGGAACTGCATATTACTTGTCAGCGGCTTATTCCATGTCAATGATGTGGGGGCCAATAGGGGCTGGGCTTACAAAGGCATCGCTAGACACGCAGACGTCCTTGAGCTGCTTCATCCAGGCCGCACGCTCCTCCTCGGTGAAGGCGGCCGGCACCTCCTCGAAGACAGCATCAAAGGCCTCGCGCTCGGGGCCATCCTTGGGCAGCTCGCCGCTGACGAGCAGGTCAATGGCGTTGCTCTTGTCGGGCCGCTTGGTGCCCTTCTTCCACTTGATGCCGAGGACGCGCTCGTGGAAGCGCATCCACCAGTTGTCGGCCTTGTCGCCGGCAAGGCGGGTGCAGTGGATGCGGGACTGCTGTCCGGCGCCGAGGCCGACGACCTGGCCGTTGACGGCGTAGCAGACCGAGTTGCTCTGCGTGTACTTGAGCGTGATGGTGGCGACGGTCAGGTCGCGGGCGGCGCTCTCGGTCAGGGCGCCGGCGTCCTTGGGGGTGATGATGGTGTTGAACGACTTGGGCGAGATCTCGACGTCGTTGCGGTGCTGCTGCAGGTTGACGCCATAGACGGTGCGCGTCTCGGTGGGCGCGGGGTCGTACTCAGGGTCCATCTGGAGCACCAGGTACTTACCGCCCTTCTTCTTCTTCAGGATCTCAAGAGCGGCAGGCTCATATCCGGGGGCAATGACGCCGTCCGAGACCTCCTTGGAGATGATGCTGGCGGTGGGCAGATCGACGACGTCGCTGAGGGCGATGACGTCGCCGAAGCTGCTCATGCGGTCGGCGCCACGGGCGCGGGCATAGGCCTGGGCCAGGGCCGACGTCTCGATGCCCTCGATGTCGTTGACGAAGTAGACCTTGCGCTCCTCGGCAGTGAGGGGCAGTCCAATGGCAGCACCAGCCGGGGAGACGTGCTTGAAGCTGGCGGCGGCGGGGAGGCCCAGGGCCTTCTTGAGCTCGCGGACGAGGGGCCAGGCGTTGAGGGCATCAAGGAGGTTGATGTAGCCTGGGGAGCCGCAGAGGACAGTGAAGGGCAGCTTTCCCTCGGCGGTGAAGGCAGCGGCGGGCTTCTGGTGGGGGTTGGCGCCGTAGCGGAGGGCCATGTACTGGTCGCCGGCACCGGCATACTCCTTGCGGAAGAAGTCGGAGATGGCGGCGTCGTAGTCGGCCGTGTGCTCAAAGGCCTTGAGGGCGTAGCGGTTGCGGCTCGTCTCGGTGATCTCGCCCTGCTCGAGCTCCTTCAGGAAGCCGGCATAGTCGCTGGGGTCGCTGAGGATGGTGACGCGCTTGTGGTTCTTGGCCGCGGCCCGGATAAGGGTGACGCCGCCAATGTCGATCTCCTCGACGGCCTCGGGGATGCTGACATTGACCTTGGCGACCGTGTCCTTGAAGGGGTACAGGTTGCAAATAACATAGTCAACCTTGTTGATGTTCTGGTCGGCCAGGTCCTTCTCGTCCGACTCGAGGTTGCGGGCGAGGATGCCGGCGTGGACGGCGGGGTGCAGCGTCTTGACACGGCCGGCAAGCATCTCTGGTGCCTTTGTGATGGCGCTGACGTCCCTGGAGTCGAGGGTCAGCTGAGGTTCCGAACGCCAATGCCTCCATTATTTGCTGCTCGTCGCTGCCTGGGACAATTGGGTAAGGAGATTGTTCGGGGGCTTCACGTACTCGACAGGGAAGCCCGACTCGCGGATCATGCGAGCGGTGCCGCCAGAGGCCAGGATGCGGACATTCTGCTGGACAAGACCCTTAGCCAGGTCCAGAAGGCCCGTCTTGTCGTAGACGGAGACGATGGCGATCTTTTGAGCCTCGGACATGGTGGGCGACGGCTGCAACTCTGTCGACACGGAAGAGCGGGTGGGGTGAATGAGCTGCGAAGCGAAGTCGGGATGGTGGGGGAGGGACGCTGGCGGGGAGGGGAGAAAAAAAGAAGTGCGACTTTTTTGGGCGAGTTCCTACGCGCGTGGACCTCCAGCTCCTTCTGCAACAGCGGCATTTAGTGCTGTTGGCAAGCGCGAATAGCTGCTGCGCAACCGCGGCAGCTACGGCCGCCACTCGGGCAGGTGCTTCCAACCTGCCAGCATGACCTTCCTGCTATCACAGGCCAATCACCTAGGCTCGCGCAAATTGCTGTCTAACGACATGAGCTGTTCAGCAGTCACTACCTGCTGCCGCGCGAACATCTGCTGCACAATTGCGGCAGCTACGCCGCCACTCGGGCAGGTACTCCCACACTCTCAGCATGGCCTTCCTGCCACAACAGGCCAATGACCTAGGCTCACGCAGATTGCTGTCTATTGAAATGAGCTGTTGAGCAGTCACTACCTGCTGCCGCGCCAATATCTATGGATCCGCTGCGACGCCGCCGGGTGCGCTGTCTGCCGCTCTGTGTGCTGGGGCAGCTGGCCGCGCCTGCCCCGCCGCGGTTGTTCCTACTTATCAGAGAATGACGCTGCCCCTCTCCATTGAATGAGTGCCTCGTAGTCAAGCGGTCCATTGCAATGTGTGCCGTGCGTAGCTCGTAGGGCGTGATGAGAGCCGGCTTCTACCAAGCATGAGCACTGGAAGCCGGCCGACGTTTTCATATTGCTGGGGAAGGCAGATTCTCCAAATAGTAAAGTTTAGCCGCTTTTGGCCAGCTGTTGAACAGGAGCGTGACCTATAGATGAACTACCTAACAGGTCTTCCGCGCCAACAGCTATTTGCCTCTCAACGGCTTGCTGCCCGGGTTCCTGTCGCCGAAGGGGGCCCGGGGGGTCACGCAGGTAGGTAGTGCTATTGGCATGGGCAGAAGAGTCTCACCGCGGAGGTACTCCATACCGAACGGTACCTAGTACTCTGGACAATCCTTTAGCCCGCAACGTCTTATAGTTAAAAGATATTGTATATCATAATGACTCCTCATTTTTCATTCCTATCCATCAAATGCTGGTATATTATCAGATCAGGACACGTCTTTAAACACAGTAAGTACTTATGAGCTAAGAACTTTCCGCAGATGCAAATAGCAACACCCATATCGTCCGCATAAGATTGAAATTCGAAGGGACCTCAATCTCAGGTATTGAAAATTGTTCGTCTGATTTACACTCTACCATCCGCCACTCACATCTTTTGGCAAACCACGGACCCTCCGTTCTACCTGCCTCCGCCAACAAAGGAACTGTTTCTAGGGGGGAGACTAGTATACATAACGAGACGTTGCGGCCCCCTTCGCTCAGCGGCGGACCTTGGTCTCCGCCGGAGGGTCGTAGGCGAGCTTCCTCGACTTCAGCCACGCCCACTTGTAACGCTTGACGTAGACGCTGATGGCCCACAGGACCGAGGTGACAACCAGAACCTTCATGCCCATCTTCTTGCGGTCATCCATCTCAGGCTCCGCAGCCCAGTTGAGGAACTCGACGACGTCCTTGGCCATCTGCGACGTCGAGGCGGGGGTGCCGTCCTCGTACTCAACGAGGCCGTCGTACAGGACACGAGCCATGCCAATGCCGGTGCCGGGGAAGTAAGGGTTGAAGTTCATGCCGGGGGCGACCTGGGCGCCAGCAGGGGGCTCCTCGGGGTAGCCGGTCAGCAGGCTGAAGATGTAGTCGCAGCCGCCGTGGCGGCCCTTGACGATCAGGCTCAGATCCGGGGGCAGGGCGCCGTTGTTGGCAAACCGGGCAGCCTCCTCGTTCTTGTAGGGCGCAGGGATGTAGTCGGCAAGCTTGCCGGGGCGCATCTGGATCTCGCCCTGCTCATCCGGCTCACCGGGGTACTCGTTCTCCTCAGCCATGGCCTTGGCCTCGTCGACGGTCAAGACGGTGCCGACCAGGGATCGGTAGGGGATTCGGTCCAGGGAGTGGCAGCTGGCGCAGACCTCGCGGTAGACCTGGAAACCTCGGCGAAGACTGTCTGGTGTTAGCAAAGTCGCGTCCACGACTCGCGAGGGAGGGTGAAATCCTTACGCCTGGTGGTCAAAGGTCTTGAACCACTGCTGGTGAACCCAAGGGTACTGCGTGGCGTGCAGACTGTGAGCATCGTTAGCCATCTGAGCCCAGTGTGCTGGCGAGATCGTTGCCGCGATTTATGCCGCACGCACGCAGCGTAGACAGCTTTGTACGAGCCACGGTCTCTCCGGCATCGAGAATTGAACATACCCCTCCTCGGCAGGCGTGGCAGCATGGGCGACGGGTCCGTAGAGATGGTAGTACCATGCCAGGGAACCGGCGGCGACGGTGGTCGAGGCGATGGCAGCGAAGTTCAATCGCGCAGGGGCGGCCTCGCCGGCAGCGCCCGAGCTGGTCGAAGCAGCGCGCTACAGGGACAGCATTGTCAGTAACAGGTCAATTGGCATTCCATGACGTCGAGGCGCGGTGCCGTGTCGTCGCTGGCGTCGGGGCGGTCGAGTCGTCGGCGGTGGTGATTCCCTCGGCAAACGGGGGGTGGGAGCTGCGGGAGCCTCAGGCAAATCCCGTGGCAACTGCGTACCTTGGAGATGGTAGTCGCGCCATTTCGCAGCCCATTGAGGGCGCGCGTCGAGCGCAAGCAGGACCTTGCCAGCATAATTGGCGAGCTATACTGTTGCCGCAAGGGGGGTGCCGCAATCACGATTGGGACGGCGATTCGGACGAGGTAATGGCTCGAGGTCGGAGGGCGAAAAGGCTCTCTGACGGTCACGGGCTTGTAGGCGAAAACTTCCGAAATCGACCTCCGCTGATTGGCTTCGGTCGGAGTCACGTGCACCTTGCTCGTTGAAGGCACCCAGGCCGCAACCTGTGCCGCCGTAGGTGGCTCGCAGCTCGGCAGACGCCACACATCCGTACGTTATGTAATCGGCGCGGTGGCTCGTGGCCCACCTGCCACACCCGCAGTCCGTCAAAGCCACAGCACACCGCCCACCCCAGGCAATTAAGGACCTCCGCCAGGCAGGCAAGCCAGGCGCCTCGGGTCCCCTGGCAAATTTCGAGATGAAGACCTGGACGGAGTCGTTGCCCCGCCCCCACCATATATAAACAGAGTCAACATCCCTTTGTCGCCACAACCGACATTTTGCTGCCGCTCTCCCTCCCTCCCGCCGGCCCTCGCATCACTTGAAGCTCCCGCAGCTCGCTTGCTCTGCTAAGAATCACCATGGCCGACGCCAAAAAGCTCTTCTCCCTCGAGGCCAAGGGCCTCAAACTCGACACGGCCGACGACGTCGAAGCCCACATCGCCGACCTGCGCGCCAACGACATCGAGGAGGTCCGACTGCTGGGCAACACGCTGGGCGTTGGCGCATGCAAGCTCCTGGGTGAGGTGTTGGCTACCAAGAAGAACCTGAGGGTAAGAAAGGCCCCCGCCTAAGCGCACCGACTGCGCGAACCATCATGACCCCGAGCGCTGACAATAAATTCAGGTCGCCAACCTCGCCGACATCTTCACAGGTCGGCTGCTGGCCGAGATCCCCGAAGCCCTCTCTCACCTCCTCACTTCCATCCTCAACCTCCCGAAGCTCAACACGATCAATCTCAACGACAACGCCTTCGGCCTCAACACGCAGGCACCGCTCGTCGCTTTCCTCGCCGCCCACGTGCCCCTGCAGCACCTCTACCTCAACAACAACGGCCTGGGCCCGCACGCCGGCATTCTCGTCGCCGACGCCCTGTCAGAGCTGCACGCCAAGAAGGAAGCCGCCCGCAAGGATGGCCAGGAGGTGCCCGACCTGGAGACGGTCATCTGCGGGCGCAACCGCCTCGAGAACGGCAGCATGACGGCGTGGGCCAAGGCCTTCAGCTTGCACAACAAGGTCCAGGAGGTCAAGATGGTCCAGAACGGCATCCGCCAGGAGGGCATCTCGCACCTCATCAGCGAAGGCCTGAACCACGCCACCCAGCTGAGAGTGCTTGACCTTCAAGACAACACCTTCACCCTCATAGGAGCCAAGGCCCTCGCCAAGGTTGCCCCGACATGGACGGTGATCCGTGAGCTCGGTGTCGGAGACTCGCTGTTGAGCGCAAAGGGTGGTGTGCTTCTGGCCGATGCCCTGGCTCAGGGCAAGAACCAGAAGCTTGAGACCCTGCGCCTTCAGTACAATGACATCACGACGGCCGGCCTTAAGGGTCTCGCTGCTGCCGCCAAGGACGCCCTCCCCGCCCTCAGGAGAATCGAGCTCAACGGCAACAAGTTCTCCGAGGAAGACGAGTCCATTGTCATTCTGCAGGAGCTTCTCGACGAGCGCAAGGAGAGTCTCGCCGGCGACGTCGTCATCGAGGACGAATGGGGTGTTGATAGCCTCAGCGACCTTGAAGACGAGAGCGAAGCTGAAGAGGAGGAGGAGGAAGAGGAGGAGATTGAGCCCGAGGAGAGAGCCGAGAAGCTCATCAAGGAGGCCGAGGAGGCCCAAGAGGAGCCCGTTGTCCAGCTCAAGGACAAGGAGGTTGACGAGCTGGCCAAGAAGCTGGAGAAGGCTGAGATTTAGGTTTTGACGAAGAATGGCTAAACCGCGTTTTACGATCAAAAAGACATTACATACATAGCTAGAGCGAACAGGGAATTGATACCCGTTGATGATCACGTTGCACTAAATGGATAACAGGACTGGGTGCAGGTGTATGCTTTCTATTGCGCTACATACACATGTTCATGAGCTACGAGATCATGGCTCGTCGACAGTAGGACCGTGTCACGGACTGGGAGAGCCTCCAGCAAGGGAAGGTGAAAAGGGTGTCACATACCTCGAGCCATTGCAGAACCCGGTCTCTAGACGCATTGTTAGCCCACACTGGCTGTCTGTTGACAAGACTGGAGAGTATGGTGAGGAGTGAAGAAGACTGAACACGGGGAAAACACATCCGGACCGCCACCCTAACATGTACAGAGCCCAAATGCGGCCTTTTGCCGTCCAAGCCAGCACAAAATCATCGTGTCCCATTACAGCCTCCTTCCAGGCAGTATCCGCAAAACTAACAAGGGGACCCAATCGTCGCATCTTCCCCGGCCTGTCCTATCTATCTGTCTTGCTGGTGACTGCACGTTCTCGTGCATGTTGAATTGCTCCAGGCGCTCCCTTACATGACATCCATCGCGTCCATGTCACCCGCCACGCGTGACTGCTCGAAAGCGCCGTACTGCGTCGCCATATCCATCTGCTGCTGCTGTCGAACGTAGTCTGGGCCGAGATAAACAGGGTCAGTGGCTGGCGTGTAGCTGGGACCGCCCACGGTCGTTCCGAAATGGCTGTACACGCTCCTAGGCATGGTATCAGCGACATTGCGCTCAGTCTCTCGCCGCATGAGCTCCTCGTAGCCCGACACCATGTAGGGCTCCGTGTCGCGCGCCTCGTGGGTCCATCTTCCGTCGCCGGTCTGTACCGGAGTGCCGTCCAGGCTCATTGCTTGATCCTGTTGCTGCTGTTCATGGCGCAGGCGAGCAAAGTGCTCCTCCTGTTCAAGGGTTGTGCTGTTCCATGCCAGTGAGTGGATACTCTCTCCTCTGCTGGGGGGACAGATGCTCCAGAGCTCAATCAGACGAAGCTTCTGGGCCTCGTCGGCAATGCGAAAGAGCTGGACCTGTGCAGGGGTCAAAGTAGTGGCGTCTATGCCAAAGTTGCGGAGGATGGTTTCAGACGAAGGCGCCGTGCCCTGTGGGGGCTCTGACGATGGACGTTCAGCCTGCGCTGGCGATGCGCCCTGTTGCTCCGTGACTTGCTCCGCTGCTGGCTCCGCGGCGACTGGTCTCGCAACATGAGCAGAGTGGTGATAGTGCTGCGAAATGGAGTAAACGATCGGTGGAGATTGGGCTGGAGGCGCGGGCTCCTGCCGGGGCGAGTCCTTAGCTGCCGCAGCACGGAGCTCGGGGTTGAAGGTCAGGTTGCGCGAAAAGAGAGATGCGAGGTCATCGTGGACCTGCTGTGCGTTTGGCTGCATGATAAGCCTCGGGAGTCGGCCGGCAAATAATAACTTCTGCACTATTTTCTCAGCATTTCGTGGTGGAAGAGATGGCTTATGCGCGGCTTCTTCTGCTTGGCACGGGCTTGGGGATTCACGGTAAGCGTACCGCCAATAGTTGATGAAGTGAGAATCGAGCCGCGTTGGAGGTATGACGTGCCCAAATGCCGATAACAGAGCAAGATTGCCCACGGTCAGAACCCTTGGCTCGAGGGAAGCAACGAAAAGCTGTTTGGTTGGGTCGACGTGCGGGCAGGTTGGGTATCAAGTAACGAGCAGGTGCCAGCGAGCGGCGCGCAACTGGCAGAGCAAACGGATGTACTATTCAGTGATGCACTAAGCTAAACGCCAACGGGTTAAAAGCCAGAGCGAGCCGTTGTCTGCGAGAAGGGAAAGAGGAGCATGGACGGACAGGAACGGGGAGAGAGGCACGGCAGAGCAGAGGCTCACGGGAATATAAAGCATATATTTGTTTCGGCCTGCAGCGGTCTTCCAGAGCTCGTCCTGTGTGAGGCCCCTGCCTTGCAGCAGCCGCCGTCGGCCCAGGCTCTTTTGTTGGCCGGGATGGAGGGGTTTGGCGGGCGGAAGAGACGCCGTTGTGGGACCTGAAGCCAGGGTCCTGGGCGGGGTGGATGGGCGGCGGACAGCGGCGCAAGGGGGGGAGGATGCGCTGCGTGAATATCGGTGAGCGGTTGGTTCGGCACAGCGACGAAGCAAGTGGTTGACGACGGGAGATATGATCGAGAATCAGAAGAGGGAGGCACTGGAGAGAGGGGGCAAGCATGAGATGGAAATATTTCAATCAGCCCATCGAGGATATGGATGACGGGGCGATTATTTCAGGGAGATGGCGCGTCGTGGTCATGGGGGCCCAGCGGGAAGGACCTAGGGACAGGCCAGGCCGTGATGGAGGGGCAGCTTCGGGGGTGATGGGGGGGCAGGCATCTGTGACGCAAGACACTTTGGGCCTCAACCGTCCCAAAAACGCACGCCAGACTGATCCGTGTGTCACGGGACGCACCTGCCCTGGCGCCTGTGGCTTCAGGTCCTTGACTGGCCCTTGACTCAGGTGGGCATCAGACGACTTGCCGCTCTTTAATTGCTATTATGCGTCTTGTCTCGCCTCTCGAGGCAGCGACAGCGTGTCTCTACAGGACGTCATGGCTGAACGGAACGCGCTCGGCGATGGCTCGGGCATGCATGGCCAGCGCGCGCGCGGATGATGTACGTGCGTGTAAATGAGGAACCCCCCCTCCGATCTGACATGTGTGTGCCATCCACGAGGTGCGCATGCCATGGACGTGTGCTGCAAGGTCCTGCCGCCGACTTTGTCCGGGCGCCTACCATTAGGTTCTCACACTTTTCAGTGCAGCACCGCTTCCTGGAAGACCTACCTACCATTCGTTTTGCCCGTCCATCTTGTCGTCTCGTCTGGAACCTGAAACCAAGTCGTGTCGGGCACGTCGCGACGGGCATCGCGCCTCACCGCTCCCCAACGTTCTGTTGAGTTAGCACGAGTCTAGGCTGGCTGGATGGCTTGCAAGCCTGAGCTTGGATGGATGCCGGTCGCTGGAGATTAGGGGGGTCCCCTCCGCCCGCCTGGACCGTCCGTGGGGTGGGCACACACACACACACGTCTGGCCGGCCATCTGTCCGACCGCCCGGACATCGTGGGCTGTGATTGCATCACAACGGCCGTTGTGCCGTCGAGGCAGCAGTGCGCGACGCCAAACTTCCCACTCCAAACCCCGCCGCGGTGAGATCCCAAAACACTCAGCCAGGGGCCCCTTGTATGAAACCTTGAGTGGTTCAATGTGCCCTTGATAACTCCCGCAAGTCCATCCCAAGCCGCGATGCTGCAACATCCTCGGAGGGGCCTTTCTGGAAGCCTGACCCCTCCAGCCGCAGCGGACCATGCATGTGCAGGGGGGTGGTTTGGTTCCCACCGTGGAGCTGGGTCGACGCGCCACCGCGTTGGCAAGCCACACCCGACAGCCATCCTCACCAGCCACTCCCGGTCAAGGTGTGGCTGCGCTCTGCCTGTGGCTGGAGCACCCGTTCTCTTCGCGCCTCAGGCAGTAACAGGCCAGGCGGCCAGCCTCGCGCGCCAGCGGCCTGCAATACGCAGCTCTCAGGCTGCCTGGTGAGCTACCGCCGTCGATGAAGCTCCATCCAACCAAGCCCACGACCTCACATCGCCATCCACATCTGACCCTCCCCGACACCGCACAGCCGCCATTGACACAACCCGCGAGCCTCTGGATAAGCCTCCTCCGAGAGCTCTTCAGCCATCATGGTGAGACCCTCGCTGTCCCGTCGGGCCAGACCTGGAAAGCTGACGTGACGTGCTCCCGCAGACGTCCATAGGCACGGGCTACGATCTCCTCAACTCCATCTTCTCTCCCGACGGCCGCAACTTCCAGGTCGAGTACGCAGTCAAGGCGGTGGAGAATGGCGGCACGTCGATCGGCATCCGGTGCAAGGACGGCGTCGTCCTGGCCGTCGAGAAGGTCGTCGGGTCCAAGCTGCTGAAGCCCGGAGCGAACAAGCGTATTGCCACCATTGACAGCCACGTCGGAGCCGTATGACTTCTCCCCTCTTCCTTGGAGTGCCGTGTGGTGCAGCTCGGTAACCGTAAACTTGCAGGTATACTCCGGCATGGTGCCCGATGGCCGCCACTTCGTTGACCGGGCCCGCGACGAGTCCCAGAGCTGGCGCCAGAACTTCAAGACCCCGATCCCCACAGCCGACCTGGCCTCCCGCATGGGCGGCTACCTGCAAGCCTACACCATGTACGGCTCCGTCCGGCCGTTCGGCATCACCGCCATCATCGGCGGCGTCGACACCTCTGAGGACACGCCCGTCGACGGCGAGGTCGGCTCCGGCCCCAAGTGCGGCGCCGGCGGCAAGGTCCCCGGCAAGCACGGCGGGCCCTTCCTCTACATGATCGAGCCCAGCGGCCTGTACTGGGGCTACTACGGCGCGGCGACGGGCAAGGGCCGTCAGGCCGCCAAGGCGGAGCTGGAGAAGCTGGACCTGCCCGCCGGCAACATCACGATACACGAGGCTGTCAAGGAGGCGGCGCGTATCATCTACGTGGCCTCCAAGGACAACAAGGACAAAGATTTTGAGCTGGAGATGACGTGGATCAGCGGCGCCGACGGTCCGACCAAGGGCCGCCACCAGGAGGTGCCCAAGGAGCTGCGGGAGGAGGCTGAGAGATTAGCAAAGGCTGAGGACGACTCGGACGATGACGACGAGAACGACAAGAAGGACGACGACAAGATGGAGGAATAAAGAGGCGGGCGGGGCTCGGTCACGAGAGCGAGACATGTAACATCACATTGCAAATGGCAGGTTCATAGAATAATGCTTGCACCAGTCGGGACGGAAGTAGCGTGGCAGTCGGCTTATTGCCACTATTGTGACTGCGTGCCTATTCTAGAGGTTTATATGCGGGATATGCAGCTCTTTGAGCATGGGTATCAAGTTCAATGACGTGCCTGCGACGCCTGATTCTGGCACCAGTTGTTCCAGTCGGCAAAGAAGGACGTCTGGAGACGGACCTCACCGAGCACCCAGCCGGACTGGGTCTTGGCGTACACGGCCGCGATCTGCCTGATGGCGTCCTTGTCGGCGGCAAACATGGCCGACGCAACGATAAGGCTGGCCGCGCTGGCCGCCTTGGCGTACGCATGCGAGTTATCCTTGCCCGCCTCATCGTGCACCTCGACCAGCAGCGGGAGGAGGTCGTCGGCGGCAGGCTGTGCCTGGGCACGGGCCTTTTCCTCGCCAGCGCCGGCGCCGTCACGGCCCGCCCTAGCCTTGCGCAGCCCGCGCTGAAAGCTGAGGATGATCTCGCAGGCGCGGCTGGCGAGCGGCTTGGTCGAGGTGGTGCGCATGAGGCCGAGGAGCGGGACGAGAAGGGAGAAGGCGAGCGGGTTGAGGGCCTCGTTGCGGACGTAAATGTCGAGCAGGTCGAGGATGCGGTGCTTGAAGTTGACGACGGACTGCTTGGCGTCCTTCTTCTGCTTCTTGCTGTTGTCCGGATGGGCCTTGACGCGCTGCTTGAAGACCTCGGCGAGCTTCTCGTCGAGGGCGAGCATCTCCGAGTCGGACATGTCGCCGTCCGAGGCTGACTCGACGGCGTCTGCGTCCTTGTCGAGGCGATGGCTCTTGAGGATGGAGCCGACGAGTTCATCGAGGTCTATCGGCTCTTGCTTCCTTGCGTCTCCACCCTCGCTGTCCTCATCCCCGTCTTCCTCATCATCATCGTCGTCCTCATCGTCATCGCCTCCGCTCTCATCATCATCGTCGCCAGCAAGGCCAACGAATTCCACATCAGAGTCGATCTCAACATCAGAGACCTCCTCCACGCTGTTGGCGTCGTCAGAAGATCCATCCTCGTCCTCGTCCGCGTCCACGTCCATGGCATCATCTTCTGTGTTGAAGAGCTCCTTTTGACCCTTGGTGCTCTCCCCTGACGCGAGGGGGTCAGTCAGCAGCTCAAGACCCTCGGCTGAGATCTGGCTGGTAAAAGCATCAAACACCTGTTGGGATACCTGCCTCATCAGGGACGATGGGCGCGCAACCATTGATAGCAGTATCTCAACAAGAAGCTCGGAACTGCCTTCACTCTTGTCACCGACACTTCCTGACTTGAGTCTCTCATAGAACTGCGCCAGGTCGTTCAGCACCTCCATCGCATCGGGGTCCTCATTGTACAGTTGGAAGATGGAGATGGCGTGCAGCATGGCCAGACCCTGCGCCAAGCTCTGGTCGTCCTTGCTCTTTGACTTTCGCTTCAAAAGCTTCTTCATCCTCGCCAATGCGTCGTCCATAGCCTCCTTGATGTCGCCGGCCATGTTCCTCGACGCCGGATCGATGGACGCAATTGCATTACAGAAAACGCTGAAATCGTCGGCGTTGCGAGTCAAGCGGGCCAACGATGACTCGATTCGGGATCGACAGAGCTCCCGAATCTGATCTGTCAGAGCATCCTCTGGAACGCTCTCGGGAGTCGAGTACGCCAAGGCAGAGAGCTCTTGGAGCACCGGCCCGAACGAAGAATCGTGCTTGGAGTCCGACGACGCCTCCGCAGAACTTGATGCAAATGCGTTGAGAACCTTGGCTAGGTAGTCGGCGTAGACCCGAAGGATAGCAGTGGCCTCGTCGCCCTCCTTCTTCTTCAGCGTCGCCAAAGGCAGGCGAATGACCACCAGCGAGTCCTCCGCGTTGTCGGGGTTTATGTTTTGCAAGAGCTTGTCGACGGTCTTGGTGCTTGTGCGCTGGTCGAAGTTGTAGGCGCCGTTCTTTCCCAGCAAGCTCCCGAGAATGATGGCGAGCGTGTCGGGATGCTGAGAAACCACGTTCTCAATGGCTCGAAGCGCTTTGATGGCTGCTCTATGCAAGTATCGGTCCTCCTTGGCAGCCTGGTTAATGAGGCATGTCATGAAGTTCTTGGTGAACAGGCATTGCAGCTTGTCATGCTGGCCAACCAGTGCCTCGAGCAGCTTCTGGAATACCATGAAGCCCTTGAACTTTTGGCCGTCGGTCGCGCTTTTGGAAAACAAGCCATCTAGTTATTCGGGGTCAGCCATTGTGTCACACATCAAAGGAGAGATTGGGCAGACTGACCATCGATGACGCGGTTGTAGAACTGAGAGAGTCCGTCCGTGTCTGCAACTGCGCCTCCCTTCACGTAGCACCCGATGATTATGTCCCAGACAAAGTGCAGCTGTGCTGTCCAGCTCGCCTGCTTGCCGTTGTTTTGAGACTTGTCGTTGGGTTCCTTATTCGAGTCCTTGAAGCTCTCCTTGAGGACGGCAGCCAGGTCGCCCAGGGACTTGGTGGAGAGGGGGTTCTGCCACGGCTTCAGTTTGATGTCGGGATAGCGATTCAGCGCAACAAGCCACGCGGCGACGCCCTCTGGAGTCTTGGCTAGGCCAGCGTCCGCGACTTTGATCAGCGTGGCCTCGGCCTCCTTCCGGCTCGTCTGCTCGAGGGCCTGCACCAGGACCCAGCCGCACTGCGACCGAAGCCATATCTTCTTGTTGCTCAGTTTCAACAGCAGGTCCAGGACAGAGTGCCACCTCGAAACGTCTGAGAAGAGAGTCCGCGAGCGCACGAAGCACTCTAGGCCAAAGAGCTGGCCAAAATAGTGGTCGCGCTCCTCCTGACCGGGGATGTTGCCGATAGCCTGCGTCTTGTCCACCAGCAGGGCCAGGACCTTTTCAAAGGTGAGGTCCGGGTACTTGGATGCCAGCTTCGAATCCTCGGCAAACAGCTGCCCCAGGATCTCCGCAATGACGAGGCTGAAACCGATCCGCGAAGCGTTGCGCCCGCTTGCGAGGCCGCGGAACAGTCGTCGATCGAGATGTCGCAGCAGAACGGCTTCCGGCACGCCATCCCCACCCAGGAGGCTCGACACGATGCAATCGGCCGCCTCTATGCGTTCGCCATCATCTTCGCTCCCGAGAAGCTCGTATAGGCCAGCCTCTCGCCTGCGATCCTCTCCAGTCGGGGTCTCGATGAACGGCTTCTTTTCAAGGATCGGCTTCGCGGGGGCGGTTCGTCCGTTGGTTTTGGCGTCGCTCTTGGCCTTTTTGGGGGCATTCGGGCCCGAATTGGCACCGTCTTTAGGTCCCCTCTTCCGCTTGCCGGCCATGCTTGGTTTTGTTGGCTTGAAGACGCAAAGATGAGCGATTGCCGTTGCCGGCGATGTCGCAGCGCAGCGTTCGCAGGAACTTCAGAAAATATTATGCCGCCCCAGACCGCCTTGGAGCCGGTGGCCCACCCCCACTAGGCACGCACGCAAGCCCCACCAGGGGACCTGAGCTTCGTGACGGGTGGCACTTCAGTTCGAGACGGAGCTACCTTACCCTGCAGTCGATATAGCTGTTGGAGCTCTCGAGGTTTTTGACTTGACGATCCTCAGGCCACGTCGTTCGCCATCCCCTTTTCCCCCCTCTCCCGGAAGGAGGATCCGGGCAAGTGAAAAAAAAAATTGCGAAGCGAAATGAGGCAGAAGAAACCCACGTTGCTAGCATCTTCCCCAGTGGCCCCAACGGCAGAAATTTTTGGTCCCTGACTCTGGTTCTTGCATGGGGCTGGACGTATCGATACGCTCTCGACGGGGGCAGAAGGGTCCAGTCCCAGTGTCTCCAGTTGGACCCCCGATCCACCGCCTGGGCCAGACAGACGGGGGAATGACGGTTGTCCGTTGCAACCAGTGGCGGCGGTGACGAGTTATGAACGTCGTGCACCGGGTTGGTCGTACGAGTCCCGGGTGCAGCTCCGCGTACCGAGCCTTGCACGAAGCACAAGCTGGCAATCAATCACCGTATCCTAAAGTGGTCGCAACTAACATACTAACTTCGTACCTGCGGGAGCAAGGGACGGAGCATGGAGCCACCGCCAATACATAGCTTCGTACACATCCGTACATCCACACCGAGTGCGATGTACAGCACGGTACTTTCTTTGAGTCTTGCCCGACGACGTAATGAGCAGGCAGCCTGGCCGCACGGAGCCCGTTGCCCAGGCAAACCCGCCATGTCTTGGGTCCGACGAGAGACTCTAAGCGAGCGAGACCCTTCCGATTTGCTGCGACCCGGCCGGTTGGCCGGCGACGGCGCACAGGGCGACTGCTGCCGTGCCGGGGTTCCAGAACGCCGGTACCTCTGTCCTTTGCACGAAGCAATGATCATGTTATCCATCACGCAGGCATCGTGTCCGTCGGCCGATCTGCCTCGTGTCTGGTGCGATGGCCCAGATGTGGCTGGCCGTCTCTACCGTCCCGTCAGGGCCCCGAAACACCTGTGAAAGAAGCGCACCTGGTGGCTGATGGGCTGGCTGACTGGCTGGCTGGCTGGCTGGGGTTGCTGCTGCGCGGCTCCTGAAGCTGCTGCCTGGGCCGGTCCGAAGCCAGATGCGTCAGAGAGATGCGGCTGAATGCGACAGTCGGAGGCGGTGGTTTGGTTCATGCAGGATATTAAAATGAGGGCGTATCCCCAGAGTGCGGTCGCCACCTCGCGCGGGCTTGGGGTACGTACCTTATCTTGTGCTGACATGAAATGTACATACGACGTACTGCACAGTGCTGTGCAGCCCTGTTCCTGCAGCTTTTCTGCAGAACAAAGAACACTGCAAGTTCAAGGTTCCGCTGGCCGCTGCACTCCCAATCGTTGGTCGCCGCTGGCACGGCCACTCAGCGACCCTGGAAACGAATAGGCGGGGCGCATCGGACCGGTGTCGAATGAACTCTCCAACATTGGTCCCCTCTTTGGACGGGGCACGACGGGGTACGAGCACGTGACATCGTGGCGGATGGCGTTGCTGGGCGGGGTAAGCGACGCGAAAACGGCGCTTTGTTTACTTTGGCAAGCGCGTTGTTCCCGTTTACTTGTACATACGTACCTGCCTGCACCGGCCAAGGGCCCCCCCCGGCGGGCCAAAACGTGCGACGTGCGCGGCGGAGCAGCCCTGGTGCTCCACGAAGAGGGCATCCTGGCCGTTTCTCAAACGAACTCATGCACAATGCATCCTTCAACCCTCTCTGCGCTCCTCGGGTTTGCTCCTCACTTGTTTTCAGGAGCTTCCCACGGAGCTGCCAAGCAGGGGTTCCTTGGGGCCACCTGACGAGGCGATGCGGGCGGGGTTCTGTCGCCGACCGCTTCTTGTGCCCGCATTCGGACACACGATCGCGGCCCCAGACCAGCTGAGGCTCGGTGCTGACGCCGAGGGCGGTGCTGCGGCGACTGATTGGGCGGCCGTCCGATGGTTCCCGGCACCCCGTGGGCTTCGTGGTGCAAAGGTGCGGCGGCGACTCCGGCGGCTGCATGGCCAGCGAAGCGTCCGTGACGATGCAGTAAACAAAGAAGTCGCGCTATCGCAGCAGGCGCTGCGCGCATTGTCGATAGCGCACGGCACGGCTAAGCGCCTGCGTTGATGATGTGACGAGCGCGCAGCGGGGAAGCAAGCCATGAGGGGGCACCAGGCGGTGCGGTGCAGCGCCCGGGATGGTGGCTTTGTGATGACGATCATCCCGGATCTTCCGTCGACCGAAAAAACAAGCATCACTGGCGAGGCCGAGCCAAGCAACCGCATGACGTCGGGCTCACCTGCTCTTCATCCGCTGGCAAGCGATGTGATCGAGGGCACGAGTGCTTCATCGACGATGGACGCGGCTGTGACGCCGCAGATCTGGTCACGGCCCATTCATCGCATGGCCGCAATCCCTCCATCTCGTGTGAACCCTGTCGGGTCAACGTCATGCCAATGCGGCGGCCCAGAGCGACCCGGAGCTCCAGCCCGCCAGCACGGCCACAAGGCTGCGCCGACCTTGCAATGTGCCAGTCCAGTGAATGCTCCATCCGCCTGAATGCCAACCCTTGATGTGCGATGGATGAACGGCCATCTTCAGGTGCCGGTGAGGAAACCTCGACAGTCCCGCAGACGGGCGCGGTTCAAGTGCCTCGTCCATCCATGCAGACAGTGTTGCACCGGCGCTAAAAAAGACGACAAAACCTGGGCCGTGCAGTCTGACCCATTTGGATAAGCTTTGTTTACCGGGAAACGTCGTCGAGAGCTCTGACCAGGTCACGACCCAGCAGGGAGCGGAGCGATGTCGCTGGCACAAGTAATCATTCGCCGCCTGCGACTCGTCACACCCGCTCGTGTGCTGGAGGCTTGGAGTACGTACACGCACGCTGTACGGAGAAGTACATCCATGCAGATATATATGCACGGTTTGGAAGCAGCGGTTTCAACGCCGGTTCGTGTGCGTGCTTCATATACGTAGACACAAGCTGTATGTATGCTTGAACGAGACGGCCCCTTTGGAGCTGGCAGTGCGTCAGATATCGTCAGGGAGACTCAGTCCCCACGCGCTACAGGCGATGCGCAGTCGTATGATTGATTCACCCGCGCCCACATCGAGATTCAGGACATCCGCATAGTGTCGCGTGTGAGCAGCAAAGAATTCGACCTGGCGCCACCGGGTGAGACCTGTGTCTGGCCAGTCTTGGCCTGACGGACGGACGGGCCACAAAGCAAGCGCCCAAATCGCCAGCGCCATGCAGGGCGTTGGCGCCACGACGCAAGGGCAGAAGGCGACGCCAGAAGGGAGAGCGAGAACGGAGGGTCTGCTCAGATTAACAGAGACAGAAAGACCCTTAAAGCGTTCGACCCGGCGGAGAAGAGCGATTGCGCGCGCCCGTTGATTCGCCGCGCATGGTTCGCATGAGCAGGCGATAATCTCCAACGTTTGCTCGCCAGACCTGTCAGTTCATCCCCGGACTTGGACAAGTGCGTACCGTCGTACGTCCCGTCTGTCTCAACTCGGCAGCGGCGCCTCGCGGTGAACAGCCCGACATGCACGTCGGGTGAATCGCAGCCGGCACGCAGCTCGGACACAACAGCGGCGGGGCGGGCGGCAGCACGCGAGCTGGAATTCTGCTGTAATGACGGATCTCGGGTGGTCTGCTCAATGGGCCGGATCTGGCATCGGAGGCGGTGACGATGATGTCAGTCTGTCGGGTGCCCGACAAACAGCCTCTTACTTGGTGCGTGGTTGCTCTTCGTCAAGACGGACAAGGACTGGTGGACAGAAGGATGCATCGGGCGATGGCAAGCAGCTGCTGCAGCTGTGCTGTGCAGACCAGGTGCAGAGCATTGCCAAATGCACCGCTGCTCGACGCACTAGCTCGATACGATGCTCATGCTAAGCGCCCCCACGGTGGATGGGAGACGACATGGGCAAGCAAGGTGAGGAGGGATTGCCGACCATGATTCGCTCGAGAACTGCAACGGCAGGGCAAGGCAAGGGTTGAGCAAGTCCTTTGCGGCGACGAGGGAGGAGAGAATGACGCTTTTGGCCTGGGCGCGGCCCCACCCTCTGCTGAGCAACCAGCTGGAGCTCTTTTTTAGCTCCGAAGCTGGGACTCGAGGCTGTCCAGGGCGAGCCCGAGCCCTGCCGGGGGGGGTGGAGGAGAGGTTCCCAGGCGGGTGACGTTGGGTGCGATGCACTGCTGGAGTTGTGCTGCGCTCACAAAGGGCAGGGCAGGGCAGGGCAGGGCACCTGGGGCAGTGATTTGGATGTCCAGGGCACGCGCGGGTGGGGAGACCCCCATCGGTCGTCCCAGCCTGGAGGTCGTCCCAGCAGCGGCGCCCCCCGCCGCAACCGCCGCAAACCTGAACTCACCTGGCAACTCCCGGTGGAGCCCCGTTGGTCGCGTACCTGGCCGGGATCAGGGCAGCTGAGATACCCGAGGCGTCGCTTGTCTCTTAACCGCCCACCTCGGGCGGACCCATGTCCTGCTTGCCTGTGCAGCGCACGTTGGCGGTACCCGTCCCTGGGTGGGAAGTGCGGTACCGCTAGGTAAGGTAGTCCTGACTTGGGGGAGCTTGAGGTGCTCGTCAGTCGCGACTTGGCAGACGGCGCGCCCGCCTGCGGCTGTTTGGCGTCCGCCGCACAAACTCAATCGACCGCCTCGTCGACGCGGTCTCGCGCAGACCGAGCTCCGGGTGGCCCGTCCTGGCGCCTGCGGTTGTGTGTTATAGTGCTTGCTTGCTTGATTGACCGACGAGGCTCCGACAAGTCCGTGAGGTAGGTACGACGTGCGCGACGGGGCAACGAGCATCCAGATGTGTCACCCGCTCCGCCAGACTCGTGTCCCGTCGGCATGCAAGCTTCCCGTCCAGGTACAGCGCCTCCGCAGGTACCTCCCTCCACTCCGGCAGCCACCTCACCTCACCTCAGAGTCCCGTCGGGGCTTGCTTGCTTGCTTGCCTATGCCATGCCATGCCATGCCACACACCCGCGTGGGGCCTCCCTGCCCCGACACCCCTCCCCACCTGGCCAGGCAACCTGGAACCCCAGCAGCAGCGCCGTCCGTCTCACAGGGCTCCGGGCTCCCTTCCAGTGGAGGCTCCGTCCACCCACTGCCCCTCCTTCAAGTGCCCTGCCCGTGGCCGTCCTCCACACTCCGTGCATGCCCTGGCACTGGCTGCCCTGGCTGACCGGCGTCGCCCCGGCTCGTGCTCCTGGCACAGCACAACCTGGAAGCGGGCGCACGACGCACTGCACCGCGCCGCGCCGCATCAGCATTGAGTGTGCACGCCCGAGCTGCACAGGTTCCAGGGCAACCGCCCACACGGACTGACTGACGGCATTGGACCGCCCAGCGCGTCCTCGCACCACGCCCCGAACTCAACCCCCCGGCCGGCCGGGTGTGAGTCGAGGTACCAGCGGTACCGCCTGTACCTCCACTGCTGTACTTGCCCTGGCTGCCCGGGCTCCATCCATCCATCGTGCCTGCTCTCTCCAGGGCTGACCTCAGTCACCCCCAGCAACGTCCATCTCCATCCTTCCCAGCGCCCGTCCCGTTGCACGGCCCTTCAAAAGCCGTTGCTCCCTCACCCACCTTCGTTCCCTTCCCCTTCCCAGCCGGTCCAGCTTTGCGTGCATCCTTCGCCTTGCACGGCAAACCAAGACGGGAAGAACCTAGAAGGGTAGGAGAGTGTTTCGGGCCTGAGCTGCTGCGTCCTCTTCCATCTTGTCGACCACCCCACCACTCCTCGTTGCTGCCCGCTGCCAGAGAGACCGGACCAGCCTTCACGTCTCGCGAGTTCCGAAGCCGACACGCGACCCGGCCTGGACGCCAGAGATACTAGAGGTACTCTTGCGCCCTACGGCAAGCATCTCGTCGACCCGACGGTCCTCTGCATGCAAGCGCAGCCCGCAGCTGGCAATTCCTTCTCGAGGCCACCTCGAGCTAGGAATCCGCCCACCACACGCTGCTCCTGTTGCTGCTGACGATAACCTCGGCCTCCTTCCAAACCACGACTGTCGCTACGCCCGAAGCGTTTCCAGACCGACTTACAAATGCCCTCGCTACGAATATAACGAGCCACGATCCCTCTTCACACCAAGGACAGGCCTGGACCTGGGCTCAAGGAGGGGACCGGCGCTTGACCAGGTGCAACCTGCACAGGGCTCTCTGCAGCTCGGCACCCCGTCCTCCACCTTCTTTGTCCATACCTTCGTCCCGCCTGTAAACGGTCACGGCGTCCGTTGCCGTGGCATCAGGGACTTCCATTTAATACCTGCCGCTCTTTCCGTCACCATCTCTCAGCAGCGCAAAGCGTTCCTTGCTCGTCGACTCGTCACGCGCGAGTCCTCGGCAAGCCTTTCTCTCCCGCCATTATGGAAGCTTCTTCACCGTTGGCGGCTTTGCACCGCCCCATGATGCCTGCCCCCTCGTGGGGTGGCCGTGACATCTTCAGACCTCGTCCGCGTTCGCTCTATTCGAGTGGCTCTGCTGTCAGCGGCTCTTTCAGCCTGCGTGAGCAGCTGCACCGCGGCGGTGCTGACTACTTCAACGTCAAGGATGTCCGCGGCAGTTCGCCAGCTGCGAGCTTGGCGGCCGACCTGTCGCAGAACTTCCGTCTTGACAATGAAGCAAGGTATGCGCATTTGTATCCGCATGCATTCGTCCACGCCGCTTACCTGAACGTTTGCAGCCCTCAGTTCCCTACACCTCGGAGGGCGCTCTTCACGGCCAACGTCATGGCCGGCATGGAACACAGACGTAAGGATGCCTCACCTACATGGACTCTTTCTCTCTCTCGCTGCTTGCCCATGCTCACCTTCAACCAGAATTCGTTACCACGCCTCCCTTGCCCTCCTCTTCGCCGGGTCCAGCTCCCCTGACCGAACTGATGGAGGTGTCGCCCCTGCCGCATAAGACGCCGTTTGCCTCCACACAAATCGAGATCACATCTCCAACGCCCATCTCTACACCTACCGTTGACGACGATGACAATGATGATGAGATGATGCTCGACTCTCCAGCTCCAATTACACGTCAAGGCTCCTTGGAGCCGCCCAAACCTCTGGTGGCTGAGTCAGTTCCACCCACGCATTCCATCCATCTCCATAGCATCTGTACTGACAATTTGCCTTAGTCGCAAGATCGCGGCTCCACGACGACCATCTCTTAGCCGAATGAAAGGACTAACTACCAGCGCCATCCCTGGAAGAGCACAGGCCGAAACTCAACTTCCATCGTTCCATTTTGGGGCTGACACGAGCATGAGCTACTCGACATCGAACCTCTCTCTTGGAGAGTGCTTCGAGACCACGTCTCCTCCCCAGGACCGCAGGCCAAACTCGGCAAACAGCCTATGCGCCTCGATAGCAATGGGCAATCGCCCTCGCCCGCTGTTCACGGGTGTGACAGGAGCTACGGGCCACCGCAATGGATCACCAATGAACAACCACTCAAGGCGGCAATCGAACCCGTTTTTGAGAAACCGGAAACAGTTTCGCCGATCTCTCAGCATGTTCGAGCATCCCGCTGAGCTGATGAAGGGCAAGTCCGATGGCGAAGAGGCCAATGTCTCTTCGCTGAAGTCGGTGATGGACATCGAGGAGTCCCACGAGCCAGTATTGCCTCACTTTCTCCCAGACGACCCAACGGATACGATCCCGCGCATCTCAAAGGAGACGTTTTTGGAAGTCTTGGATGGGAAATATGCCGAACAATTTGACCAGAAGATGGTCATTGACTGTCGCTTCGAGTACGAATATGAGGGCGGCCATATCGACGGAGCAGTCAACCACAACGACAAGGAGCTGCTTGCGTCACAGCTCTTTCAGACGCCCATGGATGGCCGGACACTCCTCGTCTTCCACTGCGAGTACTCAGCTCATCGGGCTCCTCTCATGGCACGTCATATTCGTTCCGAGGACCGCACTGTCAATGCCGAGCACTATCCACGTCTGACCTATCCAGAGGTCTACATTCTCGACGGCGGTTACAGCGGATTCTTCGCCGACTTCCGAAGCCGGTGCTATCCCCCGGAATATGTTGAGATGAACGACGAAAAGCATCAACGCACCTGCGAGCGCGAAATGGGCCGCCTGAAGGCTCGCAAGGGTCTTGGCCGTGCGCAAACGTTCGCATTCGGACAGAGGGACCCTTCTGTTAACGACTCTCCCACGGCCCCCAGCCGCCCGGCATCTCGCATCGCCTCTATCCCCACCCTTGGACATTCGCCGATGCCCAACAACGAACGATCACCCGCACGCCGCATGGCGTCTTACTAGTCGGCACACCCTGCCTTCACTATTCTGCTCGCCACTGCCTGTCACGCAGCTGACGAAGCTGACTGGACCGTCTCCACCTTTGCTTGTTCACCATTTTCTTGTTCACAGATCTCCCCCGGCAGCGCCTTTGAGACGACCCAGCTTGTCTCGCGTTGCCTTGCATCACCGAGCGGCCGCCTTCGCGCCGTCGAAATACAGTCGCGCCGGCACGAAGGATCGTCCTGCGACATTGTGTCGCTCTGACAGCGTGGCCGTGGAGCCATGGCGTTGCTTCGATTCAACGCCCTTGCAGTCTCATTTGACTTGCATTGCTCTGGCAGGTGACTGCCGGCGGGTCTGAAACATGTCGCGGGAGTCCGGCTCCCTTGGAGATGTTCAGACATTCCCGCGTTTCTTTCGACTTTTGGCGTCTCAGCCATCGCCCTGCTTCTGGAGCACAGTTGGCGTTTGAAACCTTGACTTTGACTTCATCAGTCAACCTCCCTTTTCCTCATGTCTGCCCGATACGAAACTTTGGAGCTCCCCAACGACACACCACACATCACACACCGCTGAGCGATGAGCGACAGGCTGCGGCCTGACGCACGCCTCCGAGACCACCTACAACAGCCATTACAGCTTTCCTTACAAGAACCGACGGGCGGAATACCCCTCGCGCTAATCGCGCGGCGATACCCCAGACGACGATATGTGTTTCCTTTACCTGTTCATACTTCCTCGGGGCTGAAGCCCAGCGAAGCTATTCTTTTAATGAGCCGTCGCGCGCGAGCCACAGCGCGGAGACTTTTGATTGTAACACTAGCCGACCACGCATGGGCGAAGAATGTGTGGATGAGAAGTTGCCCGAAGGGGCTGCTGGTTGTACATTACTCAAAACCTAGATGCGGATCGCAATCCCTTCGAGGTTGGCTCATAGTCGGTGGCCGAGGAACATAAGCGAAAAAAAAGTTCTAAAATTACGAGACGGCCCGTAATCGTTGGTGACGTGCATGTGTCGGGGCGGGTGGCTGGCAACACGACGGGCGTTCCAGCCACCATGCATCTACGGCCCGTCGCTAGACAAAGATCACGGAGAGCGATACCCGTTTACTGGAAAATTCATTCCGCCGAGACTTCAGCTGTCACGACTGCATGTCTCAGCACGCTCCACATAATCTTCTGGTAGGCGGACGTTTCCCAGCCGAGAAACCTCACCGTACATAAGTGCCGGTAAGCCAACATTCCACGTCTGGAACTCCTAAACCGCTTTGATGAAGCGTCAGTGCCAAACCCAAACCCCTTGACCCGAAATTCGAAGTTTTCTTGCCCAAACGCCTAGCCGATGCGGTAAACTGCGGGAACGCTGCTGAAGAAGTAGCTCGGGTTCGCCCTAGCCGGCCCAGATAAGACTCGCGCGCAAACCGCCCGTGGGCCGTATACTGGTTTCTGGACGGCGGGGAGATTAACCCAAGGGATGCAAGCCAGTGGAAGAATCAAAAGAGGCCGATGCGATCCAAGGGGGTGCGCGCCTTGCTCAGGCGCCATCCTCTTGGAGGGTAAAGTCCCAGTCCTTAAAGGCCGAGCGGAAGGCCTCGACGTCGCGCGTCTCCTCCTCCTCGGTCTGCGCGCAGTCCTGCCAGGTGAAGCGGGCCTCGAGGCCAAGGAGCTTGGCGAGGACGCGGCGGCCGAACTGGAGGTTGAAGCGCAGGTCCTGGGGCAGCGGCATGACGAGGGACGTGCCCTTAATGCGGTCCTCGCCGTCGTCGGCCCAGAGCCACACGCGGAAGAAGTCGCCGCAGGCGGCCTGCTCGTTGAGGGCGAGGTCGCGCGACTTGAGGGCCGGGTAGCGTTCGTTCTCGGCCTCGACGCGGAAGGCGGCCTCGGCTACGCCCTTCCGGATCAGGTCCGCGGGCACGGCCACGAGCTGCCAGTGGAGGTGGACGTTGCTGTCGCGGCTGATCTCCCATGTGACGGCGCCGAGCTTGTGCGAGGAGCGCGCGGCGATCATGGCTTGCAGCGACTCGCGGAATCGCGTCATCTCCTTGTACGTCTTGACGGCCTCGCCGTCTGGCTCGTCGGTGGGGCCCATGCTGGGGATAGTGGGGGCGTGAGGCAGCGGGATGATGATGAAATGACCAGGGAAGTCGAGACTCTGTTCTGAAAAGGTCTTGGAGGTTGGTAGAGGGCCCTTAGCAGTCGTGAGGTAGGCGTCCTCGCCGATGCTGCAGCACATGTGCGCCGATATGTTGGGATTGGACAAGCAGAAGTAGCACTGATCGGGGCCTGGGGGCGGCATCGCGGCGCGCCGGCGCTTGTTGCGGCGGCCGTGGTGGTCATCGTGGTGTCCGAACCGGCTGTAGCCATTATCCTCGCGTTCACGTTTTGCTTGAGCCGGCGCGAAGGGCGATCTGGTAGCACCTGTCGGGGGAGCCGTGTCCGACTTGTTCAGGGCAAAAGCATACATGGCCTTCGCCTTGGCGTCGTTGCCGTAAGGGGCCATCGAAATGAAGCGCGTCGCGGCAATCTCATCCATGCTACTGGAGGTGGGATGCAAGAATGGCTCCCTCTCGTAGAAGAATGCGCCGTGGGAGGACGAGATGTGGTATCGAGGTTTTAGCGCCGCGCAGAGGTCGGCGATGGACTTTGTGCTTTGGATCGCGGCCTGTTGCGCAGGCTCAAGTCCCACCTTGGATCCCCTCCAGACATCGGCGGGCCACATGGACGTCAAGAGAATGTCGGCGGTGTTTGCGCCACGGAGCGCCCTGGCGTCATCCTCGGTGTGGAAGGGCAAGTGCTGCTCCTTTGACTGTCCGCCGACCAAGTTTGTGTCTAGAAGGCCGCCGAGGGAGACAATGCGGATGCCTTCCGACGTCTTGGTGATGCTGCGCTTGCCGAGGAAGTGCAGGCTCGGGCAGATTTCCTCGTCGGCTTCGACCTTGGCGGCGATGCGTGGGGGCAGAGCGTGCGTGCCGATGGTGAAGTAGGTGGGCAACGGCACCTCGAGCGCGCCGTTTAGCAGCGACGATATCAGGTCGTCATCGGTTTCGGGCGAGAAGACGTCGCCGGTGAGAATCGCAAGGGAGAAGTGGTTCTTTGCGTGGAGGGTGCCCAGCTTCTTTAAGGCCGCCTCAAGCTGGCCGTTGAGGCTACCGAGCACGATTCTGCACGCTCCTTGTTAGCAATGGCGAATGCACAGCTGTAACGCAGCTTTTTGACGTGTACGCACATCTTCGGAGCAGCCATCGAAGCGCGCTCGTGGGTGACTTGAGTTGTGGCCCTCGATTGCTCCGCCGGGCGGTGACGTTGGAGGCGAGTGGAGGAAGTGCCTGGAGTTTGGCCTGTCGTTGAAGCTGCGGTGGATGTTTTGGGAAAGAGGGCGATAAGTAGTTTTGCGCGCGGGGCGTGATTGGTTTTATGCAGCTCAAGTGGGGCCCCGTCCCGCGTTATCGGTTTTGCCGCGCATCAGCCGCCCAAAATTTTTGGGAAAGTCGACGGTGGGGAGCGACCCTGGAATTCTTACCCCGAGAGAGAGGCAAGCAAGACCTTCGTCCGTCTGCATCCTCAACTTCCTCCCCCCGTCTGCCGAGCCCTGCCGCCACGATGCCGTCCAAAACGTCTGGGCGCATCGAAAAGGTGCGCAAAAACAAGTTCTCGACACCCCACCAGAAAAACCACCGATGGGAGTCCTTCTCGACCAAGATCGCAAAGTTCAATTCCCTGCAGCCGCTGCGCAAAGTCCGACGCCATGACCTCGACTCGGAGGACCTGTCGGCCACGACGTCGTATTTCCAAAACGGCCTGCAAAAATGGGGGGAGCTCAACATCTCGAAGCCCTTCTGCGGCTTCAAGAAGGATGTCCTCCCGCTTTCGGAGAGCCTGGCCCAGATCCTGCATTTCAAGGACAGGATCATGAGCCTCTTCGCCCAGTACATCTCCCTGCAAGACAAAGACGCTCTGGAGCCCCTCCTGGACCTCTTGACTGCCTTTGCGCACGATTTGGGAGTTCGATTCGAGAAATACTACTCGCAGAGCCTGAGTCTGCTCCTCGCCATCGCCAGCAAGCCGCAGGACGTGGAGGTTATTGAGTGGACATTTGGAGCGTTGGCCTTCCTGTTCAAGTACCTGTCGAAGCTCCTTGTCCCCGATCTCCGACCGACTTTCGACGTTATGGCGCCACTCCTCGGCAAATCGAAGCAGCCGCAGCATATTGCTCGTTTCGCCGCCGAGGCCATGAGTTTCCTAGTCAGAAAGGCCGCCGCCCCGTCTCACCGCGAGACAGCTCTGGTGCCGCTCGTTGAGCATATCAGGCACGACCTTCGCAGCGTAGCCGAAGACCGCCAATTCACTCTCTACAAGGATGGTATCATGACCATGTTCGCCGAGTCCATAAAGGGGACGGAGTACTCCATCCACTCCGTCGGCAGCGCTGTCATTACGACTCTTATCGATGCCATTCCGGAAGACGAGAGCAGGTTGGCCAGGGAAACTGTCTGGACCGACGTGGTCTGCGGTGTTTTGACGAGCACTATACACCACGCTACCGTGGACACGTTCCGTGATGCTGCAGAGGACATCCTCACCTGCATCAAGGCCAGAAGAGAGCGCATTCAACAGTCCCCCACCCAGTGGCAAACGGTGCCTCTCATCAAGCTTCTCGGGGTCATGGCGGGTGTTCGCCGGGGCTCTCGGATCACAGCCTGGGATCGCATTATCCTCGAGCTCATTTCGATCCTCAAAATCACTGGCAAGGCGAATGAGGACGTCCGCCAGGATGAGAACGATATACTTTGGACGGCAGTCATCTCCAAAGTCGCCATTATATGGCACCACGCCCCAATCGACGCCCTGATACCGCACATTTCTTCGCTCAACCAATCGCTTACCCGAGGGCCGTTTATGCATTGGTTCATTCCCTTCTGCTCATACTTTTGCGACCTGGACGCAACTCGCTTTGGAAGTCTGTTCCGAACCGAGTTTCAGAGGTGAGTCGGCTGTGTCAAAGAATTCAACGCACCGTACTAATATCCGTCTCAGGTTCGTGGCAACCCACTGGTCGCAAGGCGAGAACGAGGACGTTCTTTGCGTGCTCCTCCCGCGCATGATCAAGAACAGGGCGTTCCCACCCATTGGCGACAAGGATTGCTGCAAGTTGCCCCAGGCTTGGCAGGATCAGATTGTGTCAAAGTTTGAGCGCCTGGAAATCTCGCCTTTCCCCGAGCGTGGACCGTACAACAAGGACCCGCAGGAATGGAGGGACCGGTGCCTGCCAAAATATGCCGGCCTCCTCCATCTTCTGGAGATCACAGCTGTGCACCCGTCGACGAATGCTCGTATCGCGGAACTACTTCTGCGGAAGCTCAAGTTGGCGCTACGCCCGTCGTCATCCCTGGCGTCCGACGAGGTGAATTTCATCGTCAGCCAAGGATTCCACGCCTATCTTCGTATGAGCAAGGCTTCTGGATCCGTGGACACCACGCTCAGCCCTCTTCTCCGCGCTGCCGTGCCACGATTCGGCCGCTCCGTCGGGTTCTTGCGAGCCTACCTGGCGTATGAGAGTCTGCAGCAGGACAAGTCTCAGTCCAACGATAAATCATCGAGTCCAGGGAGTGAAGGCTCTGCGTCGGAAGAGGATCCGGTGGTGACGGCCCTGGTAGAGAACCTCAGCTCCCCGTCTCATGATATCCGGTTGGCCTCTTTGGAGCTGCTGAAAAAGATGGATGTCACCCACGGCCCGTCTGAGTGCGTGGATATCATGGTCCAGGCTGAACAAATGCCGTTGGCCCTGGAGAACACGAGGACCATGGCCATGCTTCTGCGCAAGCTCGGTCAATTATACGCCTCCATCGACCACTCTTCCTGGCTTGGAACGGGTATCCCTCGATTTGTTTTTGGCATGCTTACTGTCAAGCTGTCACCCGTCTGGGATAACGCCGTGGAAGCCCTGCAGCTGATTACGCAAACCAAACCCGGTGAGGACGCCGTGGCTACAATCGCCTTCCAGTGGCTGGAGACTCAGTCTGCTCGCTGGACACCACCCAATTCAGAACTTGCCGGTTCTGGACGGCGGATATACACCGACTTCGAATGCACAGCGCTGGGAGGACTAGAGAAAGCTGCCGGCAGCATTCTGGACCTCACGGAAAAGGCAGATGGCATGCTGCTACGGGAATTCGACGAAAAGCAACAGTTAGCCGAGCCAATTGTTGTGACGGCAAGGGCACGCGCTTTGAAGGTCTTCAATGGAACCCCTTCCATCGCGGAGAGGAGGTCGCGTCAGCTTGTCCCGCACTTCCTGTCGTGGGCTCTCGATGAGGACGAAACAGACAACGTCACCTCCGAGGAACCGGCTTCTCTGGAAGGGTCGTCCTGGTCTTTGGCCGACCGGAAGGCTATGCTTGGTGTCTTCGCGCAGTTTGTCAACCCCAGGGTGCTATACAAACACGAAAAGGTGTACGAGGCACTTCTTCAGCAGATGGAAAATGGCGATGTCGAAGTGCAAAAGCTTGCACTCAAAGCCATCTTGGCCTGGAAGCAAGATGGAGTCAAGTCGTACCAAGAGAACCTCGAGTACTTGCTTGATGAAGCCCGTTTCAAGAACGAGCTGGCAGTATTCCTGCAGAGCGACGATATCATCAAAACTGAGCACCGACCGGAGCTGCTTCCGGTTCTTCTGAGGCTTCTCTACGGTCGCACCATCTCGAAAAAAGGAGCCGCAAGTGGCAGAAACGGGCTACAAGCCACGCGCTTGGCCGTCCTGCGAAACTTGTCCGTCGAAGACATGGGCAGCTTCCTGGCAATTGCCGCTGGCAAGCTAAAGGACGTTCGTGTTGCTGTCCCTGCTTCTCAGCGAGAGAAGCTCTTCAATGACCCTATTGTATCTGTCCGCAAACAGATGGGTTTCCTCAACATGATCTCGTCCCTGATCTCGGAGCTCGGTACCAACGTTGATCCTTACATGGATACTCTTGTCAACACGGTACTCTACTGCTTAGTGTACTCTTGCAGGCACCTCGGTGGAGCGGCCGCAGAGTCAGCGGCAGACGCCGAAGATCACGAAGAGAAAAGCAGTGACCATTCCCTGCTAAGGGTGACGAGGTCTCTGGGCATCAAGTGCCTGAACTCGCTCTTCCAGAATGCGCAGGGTTTTCAGTGGGATCCATACCAGGACATAATCTTGGTGGAGGTCGTCGCCCCGAGACTCGAGAACCTCCCTGTGGAGACTACACAGGGCATTTCGGGTCTTTTGCAGCTCATGTCGACGTGGTCGGTCCTCCCCAAGTCAGCCTTGTTCCTCGGCCCCCATGGGAAGAGCCTACCCGAAGGAGTTCTGCCAAAGCTCATTACATGCCTGTCTATTGAGAAGACAAAGGATGAGGTCAAGATATTTGTGCTCGGCATTCTGCAGAGCCTAGTCAAGCTCGCTTTGGCGCCAGCGAACGAGTCGGAATTCAACGAAGTCATCAAGGATGAGCTTCTCGACCCGAACGCAGAGGCAATGCTGGTCAACATATCTACCGTTGTTAAGACAACGACAATCAGCAACGACCTCCTCGAGGCATCCGTGGAGACGATTCTAGCATCCGCTCCCATCCTCCAGGACTTGAAGAATGCGCAGTCCGTCATCAGGATCTGTAGCTTCCTTCTCCAGCAGCCCCCGCGGCGAGTCAACCCAAAGACCAAGGGCAGAATCTTGCTCATTGTGGAGAGGTTCGTTGCTCTGCCGGACGCAGCAGAGGATCCGGCCTTGCTTGGCGAAGTTTACAACACGCTTTCCTCACTCTTCAGCTACTTCAAGGACAGAGAAAACCGCCAATCACTCTCTCGGGCTATGATTGCCATATCCGAACAGGATGCCGAGGTAGCCGAGGTCGCCAGCCTGTGCAAAGAGCTGAACTCGTTCAAGGAGGGACGGCTTGATGAGCCCGACTACGACAGACGACTTGCGTCTTTCACGGCAATCTCAACCGAGCGTGACGTACCTTGGACTCCAAAGCAATGGCTGCCACTTCTTCACAACCTGGTCTTCTTCATCAAGGTTGACGAGGAATTCGGCGTGCTGTCCTCGAATTCTGCCGACGGAATGCGCCGCTTTGTTCAAACCGTGGCCAACTGCACGACCAGCAGCCTCGCTGAAGGATTCGACGAGCATATGAGAGCAGTCCTCTTGCCGTCGATTTACTCTGGCGCGCGAGACCCATCTGAGACTGTGCGCCGAGAGAACTTGCGAGTGTTTGGATTCTTGTTGACGGTGATGCCGGACTGGGAGCCCGTTGCCGATCTCAGTGGTCTACTGACCGACCGTCAAGAGGACTCTTCGGAGCCGTCCTTCTTCTTCAATATCTTGAGCCCTGCGACGGCGAGACAGCTCGAGGCTCTCAACGCTCTTCAGTCAGCGAACGAGAGCAAGGAGATGAGCAGTCAAAATCTGGGCCAGTTCTTCATTCCTCTGCTGGAACACTTTGTGTACGGCCGAGCAGATGGGGGCGATGATCACGGTCTCGGCGCGCAAGCAACAACCACTATCGGCAGCTTGGCGTTGTCTCTCCACTGGAACCATTGGCGGACCACCTTCCATCGCTACATCAGCTATATCGAGTCAAGGCCTGAAGCGCAGAAGCAGACTGTCAGGCTTCTGGGCAAATTCGCCGACGCGCTGGTTCTATCAGTTGCCGATCCGGCGACCGAGGCCATGGATGTGGATGAGGCAGAGGCATCACCGGCTTATGCAAAGAGACTTCGCCAGACAGCCCCGAAGATTCCGCAGCTCTCTACCGATGTCTTGGACTATTTCCTGCCTCCGCTTGTCAAGCATCTCCACGAGAAGGACGAATCCGAGGTCAGCTACCGAGTACCCGTCGGCGTTGTCGTCGTCAAACTTCTAAAGCTCCTGCCTCCGGAACAAATGAACCAGAGGCTTGCCGGTGTCCTGACGGATATCTGCCATATTCTACGCAGTAAGGCGTGGGAGTCCAGAGACATGGCACGAGATACTTTGGTAAAGATTGCGGTCATCCTTGGCTCGTCGTTTTTCGGCTTCATTCTCAAGGAGCTGCGAGGCGCGTTGACCAGGGGTTACCAGTTGCACGTCCTCTCCTACACGATGCACTCTATTCTCGTGGCCACGGTGCCCACCTTTGCTCCTGGCGACTTGGATCACTGTCTACCGGCCATCGTCAACGTCATCATGGACGATATCTTCGGCGTCATTGGTCAGGAGAAGGACGCCGAAGGCTACACCACGCAGATGAAGGAGATTAAGAGCAGCAAAAGTCAGGACTCGATGGAATTGGTGGCCAAGAATGCTTCGGTCACCCATCTCATCCACCTGGTTAAGCCTCTGCAAGCTCTCCTGCTGCAAAAGGTCGATCTAAAGATGGTACGCAAGATTGATGCGTTGATGGGCCGTATCGGTGCAGGCCTTCTACAGAACCCCGGGGCAGAGACTCGGGATACGCTCGTCTTCTGCTACGAAGTCATCCAAGCAACGTACCGGGCCCAGCAGCCGGAGACGATCCAGAAGCTGGATCCGAGGATCCGGAAGTATCTCGTCCAGAAGGGAGCCCGGAAAAGCGGCGAGCGCGGCAAGACCACCAAGCACACATACAAGCTGGTCAGGTTCGCTCTCGATATCCTGCGATCCATGTTCAAGAAGCACGACAGCTTGAGAACCCCAGCCAACATTTCTGGATTCATCCCGATGCTGGGCGATGCCATTGTGGACGGTGAGGATGAGGTCAAAATTGCTGCCTTCCGCCTTCTTGCTGTCATAGTCAAGGTCCCCTTCACATCGGACGACGGCAAGAACATCTACAAGGTAGCGGTCAAGGAGGCAACCAAGAGCATCTCGATGTCGACTTCCACGACCACAGACCTGTCCCAGGCCGCCCTGAAGATGCTGTCTGTGGTGCTTCGCGACCGCCGAGACGTCGTTGTGAAGGAGGCCGCGGTGGACATGCTTTTGGGCAAGCTCAAGGATGACTTTACCGAGCCACTGTACCGCCATGTCACATTCAACTTCCTGCGATCTGTCCTGGATCGGCGAATCGAGACTGCACTGGTCTACGACACTGTGGACCACGTTGGCACAGTGATGATACTCAACGACGACAAAGACACGCGAGATCTTGCCCGCGGCGCCTTCTTTCAATTCATCAAGGAATATCCGCAGAAAAAGGCGCGCTGGAGCAAGCAGCTCGACTTCGTCGTTGCCAATCTCCAGTACAAACGCGAAGGCGGCCGGCTGTCCATTATGGAGGTCATCCACCTGCTGCTCATGAAGTCATCGGATGAGTTTGTTCAAGAAGTCGCGGGAACTTGCTTCCTCCCCCTGTTCTTTGTTCTCGCCAATGACGATAGCGACAAGTGTAAGCTCGCGGCGGGCGAGCTGCTGAAGGAGATCTTCCACAAGTCGGACAAGGAGCGCACGCAAAAGTACCTGACCCTCCTACGATCTTGGCTGGAGAAGGACGACAACCCGTCCGTCCTCAGGCTTGCGCTGCAGGTTTTCGGCTACTACTTCGAGTCCAACGATGATGCACAAAAGAACACGAAGGACTGCAAGCTAGTGCTGGAAAAGTCGGCAGGTATTATTGGATCCGAGGATGTGAGCGTCATGGACGAGCAACTCGTCGAGACGACGCTTGGGGTTGTTCGCCTCTTCACCATGACGATGCGCGCACAGACACTGTCGGCAGACAGGGAGGAACTGTGGGCGGACGTCGCTGGCTGCCTGCGGCACCCCCAGACGACCGTCAAGTTGGCGGCTGTGAAGCTCATCAACTCGTATCTGGTCGACTTTGCAAAGCAAAAGTCGAGCACCTCATCTGGCGAGACCATCGAGGGCTCGCACGGGCTCACGCTGACTGTCGACGACGTATATCGCCTTGCTCGCGTGTCTCTAGGCACGCTGAATGGCAACGAGGTGGACGAGGCCCTCGCCTCGGAGCTCGTGCAGGTACTGGTATTCCTGGGCTCCTGCCTCCCAGCCACGTTGGCTGTCGCGGACGAGGCTGGTCTGGAGGCCGGAGAGGAGGATGAAGACGCGGAGGATGCTGAAGAAGGTGACGATGAGCGGAAGAAGAATCTGGACTACCTCTTCTTGAGACTGTCCCACATTCTGCGCAAGGAGGTGCGCCCTCGGGCAATGGCCATCAACGGCAAGGTTGCTGCCATGGAGATCATGGAGACGATATTCCGCCGACGCTCCCTCAAGCAGACGCGACCGTCGCTCAAGACGATCCTGTCGCCGTTGGCGCAGCTCACGGATCCGTCCATCCCGACACCGTTCAGCAACGACGAGCTCTTCAAGACCAAACTCGAGGGCGTCAAGACTCGGGCCCAGATCCTCATGGACTCGCTGCAGAAGAAGTTTGGTACGAGCGAGTACAGCACGGTGCTCATGCAGGTGCGCGAGGAGGTCAAGGCGAGGCGGCAGCAGAGATCGGCCAAGCGCAAGATTGAGGCGATTGCGCAGCCAGAGAAGTATGGCAGGGACAAGCGCAAGAAGTTCGAAAAGAACAGGGACCGCCGCAAGGTGCGGTCCAGGGAGCAGAAGCAGGCGCGGCAGTCATACAAGGGGTGGTAGCCTCGTCGACACGTTACGAGCATGCATCGGGGCGGCGTTTTGGATTGGAAAAAAAGGGCTTCATCTTTTTGTGCATGGCCCTGCGGCGTTGGGGGCCCATCTAGTTATTATACATGGTGTTATAGAGACATACATGACAACCACGACATCTTGAAACAGAAATTGTGCCGTAGTGTCCGGCTGCAGTGGAGGTGTCCAAGCAAAAGGCGTTGACAATGAGGTACCGAGGGTATGGCTTGGTAGGCGTAGCGCTGAACGCATGGGTAGATGGGCTGTGTAGATCTTTTGTTACATGGTTTCATGACGGGTCGTGAGGCGGGGCGGGCGAACGGCGAGGAGGACAACTACGCCGAGCCGCCCGGCTTGGTCGCTGATACGTCCTCGTCGGGCCAGAACTCGATGTCGCCGTCCTCGCCGAGACTGCCCCTCTTGACGAGGTTGCCCTTTTCGCGCATGAGGTCCTCGACGGTGACGGAGCGGTCGCCGAAGATGCCAAGGTGGTCGCTGATGACGTGCCTATTGCGGCAGCCGGGGCAGGTGATGAGGACGGAGCCGCCGTGGTAGCCCTGCTTGGAGACGTTGTGGTGGGAGCGGTGGCCGCAGGGAACGCAGGTGAAGGAGAGCTGGTAGTAGGCCTGGTTCTGGCCCGGGGCGGATGACGGCGCGTCGGGGCGGGCGCCCTCGGAGGCGGGTGTGTCGGCGCCCGATGGGGCGGCCGCGGCGTGGGAGTCTGGACTGACGCGCCGCCGGGGCGGACGAGGGATGGAGTGTGCAGCGCGGAGGGGCGTCGTCGAGAAGAGGGTTCGTGGGATGAGAGCCGTCGCGGCGACGGGTTGTGCGATGCGACGGGCGGATGGGGCTGATTGTCGCAGCGGCGGGAGGAGGCGCGCGGAGTGCCGCAGGAGCGGCAGCAACTTGGACGCCATGACGGAAAAGAGGATTGTCGCGGGTTCTCGAGAGCTTGCTTGCTAGCGACGGTTGCGAGATGAGGTACGGTGTTGGAGCTTGACGCTGGAGGTCTGTCGTCAAAATTTTTGGGACGAGTTGGAAGGTGCACGCGCTGGACTGCGTATCTCGGGCGCGCTTCCAGAAGCTGCTGCGATGGCACGTCATTGGCAGCCTTGGCGCCGCAGCATCGCTGGGCTTGCGCTGCTGTGGGCCCAACCCATGCACCCCTTGGTTTTACTGGGGGCTCCGGGCTGTAAGTGCAACTCTTGCCGACGGCCTGGCAAGACTGTAACTTGAAAGGTGAATGGCATCAATAACATCGTGTGACATCATGAAACACCCTTGGGCAAATGCTCATCACCTCGATGGAAGATGTGAAATGAGAGGTTTTCTTTTTCTGACCTGACACACGCAAATGGGCGGCTGATCTCCCCTGTCTTTAAGCAAGGCAAGGAAGGAACCGCCGTTCAGGGTAGCAAGATGGAAGGCGCGCAGGACGGGGAGAGAGCACGCTTCCTGCCTGAACAAGAGCCAAGATTTAGTCATGCGGACGCGTGAGGATTTGCCAGGGAAGGAGCGTCCGCAACACTCGAACGACTTCATCGTACGAGGAGCCGTTGCTGACGGTTCGAGAAAGCGCAACATGAGAGCACCCAGCTGGGACGGGACGGTGCCGGGTGGGGTGAGACAACGAGGTGCCGCGTCCGCGTCCGCTGCCGCTTCTGCTGTGGAAATGCCCATGTCCAAGCGTACCTTGGGTAACCCGTGAATCTGCGCTGTGCAGTCGCAACCCGCGCGGGTTGCTAGTTTGGCTACGGTGTGAATCAGATGGAATTGGGCGGTTGCAGGACCTCATGTCCTCTGTTCAAGGAACCCCTGCTGGCGACCTGGAAGCAGCTCTCTGCGATTCACTCGAGTAACGGCACCAAGCTCGCCCGTATATCATACCCGCCCGTGGTGTTGGGTTTCTGCCTCGCCTTCGACCTTTCTTCCCCAACCCGCACTTCTCCGGACCTGGCTGCTGATCTCGTCCAACTACTTCGTATCTTGGTTTCGACGTTATTCCACGAAAGCTATCCGGCAGACCTGTCTTCTCGTATCGACCTCTTGCAGCGCCAGAATGCATCGGGTCACTTGTCTCGTCTCGCTGCTCCTCCTCGTGGGCTCAGCGCTAGCCGCCACGCTCTACGAGGACCTCAGCCACGCTTTCGCCATGGTGAACGCAGCCCGCCAAGCCAAGGGCATACCAAAGCTCTCTTGGGACGCCAACCTGGCCAGCGACGCCCAGGCATGGGCCAACGCCATGGCCACTGACATGGTCAAGTTCTCTCACGCCCCCAGCCAGTATCGCCAGAACCAGGGCGAGAACATCTACGATAGAGAATCCGGCCAGGGAGACGTCGAGTACGACAATCCGGTGACGACGGCCATGCAGGGCTGGCTTAGCCAAGCGCCGCTGTACGATGACAAGCCCGTCACGGGCAACGAAAAATGGCTGCACTGGTGTAAGTGGTCTCGCCGCGTGCCGTACCACTACTGCGCGTTTCACAGGGTACTGATACGCAGTCAAATACTTGCAGCGCAGTGCATGTGGTCCAACACGACATCCATCGGCTGCGCTCGCGCCTATAGCATTTCAGTGGCCTACAAGGTTTACGACGTCTGTCGCTTCTCTCCTCCGGGCAATATGTGAGTAGCGCTCTACCAGCTGGCTTGACAGTCGTGATTGAGCTGACATTGGGCGACAGTGTTGGAGAGAAGCCGTTTTAGCGCAGACGTTCAACGGAGGCAGCGCTGTGCTTTGACACTGGATTGGTGAACACCTGTTCGGTACCGGGTTTGGGAGAAGGGGTGATGGTCGTGGCTGGGACCAGGGACTCAATGGGGGCGCATATGCTTCAGGGACCGGGCCTGGATGATTTGGAGGCGGACTGATACTTTGGTGCGAAGGAATTAGCAACGGAGCGGGAATAAACCTGCCCACTTACTACCGGCACATGATCGCAACAGGGAAATGGTCATGAAGTTGTATGCATCAAGTGGTGATGTGCCCAATTCTGTGCACCGGGCCTATCTTCGTTTTGGTGGCTGCGCGCCGCTTGGCAAGGCCACTATAGAGCCTTGGGGGCATAGTATTAGAGTCGAAATTAAATTCACCGAGACGGATCTTGCTTGATTGACTGCCATTGCCTGTATGGAGCTGTGAGGGGGACATGGGCGGTAGGATGTCCACGACTCGAAGGAGAGTCGGAGCGAGTGTGACGTCCCCGGCCGGGGTAAATGGAAACCTGGCTAGTCCGAAAGCAGCAGTATATGCTACTGTTCTGGTGCGCCCCGCTTATTCAGACAGCTGCAGCACGGCAAGTGCCGATTTTTTTGGCCAGCGACGCGCGATTGAGAAAAGGATGGCATTGCCCGAGTCGCGACTCCATCAGCCTCGCTCGCATCTCTGCCTCGCCTCGAACCCCCACCCGCAGCCGCCATCAACCATCAACCATCGCCAAAACGCCGTCATCGTGCCTCGAAGCAACGCACTGCCGTACCGTCGCGCGCACCGACAAGGGGCACAACCCGGGCCCGCATCGCCCACGCGTACAATTGGGCACGAGAAGCTCCCTTGCGCGCGTGTCAGGGCCTCGCTCGTCCCCCGCGCCTCTCCCTCCCTCCGTCCTCCTTTCCCGGGAGACATGCAGTGACGGCCGGCCACGATGGAGCGATCAAAACCCCAGGCCTTCCAGTCGACGTACGCGCCGCGGCTGCGCGCCTACCACAACTCCCTCCTGACGCCCGTGCTGCCGAGTGCGCCCTCGGGCCCCATCTCGAGGACCACCAAGCGCGGCACCACCATCATCAACTACGCCGAGGATGGCTTCGACGACCTCGATGACGATAGCGACGACCCCCGCCGCCGGCCCACGGGCTTGCGTAGCCTGCGCAAGGAGGACTCGGCCTCGCGCGAGTCCATGATCGACCGGGCCGGCAAGGAGACCAGGGAGCCCGTCGACGTCCAGGGCATCTGGCGCGACTGGATGGGCAAGCACCGCTTCGTTAAGAGCGACCAGCAGAACGCCGCCCAGGCCAGCCTCCCCCTGACCCTCATCCCCATCCGCATCGACCTCGACGTCCCCCAGTTCATCCCCGCCGCGCCCTTCCCCCCGCCGAACCCCAACGCTGTGGACATGTCCATGCCGCAGTACCGTCAGGGCGAGCTGACGGTCCCCTACAAGCTGCGAGACATCTTCTGCTGGAACCTGCACGAGACGCTCATCACTACGGACCAGTTCGCTCAGACCCTCGCCCAGGACCTCGACCTTCCGAACCGCGCCAGCGCCGTCGCGGAAATCTCCAGGCAGATCCGCACCCAGCTCGAGGAGTATGCCGGCGTCGCCCTGCATCCCCTGTTCCATACGGAACAGCAGGTCCCTGCGCCACCTCCGCCTACGCAAGCGCAGACTGGCGCCGCGGCCACGCCCGCTGCCGCCCCGACCAACGGCATCACGGTGAGCACGCCGAGGGCCAGTGCTGTGCTCAAGTCGAGGGAAGACTCCCCCATGTCCCTGGCGAGAGGTCTGTCGAGGCCCGACACGCCAGCACAGACGGGGGGACCGGCCACGCCGACTCCAGCTCCCAATGTGACGGCCGAAGCCACACCGATCCTTCCCGACTCCGACGACTACAACCCCGACGACACGTACCGCTGCGTCGTCAACCTCAACCTCAACCTGGCATCCATGCTGTACACGGACAAGTTTGAGTGGTCGCTCCTCCATCCTCCTGGCACGGCCGAAGCGTTCGCCAAAGTCACCTGCGCCGACCTCGGACTGACGGGCGAATGGATTCCGGCCATGACCCACGCCATCTACGAGGCCGTTTTGCGCCTCAAGAAGGAGGCCTGCGAAGCCGGCGGCCTGGTTGGCGGCTGGGGTGGCGCGCAGCAGGACCTGCCCAACGACGCGGCCAACGGCGCCGAGTCCGGCTGGAGGTACGACCCCGACCACCTGGCCGACGACTGGGAACCCAAGGTCGAGATCCTCAGCAAGGAGGAGATGGAGAAGCGCGAGGGCGACCGCGAGCGCCAGGTCCGTCGCCTGCGCCGCGAGACGGCCCGTTTCAGCTCCACGGCCGGCATGCTCGGCGGCACGCCCTTTGGCGCGCCCGCCATCGACTTCGAGGAGGAGCGCATGGGCCGAGGCGAGCGTTCCAAGAAGAAGCGCCGCTTCCGCAGCCTGAGTCCCCTCGGCCGCGGGGGTACGCCTGGCGGTCGTGGCACGCCCGACGTAGGCGGCTACGGCGGCGGCGGCGCCCTGACCGACGCCGAGAGGACGACGTGGCGATGTTCTCACTGCCGCGTCTGGGGAACCAGCGTCTGGGCGGTTCGCGACGGGCCTGCCGGCTCAAAAGTGAGTTTCCTCCAAAAGATGCATCTCTGGGGCATCCTCCCACCTATTGCCTCCCCCTACCGCGAAGTCCCTCTACGTGCAGGCGGCTAACCAATTCGCTTGACAGACCCTATGCGCCAACTGTGGCTACCTGTACGAGCGCGACCGCAGGCTCCCGCGGCAGACCAAGAACCTGCACCTGGCAGACGCCCGGGCTGCCTAAGGACAGTCCTTGGCCCAAGAAGGGAAAAAGTTCTAGAAGGATGGGCGCGTCCCCGACGAAGGCGTGGGCGGCACGCAGGCCGGCTCTTAACGAAGCCCCCCTTTCGCAACGTCACGCAACCCGTTGCGGTGGCTATCCCACCACCACCACCATCACCACGATTCTCGCTGCCTCGATGGATTTCGCTTCGTAATCCCTGGCGAGCCGACGAGATGGAACATGTACCTAGTGTCCACAGCAGAAGGGGAAAGGTCTGAGAGCAGCTCCGGCGGAAAAAAGGGGGTGGTGGGGTTATTCGGGGAGAGTAGAGAAGAGGAGAGAACGGGGAGCGGGGGGGTACCTGGTGTTGTTTGGGCGAGTTTCGGCGTCTCGGGAAGGGGGGGCATGACAATTCTTGAATCTGGTTTTCGTCTTCTTCTTTTCTCGCTCTCGCTTCCCTCTCACGCTTGCGAGTCGCACATGTCTGTACAATACACACACGGGGGCCGGGGGCGGAATGGGGGATGTCGCGGGCCCCTTGGGTTAGGCCGGAGTCATATTAGATGCTTGATGCAAAAAGAGGTATGCCATCACATGCGCCCACCCGCTTGCTGGGAGTGATTGCTCGAGTACTCGGAAAAAAGACAACCTGTGATTGTGCAAGATACAATGAACGGCCCGACGCCGGATTTTTACAGGTAGACAGCACGAGCGAGCATGCACTAGGACTGTCTGAACGCACCGCTGTTGATGTACATCTATCAGAAAGGGTATATCTACTGACCGGTCCCCCACAGTCCGTCCGGCACGCCATGTCCAAACGCCATCGTGGCCACACACGTCAAACCAACCTCAAAAAGGGGGCCACCCCCAGTCCTTCAGCGAGGTGCTCCTCCTCCACCCTGCGTCATCTGCGACGGATCAACCCCAGCCCACCTCATGTCAATCATCTGGCCCTGCATCTGCGGAGCCATGGCTTGGTGCATCTGGTACTGGACCGGATGCTGCTGTGCTGCCGTCTGCATTCGCTGTCGTTTCTTCAGGCGCTCGAGCGTCTGCCCAACACTCTCCTCGACGTGGTTCTTCAGCCCTTCCGCATCCATCCAGCGCGTGCCGAATATGCCTAGTGTCTGAGGGATCCGCTCGAGACACCATATACTCCTTTTGAGGTTTTCGTCCGCTGGGTTGCCCTGTGGCAGGTGACGACGCGGAATCGGGGGAGCAGGTGGTGAGCCCGGCAACGTTGCCGGAGGGGCAATCTGGACTCCAGACAGCACCAGATCTTCAGGATCATTGAGTGCCGCGATGAACTGATTGGCCATGAAGTAAACCTTCCACGCATCCAGATACGTATAGAACGCCTGACTCAGCCCGGCATGTGCTGTGTCGTACATGCTGTCGAGGTAGGCAAGGGAATATTCAAATATGAGCTTCCGTTGATAGCTGCTGAGCTCGGGTGCTCTGGACGATGGAGCGAGACAGTAGACATAGCTGTACCAAAGCTCCTGCTCAAACATGCGTCGTGTGCCTGCTGAGAGGGTTCCGGGCAATTTCTCACCCCAGTCCCTCATATCCAGGCATATCTGCCACAGAAAGCCTATCGGGTTGGCAAGTGGCGGTGCCCTTGATTGGTAGAGTTCTTGATACCAGCATGACTGCGCGTGGCGAAGCTGGAACAGTAGTAGAGCCTGGTCTGCTGACTGTGGCCCCAAAATTGGCTCCGAAGGCGATTCTTTGCGGCCCGCGTTTCCGACCTCCGGGAATTTAACATTGACGGACTCATCGGTAAAGGAAAACGTCCGGGTCTGAGCCATACTGATGACGCTGCAGTTTCGATGGTTAGTATCGCCTGGCATAGGGACGGAGAAATTGTGCTCACCGGTCTAACGCATAAGTGCAATAGAAGATTTTGCGCCTCATATCTAGGGCGGACTTGTCCGACACCGACGACGATGGCGGGTCTTGGTGAAGGCCCAGGTCAACGACTGCTCGCGTGGTGAAGCCAATGAGGTGCCAGCTGTCGAAGTGCGTGGGATCCAGGAGTGAGTAGATGGTGAGAAGCAGCAGTGACTGGATCTGCGTTATGTATCCCGGGGCGAGTGCCTTGTCGGCGTGGCTCAAAGCCTTTGAGACGAAGTCGATGCCCTGGCGATAGTAGCTGTCGTTGATCCTTTGGCTCTGGACTGTGGCGCCGATGGCGAGCACCATGTACATGAGCCAATAGTCCGAGTCCTTGACGATGCGGCGGTCCTGTTGATACACGTCGTCGAGGATAGCCCATAGAGTCGTTTCCGAGAAGCAGGGGAATAGCGAGTAAACGCCCACCATGAAGGCCTGAACGAGATCCTGGGCGGCCTGTCTGGGGGGCAAATCGGGCTTCCTAGGTTCCGGGATATCGTCATTGGTGGTTGCAGCCAGAACAAGCCTCGCAAAAGTGATGTTGCTGGCCGACGGCTCGAAGTCTCGGGTCATGGCATCAACAGACCTGTGGCGAACCCAGAGTCAGCATCTTACGTGGCGGCTTGACAACCATGGCTGACGCACAAAGATCCAAAATCCGAGACGATGGAGTTAACATCGTGATTCTCGCGGTGTTTGGCAGCCTTGCGATGGATGGCGGCACGGATGGTGGCGAGCGAGTCCCTCCTGTCAACTTCGGATGCAATGGAAGCATCTGGGTCATGCAGGGCGACCGAGGCCTTGCGCGACTTGGCGTATTGCAGCCGTCTTTCAAGCTTTTCGATGCGCAGCTCCAGTGCCGCGACATAGCTTGCGAGAGGCGTTAGCGGGCTACGTTGGCGCGCGGGCTGGATGCTGGACCTACCTGCGCTCCTTTCCGCGCGCAAATTGGTCGTTGGCAGCGGAGCATTCGCTCTGGCGGCCTGCCTTTTCGCAGGCAGTGCAGGCAGGCAGCTTGCCGTCACACTGACGGTATACCGGTCAGCAACGGTCGGCAACAAGGATTGGCGCGCGTGGCGACGGCTGATGGCTCTCACCTTGACCTTGGCGAGCCGACCTGATGGCAAGGATGTCAGGAGCAGGACGCGCACGGGGGGCTAGTGCCTGGGACTCACATCGCGAGCAGGCTGAGACGGGCCGTGAGACCCTGAGGAGAGGATTCCGTGAGAAGCTGGTGCGGGGCATGGCGCCGCTTGCGCTCGCGCTTGATGGAGGGGCTTCAGCGATGGTGATGTCGTCGCACGGTGCAGCGTCTGTCGAGGCGAGTCGCCCTGGCGAGGGACGGCGAACTTTTGACGCTTGGAACAGCTCGGCCCAAGAGAGAGGGTTGGCGACGGAGCTGCCGAAAGTGCGTCGCGAAGCGATGATGTGCAGCTGCAATGATGAAGATGACGCGCCTACTGAGCCGGAGCCGACGCCAGTTGGCAGCGGATGGAGTCGAAGTGGAGGGGGGGACTGGTGCCACGCGGTTGGGCCAACCAGACGAACCGACGGGCTGGCCTGGCAGCGTGTTATTTGGTGAGGCAGCACAGCACTGTCCGTAGCCTGTCGCCTGCCCGGTGAAAGCTGCGGCGCAGAGGGGGGAGAGAAAGGGGGCGTTGATTGAACGAGGGTCGGGTGGTGGGTTCGTGAGGGTGCGGCGGCGGCGGCGGGTGCAGCGGGTCGAGGCTCCGTTCGGGATGGCGCTGGGGTCGGTACGGGGTATTTGCTAGGTACATTTTGGGGCAGGTCGGGCTCCAGGCGAAGCGGTTAGGGCGAGGCTTGGCTGGCGGGCACAGCGGCTAGGGTATGGCACCTGCAGCTCTGGAGGCACGGCGGCGGGTGGGCGGGCTGGCTAGCGACGGGCAGCACGCACCCACCCACGGGCCACTGTGGAAGGCCCCTCCAGTGGCCTCGCCAGTCCCTGCAAGGCCAGCGCTGCTGCTGCCGGACTGCCCCCAGGCGAGTGAGGTCGGGACTGCCGGGCCGTGAGATCGTTGCTCATTAACCTAGGTACTTACTAGACCTGATAGTCGCCTAGTAGTATGTTAATTAATAGTAGACGCCTAGTATTATAAACCCCGTCCCCTAGGCAGGCAGGCCAGCTGGCAAGGCATGGTGTGGTGAGCGCCAGGCGCTTGGCGGTGCGCATGGGGCAAGATAATGTAGGTCCCTGCGATCTAGGCCACCCACCCACAGCCTCTCTAGCTGCGATTCTTCCCTGCAGCTCGGGCTTCCGGATCGGGCAACCTGGCAAGGGCGCGACGACGAGACGAGACGAGACAAGACGCGGCTGACAGGTTCGGGCACGGCCGTCGACGTCTGGGCCGGGGTGAGATACTCCAGTCGCGTCAGCTCCTCCCCAAACACCACTTCGTACGTCGGATGGCCGACGCCCGTCATGTCATGGCATGTACATGGGCAGGCTCCAGATGATGCCCTGGACTCGTGCGCTCCCGGAGCCGGGACGCCGGGACGCTGCAGGGGTCTCGGATATGCAGATTTGACAGACGGGCTCGCTCCAGCTGGCCTGTTGGACGTGCGTGCCGCGGCCCCGACATCAGCTTCGGACGCGAGACGCGGAGATAGAGACGCCGGCGGCGCCGGCGGTGGCCAGAGCGTCGACGGGACGACGCCGTGCTCTTGACAGTCGAGTGACAGCGGACGGCAACAGCGCCGTGGCTTCGACGCCGTCGTCCTATGACGAGACGAGGCCAAGGCGAGGCTGGAGGCTCCAGCGGCGGTTCTAGAAAATAGGGTTTCCGGCTAGGAAGCCTCAACCCACTCACACGACACCGCCTGGTGCGACTGCAGAGGTCGTACATAATAGGTAGGTACTCTTCACTACTAGTGGTAGGTACTTATGGAAGGTACTGCGGAATAACCTACCTTTCCTGCCTTCTTGCCAAGCCAACCTCGCCCTCATCAAGGCTGCCTGCCACGCGTGCGTCCTCGAAACGTACCTACCTCAGCTGGCTGCTCGGCTGAGACTCCGTAGGTTAGTACGAGTAGTTCCATGGTGCGTCGTCCAACTATGGCAAGATCGGCCTGCTGCACCCCTTGACCCGAGGGCCCCGAATGCACCGAAATGCCCGGCGCGCCTCCCTCTCCCCCCCGGACCTGGAGCTGCAGCTGGGCGGGAGCGAGCGGGACGGCATGGTGGGTTTTGCTCATGACGGGCAGGAAGGAACCACTGGGATGGTTTCCAGTGTTGGGTACATACGTGCAATGACAATCTCCGCTTGCGCGGCAGGGCGGCACTCAATCAGTGCATACCGGGGAAGGCGCCAACTTCCAAGATGAGGTGGGCACGCCCGCGGTGGGCAGTGGGCACAAAACACCACGGAAGGCGCGATTGCTTCGCGCTGCCGCCAAAGCTGCCGAGTGTCGACCAGGAAGGGAGCTTGCTCCTGACCTACCTTATCCGACGCCATCTAGCAATGTAATTAATGAGGTAGACGCCGCGTCGGGCTTTGCTTTGCGCCTGCCCGTCGTCGCCATCGTTGACAATTGTCCTCGTACGAGCATCATAATCACGCTGCATCCTCCACCTCTGAGCGCCGCACCGTGCCGCCCGGTCAAGGCGATGCAGGAGCATGCATGCCCAAAGCTTACGTTGTTTGGCGTAATTTGCAGTCATCCTTGCATGCTCGCCTGCTTCGCATTGCCTCGCGTTGCCTGGCCTTACCTTACCTTGCCTTACTGTATCTTGCATACGGGCGCGATACTTCGTACAGGGCAGGCTCACGGGGACACCCGTCGGGCTGGCCGCCGCTCAACTTCCAGAGCCCCTGTGCCTCTCATCAGTCCTCGCACCAACAGCCCACGCTCCAGGCACGCCCGCGTCTGCCCCTGTGTGACAAGGGCGTCCATGGCTTTGTACGTCATACGGCAAAACGCAAAGTACTTTCGAATGGACACCTCGGTCAAGGACCCTCGCTTACAAGCAGAGTGAGTACTGATCACGAGCGCCGCGAGACTACGGACGGCAAGTACATATTACCGTCGTCTAACGAGATAGTCACCAGCCCCGTCCATCTCTGAAGAGCGCGCGCAAACCTGCAAGCCACCGATCTCCAACGCTCCACATGGCCAGCCCTCTTTCGCCTAACGCGCCTGAACGGACCCAGCCCTGCCTGCCGCACTCGGGCTTGGTCCGTGCCCCTGCCCCAGAGCTTCCGACCACCGAGGTGGACGTCAGTTTGGCGCTGGCCCTGGCGCGCCGTACCCCAATACGCCCGTCGGTGGCCGCTGGGAAGCGCTGACGAGGGAGGCCAGGCTCACCTGGGCACCTCTGTGGCGGTAGACGCAGCCCAGCCTGCTGGAGCACAGACAGCACTGCCCGCTGCACTGCGGAGTGTAAGACACACCGGGGAGGCCCCCCTCCCCCCGGCTGCCCGTCCGTCTCTTGGTGGATGGTACATAAGACCTACAGTCCACTGTAGGAGGCCCCTTTGGTACCTAGTAGGTCAGGTGGGTGGTGACTAAGGCAACAATTCTCGGTGGCCGGGCAAAAGCTGTGCTTCGTACGGACAAGGCACGTTAATTATCGGGGGGCGTCGACATCCGCGAACCGCTGCGCTGCGTCGGGCCGCCGTAATTGCAAGTAATCGCCCGCCTATTACTTCGTACCCTCCGCGCTCGCTCGCTCACTCGACCGCCCCGCCCCATCTCACCAACATCCCACTTGTACGACGACGGGTGTCCGCGATTTCGTCTCCTCCACAAAACGGCCAAGAGCACCCGAGCGGACTGGGCGACTGCTTTTCCACCGCGGCAGATTTGGACCCCGCCTCGCCATTGTCATCTACCGCCCATCGTGTTCTGTTTTGAAGCCCGTCCGCCCAGCGCTGCCGCTGCGAGCCTGAACCTTGGACGCCCGCCCGCCTCGCCTCCCCTCCACCACTCCGCGCCCGACCGACCAGCGACAACGAGCCCTCCATACCGACACACTTCGTGTCTCCGACATCGCGGCTGGGACCAAGCTATACCAGTTGCGATTGCCGCAATCCCAGTCCGACTCCTCGGCGCCGGCAGCGTCTCGATACACAGGCTCGACAGAACCCTCGCCCATCTTGCGCCCAGTTGCGCCGTCTTGTCCACCTGCCTCTATCTGTTCTGCGCCCCATGACTGCCGATATCCTGTCACCTTGTCCTTGACCGCGCCTGTCGACCGACTTGTTGACTTTCCTTGGGCTTTGGTCGCGGCCGCGTACGCAGCACCACGGGCCGCCAGCCCGGCGAGACTTCCTCATGGATCCGGCGCACATCTTTCGCCAGGGCCCTGCGGGGGTTCTCCCGCAGCAGAACCTGGCTTACGTCCCGCAAAAGTCGCCCTCGTCCCGGGACGAGCTTTCGGACGACGATGGCTCCGGTCAACGTGTGGCTCATACTTTAACAGCGTGCTGCCGCTGCCGCCAGGTAATGGTTCCCGCTCCACCGCGTAGCCATGCGCGCCACGCTCACAGTCGCTTAGAGAAAGACAAGATGCGATCCCACGCTGCCTCGCTGCCTTCCCTGCGAGAGATCCGGGTCGACTTGCGAGTACCTTGACACTACAAAGGGCAAGAAGATCAATCGCTACTACGTCATCAAACTACAAGACCGCGTGAGGGCCCTCGAGGCCGAGATTGCGCAGTATACCAATGACGAGAACGATTACCCGCGCACAAACGAAGACATTGTTCGCCCTGGCCGTATGATCCGCCTCAAGGCCAGTGATGAAACCCCGCGGTATCTCGGTCCCAGCAGCGGGATAGCCATGTCGCGCCTCCTTATGGAGGAGGCCAAGCGCTACACGGACTCCCAGCGCATCTCGGACCTCATACCCGAAGTGCGCGCGAGGAGCCAAGCGCGGATGCAGTCCATCCAGATGACCGACCCTGGCGCCGGCAGGAAGAAGAGTTATCCAATGGTCAGCGATCACCCCGCCGAGGGTCTACCGAAGCGCGAGACTGCCGACAAGCTGGTCGAGGTTTACAAGCAAAAGTGTGAGTCTAGCTACATGCACGCCCGCACCTTGCGCGTTCATTGCTGATCAGTCATCGTAGCGCAACTGTTTTGGCCGGTCCTGCATGAAAAGGACTTTGACCAAGATCTCCAAGACGTCTACAACGGTGACACAGACCCGTACAAAAACTTCACGGTGCGCATTGTCATTGCCATTAGCATGCAAAAGCTCGAGATTCAGTACGCCGGTTTGGCAGACAGCTACTACGTGGCCGCCATGCAGTATGCCGAGGCCGTTATCCGCCCGAGGGACTTGAAGACGTTGCAGTGTCTCATCCTGATCGGCCAGTACTCGCTGCAGACACCCACGAGAACACCCGTGTATTACGTGGTCGGCTTTGCCACGCGCATCTGCCAGCAAGAGATGCTGATGGATGAGAACCCAATCAATGCCAGTGAACTGGATCCGAAAACGATTGACATGCGCCGCCGCCTTGGGTGGATCGTGGCCACCATGGAATTTGGTCTCTCGTATCACATGGGCCGGCCCAGTGGCTTTGCAAGGGGCGACGACCGCATGGACGCCAAGTTCTTCGCCGATGTCGAGGACGAAAACGTGACCCCCAACGGCATCCTGCCGGGGCCGCCGAGTGAGCGCAAGCTCATCGCCATTCACATTTACAGGGCACGGGCCCTCCAGGCCGAGATCAAGAGGGTCCTGTACGAGAAGAAGAGGCCAGAGCTCAAGAACGACATGCATCCCTGGTACAAGGTCATGGAGCAAAAGTTGAAGGACTGGCTCGAGGCGGCACCGGCGAACCCGCAATGGTTCAAGCTTTGGTAAGGGACACCAGATCGACTGCAATGCTGCCTACTGACCACGTCCGCAGGTTCACCGGCTTCTATCACCAGATGCGCATTGTCATGTACAGACCATCGCCGCAGGTGCCCAAGCCCTCGCCCCAGGCTGCAAACATCTGTTTTGAGAGCGCCGCATATGTCCTCAAACAGTCCCAAAAGCAGATTGAAGGAGGCAATGTCTCCATCACATGGCTGTTCCTGCTCACCCTCAACGCCGCCCTCAATGCCATTCTCTGGTCCACGTCGTATCTCGAGGTGCGGAGACAGCACCCGAAGGAGGAGGTCGAGGCCGTGGTCAACATGTCCCTGATGTCGCTGGACAAGTGCGTCGAACGCTGGCCCGACACGGCGTACACATCCGAGCTCTACGGCATCATCTCAAAGGCGTGCCTGCAGAGCTACGACCTGCGCGACGCTGACGCCCAACAGCCCATGTTCTCCTTTGCCAGCCCTCCTTCGGTGGCCGACCAGCGCGCTTCTCCCGAAGGCTACGCCAAGTCGGCCAACGCAGCTTTCCCGGACGCGCCTCAGTTCAGCCTCGTCTTCGACTCGCCGCCAGAGTCTATGAACACATATACTTTCGATCCCAACTTCCCACCCCACCCCACCTTTCGATCCAACTCCATATTCCGCAACCCTGCCAGCGACTCCAACGGCCGACGGTTTTCGTACTTTCCGCCCGATTCCACGCCGTCTGGCGATGCTGGCTTAGATGGCATGAGCACCTCTAGCATCAACCCCGGCCATGGGGTGCCGTCTGACCAAGCCTCGAGCCAACTTCCCACGCCTCCCGAATCGGTCCCAGCAGGCACAGTATCTTCCACAACGCCAAGTGCCACTCTATCGTCACCTGGCATGGCGCATGCGGCCCAGAGCGGCGTGCCTGACGTCGGCGGGGATCCGGGCGTCATGTCCATGCAGACGAACATGTCGCCGCCGCCGAAGTACATGGCTCAGCAGCATCAACCCATGTCAAACTTTGGGGCACCCCGCGCCCATCACCAGCCACAGGTCGCGCCCCAGCAAAAGCCGCTGCCGACGAACGCCAGCCCTGCCGACTGGTTCTCCCCTCCAGCGCCGTTCATCTCGCCATACAACTTTGGTCCAATGAGCGGCGGCTTCTTCAACGACGCGATGCCCAACAACTTTGCCGAGAGCGCCGGCACCGGACTGGGCTTGCAGGGCATGGGTGTGGGATTCGACACCATGAGCCCGTTTTCGTACGTGCCGCCCGGTCGGCAGGGAAGCTTGACGCAGTCGCAGCAAATGGAGCTCATGAACACGCTCGAGACGGAGGGCATGGGGGACATTGACGCCTTCCTCAGCCCCAGCGCCAATATGGCGGACACGCGGTGGTATTAGCGGGCGATGGTGGTCTAGATGGCTTTGGAGTAGTTGATTTTGGGGATTTGTTCGTTCTGTGGGGTTCGTTCTGTGGGGTTAATCGGAAAACGATATTCGGTATGGTATGCCCCTGAACCAAGACGGACAGGGCTACCACAACGAACTGTATTCGTCGTGAGCGAGGAGCAATGCGGGAATACCAGCACGGCAGGGTACAGCCGCCACAATATTCGTTAATTGTTAGCGTATCTTCGACTTTGCAATGTTGATGTACAGTACACTTTCACAATGGCCATGGGCGCGCCCGCACTTTAGTGTCTCAAGAATTCTATTCAGTACACTCATCTACAACTAATGACAGGAAACCCCGTGTTGCGATTGAGGATTCGCCCAAGGCCACTTGACGCCCGGAGCATACATTTGAGAGCTCAATGTGTTAGCAAGTTGCAGTCGACGACGCTTGTTCCGTTCTTGTCGGATGGGAGGCGTCGCTCCTCGGTTCGTCACAGGAAGGACCAAGTCTGTCCGGCTCGCTGTTTTGCTGCCAGAATGTCCGTCCAGACGCTTCTTCTTGTTGCCCCGCGTCAAGGTAAAACAAGGCGCGCTCAAAGTTACGTCGCGCCAGTGCCGGTGGTGCTGCTGCCGGCTGTATCCGCATGTCGGCCGCCGTGGTGGTGGTGGCTGTGGCTGTGGCCGTGGTGGTCCTTGCCGACGACGACGCGTTTCTTGCGCCGCACGGCGCGGATGAAGGGCACCTCGTTGATCCAGCGGCGGACGGCGACGGCGCGGTCCGACACGACGGCGGCGCCGTCCCAGCCTCCGTGGTCGCCGTCCTGGAACAGCTCCACGGCCAGGTTCATGGCGGACTGGTGGGTGGCGGACGGGCCGGCGGACTGCGAGTTGGGGCAGAAGGGGGAGCGGCACTTGGTCTGGGGATTTGCACCACAGTGGTGGTCGTGCGTGGCAGCCGCTGCAGCTGCGTTATTGTTGTTGCCATCGTTGGCTCCTGCCACGAGGGTGGCGGCGGCGGCGGACGCGGTGCGGCGATCGGGCGCAGATGATGATGATGATGGTACGGACGAGGAGGAGGAGCGCGGCAGACGGGGGGTATATCCGGGGACCGGGGCCGGCTCGCAGAGAAACTTCCACTCGGCGCCGAGGTCGAGCCAGTCGCCGCCCTTCTGACGGAGCAGGTCCTCCCAGTCAGTGCGCGCCGACGACCTGGTGGAGTGAAAGGCCGGCCAGCCGTCGCACAGCCTGATGAGACGGGCGACCATGTAGGCGTGGCGCTTGATCTCGGCGAGGGGCGTCTGGGCGATGCAGTGGCAGAGCAGCACCGAGTGCAGGGCCTCGCTGAGGAGCGGGTGATACGTCACGCTCTCGCAGGTGTCAACGGCATCTCCTCCTCCTCCCTGGGGGGCAACGACGGCGACGTCGTGCTTGCCCTGCTTGAGCGCCTCCTGGGACGGGTACTCGGGCAAGTCGGCCGGCGGCGACGCGGAGAGGAGGTCGGCCAGCGTGTAGAGTTTATGCGGCGGCATCGCTGCCGCAGCCGCGTGGGACACGGTCGATCGCGGGTTGCGGTTGCCCTGCGAGGCGAGGCGCATGCGCTCGTTGTAGTCCTTGCTCAGCATGGCGGGCATGTTGGGGCTGTAGTCGAACTGGTTGAGGAAGAACATGATGTCGTGCAGGGCGTGCTTGGCCAGCGCCTTGGCCTGGCGGCACTCGTCGGCTGCGGCGCTGCCGAGCTTCTTGGCCTTGGGAGGGAGCTTGGCTTCTTTGTCGTCGGGCTGGTTGGTATTGTTGTTGCCCGTCTGGGCGGCCTGGTCCGACTGTGGGGGTTCGTGAAGCTCGGCTTCTTTCTTGTCGGACTTGCTGGTGTTGTCAGTCTGAGCAACCTGATCCGACTGTGACTGTTGGAGAAGCTCGGGTTCTCTCTTGTCGGGTTTGCTGATATCAGTCAGGGCAGCAGCCTGGTCAGACTGTGGAGTTTGGGCAAGCTCGGCTTCCTTCTCATGGCGTTTACCGGCGTCAGCCTTCGTGATAGCCTCATCCGCAAGCGGAGGCTGACGAGCATCAGCTTCTACGGCGTCTTTGTCGCCGGACAGGCTAGCGTCAGTCTTCTGGACGGTCTTGTTCGAATCTGTAGGCTCACCCAGCGCCTTGAGCAACCGGTCGCATGCATCGGCGAGGTAGACGGAGCCGCGGTGGAACACGAGCTGGCCCTCGAAGCCGCTGGGCCGCTTGTCCTCGGGGAGCTGGACATTATGTCTGCCAACTTGGGGGCTCTGCTGCTGCTGCTGCTGCTGCTCTGTGGAGCCGGCATCCTGGTTCGCCGAGCGGTGAGACTCCCCATGATACTTGGAAAAGGCCATGGCGTGGGAAAGATCGCAAGCAGCGCCAGCCATGTCGCCCGTCGCGCCCTTGAGCGACGCCAGGGTGCGCAGGAGCTCGGGCTGCTTCGACTCAAGCGCCATGATCTCCTCGAGGGCGCGGAAGCACTCGGGCCCCGCGAGGTTGCGCGAGAGGATCTTCTCGTGGAAAAAGTGCACGAACCTGGCGTCGGGGTTGTCGGGGTGGCTCTGGAGGACCAGGCCGGCAATGTCGTCGAGCGAGGTGGTGCCCTGCATGGTGACGATGCAGGCGGCGATGTCGTCGACGCGGTACGCGCGGGCGAGCTTCTGGACGGCGAGCTCGCGCATGCGGAGCCTCCTCTCGTGGCTCATCTTGAGGCCGTGGCCCGTCTTCTTCTGGGGGGCGCCTCGCAGGGAGGTCATGGCGCGGAGGCCGCTGACGCTGTTGACGCTGGACATGGCGGACGAGACGGTGTCGCTGAGGGCCCGGACCGCCAGGTCGGTCGCCTCCTCGACGCTCTTGCGGATCTTGACGAGGTCGAAGAGGATGGCCGGGTCGATGGGCCGCGGGCGCGCCGTGTTGTAGTTGACCATGGCGGCCACCTCGAGGACCTCGAGGGGCTGGCCCAGGAGCCGTGGTACGCCGAGAAGTTGTGCCAGAACCTACAGTGAATACGCATCGAGTCAGCCCTGCGGAGGGATTGGAACGAGTTGTGCGCGATGCGCCGCACGAAGTCGTACTTGTTGCGGGTGATGATGGGCGACGACGACGACGAAGTCGAGGGCGCTGGCTGAGAAGACGACGAAGAAGAAGAAGCAGCCGACGATGCCTGCGTGAACGTATCTGTGACCTGCTTTTCGGTTTTGGTTTTCTGCTGAGGCTGGCCCTGCTCGGGCGCGGCGGTATCTGGCTTCGGGGTCAAACCAAGATCCGCAGACGGAGGTTGAGTCTGAGGTTGAGGAGACTCGCTGTCGGCTGCCGCCTGCGCGGTCACCTTCTTGGAGCGATTCTTCTTCTTCTTAGCCATGGCGGTTTCGGAAGGGCAGATGAACTCAGTGAGCCGCGAAACTCATCAAGGGGAAAGATGGAAAGTGTGCAACAAACGACTGCTGCGAGCCCGCGTCAAACGAGGATTCTTGGGACTGATTGCAAGTCAGGAGAGAAACAACGGGGCGCGAGCGACAAAACCAGATACCGATGGTATCGTATCGTCAAACCAGGTGAAAGGGATGCAGTGCGGTGGAAAGGGGGTCTCGGGTGAGGGAGGGTGTTTTGGTAACCTGGCTGACGTGACGGGACGGTCAGGGCCAAAGGAAGTGTGCAGAGGTTGAAGAGGGAAGAAACAAGACGCGGAACGCATCGAGAGTTGCGGTCTTTTGTTGTGCGGCCCCAGGGCCAGTGATGGCGCGCAGCTGGCGGCCAGGTGCGCGGCCTGTTCGCCATCTGTTCACCACCTGGCAACGCCAGCAACTCGTCGCCCTCGCCGCGACGGGCCCATTCACAGTTACCGTTAGGTTGTTGGCATAGGCAACCAATCAGAACATGGGGCTAGGTGAACGCTGCACGCGTCCCCCTCGAGGACGTCGAGGAAGCCCTGCACCGCCCGCCGGGCATTGACGAGTTGAAGTGGTTGCCCCGAACCTGCGTCCTCGGTGACGGCAACGAGCCTTGGTGCTGATGGCGACAGCCTTGGGCTTCTATCCAACGGCACTGCCTGCGTTGTGGCGCATACACTTTGTCACTTCCGTACAGTCGTGCTTTGCCTGGCCCTCGATTCGACGTATTATTTCATCAAGGCTCGCTATCATAAAATTAATCACACACAAGAAGCTGAAGAGGTCCCGCCGAATAAGACACGTCCACCACCAGAGCTCCAGGGCGGGCACCCAGAGCTCATGGCCCATCGACCAGGCCTACAACCGTCACACGCCGCCTCACAGCGCAAAGAAGGCTGCCGCCGCAGCCACCACCATGAGCGGCAGGGATACGCTCGAGAGCGCCGCGGCCGCAATGGGCACGACGGTGCTCGTCGGCGGGGCACCCGTGGCAGTCGGCGCCGTAGGCGAGCCTGTGCCGACCCCTGACGACACGGGAACCGTCGTCGGAGCGTGTGTCGGGCACTTGGTCTTGGTCGTGGTCGTATTTGTGTCAGACCCGTGAACCTTGACGAAGCTGGCGCAGCTGATGCGCGTCTTGTTGCCAAAGTGCAGCACGAACGACCTGTTTCCGAAGAAGGAGCCCTCGCCCTCCTTGAGCGAGCTGAACTTGTCCACGTACTGGACCTGGAACGGGTCTGCCGTGATCTTGCCGTGCTTGCCGCTGAGGTCGCCGACCTGGCAGGTCTCGGGGGCCGTGGAATCGCAAACCGGGTCCTCGCCACGGATGTAAGGGTCCAGGTGAGCCAGCGTCTTGGTGCAGTTGCCGTCCGAGGGCACGGGGTCGACGTGGATGTGGTACGCTGGTGCACTCTGTCAGCCATCTTGCACCCAATTGGCCTTGTCAAGAACAGGACGGGCTCGCCGACTTACGGAAAGGACCGCCAGACTTGGGCAGGTTCGAAAATTCAACCGTAAACTTAACTCCGACGCCGTCGGCCGGCGTCTCGGCGATGATGACACCCTTGACATTGCCCGTCAGGCCCTCCACGGGGAAAAACGGAGTCTCGGGCAGGACAGCCTTGTAGCGGACGCCGGCAGGATTGCCATTTATGACGGGCGCATCCTGGGTGGCTTTGGCAGCGGCGAGGGCCGCGTAGGCAATTGCAGCTGCAGTGCCAGAGACGCGCATGGTGAGGGCGAGAGAGGGATATGGGGATGTGCTGGGTAGAGGTGGCGAGGAGCACCAGGTCGAGCCGACGGGGCGGGCACTTGGCGACTTATACCAAAGAGGCGGGAGCCAGGCGTCGCGCAAACGAAGTTTAGATGGGAACCGGCAACGAGGTTTCCTGGTTCAGTCGCGAGGGAGCTGGTCAATGAGGGATGGCGTGTGATGGATGGCGCAGGCAGGGAGTAGAAATAGGAAGTAGATCGCCGCGCCGGCTCTTCGTCGCTGCGAGCCAGTCAATCACGCAAGGGCAGCGGTATTGCAAGACTGAATCACCGGGCGGCTGAGCAAACACAGCACAGCAGCGGCAGTGAGGCGTGACGTGGACGTCGTACAAATAATCTACCCCGTGTGAGGCGAGGCGCGTTGGTGGGCAGACGGGACGAAGAAGGGAGAGGCACAGAGGGAGGCACTTGGGCCGGCGATGACGGGTGCGCAGCCTCTTGTTATAAGTCGTGAACAAGCCAAGCCCCAAATTGGAAGGCTGGTCTGGTTACCTGTCACTGTCAGTCTGTCCGTTTGGCAATGAGAGGGACCAGTGCAGCGGCCCAACAGCCGGCCGCCATTGGCACCCGTTGCCTCGGACGCGGATGGGAGCGTCATCCCAGGCCCGCCCATCGCCAATCGACCAGCCAGGGACGCCTTGTTGTTTCAAACGCCCACTCAAAGGGAGGGCGGGGACCATCCTTCGGTAGCTGCGAATCCGGGACCCGCTTCGGGGCGCATTGGAGAGGCTTGGTCCTTTGGGCACTGCGCAGGGGCTGGACAGGACGACGGCGGCATAAACGGGACCCGGCGGCAGTGTCACGGTCGCTGCGCTGGTGCTGCCGCGCAGAGTGGGAATGGATGGACCATGGCATCGCCAAAGCCACGCCGTGCAGCAGTGCTCACCGGCCCGTGTAGGACAGGAATAGGAACCTGCACAGGGGCACACGCCGGCCCCGCTCACTGATGAGCATGCAGTCTGACTGTATTACTGCGCTGCCTTTCTCGTCGTCGCTTCTGCCTGCTATTAATATCACCAGACCGACAAGCACCACTGGCTGTCAGCGGCTTGCCGCCCACAGGGAGACGGGGAACCAACAAGCGGCGGGCTGTGCAGCGCTTGCAGCAACGACTTCGCAGCGTCGCTGACTGATGCGTCGCCGACTTCTGTCAGTTAGCACCAACGTGCTGCGTATGATGGACCTATGGTGAAGGCTCGGCAGACCGTGCCGTGACCGTGAAGCGCCGAAACGCGCCATCGGCAAATCGGACGTCGACCGGGCCAGGCTGGTGCCAATCTCCCGTCCTCGCACCCAATGCCACGGCTCTGTCAGGTGGATGATTACCATCGACGGCAGGGTGCAAGGCTGGAGGGGGGCCACCACCATGTGCTGTTTCGTTTCGCGTCTCACAATCGTCCTTGGGGTGTTCGTGCCCGAGCGCCGCAGACTCAGGCCGCCTCCACGGACCGGTGCTAGCGACTTTGCAGGCTCTGCTGGCGCTGGCTCGGTCCGCCGTCCGTTCCGGTCTTGCCAATCCTCTGCGCCGGACCTCGTCGAGCAAGACGGGAAGACAGGCGATAGAGAGGCGACGGCAAGCCGCTTCCGTAGCGTCCCGCAGGCGCGTTTCGGGGGCTTCTGTGCGATGAGGCTGTGCGACTGCTCGCGAGTCGAACGGATCGTGACGGCGAGACACAACAGGCCGCGGCCGCTCATCAAAGAGCGGCACGGCAAACGAGCCAGGCCCATGTCTGTGAGAGATGCAGATTGCAGAGTGTGAGACTGTAGAGCGTAGAGAGGGGGGCCGAGTCAAACTGTGTCAATTGCGCATGCCTCCATCGTCACTGCCGAAACGTCCACAAGGATCGGCAGGGAAGAGGATCCAAGGGAAAGAGCATCCATGGCGATGAATCCATCCATTGCAGCCTGCGCAAGCAATAGTGGGGGTAACCGCGAAGTACTGAGTGAGTTCTTCCTTCCCTGTTGCTTTTTGCGTCTGTACCTCCTGCCTTCCACCTCCAGGCGGTCCCATGCCTTCCTGCTTTGTTGCCCATCCCTGACAGAGGGTGGCGCGGGCTTGTGGCGTCGTCCCGCAATATGTGGCTGGAGCTGCAGACACATGGGTATGCTTAGCTAAGTATTCCAGCCGCATGAACCGGCCAAGCGCCGCCCGCCTCCACTGCGCAGCCCTCCGCTTGCCGCAGCTTGCGACTCGTCATGCAGCTAGTAACTCAAGTCAGCACCACCACCACCAACATCAGAGCTCAACTTCTCGTCGTCCCTCGTTCGATACCCGCCGCGTCTCGACAGCAGCAGCAGCAGCAGCAGTAGCAGCCCCGTCTGCCCCCACGAAACGAATCGCATCGCATCTGGTCGCTCGCAAGCGCCGCTCGCCCATCATGAAGCCCGTCGTCAGCGCCATGCACGCATGGTCATGGTCCGTCCGCCCCGAGCCGAGCCTCCGTCGCCCATCCTCCGTCCGCCCACGCTGACCCCAGTCCGCAGCACCGTCATCTCAGTGTTCGCCATCATCATCCTCACCGTCCTCGGCATACTCTTCCGCTCCGGCCACGAAGAGTTTGTCGGCGGCCGAGACGACCCGACCGATGGCAAGGCCGTCTCCGGGACCATCTTTACCGCCGTCATCGTATACGGCGTACGTGTCCGCCCCCGGAACCGAAACGAAACATTTTGCTGACAAGCCGTCTTGCCAGGCATTCCTCGTATTCTGCGGCTTCCAAGGGATGCTCCACGTCCGGGAGAACCGAAGGGGCGCCATCGCCTTGTAGAGGCGGGTCGCTGGACTCGAAACAAATCTTGGCGCTGGCGTTTCTGTTTTTGGTTTCTTCTTCAAGGTTTTGCAGGGAAGCAAAGAGATGGACTTTTGGCGGTTGCCGCGCGGAGGGACGAGACACGGCTCTGTCTGCTGTATATGACCGAGGCGACAAATGCCGGCGGGCTGGAAGCTGCAGAGCGGCATACAGATTCCTTGTACGAACGACTGGTGCAACAAATTAATAGACTTGTACTTGGCATACACTGGAATCGTTTTGGGCGACTCGCTCTCAAGGCCAAGAGGATCCGCGACTCGGACATGCCATCCTCAAACTGTGCGGCGATGATACAGTTTCGGCAGACATATAGCCTTGGCTTTTTGTTCTGGAACCATACCTTGCCACATCCCGACGTCGGCCTGTTCTCTTCGCCTGACCTTCCAAAACTCTAATGCGGTCACTCGCGTCGATGCGAGATTACCTCGATGGCCGTGTGGATGGTAATCCCACCCAACGCAGCCTCATCACGGCTCTCTCCTTTCTCCACGGTGGTGATCCACACCGGCTTGTCACTGGTACTCGACGATGTCGCTCCGCCCCCCCCGCTCCCGCTGACCTGTGCCGCCTCTTCATCGCGACAGGATTGGCGCGGCGCCAGTTCCACCCACTGCGGTCTGCTGGAGCGGTGGATGGTGGTGACGGCGCCTCGGACCGATGCGGGAGTCTTCGGTCGTGCGCGAGAGGACCAACGGCTTCGTCGCTTGAAGAGCGGGCGGAGGGTCGGTATCGAGGCGGCGATGATGCCCACGCTGGGCTCGATGGAGGACCACATGGCTGTGTCCCTGGGTCCGTCCGGTCAGCACGCCATGGACGTGTCGTGGTCGAGGGAAAGGCTCATCCTTACATGGTCGACTTGAAGTAAGCAGGCGTGGAGTCCTCAATGAACTTGATTGTCGTCATGCGAACGATGATGGTGATTCCCGCGCTGTGCCAGTCCTCTTTAGCATCGACAGGGTGGCTAGCAGGGAGACTCTCAGCTCACTTACACCATGCTCATGCCCAGCAGCGCAATGACCGTCACCTTGGTGCGCGTCTCCATGCGAACGTTCCACAGCATTACCATTGGTAGCAAGCCCATCACCCACGCCGACAAGGCCGACACGGTGGCATGAACCATGGCCACAGCCGTCACGGCCTGGTGTCTGATGCAGTGTCCGGTCTCAGCACCTCCGCCTCCTCCTTCTCCACCACTTCCATGTGCCGCACCGCCGCCGTACCGCACGCGGTTCCAGAAAAAAGACGGCGGCGAGCACTGCAGCAAGACGGTGAAGAAGTACGCGGTGGACGCCGCGGCCGAGACAGCGAGCAGCGCGTGGAGCACCTGCCGATGCGCCCGGCGCGTCACGATGCGCAGCAGGAAGAGGCACACGGAGACGCGGATGGCGAGCGACGTGAGCGAGTAGATGGCGGCGCAGATGTAGATGCCCTTCATGGAGGTGACGATGCGCTCTGCGCTTTCGCCGCCGCCGCCGCCGCCAGGATGGTCGTCACCCTGGCCAATGGCGCCGTAGGTGGCGCCTCGCATGGTGACGGCGCTTGAGATCAGAAAAAGTGTCTGAACGAGCCATGTCAGTGCCAAATCAAAACATATTCGAAAGGCGGAGCGAAGCAGTCGGGCTAAATGGGCGGTCTTTACCGTGGCGAGCATGATGGCCCAATCGTCAGGGGCAAAGGAGCGGGTGATGAAGGCGCGCACGTAGATCCTCAGACCGGAGAAGACGATGCAGGGAATCATAAGGCCTAGCTGCACCCAGAACAGGCGCGTGCCATCTCCGCTGGCCATGTTGAGCTGAGCGCGCGAGGCTCTCGTCGCTTGTTGGATGTCCGCTCTCTCGTCACGATGGGACTTGGCACGGGGGGAACCGTCGAGAGAGAGGTGAAGACGGGCGCATCATCAAGTCAGGACACCCAGAACCCCGAGTTTTGGCAACGAGTCCAGTTCGGGTCGAGATTCACAGCTGTACCCCTCCGCCGTTGGCCAGTCGGGCCCACGGAAAGCGGCAGCGAGGGCGGGTCATGAAAGAGCCCGCCACCTACACACAGGCTGGCTGAGGCTCTAGCAACTGTCATGCGACGGCAGACCATGCAGCTAGTATATCAGCTGAAAGACATGCTCCGAATTGACTGAGCGAGCCCAGTACTGGCTTTCCGTTTGCATGCCGCGCCTAGCCCGGGCCGGGTCCGAGTCCGAGTCCGTCAGGCCGGAAATGTGGGGCGCTGTCGTTCCGGCTCCGTTCCATCGTCCGGGTGGCACCCCGGCCCACGTATGACGTAGAACTCACGTTTCCCACGTTGCTACTCTCAATCTTCACGCGAGCCTTGGCCTCGAGGTATGATGTGTTTTTGTCCCCGAATGTGGTCCTTGCCTCATAGTTTCAATCAATCGCCACCCGGCGCACACTCTCAGGTTTGTTTGCGCCGTTCAATCCGATCGCCTGCCGGGAGTAAAGACTAAAGGGCTTCGCGAGGGGGAGCAAGCCCCCAGCGGGGCAGTTGCGCGCGCAATCCTTCTTTGCTGTATGCAAAATATCGATTAGATTACCGATGTAACGCCCCTTATTTCCGTATTGAAATGCTTGGCATGGTCGTAGTAGTGATAAATAGTGATGCACACCCACGGTGGCGTCATCGATCGTTCATCGGACGGCGGGCCGGGTGGAAAGCTCCGGCCCGGGTCGCATCGCGATGAAGAGGACACACCGACGACGTTCGATAAAAAGTCCCTAGGCGTTGACATATTTCAAGTGAAAGCAATTCCCGTTGCTCCCTATTCTTGCGCAGGATAATAGTATACACCAAAATTTGCCATCATGACGTCCGAATTCAACAAAGGCAAGTTGTCAACCTCTCACACAAATGAGCGACACCACGACGTGCCATGCTAACAGCAAGCGCTTGTTCCTCTCACGCACAGAAAGCGAGATTCCCGTGTCGAAGCAGTCCTTCCCGGGCAAGGACCGCGACATGCCCGCGCCGACGCCCACGCGCGACCAGCTCCCCACGGCGGGCGGCGGCAAGGAGACGTACCGGGCGGCGGGCAAGCTGCAGGGCAAGCGGGCGCTCATCACGGGCGGCGACAGCGGCATCGGCGCGGCGACGGCGGTGCTCTTCGCGCGCGAGGGCGCCGACTCGGCCATCGCGTACCTCCCCGAGGAGGAGGACGACGCGCGCGACACGCGCCGTCAGGTCGAGGAGCTGGGCGCAAAGTGCCACCTCGTCGCCGTGGACCTGACGCGGCGGGAGGACTGCCAAAAGGTGGTCGACTTTGCGGTGGAGAAGATGGGCGGCATTGATATTCTGTTTAACAACGCGGCGTGTAAGGAAGAACCCCTTTGTCCCCTTCCTTTCTTGCCTGAGGTGTGAGAGAGAAGAGAAGAGAGGAAGGAGAAGAGGGAGAAGAAATGAAGCTGACTGACGTACCTCGGGGTGCAGACCAGATGATGGTCGAGGACATTGCAGACCTGTCGGAGGAGCAGTGGGTGCACACCTTCAACACCAACATCCACTCCTTCTTCTACGTCTCCAAGTACGCGCTCAAGCACATGAAGTCCGGCTCCACCATCATCAACAACGCCTCCATCAACGCCTACATCGGCCGACCGGATCTCCTCGACTACACCTCGACAAAGGGCGCCGTCGTCTCGTTCACACGCGGCCTGAGCAACCAGTACCTCAGCAAGGGCATCCGCGTCAATGCCGTCGCGCCGGGACCGGGTAAGTCTTGTTGACCTTCCCCTTGCCTTCCCCCCTTTCCCTCCGTAGCCGAGCCGCAGAATCTGCGACGAGTCGGAGAAAAGTGCATCGCTAATAAAGGGCGGGAACAGTGTGGACGCCGCTCATCCCGGCGACGATGAACGACCGCGCGCAAAAGGAGTTTACGAGCCCGATGGGCAGGCCGGCGCAGCCCTCCGAGATTGCCACTTGCGTTGTCTTCCTCGCGTCGAACGACAGCTCGTGTGTCAGCGGGCAGACGATCCACTGCAACGGCGGCGTGGTAGTCAATGGCTGAGGCGTGGAGGGCCCTTGAAGAGTGTCTTATGAGTGAATGGTGCTCAGAACTGGTTCAAAATTATAAAATAGCGAATGAATTCTTGTCTACAATTCGCGTCTCATCGCAATGGCTGTGAGTGAAGAGTGAGAGCGTCTCTGGCGATGTGGCTCATGCACGACGCGACGCTAAATAATTGACCATCATCGCCTTCGTACAACCTCATCCAGCCTCCTCCACCTCACACTCGGCTCCGCGCCCAACCATGCGGCTGCTCAATACAACGACCTTCCAGCTCGTCCTCTTATCCGACGACCACGTCCCGCCGTACGCCATCCTCTCCCACACGTGGGCAGACGAAGAGGTATCGTTCGAGTCCCTCTCTGGCGCCGCCACGCCGCCCACGCATCTCCGAGGATGGGCCAAGATCGCAGAGACCTGCGCCGCGTCGCGGGCCCTCGACCTGGCACACGTCTGGGTCGACACCTGCTGTATAGACAAGAGCAGTAGCGCGGAGCTCTCCGAGGCCATCAATTCCATGTTCCGGTGGTACCAAGAGGCGTCGGTGTGCATCGCCTATCTAGCCGATGTTGGTCCCGTGGGTGACGGCTTCGAGGCCAGTCGCTGGTTCACGCGCGGGTGGACGCTGCAGGAGCTGATTGCGCCTCGCAAGGTGCTCTTCTACGGCGGGGATTGGGCGCAGCTCGGCACCAGGGTTTCGCTCAAGAGCCTCATCAAGGAGGTCACTGGCATTCCCGAGCAGCTCCTCGCGCCCCGAGACTTCAACGACGAGCGCCTCGACGCCTTCTCGGTCGCGCAGAGGATGAGCTGGGCCGCCGCACGCGTCACTACGCGGCCAGAGGACGTGGCGTACTGCCTGCTGGGAATCTTCGACATCAACATGCCGCTTCTGTACGGCGAAGGGCGTGCAAAGGCGTTCAAGCGACTCCAAGAAGAGATCATCAAGTCGACGGAGGATGAGTCGCTGTATGCGTGGCGCTGCAGGCCGGAGTCCCTGCGCGAGCGACACTTTTGGGGGCTGTTGGCAGACAGCCCAGCGGCCTTTGGAAACTACCGCGGGTTGCTGCCGGTTCGGTCGAGATATTTGTCGAGGAGGCGTGCCGGCAAGACCGTCAGCGTGACGAATCGAGGGCTGAAGCTGGAAGTTTTGCTCACGCCGTTTCCCAACGACGCTTCCGGCACCATCTTCTTCGCCTTTCTCGACTGCGATGTGCGCAGAGAAGGTTCTACGTCAACTCTTGCGCCCGCCATCCTGCTCCAAAGAACAGCCTGGGACAGTGACGCCGACTTTATTCGGATTCGGCCGGACATCCTGGCACTTTCTATGATGAACGTCGTCGTCTTGCCCGATGAGATTTCTCTCAAGGTGGGCGCCGGTCTCGGCGATCACAACGCGGCTTTGGCAGAAGCTATCCCACGGCAAATCTCTGTTCCTCACAACTGCATGGCGGCACTGCCTCCGAGTGGCATACTATTTGATCCTCAAGTGGAATACAGTGGCAATTTGCCGGTCCAGGTAACAGTAAACGTAACGTCTCGGTCTCCGACGTGGCAGTACTTTGCCACTCCTACGTTGCCGGACTCGAGAGAGCTATATGAAATCAACTTCAACCTCGTCTCCGTGCCCAACGTCGACCAACTCAAAGCCCCCACGGTGTTTGGCGTATTGGAGCTGGACATCAGCACCGCTTCGGTCGGAGATGACCTGTGCTGCCTTGTCGCAGGCGTCGAGCCGACGGATCCAAACCCGTTCGGGACACCGGCGCTGTACTTTGTGCCTTGGTGCGCGTTTGAGTCGCGGCGAAGCGTTGTGGACTCGAGTTTCGAGCATGTAATGAACAGATCTTCCAGACAGGGCCGAGAGCATTTCGATTTGGGCCACGGACGCCGACTTGTGGCCACTATTGAGCTTGACACGAAATATTCGAGGCTCTTTTATCGGCTCAGGCTCAGGGCTACCGACTCAGATGTCCCGCGTCAACGTCGTCAAGACGCAGCTGGATAAGCCTAAACTGGGATCAACCCGTCGTGGTCGGTACGTCCATGCGAAGTATGGCCGCAAGCTCATCAGAGACTGGGAGCGGACGCTCGTCTGGGACGAGACCGAGCTGGACCAGCTCGTCTGTGCTAATGTCTGGGCGCTGGTCGATGGTCTCCTTTAGACGCCTCGCTGTTTCCGTTACATCTTGGATGGAATCGATCCACTCAGTGGCCCACGTCGTGCTGAGCGAGCCCGGGACGCCAATCTGTATGCTCCGGTAGGGAAGGACGTCCAGCTTGGGCGTGCGCTCGGGGTCCCACTGGATCCTGACCTCGGTGGTCTTGTCGCGCGAGGTGTCTTGCGCCTCGCCGGCGGACGGCTTGTGCGTGGACAGGACGCCGCGCTCCAAAAGGGCGACAAAGTGTTGGCGTTTCATCTTGAGAGCGAGAATGCGCTCTTGTCGTGGATCCTTGAAGGAGTAGCCGGCACGATACATCATCCAGGCCCAGCTGGGCTTGATCCAGGTCATGCGGCCGGGGCGAAAGTCGGGCGAGGCGTTGAGGCGCTGCTGCTTGACGGCAGCATCGGCAATGGAGCGCTTGTACGCTTGGTATACGGTAACGGTGTCGTCGTCGTAGAGGGCGCGAATCTGGCGATACGGCACTTGAGGTGCGGTCATTGTGGCAGAGGGGTGGCAGGCACTGGTGTGAGCGGCGTGGAATTGAGAAGATGATGGGTGAATTTGGGCAAGCAATGTGATGAGATTGTCAGTTATAAAGAAGAGCTCCTCTGATCTGGCTGGTGCAATGAAGCCAATTCGTGGCGCTGGGCTGAACTGGTGTTTTGCGAGCAGCCAGAGCTGGTATGCCTTGGCGGTGACTCTTTCGGCGTGGTGTATTAATTATGTAGGCGTTTTATTGTTGGTGCTGGTCCCTGGACCAGTGGACAGCGGTGGAACGACTGCCGGCAGGAGCGATGCGGGACTGCGCTGTGGAGGGCGTGACTGTCACTGAACGACCTTCCAGCGGGTGACAACTGACGATGCCCGCGATGTGGCTCAAGTGTTGTCGGTTTCAACAAGGCTGTTGCTCGACCCGGGCAAGGCATTTCTTGGGTACCTCATACGAAGTACATGATGCATTCACCGACAACCCAGAACGGCTCAAGCCTCGCACCCAAGGCGTCGGGGTGCCGAGGCACGCGAGGCACGGCACGATAGGAAAGGGACCTTGGGCAGCGGCCTCATGGAGCATCATCAGGCCTGTGCGGAGCGCTGTCGACGAGAACCTCGGGCCCGGGCTGCCCTTCGTGACGGAGCAGCGAGGCACGGGATGTGTCTTGGCTGCACGCGCGGCTGCGCATAGCGAGAGAACACGCGACTGAGTCCTGCCGTCAGCGGCCGCCCAAGCTGCCCATGCCAGGGCCGTTGCAGGGTTTCATCCAAGCGCCCCAGGCCTGCAGGCGATCCCGCCGGCTGACCACCACGGCCATCTTTGGCGCAAGGAGGCGAGATCGAGTTCGAAGTACGTTACGTGCAGTATGTATGGATAGCGTGCCAGGGCAGGGCTCTCTGCACGCCATCCCGTCATCACAGGGGCCTGAGACTCTGGCGCTGCGTTCCAGCACGTTGCGGCTGACCGTGGGTGTCAAGGACCTCCCCCGCCATCTGCACCTAACATCCACATGGATGAAAGGGGACGGGAGCCTCCAGGGCTGGTTCAGGCTGTAACTTGTGACGCCCAGGCTGGATGGCCCTCCCACACGGCCCCGCCCAGCTTCCCCCGCCCCGCCCCGCCAAACCGTCGCGCCCAGCGCCCTCCTCCCCTCGCTCTCAGGTGCCGCAGGTGCGCAGCTTGCGCAGGTGCCGCAGGTAGTGGCGTCTAGCGGGCGGGCGGGAGCCTCCACTGCCACAGCAGCGGCTCCACTGGACCTCGCCCGTTCTTACAGTACAGGCGTTGCCTGCTAACCATCCGCTTCCTCCACCACAATCACCGCCTCCTCCACCGCTGTTACCTGTCCACCAGCTGCCAACCAGCGTCGTCGACTCTCGACAGAGCCTCCCTCCCCAACACCCCATCATCTTCCCACCACCTCCAGCCGACCCTCGCCCGCCGTCCCTCCTAGCTCCTCACGTCCGCACGTTCGGGCCTCCACGCTGCCCGAGGACCTCGCCCGATCTCTCGACCTCGTGCTGTCCCTCTCTCATCAGCTTGCAGCGCCGGACCATCGTCAGCCTCACCGAAAGCTTCCACGAACATACCCCGCCTGTGCGACCCTGCCCGCGGGCCGCCGTGTGCATGGCTCCGCCGGAGCAGCCGACGGGCGACGAGGTTTCCACAAGCCCGCCCGCCGGCCATGCTGCGGATGCTCCCGAGACGAGGCCAGCTCGAGACCCCAAGCCCGACGCCGACGACCGCGGCGAGGCTCCCGAGGTGGCGGCTGAGACCACGACCCCCTCCCATGACGCCGTTCTGCACACCTCCTCTACCGATGACCATGGCGGCGTAGCCTCCGGGGGTGAGCCGCGGCCGACCGCTGGCTCTCAGTTGGCCTCCACAACCATGCCCGACGACGCAACCGCCAAGGGAGCTTCCAAAGACACACTGCTTCGTCCATCTACACCTGTCAAGGGCAAGCAACCTGCCACGAGCTCGGACCAGCCCTCCGATGCCATGGCCTCCTCGGTAGCCACCCTCAAGGCGTCCACACCTACTCCTCTCAACGACACAAACTCCCAATTCCTCACCGCTGAACCATCCAGCTACGTTGATCCCACGCCCGCCACTCCGAGAACCTCCCAGCCGCCCTCACGGACCCCCTCGCACGCCAGGTCCGTCCAGTCCGACGACGACCACTCCCCCTTCAGATCCGACGAAGAGAAGCGGTACGCCAGCGAGGACGAGCAAGATGGCGGTTCACGATCCGAGATCCAGAGCATCATGGAGCAGTTCAGCGAAGCCGGCGGCGGCCCCGGCGAGGAAGAGGTCATGAGCCCTAGGCTGGAGATCACCTCTCCCATACTCGGCGGCCCCATGCAACACCCTCCCCGCAAGTCCAGCCTCGAGCCTCTCGCCCCCTCCATCTCCAGCCAGTTGCATGACTTCAACGCCTTGCGCCTGACCACCTCGTCGCCCGCCGCCGTGGGTGCTGACGAACGCTCGCCAGACGAACAGGGACCCCCGGTACCCCCCAAGGATGGCGCGTTCGGCACTCCTCCGCGCCCCAAGGCCGAGCGAAAGGCCTCTCTCATCGCATCCCCCGCCTCGCCCCCGCTTCAGATGCACCGCCCTCCTCCCCCGGAGCCCGAGCCCGAACCGGCTCTGCCGTTCGATTTCCACCGGTTCCTGGAGCAGCTGCGAAACAAGAAAGCCGATCCCGTGGCAAGATATCTTAAGTCGTTCTTGTCCGAGTTTGGGAAGAAGCAGTGGATGGTTCACGAGCAGGTCAAGATCATTAGTGACTTCCTGGCCTTCATCGCCAACAAGATGATGCAGTGCGAGGTCTGGAGGGATGTGTCCGATGCCGAGTTCGACAACGCTCGCGAGGGAATGGAGAAGTTGGTCATGAATAGGCTCTACACGCAGACCTTCTCCCCAGCCATTGCGCCTCCCAAGCCTATTCCCGGTGCCAAACCAAAGAAGAGAGGAGGGGATATTCCCATGGGACCCGGCCGCCGTGGGCAGCACCAGGAAGACGTCGAGAGAGATGACGTTTTAACACAGAAGATCAACATCTACGGATGGGTCAAAGAGGACCACCTCGACATCCCGCCCGTAGGCGAGAGCGGGCGGCGCTTCCTGAAACTGGCACAACAAGGTTTGCCTGCCTGACCCTCGTTGCCCCTTGCCCTGAGACTTCGTGTCTAACGTGCTCCCAGAGCTTCTGAAGATCAAGTCGTACAGAGCGCCGCGGGACAAGATTATCTGCGTCCTAAACTGCTCCAAGGTCATATTTGGTAAGTCTCTCGCGCCCAAGACCATCATGTGGGCGTCGCAGCTCACATTGTCGCAGGCCTACTCAAGCACAACAAGTCGGACTCATCGGCCGACTCATTCATGCCCTTACTCATCTACGTCGTGTTGCAGTCCAACCCCGAACATTTAGTGTCTAATGTCCAATACATTCTGCGGTTCCGCAATCAGGAGAAGCTCGGTGGCGAGGCGGGATACTACCTGTCCTCCCTGGTACGCCTCCTCCTCTCCTCCACCGTTGATGGCGCTAACGACCTGGCAGATGGGGGCAATCCAGTTCATCGAAAACATGGATCGTTCGTCGCTGACAATTTCCGACGATGAGTTCGAGAAGAACGTCGAGGCCGCCGTCTCCGCCATCGCAGAGAGGCATCAGGCCATCTCGCCGGTCATCACGCAGCAGGCCACGTTCAACGAGAAGCACCCCTTGCACCCCCCAGGGGAGTCCTCCAACAGACCATCAACCGATGGAGCGGATGGGGCGCCTCCTCGGCGCTCAACATCCTCATATGACGGCGAGCCGCGGGACGACGGGGCTGCCATATCTGGGATCCTGCGAACCATCCAGAAGCCCCTCTCAACAATCGGGCGCATCTTTTCCGACGAGGGCGGCTCGTCGTCCTCAGCGCCGGTCAGCGCGCCACGTTCACCCGCCCCTCCTGAGCCGCCCCAGCCCCATGCGCGGCATCATCGCGAAGAGGGCGGCGAGGACGCCCGGCGACATGCATCGGGCCGGCACGTGCTCTCGGCCGAGGAGGCGGCCGCCAGACAGGCCAGCGCCGAGGTGGCCGAGGCGCAGCGGCTGCAGCGCGCAGAGCACGCCAACGTGGTCGAGACGCTGTCGGGCATGTTCCCCGACCTGGACCGCGAGATCATTAGCGACGTGGTGTACCAGAAGGAGGGAAGGTTAGTCTCCCCCTATCCATCTCCGCGCGATCCTGTGCAGTTTTGCCACGAGTGGGACTCGAAGCTAACACGGCGGCGCAGGGTTGGTTTGGCCGTCGACGCCTGTCTTGCATTATCCACGTAGACCTTGCCTGGGCTCCGGGCGAGAGCCGTCGCCACGGCGTGTTTTTGACGATTTGATTAGATAGCATTGCGCCAGGCCCCTTTGCAGATACCAAGCAGATGCAGCAGCATAGTCAGTCAATACGTAAACTCTTGCATGTGCCTACTCCCGCTTCCCGTGGGCTGCATGACCGTCGTGACTGCGAGTGGAACCGGGACACGTTCTTCGTACGGGTGCTTCTTAATCAATCTTTAAAAATTCCTCGAATCTATCACGGCTGCAGAAACCATGGCCGCTCCATATGTCCGTGCCGCACTCCACAAATGCAGGCTCGCCAGGTAATGTACAAGCACCGTGTATTCCGTCTTCCCGCAACGCAAGGCTCGATATTTCCTCCCAACTAAAAGCCGACGACCGGGGGGGTATGATGCAAATGAATGAATGAGTTCGACGGGCTCCGCTCCGCTTCCGTCTCGATACCGATATCCCACTCCGGGTCCCTACCCAGTTCGCCCCCTTACCCTCTGTATCCACCGTTCCCGTACCCGTACCCATTATCGTATGTCCTGCCGTAGACGCCCTTGTACTCCCTCTCTACTGTCGGCAGCAGCGGCTGCTGCCCCCCGATGGCTATCGGCGCGGCACTATCGAGGAGCGTCTGCGTCTGCGTGTCCTGCGGCCTCGTCGGCGTCAGGGGTCGGTACAGGGCCCCGCCCGACGGTGCCGGGGGCGGTCGCAGTCCGTCCCGTAGGGGATAGAAGCGCTCCGGGTCGCCGCTTCCAAACGACGACTTCTCCTTCAAGTCGCTGCCAGCCGTGACCGAAAACATGGTCCCTTGCGTCCCGGGCTTGGCTCGGTCGAGGAGCAGCGAGTTGCGCGCGTCGAGGGGAGTGAGGTTGTCCATGTCGCGCTGGATGGCCTCTGTGAATATCAAGTCAGCAATTGTTCGAATGTTATGCCCAGGCTGTGTTCGAGAGCCGCAACAACTTACCCATCTCCTTTCTACGCTTGCGGTGCGGGTTCGCTTTGCAGCAAGCATTGATGGCGTTCCACGCGATGAGGATTGCCAGGACGCCGGTGAGCGCCGACTGAACAGCAATCAAGGCCACACCTGCAACAGTCTGCGTGGTCTGCCGGATTCCAAACTCCTCGACAAAGATGAGAATGCATGCTACAGACAGGACGCGAACGACCGCAATGACAATGTTAATGACGTTGCCAGACTTTCGCTCGTAGGGACGGCTCCACAACAGCATGATGAGCATGAACCCCTCAATGACCAGCTGCGCTATGGTCTGAGCCATGCCGCTGCCGTCCGCCACGGCCAGCGCACAGCCTTTGGCGAACATGTAGACGATGGCTGGCACAAATACCCACCAATAGTTCTTCTTGTAAGACTCGTAGAAGAGCGAGTACTTGACCCAGATCTTCTTGTCCTCGTACAGCCCGCTGGCGTCGCCTTCTGCTTCCTTGAGCTTGCTGGCGACAATCCAAATCTTCCACGAAAAGAAGGCCAGGATACCGGTGAAGATTGCCAGCGTGACGCCGGCGAGGGTCTTGGCGGCCCATGAGTCGCCGTGTGTGAACTGGAATATGCAGTACAGCACCCAGATGCCGTATAGGATAAGAATAAGCGACGTGATGGTGCGAGCAATGGAGCCCCAGTAGTGTTTGCGGAAGCCGGTAAGTGATTGCGGAAAGCTGCCAAATAGGGCCCAGAACTCCAGGATGACCTTGACTAGCAGAATGCCTACCGCGATGGCGGCAATCACGATGGCAACGACAAGAAGGGCGGTCATGAAGACATCGGACTTGGGGACAGTGAGGCGCTCGGCGTAGGCCTGAAGCCCTTTGACGGTATGCTGGAAATTGGTAGACGTCTCGGCGGAGCTATCACTGGAACCTGGGCTCGAGTTGTTGACCGAAGTCTCGATATCGCGGACAACCAGCGTAGCCAGTTCGCTCATGGCTCGCTTGAACTTGAAGAAGCCCTGGTTGGGGCTAACCGTCGAGCCGTCGGGATAGATCAAGGTCGCGTTCTTGAGGAACTCGACATTGTCCTCTGTCAGGTTGCCGCCAGTCTTGGCGCGGAAGCTGTCGATCGAGGACTGCAGGCCAGCCCAAGGAATCAGGCCGGTGGAAAAAGCAAAGTTCTTGGTGAAGCTGCGGTAGATGGGAGGGTAGTTAACAGAAAGCATGCCGTTCATGGCCATGCCTTGAAACCAGCCCGCGACCTCGGTGAAGCTGGGCGAGATTGTGCCGGCTCCAGCCCCTGAAGCGGCGCCGCCTCCGGACAGCGCGGCGCCGACGGCAGAGATGCCCGTAACAAGCAAGGCAGCGCCGGCAACTCCAGCGGCGACGTACTGCACCGCCGGAACGTTGGCGGTCTTGCCGTTGGACACCTGTGATTGAATGCAGGCGACCCTTTCACCGCCTTCGAGGCTGAGGAGCTGGAGCGTCGCCTGGGCCGCGATATCGGGAACTTGGAAAGCAATGCCGGGGACCATGTCGGCGAATTGAGATGGTATTTGCTGGTTGCCACGCGCGGAGAAGCTGCCAACTGGTACGGGGCATAGCTGCGGGACGAATGTGCCCTTGTCGCAAGGGTTGAATTTGTTGGAGTAAACTTGGTTTCCGTAAGCGGTCACGTTGAGAACGGCCGTGACATTTTGCTCCTTCGCGCTGGAGCCGGCAACGTCGAATATGACGGTCTTGTTGTCATTGTCGTAGCTGATGTCGACCTTGTCCACCTTGATGGTGGAGTCGTTGCCGCAGTCGCTGAAGCCGTCCGTTTTGAGGATCTGGCCTGCCCAGGCCTGGGATGCCAGAGTTCCCACAACCACCAGCCCTTTCCAAAGACTCCAGTCTGAACGCGAGCGAGCCATGCTGCGCGGGCTAATCGAGAAAAACGACGAAAGGTGTGAGTTTGGCGGCCACGTATTGCAGTCTCAATGAACCGCTAGGCCGTGCAAGTGCCGGGGCCAGTCGTTGGCTAAACTGCCTACATATACAAGTGGTATCCAAGAAGGCTGCCCAGAGAAGTCGGGCGGTGTGATTTCAAGCGGTGGTCGAATTTGGTGCAAGTCAAGATGACGAAGTCGTCGCCTGAAATTCTGTCATGGAAGAGATGTGAAGTGAATGTAACAAGGACTTGTGTGCCCACAGGGCGAAAGAGGAGGGGAGACCGAGGATCAACCTGGTCGTGAAGAGGAGGCAACAAAGGAGAGAAACAAGAGCGCAAAAGAGAAGAAAAGACAGAAGAACAAAACTACGCGGTTGCTCGAGGCAGCGGGCGTGTTTCGTCTATCTGTTGCAAATGGCAAAAATGGGCGGCAAAATGAAAGAAAAAGGCGAGAGGGAGGAGAGAGGGAGAGTCGGCGGCGGCAGACGACGGGCAGCGCTTGTTGTTGCACTCGTGTGGTCGTGGTGGGCGGGCTAGCCAGTGAGGACCGCTCAGGGGGTGTCAATGTGAAACGGCCGAGCGAGCGACTTCGACCTCGACGGTGACGAGTAAGTGGGCGATGATTGGCGTCTGGGCACCGTTTTGTTGGTTTTATCGCGCGTACTGATGTCGAACTCGAGATTTTTGGTTCTTGTAAAGTGAATCGGAATATGGGAAAAGGTCAAGAGAGAGAAGGAGATGTCGAAAGGAGAAAGCACGAGAGCCAAACTAGAGGCACCCATGGCCATGGAATGACAAGGTGACAATGGATGGACCCGTCGTCCAACACCCCCGGCAAAGCGGCGAAGCTGACCGGCGATGGGGACCCCGGCAGACAGGACGGGCCAGGCGGAGACGGCCAGGGGCCAGGAGATGCATCCATCCACCAAAAAGAATGAGCCAGACCCTGGGGGTCGGGAAGGAGAGTGAGGAGGAAAGGAAAGCAAGCAAGCAAGTAGGCGCCGATGGCATGGCGTCTCGACCGGGAGGCCCCTGTGCCGCGCCCCAGAAAAGACAAGAAAGAATCAGGGAATCAAGGAATCCATCGCCAAGGAACGAATAGGTAGAGGTACGATACGAAGTACATGCACTGCTACAATGGATCGTGGCACCTCGCCTCGCTCCTGCCCTTCCCGCCGCCTTCCCTCGATATGGGCTCTGCATTCCCAGCTGAGCGGCTTGCACTGTGCTGGCCCCGTACCCAGCACTGCGGAACGGCACAGCAACTCCCCGCGCCCACTGGGTACTCGGTACGAGGTGGTGCCGCGCCGCACGGCACCCACCCAAGCAACCTAGAACCTCAGCAGCGGGAAGGAGCTCAGGAGCTCAGGACCCCCCGGCCGGCCCTCCGGACCCCACCAGCATCCACGGCATCTCACTCGGTGCTTGCGCACGCTGCAATCCGTATTTACCTACGCCTTACACTTTGCCCAGACAGCCTCAAGCAGACTGCCAACGACGTCAAGCATAGCGGCGACGCCCCGTGGACGACCTCGTCTGTCCATCTATCCAACCACCCAAGCAGCAAACAGTAAAAGACGCCAACCTCGCTGGCCTTTTCTTCTCGGACTGGCGCCGCTACCTACCTGAACTCGAGGGAACCAGAACCCCCCCGCCGCGGCTCTCTGACACGCCAGTCGAGCCCCCCACCCCTCGCCGCGGCGCCCTGATTGGCGGCCCTTGCTTCTCTGGCGAGAGCCTGAAACGACCCCCAAAACCCAATCAGCGGGCACGCACACGCCCAACTCTCTCATCCATCAGCGGGCGAACGACTCAGACACCTCCTCCGGCTCCCTCTCCACTTAGACTGAGCAGGAGGCAGCCCAGGCAACGGCCCATTACTCGAGTTCACTGGTGGTCGTCGTCGTCGTCGTCGTCGTCGCGCATGACAACTTCTTCGTACGGGAGTACCACTCACTGCACAGCCAGTCCTCGCAAGGGAGGCCAGCGGCGCCTCGTATACGCTGACGCAAGACGTACTGCCGCCCCGGAAGGAAGACGCCCTCGACGGCTCGTACGACGTTGGAAGCATCCATCACCCCCCTGGACCCCTTGCTTGGTGCAACGCACGGAATACATCGTTATCGAGTTTGCTGCCCAACAGCCTCCAACAGCCTCCGCCGCCGCCAGGCTCAGGTGAGGCGTCCGGCACAGTTCATGCACGTTGCACCACATGTCAGTGGCCCCCCGTCGTCGTCCTCGTCCCGAGCAGGTTTGCTCTGCGTCTTCCGGCGCCGCGGTTCACCGGGGCGGCGGCCTGGCGATCAGCGAACGACATTCCCTCCCCTGGCTGGCTGCAAGCGCACCCCTTGCCCTCGTCGATATACCCGAAACCCGTGACCGGGGGACCCCTCGTCCGTCAAAAAGAGAACTCTCGTTGCTCTCCCTTTTCCATGCTGCTGGACAGGTACTTGTGCCCATCGCCACGAGACCTTGTTAATCCTGTTATACCTCAGACGAGGACCTTGCATGGGGCACCTAAAATGCGCCGATTCCTCGCCCCGAGGACCCTTCACGGCGCAGACACATGCAGACACTCACATGCACACTCGACACACTCACACGCAAAACACGGGTCCAGATCCACGGGCGCACGTCCAACCAGCGGCACACAATTTGGGCATATTCTTTTCTTTGATTCAGAATCCTCTGCCCAGAACAAGCTCTGATATTGCACGGTAGCACTCGTAGCGAGCCCTACGCGCATCCCTGCTAGATCGCCGGCTTCATCTCGCTCGCCGCCGCCGGCAAGCAGCACCGCCTCCTACCACTTTCCAAAAATAAAACTCGCTCGATACGAGTAGTGACTTAGATGGAGTACTGGGAGGAGTAGATCCTGTAAATATGTGGGATAGGAGGCAGCCCGGTTCCTCAAATCGCACCTCACTCTCGATCCGCCCGCCTCGTGTTTACCACCGCGGCCGCCGCCCGACAAAGGGGCAGTGCTGGCCATCCCACCGGCCCCGGGACGGCCTCCTTGGCGAGTATTAATTCACCGCCACCGTTGCATTCTTGTGGCCAAAGTTTGTTCGAGTCCGTGTTCGTCTTGGTGTTCGTAAGCTTAAGTATCTATCCGTTTCCAATCCAAGAGCAATGCAGGCTTTTGTTCAACAAATCCAGCCGCTACAGCCGGTTCCATGAGAAGCGAAAATCGTCGTCAAAAACATCCTGACGGGGTATACAACGCCACGCGTCATCAGCGGCGCCATCCACGGCCAGGTTGTCCAAACTCCCAACCTATAAACGAATCAGGCGCCTGTCCAGCCGTTCAACATGTCCTCCTTGCACATCACATTCCGTCCAATGCCAACAAAATGCAGGCCATAGCAACTCCGTCGGAAGCACCACGCTCAAAGGAAACCTGTCAGCCGCCGCTCGTCCCAAGTCTGGTCTTGGTTGCCGCCAGCCCCACCGCCATTGTTGCTGTTGCCATTGTGGGCTCCACCGCCGGCATTCAGGTGAGGAGAGTGAGAATACGTCGACAGCGATTCGTGGCCGCTGAATGGGCTGCCATTGACGCTTGACGGATCCATCATGGCGTCAAAGCCCATCTGCCCGCCCATCTGCGGCGTTCCAACGTTCTGCAGGCCCAACGCGTTCAGCTGCGGGAAAGGCTCTACGTCGTTGTCGTTGATCGCCATGTACTGAGCAGTCGACTGTGGGAACGCTTCGGTCACTCCTCCCTGCGGGAACCCCTGTATCCGCTGGTTTGTCTCGAAGCCCCGATTCATCTGACCGACGCCCAGCCCGGGCTGCTGCAGGCTTTGTCCGATGTTGCCGTACTGTGCCGCGTAGAACGCAGCGTGCTGCGCCGGATACTGGCCCGGTGGCATCACCGGATACATAAACGGCTGGCCCTGGTTCCCGTACCCCATGTGCTGGTGGCCGGCCGCGAACTGCTGCTGTTGCTGCTGCTGGGCCGCCCCGGGATACTGAATCCCAGGAGAAGCCTGAGCTGTCGGCGCAGGGATCATCGGTCGCGGCGGGGGGTCCTGGACAGGGCTAATGATTGTGTCGGCCGCCAGCTCCTTCGCCTTGGCCGCGACCAGTCGGAGCACGGGAAGAGAAATCTGCTCCATGTGCTTGGCCAGGTGGACTGTCAGCTTCTTCCACGTCGGGAACACCTTGCCACAGAATCGGCACGGTTCCTCCTGCGGGCGTGTATTTGTCTCGATGTGACATTGTTCCACCTTTTGCCACGTCGGGTCCATCCCGCCCGCCCTCTTCATCGCCGCCTTCGTTTTGACCTTGGGCTCTAGGAACTTGTGCTCGCGGACTAGGTGCTGCAGGAAGTTGTCTCGCCGGTAGCAAGTGTGGCGGCAGTCGTCGACGTCGCACGTCCACCATTCCAGGTGTCGGTGACCCTCGTTTTCGTGGCGCACCCAGTCGGCCTTGCGCTTGAAGATCTTTGGGTCACGGCACTTGTCCCAGGTGCAAGTAAACGGCTGGACATCTTCGTGCACGTGCTTGGTCCAGTCTGATGGCTTTTGGAACTTCTTGCGCTGATAGCAAAGCTGGCATTCGAACTCGGCCGGCAGGTACAGGGTGGGAGGCATGGGTATGTCTTGCGGGAAGCTCTCCTGGGTGATGGCGCCCTCGGTGGGCGTACCGTCGTCCGGGTCGTCCAGGTGCGTAGATAAAGGGTCGAGCCCTCTCGGATCTCCCCGCGAATCCAGGACATTGGCAGAGCCTCCCATTGCCATGCAGAGTGACCCACAGGGACAATTCGCGCCGAGACCCAAGTGCTTCACCTTGGCATTCAACAAGTGCTTGTACCTGATAATCTGCTGGTGCGCGATGCGGTCGACGAGGTAGCCATGTGTCGTCCCCAAACCAGGATTTAGTGTCGTGACGTGTTGCTGGAATCCGGCAAAGTTGGGCGCGATATCATCTATAATGTTTGGATTTGCTTTCATGTCGCTGTCTTCATAGAAGTCGTCGTCGTCGTCATCGTCGTCGTCGTCGGGATTGGCATGGCTCGCCCTGCCCAAGGCAGCCACTGGTGGCCCTCCAGACTTCTTCCAAATTTCGATCAGGTTCGAGTGGCTCTCATTCGCCGTTGCGGCGGTCGGCTTTGGCACCTCCGACTTGCTTCTGGGCCGCCTGAGCGTATTCCGCACGCTGAGGCTACTGGTGAGGCTGTTCTTGGGCGAGGCTACAGGCGTGGCGCCGCTGATGGAGCCGCTGCGCGAGTGCGTTGTTCCGATCGACGCAAAGTTGTGCGCCATGTTGACGAGAGCAGTGTTGATGCTGGGTGTAGGCGGCTTCTTACCCCAGCTGGATGTCCTCGATGGAGGTGACAGATGGGGGGTGCTGTCGCGCTTCCCCTGAATCTGCGGCTCATCGTCATACTGGCGCGGCGGCTCCTCGTCTTTCGCGCCACGCGAGCGGCTGCGGGAGCGCTTTCGCATGGAACTGGCGCTTGGCCTTCTGATGAGGCCTCGGAGATCCTTGAGTAGACTCCCAGACCGGTTGATTTTGTCGCCACCACTGCCCCGGCTTAGGGACAGCTTCTTCAGGAAGCTTCCACTGGTGACGCCCTCAACGTCAAGATCGAAAACGCTTGGGTGGCTTCTGCGGCGCGTTCCCCAGGTCGCCGATCGAGAGATGATGGAGTCGTTGTCCCGACAGAGCCTTTCGAACCTCTCAATAGCCGCCTGGGACGACTGTGGCTGATGCCGACCTGGAGAGCCTCGAGTGATTTGGTGAAGGACGGGCGCATCCGCCCAATTGCGATTTGCCGCGATGATATCTCGGTCGATGTCGTTCAGCTGGCCACCTCCACCCTCGTTGTAGTACGTCTGGCCGGGGACGAATCGGTTCTCCGTTGAGTCGCCGAGAGGAATCCCGTCGTTGGCATCATAGCCCGCCGCATCGATTGCCCGGATTTCGTCCGCAGACTTCTCCCTCGGCGCGGACACGTCGTCGAGATTATCTGAGAGCCACCTGCCGACCTCTTGGTTGCGTTCGCTGGTTCTCCTTCCTCTCATAACTTCGTTGATGCTAGGCACCTCTTCAGCGGGGCGGTTCCTGGGATCCAGGCCACCTCTCCGTAGGCTTGAATCGCTCTGCCACCGATCTAGGGAGTCGCGGTGGCCTGAAATGTAGGGCGCATCGTAGGCAGATGAGATGAGGTCACCGGCAGAATGAATGCCGCCTCGTACTGTGTTGGGGCTGTCCTCCAAGGAGCGCTCCACGGTCTGGACCGGGACATTGTCATCCTTGTCCCAGATAGAGACTGTCACTCTCGGACTCTGGGGGTTCATGATAACAGGGGCAGGTGCTAGGCCGTCCTCGCTTGTCCTGTTGCTGCCACTATGGCTTGGGGTAAAGTCGGCTGACGCGATGACGACGGGCGCTGGCTTGAACGGTTTCTGGAGCTGCTGTGGAGAGATGGAGTCTGGGAGGCTCTCTGCGATTGATCGCGTGACGCCGGTGTCCTTGCGCTCGCTTGGCGGAGACGTGGCGTGAACAGAGGCAGTATGTGTCGGGGTCAGGGGGTACAGGCTGCCGTGGTCAATCTCATGTTGCGCCTGGGCAAATGCAGTCTCGTCGGCAAGGTAGGGGGCTTGGTTCCAGCCGGCCGGGTCGTCGAGGAAGGACGGCGTGGTGCCGGCCTCGACGTTGTTGAAGTCGGCGCCGAAGAAGGGGTCCTCGTCGAGGTCGCTGAAGTCGCTCGACTGGTAGTGACCTGGTGTGGTGGTCGAGCCGGTCGGGGTCTCTAGCAGATTGGCCGTGGGCGAGGCAGAGTCGATGTTGTGGCCCGGGAAGTCGACGTCGTCGATGTGGACGGAGCCGACGGAGTGAGGTTGGTGGGCAGCAGTCGGCGGGGAGAGATTGCGGGGTTCCAGAGCCTCAAGTTGGTCGAGGTCCTGGCTGCTCAGAGATCCGGGCGCGGCGGCGAAGGCGGAAGCCATGATGGCGTCCGTCAGGAGCAGGAACAGATGCGGGTATATAACAGACGTAAGACGGGACGAGGTCCGAGGCGTCAGTCAGACCGCGGGTGGATGCGCAGCGGAACGAGCAGAAGCGAGGTGAGGTCACAGCGGGCCGGGGAGCGCAAGGTAGGGACTCGGGGCGAGTGCCTGGCAGTCCCGGCTCGCGGCAGCGGCAGCAAGGGAATGAATGAATGGATGCTGGGATGAGGCAGCCTGGCAGATGCCGGAGCCTGGCTGGGTACCTGGACCTCAAGGATGGGGAGAGGGCACCGGTGGACGGCAAGGCTGCCTTGGGGAGCGTCGCGAGACAAATGCGCCAACAGGTGGATGCGGATGGTGTCGTGGAGCAGGGAAAGAGGGCTGAGGTTGGCTGCGCGTGGAGAAAATGCAGGTCGTCGGCGGCGGATCGAAGGCGCTTATTACTCGTGGCTAGCGAGCGGCGGCTGGCAGGGATTGTCGTCGCGCTGGCACACTTGAGGGGAGCGAGGGCAGGCAGCCCGTCAGTCGTGGACCGCGGATATTCGATTCGGGCGCCGACGAGCTCCGTCACCTGGTGTCCGTGGCGGACTGCGACTCGCTGTTGTCGCCGCTGCTTCGATGCCGAACGTTGAACGGGCGATCTGGGGCCGGCCAGTGGGTTCGGCTGGCGGAGGTGAATTTGGGGGCGCTGCGACACAACGGTCGCTAGACGCTGTCTCTGTGCTGCGCTGCAGAAACTGGAGTGGATGGAGGCTACCAATCTAACGGGTCAGTCTGGTGCTGCCTCCAGCTGTCAGAGCGAGAGCGGACGGGCCGTCGCAAAGTCAAGGGACCAAAGTCAAGGGCACGCGGAGCCGCGTGGGAGGAGCAGGCGGGAGCAGACGGGAGGGACGGCGAGCGACTCGACTATCCATCCTCTGCCACATCGACATGAGGCTGCGGGAGTCTAATAGTGGCTGGAGGCCCCCCAGACGACGGGTGTCCGATTCAATGCAACCTGAGGCTTGGGCTGGTCCGCTGCAGTGGTCCTGGGCTGAGGTGGTGTGGTCGCTGTGCAAGCTGTGGTGTGGGCGCGTGTGGCAGGGCAGACGCCCACGCCCGAAGTGGATGAAGGCTCGGGTGGCTGATTCCCACCCACATCTTCCAGGTGCAGCTGCAGTTGGAGTTGCACCTGCCCCGGTGCCCGTGGGCAGTGGAGGTTGCCCAGCTTCCCGCCTGCCGCATGCACATGGTACCGCTACCGACCAGAGAAAATGGCAAAAGTACCCCAAGCGGACCGGCAACCCCACGGAGATACATTTTCGTGTGTCTGCGATCCGTACTCGTACTCTACCTCAACCCAGGCAGGACGGCAGGAGGTGGGAGCGCGGCCCCTGGGCCGGCCGGGCATTGGAGGGCGGGAGAGGGACCAGACGGCAGGTACGGGAACAGCAGCCCGCATCCCGCAGCCCACACCAGCCCGGTGAGTGGCCTTGGCCGGCAGGAGCAGCTGAAGGCTCTTGCCAGTTGCAAACATTGACGGCAGGCACCGACGAATGTACGAAGGGAGAGGTACACTCACACTTCGGTCAGAGGTAAAATGTGCCTGGGTTTGCCCGTACTGATACCGCCAAACAAGGTCCCTCGTCCAGGTACCTGGTCCAAACGTCGACGAGCAGATTGCCCTCTGTGGGGGCTCCTGCCCAAGTGCCAATAACTCCATGTTCGTCAACTGTGCTGCCCGAAGTCGGCTCCGTGCCGCCCATTCCCACTTCCAGCACTGTTAATCCCTCGTTACCGTTGATCACTCGTGTGTCTTCTCTGTGACGGGCTACATGTGCGCCAACGTCCGCTCCCGAGATCAGCATCATTGTGCTTCCTCCCAATGTGGTTCAATGTGAGCTGTGCTGTGCTGCGCTGCGCTGCGTTGCGTTGCATTGTGGCCCCACCCAGCTGAAGCGCCGTCAAACGGCGCATCCTGGTGCAGCAACGACATGGCCAGCCCGCGCCATGCGACAGACGAAGGAGCAGATACTGCAAAGTAACTGCCCGCGACATGCTACTTGTCCTGCGGCGAAGTGCGGCGCATTGCAGCAAGCCGATGTATGTACGTACTGTACCGCCGCCTCTGATGAACAAAACAAGCCCGTGTGGCAACCTAAAGCAGCTGCCAGCCACAGATGCCTGCCCGAGCCGGTCCCATTCTCCTGCAGGCCCGAGCCTCAGGCAACCGAGTTCGAGTTCGAGTTCGACATGGCGGCGGCTTGGGTGATGAGGCCCCCATCTAGGGTGGCTTGGGTCGTCTCGGGGCTGGTGTCGCGAAGCCTCCACTGCCGTCGCCGTGGGGCTGAACCAACCCGCCAAGTCCGCCTGGCTGCCAGACCAGAACGCCTCGCGCGCCCGTGGCCGCACTATCCACTCGCACGTGCAGATCAGACTCCCCCCAAGGCCCCTCTCCATCGCCCAACCCCGGCCAGGCCTGGTCTGCCTGTCCGTCTCCGCTGTCCAGGGCAGCGAGGCGTTCTCCAGTTCAGATGCGGCGCCACAGGCTTCACGGAGCCTTGCGGCACCCATGACGATGCGCCCGGGACTCCGGAGCAGGCCCCAACAAGCGCAAACACACGGAGGGCCAAAGTCTGGTGTCGCTGAGCAGAAACGAGTCCCCTTCGTCTCATCCCGTCCTCAGGCAGTTCCAATGGCTCACCTTCACCCTGAGCAAGCACTTTTGCAACCACAATTGGACTCGGGCCAATATTAGCCGACTAGCCTGCCATGCCAGCAGCGGCATCCTCCATGGCTCGAGACGAGCCCGTCCGTCCCGTCGTCTGTTTAGCCCCTTTGGGTGCTTTGATGACGGACAAGTCGATCGGCTCGATATGGGCATTGGGCAGCCCCTGGCCAATCAAGGCACTGCCGTTGAGGTGATGAGGATGGGCCGGGCAAGTGGTGATGTCGGCACGAGCCACTTGGTATCGCGATGCTCACTGCGGCTGACACGACGGTATACGGATTGGCCACCACCCACCAAACAACCGTTTTGCTGGTGGAAGCTCTCCGACGATTTGCATTGCGAGAGCTCTTGGCGCTTTGTACTGTCGTTGTGAGCCCTCGCAATGGCTCTGGGGCGTTCAATCTCCAACTGCCTCGCAATCACCCCGGAGTTGCTCGACGTCGAGTCTCAGAGCCACGCTTCGTACATTGCGCAGATGCCCGATGCGTTGCTGCAGCCTTAACGGCGCGTTCCGAGACCGGTGAAGCACATCTCGGCCACCTGCACAGCGACTTGGACGCAAGGCACATTGCCGTCGTGTCACAGCGCGCGGTTTGACTTTGGACATGCGCAGGGCAGGGCATGCAATGTCGGAGCCAAACACGCCGCAAGGAACATGTCCCCGCAGTCCCTCCGCTGACCAAGAGATGATGCAGGGCGATACGAAGTTGGGGGGGAGCAAGTCTGGTTCGCCGCCGCCATGGGTCGCCATGGGGGCGCCATGAAGGAACTTGCCGGACGGCCTGGGAAAATAAGCAATGCCACCGTGCAGGGCCAGGTTGAACTGTGACATGGCATGGCATGGCTTCCCGCCTGCAACTTGGGACGAGAGCCCCATGCCTCGTAGGGCTGCTTATAAATAGCCGACGGACCAGGGACTGGGGCAAGGGAGCCGCTCCGACATCGACTTGGCTGGTAATATGCCTCGAGCCTCGAACCCAGCTCCAGCTTACGGGGCCCTTGGCATGCAGAGCTCATGGACGCACGTCTCGAACTTGAAGCAACGCAGCCACGGCCTCTGGCGCTGACAAGAGATTGGGTGCTTACCTTTTGATGTTCGGCCCGCACAGTGATGGTACGCTTTCTGTAAGCCACGTAGTGCTTTGATTGCAGGCAGTGTCTGGTACTGTAAGCGCAGATGGTGTTTGTTGGAGAAGGCTGGTGGCTGTCGCATGGCACCCAGCTGCAACTCTGTAGTACTCCTGCGCCCTTATTAACGACGAGTACGTACCAGTAGTCCGCTGAGGTCTTTGCCTGGAGGCATGGCGTGCGCGCGACACCTACCGGGCGCTAAGCCCAGAGTGGGCCCGCGGCGGCGGCCCGTGTGCAGTGGGCAGTGGGCACAATGGACGAGGAAGCGCCAGCGTTGGCTCCAAGCGTCTACCTAGGTACGAATGCAGCTCCCCTCATCAACCGCCACCACCAACCACCACCTCTTTGTGACGACACTTTCAATCGTTGTCGCCGCCCTTCCCTCCTCCGTCGGCGATACTACGCTCGCAAGCGCAACAGCAGCGACTGTCCCAAACGGCGCCTTCCCTGAGCTTCGGATCCTATCCCGCCGCGCCAGATGGAACCGCGGCAGCAGCGCCTCGACTTGAGTTGAGTTGAGAGAGCGCGCGCCCACGCCACAACGACAACGACGACAAGTTCGCGGCGGCCTCGGGGCCCTGTCCGCTCGCACAGGCCACCATGTTTCGGGTTCGTCATCCCCTCTCTCTCTCTTCTTCAACGACGGTGTCGATCAGTCTCACACCGCCGCTGTTGGACACACGTCGTAAATCACTTTTTGTTCAAAATGGACATGGGATGAGCATTGTGAAGAGCGTTCGCTGACCGGCTGGGACATGTGTGTTGTTGTTGGTGTATAGGCACATCCCGAGGAGCATTTGCACCTGCGGCTGCACAGGGCGCGGTCCGTGGTGCTCACGTCGGAAGAGTGAGTCGTCCATCCGTCCGTACGAGGAACCAACCCCCAGTCTGGCTGGAGACGGGGAGGGCCACCCAGGCATGACACGCCGGCCGGCCGGCCCGTCCCGAGCTTTGGAAACTGTCCGAGTACCTTTGTGCAAGCAACAACAACAACGACGACGACGTACGTTACAAAGGGATATCTCTGGGTCTGACATTGTACTCCCTTGACACGCAGGCTCGTCGAGATCCGCGCCGCGCAGCGCACCTTCGAAGGCGCCTACATGCGCACCGCCCTCGGGCAATTCTCCTTCGCCCTCGTCGTCCTCAAGATCTTCACCGAGGAGTTCTACGCCATCGGCGCCCTCTTCGCCGCCTACGGCGTCGCCGTCCTGCTCGTCGCCGTCCACCGCCGCTACCAGGGCCAGCGCCAGTTCTTCACCGCAGAGGACCAGGACGGCCTCCTGCGCCGCCGCTTCAAGACGAGCGGCGACACCGTCGTTCTCATGACCGCCCTGAGCCTCGCCGCCTACGCCACCCTCCTCGTCCTCACGTGGACGCTCGTCTGAGGGTGGCCCCATGGAGAGGGAAAGGGGGAGCGACCAAGAGAAGGCAGGGGGGGGGGCCCGCCATGTGTTTGTTTGTTTGCCCGTCATGTCACGTCGCACGCCGCCCCCGCGGAACCGGTCTTGAGACTTTGACGTGTCAACCGTCCCGTCAACCCCATGCGCAGATTGGTCTGTACTAATTATTATGCCTCTACATTTTGTCCCACAAACATCGTGTACCACCTGCTGTTCCTCGTAATGTATACATACACGCGTGCCGTGAGAGCTCCTGTACATGGGGTCCAACCCCCCGGGCATCAAACGACGCCCCCAGCATAAACGCCAACATGATGACCGCCTCAATTTGCATTCCCGCCGGCAAACCACTCATACGGCTTTCTCGCAAACATCTGCCTCCCATTCGTACACCATGCATTGTCCACTAAACACCAAGCACTTTTCGGCCGTGATTTCATATCCTTCCGGTGAACATGATAAACATGAGCAACGTGGCTCTTCTCGTCCCCGGGGCATGCAACCGTCAAACTTTTCAACCCTCGTCTTGCTCCTCGCTCGCCCCCTTACCTCGTGACTGGGGACTTGTCGAGCGTCGTCACCAATGCTCGGCGCAGGGATGCCGCACTCGTAGAGGCCTCTTCACCTCCTCGTCAAGATGCCGTCGTTTCGTTCGCGATCCATCGTCATCGATAGTCCTCCCGCCCGATTCCTCACGCTATTCTCTGAATGCCCAATACGTACTTTGAGGACGCTGCTGGGGTTGGCGAGGCGCTGCGTCATGCTGAAAATCGCCAGGCGTTGAGATCCGCGCGGGCCCCGCCAGTCTTCGGCACGACTGAAAGCACTTGTCAAAAGGATGCGTGGTATGCCCGCGTTCTTCGTTCCCTGGCGTAGCCTGGTTCTTCACCTCGCGGACGGTCTGTCTGGTTTGGACCAACGGCGATAGTCTGAACGAAAGTATATATTCCGTTGTCGCGGGTCCATGGCTGGTCTTCAACTCTGTCGACCAACTGACGACGGTGTCCCCAGTGGATACGCAAAGGGGTGTCAGAGATTAGCTGCGAAGCGCGCAGCTACGAAATGCCACAGCTTTGGCGTTTGAGGACGGCCGCATCTCCAACCCCGCCGCTGCCGACCGCGGCCACATAATTCAAAAGATCGTTTGCATCGACAAGTCCGACTGACGTTGTGCCTTTCTTGTCGTCGAGCTAGCAGGTACTGTAGCCACCACGAGTTGCAGGGATAGCCCCTGGTTATCACCGCATCGTGTGTTTGTTGTCGTCTCTGGAGGCGTATAGCTGGCGCCTAAGACGCATCGCAGTTGTTTCTTACCCCGGGCCCTGGCTTGGACGGCCTGTCTCCTCTCCCGCAAGGGATCCGTCGACGGGGCCGCTCAGGCGGAGTAGTATGAATCCGACGGTGCCTGGGTGACAACTGTCTGCTGTCGCTGCTCATCCAGCCACACTTGTTGGTTTCCCGTTGCTTTTCCATACTGCCATCCCCGAAACTGGGCTGAGTCCTGGGCGAGGACGTTCTGCTGGTGCCATGAATCCGCATCTGACGGGACTGCACCCGCTAATATCGTGTCATGGCCGTCAAGTCCAGCGATTCCGCTTGAAGTCATGTTCGCCGCCGATGGTCCAAAGGGCTGTCCGTATATACCCGAGAAGTTGGATGCACGACGCTCGAACTGCTGTCCGTCACCAGTGGCCAAGTATTGGAGCTGCTGCTGGCCCGCAGTGCTCTCCCCGCTATATGACATCGATCGAGCCGGCTGTGGAAACTCGGACCACGCCATGTCGTCGTGAGACCCAGCCTCAGAGCTCCCCGGCGCCCAAGGTGCCGACGAACCCGATGACTGCGGAAACGGCGAGAATTGCGCGCTCAAGGGTGATTCGGCTGGATATGGAGTCCAAGTCATGTTGAGTCCCTCAGCCTTGACCAGCGGAGCTCCGTTCGAGTCCGGCGACATCCACATGCCCGGCGCCTGGCTGCCAAATCCGTAGTGGCCACCAGCGGGCAAGCCATTCGATGGCACTTCTCATATCATGGTTAGCGTCACACACCGTATTGTGTTGTGTCGTTGCGCGACAAGGCTCACCTTTAACATCGGCAGGCAAATAGTCGTCCGTGGTTGTCTGTCCCTTGTTGCTTTGAATCATCCCAGCCATCTCCCCTGGGCTCCCTCCCGCAACTGCGGGCGACGAGGTCGAGGAAGCCACACTGGAACCAGCAGTCTGACGCACGGCTCCTCTTGAGCGGCTCTCCCCCCCTGGCTGCTGATCAACCGGATAGAAACTACATTCTTTTTTCAATCGAATGCAGTTCACGCACCGGTTCTGGACTTCAGGGGAGGCAATACATCGAATTTTGCGACGGCGGCAATGACCTGTCCACAGTCTAGTGAGTCATTACGCTCCATAGAGAGCTGCCAGAGCAACGGCCAAGACTTACTGCAGGCGATCGAGGTCCTGTGGTAGCCGAGCTTATTTCTCTTTTTCTCTCCGGTTCCACCGGTCGACATTTGTGCGCCGGATGTCCCTTGTTGCATCTGGGACGCGTTTGGCGTGCTGAACGATCGCCGCAGCGCCGAGCCCGGGTTATCATCATACGATCCTTCCGAGTCTCGACCGTCGCCCTCTGGTGCCGATGAGTCCTGTGGCATGATCCTGAATGCCGGGCTGTACTCCATTGCCGGGTCGTGGGGAGGGGGTGCAATGTATTGATAGGACATATTTAGCGTTGAGAGCGGTTCTGAGGGCAGGATGAGCGCGTTGTTGCACCCGTGCTCCCAGATCTCCTGCTTCGCGTGGATATTGCGTGCTCGAACGACGGCCATGTAACTAGTGCGCGTTACGAGGAGTCTTGTGAGTTGCTGGCCGCACGTGGGCAAGACAACGAGCTTGTCTAAACGGACGTGTAGTTGAACGAGCGAGGTGTCGGCAGTGTCCGGTGCAGCGGCGCGCCAGTATATCGCAGCCCTCAACGCAAGATACCTAGACCATTCTGCGCCTGTCCTTTCCGTGTTTCAGCAGAAAACGTGGCCGGCCAAGCTTGAGGACAGCTAGACCGGGCTCGCAGTCACCTCCCAGACCTGCCAAGACACCGCACGGAGTGATGCAACTTCTCGGGTCGACTTCCGAAAAAGTGAAGCGGGCTTCTTGTCGATTTTGTGTGCCTCGCACGAGGAAGGCTTTTGCTCGCGCCTCTGCGTACCCAAAGCCAAGGCTCAAGTCCAGTCCGACCTTGCGTTCCTCCGGTCGAAGTGAGTGCGGCTGACGGTAGCTGCGACGGGGCGCGGTCCTTATGAACGCCGGGCTCTATTGTGATGGTGACTTTGCTGCCGAAGCCGGCGCGCGACGAGCGAGGACTCGCAAATTGAGCCCAGGCTTGCCTCAGCTCTGGAGGATCGTTTGCTGGTGGCGGCAGGCGTAGGCCCCCCTGTTTACACCGACCTGTGTCTCGTGCAACCTGGTTTTGAGATACGCAGTGAGCGAGAGGCTGGAGACGAGCGAGGATGTGATGCCTTCGTCCCGCACTTGGAAAGCCTCTCAAAGCGGGCAGAGAGCAGTGCGGTGGCAAGAGCCTGACGGCTGGCGGGAATGAGCGGCGGCGCAAGGTGGCAATTCGCCCAAAGTACTTCGTCGGTCCCTGGCGAACGGTTGAAGGCCAAGTCAGGTCGAACAGCGGCAAGCCTGCACGACGCCTCCCATTGGGCCCGGCTTCTTCCTTTTCCTCTCGCGCTTCCTGGTCTGAACGGGGCGACAAGGGTCGACGACCACGCAGACGGTGCCCAAGCGGCACAACAGGAAGCTATGTGCTCGTAGCGCGTGTCTGCGTCGGCATTGGGGAGCAGAACCCTGTCCAGCCAACCATGGGAAAAGCAACGTTCCCGAGTGGTTTGGGGTGACGCGGGAGGATCAGCAGAAAAGGAGAATGGAAGGGCCTGATGGTGGGAAGCAAGTCGGATGCGTGCAAAACGGCGAGAAAGGGCTGCTCCAAGACTGGACGGGTGGTTGCCGGTCGTCTTCAGCTCGTGACCATTCCAGCTTGACAGGGTGCGGGAAACAGATATATATGACGGGACAGCCGTGCCGGCGGCGGGGGAAGGGGGGGTGTGTACGAGGGATATTTTTATATAAGGGGAGGGCCAAATTTGCCTCGAGCAAGTGCGTCAGACAGGCAGAGAGACTCTGGTCTGAGCAGCAGCCCAGGCGGCTGGCGACGAGAGCAACCTTGAACAGGTGCGCGCAGAGCCATGGGGTGCAATCGGAGAGCTGGTGCTGGTCCTGCCTGCATCGGGGGAGCTTCACCTGTGTGGTGTGCTCGGTAGCCCAAACAAGCTCCATCTTGCCTGACAGCCCTTTCCGCAACGGCCACCAGTCCATCCGGGAGCGTTAGCCACCCCCGATATATCGCGTATCCACTCGGGGCATAAGTGGGATAGCGGCGACAGTTGAGGGACTTCCGATCAGCAGCCTTGGTGGACCCATGTTCGACGCAATTCATCCTGCCCGTAACGAGCGTAGTTCGTGACACTTTGTCAGTGATGTGTGCATGCCGGCTGCATGCGAACCAAGCCAGCATGGCGTTCGGCTGCGTAACCTGCTCAGTACGAGCACCTACAACTTAGCTGTCCCAGGAGCGAAGCCGTTTGAGACGCTTGGGGGCTCAAGGCTCAGGGCATGGGCCCTGTCTGTTCCGTCGCCGCCATGGAAAGGGACAACCACAGTTGGGCGGGCAGAACGTGCTTGACCCCGTCATGGCAGCACACATGGAGTGGTAGTCAGGGCGCCGCCTGGGGATCCGGTCAAGGACCAGGTCTCCTACTCCTTTCTGGACGCCCCCGGAAGTGCGGATCTGCAGCTCTCTGGGTCGCAGGCCAAGCAAGTGGTGTCCCCGGACAGCCGACGAGACAGGGTGTCACGCAGCGCGCCGGCGAGGGGAGTGCAAGTTGTGCACGAACGAACCATTTCGCCTCGTTCCACTTCTCCACAGAGCGCATGTGTGTAGTCCCGGCATGTTGTAGATATGCAGCTCTGTATGCGCGTCGGCGCAGGCAGATATTCTGCATGCATTGGTACGTCCGTACGCGGTACTTGGCACGCTTGGTGACCGTGTGTCGCAAATCTAGGAACGCACGGAATATGCATGTTGCTTGTGCTGGGGAGTGGCCGGGGACGGACGGCGAGTATCTGCCTGTATCTGTCGGTCCATCTGTCTGTCTGTACGTATGAACGCTCGTACTGCGTACAGACACGAGTCACAGGACCGGGCCCTTGCTTGGATCGAAGTCGTCGTTGTGGGTTCGCGGATCGCGCCAGCAGACAACCTAGCTGTAGTCTTGTGGATCCGCCGGCGGGAACCCAAGCGTGGCGCCTCGGAAGCGCCTTGGTTGATGGGCATTAGGGCCACCTTGTTGTTCTTATTAAATCTCGCCGTTGGTTATTACCTAGCTGTCTTTGGCGCGAGGGCACGGATGGCCACCGGTTGGCTCACACCCCCATGGCGGCCGGTCCGCGTCTGCTGAAGAAGGCCCGGTATCTGGCGAGGCATGTCACCGGCGGCGGCGGCGACGCATGCTCGAGGCAGGACTGGACCGGGCATGCACCCGCAGCCAACTGCATCCCAGCTACGCGGTTTTTGGGCTAGCATCGCGGCGACTCCTTTTCTCCTTGCCCACCACGCTGCGGGAAGTGCATCTGTATGCAGGTGGTCGCTCGTTAGCGCACCTCGGATGGATCCCTCTCGCTCAGCCCAGGTATCTGACGGGCCTTGGCGCCTGGCACACACGCGCGGTAACATCGACCGGATTGGGGCCCGGTTGAACCAAGGCGCTGCGCATCTCCTGTCCAGCCTCGGGCTCCGTGCACTGTGGACAGAGCAAAGTGCTGGGGGCGTGGACCTGTGGGCAGGGCGCACCGCGCCGTTGATGTAAGTGGCATAGGCCCGCCGCTCGACGATTGCCCGTAGCGGCAGGTAACTGCAGAGGTTCGCAGTCGCGGCCAGTCGCAAAAGGTACCGTCCGAGAGGATCCAGTTTGTCAGGCCCCATGCCTTGGAGCTGCCTAAGCCAGTTGATCGACGGCGGTAGTGGCAACAGGAGCGTCGAGGCTGTCACTGCGGCGCTGGCCTCCCGTCCGAGCGAGATCCAAAATGCCCGATACTGTACAAAGCCCTTGTACGTGTTACTTGAGGAACCGCGCGCCCCCGTCAGCAGGATCTGGCTCCCCACCCGATGCAACAAAGCTTGACTGCATGGCGAAGGTTGGGGCGTGATTGGGGAGCAAGGGGGTGTTTGACAGATTGGAGACCCGCTCGGGGTCCGACGACGATATTACCTCCGGAGGCCAGCTGCTTGCCGGTTTGCTTGCTTGCTTGTGACGGAGGCGACAGAAGAGAGCTCCCGGGCCGAGCTCGCAAAGTCAGTCGACTCGAGGAGCCGGTGGGCAGGTCATCGGTGCTCGCTGGCAGGTCATGGCCTTGGTCCCCAGGTCTCGTCCTCACACCATTCGGACACTCACATGGTTGGCTCGGCGAGTGAGACGCAGGATCTGCTCTGGCCAGTCTGGGCTGGGCCAGACCCGTGGGCTTTTCTGCAGCAACGGCGGGCGGCAGCACAGCAGCAATAACGAGAGCGACAGTGTCCGACGACTTTTCCAGGCCACCAGGCAGCTCATTGGGTCGGCTTGTCACGGGCCCGCATGCTTTCGTGTGGCAAGGACGCCAATCCTGGGCAGTATGTCTGAGAGGTTACCCTCTGTATGATGATGCATGAGGCTCAATGCCTGCCTCCTGGCAAGGCGCCTGACGGGCCGACCCCGGACTCCGTTTCGATACGATGGACGATCAGCAGAGAGTGACGGGCGTCCGGCGCCTTTGCTGAGAGCGTCAGTGAGCTCCTCGGCCGAGAGACGTGCCCGTTCCATGGAGCCATTCCAAGCAGCGGTTGCTTTTGCTGGACTGCCCCTCCCCGAGGGCCACTGTCACTGAGGTTGGCCTCCACACGTTGGCCCTGGGGGCAGACCGGGGAAGCCATCCGCCGCAACGCTAATGTTGTCGAGGTGCATCTTGCGAGTGTGGTTCCTCCAGCAGGGCTCCCCCTCGTGGGGACCGGACCGTGGTGGTGTCCAAATGCCTGTCCCTGTTGCTTTTGCTTGCCTTGCCTTAGCTTTGGATGCTTGCTTGCCTTGCTTGATTGCTTGCTTGCTTGCTTGTTTGCCAGAGGCCCTGACTGTGTCAGACCACCATCCGCGCGCCCGCCGCCCCCGCCCTTGGTGCTTCGTCAAGGGCCCAACCCACTCATATTCGACGCGGAGGGCTATAAGAGAAGAGTGCCTGGCTGGTCAATGGTATGGCCGAGTGTCCATTGGATGCAATGGGCTCGGCCAGAGCGGCGGCCAATGCTACGCCCCGGGCCTTGGCCGGGCGGCGCGGGCGTACGCGGACTGCGGCGGCGATCGCCTGCTCGTTACCCTTGGTCGTGCACTCGGTTGAGTCTCTGGCGCACCGGGCATTGTGGAATCAAACGTTATCGGGGCCGCCGGCTACCGTCGTCGTCGTCGGCCGATTGGAGTGTTGCAGAGGTCAATCTTGTCTGCACGCCTGCTCTCGACGCGGCCAATGGCAGCTGGCCAGGCTGTCAGACAGTTTCGTCTCCAGCGCAGGCTCTGCCCGGGCAGTTGCCAATTGGCATCCCCTGGAAGGTGCAATCCACGCGAACCACAATTGGAGCAAGTGGTGTCTAGGGAAGGCCCGCTCCTGCCTGCTTGTGCGCTCGTACGTACAGCACTCGTAGGTACATCCTTAATCACGGGCCTGATGCGGATTACCCAGCAGGCTTGTACATGCGCCTATGTTGATTTGCCAAAACATCTGCAAGATACGTGGGTCGTGAGGAGGTAAATCGTCAACGGTACCTAGAACTACCGACTTCGTACCTAACTGACATCGTACCTTGATGCCCGCCTTGCGTAGGTGAACGAACTTGAGACAGCGAGGAAGAGAGTACTGGGTATCGAATAGGTATGGATAATGTACCTCGCAGCAACCCCCATCACGTACCTTGTTGAACGAGGTGGTTGTGTTTAATCCAATCATGCCGCTGGCTGCGTCCGGAGCACAAAATAGAAGCGGCGATGCACCGGCCTTGCCCCATGACCTGCGACCTCCGACTCTCCTGCTTCCACGAGTTGGAGTTACCTCAGCCATTACCGGCTTCCCCAAAGTACCAAAGTATTGCAATATCTGGCACGTCTCGATGGTCGCAGTGTAGGCTGGTAGGGACTACCTACCTACCTACCTACCTGGCCGGCGCGAGCCTATCGCGCCCAGCATCCGTCCTCTCCGCTCGACTCTCATACATGTGAGCGATGGCGACGCCAGGGGGCACGTGCAGCAGACCGGTAGGGGCCTCGCCAGTGGGCAGGTCGCCCCTTACACCTTGATTCTGTCATCCCGCATCGCGCTGCTAGCCGACGTTGTACAACGCTGCCGCCGTCCAGCACATCGAGTGCCATACCATCGTCATGTCCATTACCTGGACTAATCACCACTCGCGTCTCCGATGCCGCATCTTCCTGTGTTTGTGCCTGCGCCTGGCCTGGACGTCTGGCCGCCACGCCACCCCTCCACCTGGACGCATCCATGGATGGGATGGGCTGCGGGCAGCCCCCGTTGGCGGCTGAACTCCGAGAGCTTCGACGGCGCCGAACCCCTGATACGCGACGAATCGAGGTGCGTCTTTCCTCGCCTCACCCGCAGCTGTCGCTTCGCACTGTTGCTGTTACCGTGACTGCTGGGGTTGCAGGCACGCTCAGGCAAGGCACCGTGATGTAAAGGCGCGCGCGTCTGCAGAATGCACAATATCCCACACCGGTCTGGGTCCAATCCAGGCCTCCAGCCACCCAGCGACTGCGTCCCCTCATCGCATCCCCGAGGATGGCGTCCCACCGACGCGCATTGACAGGTCCGCGAGTACTCGCGAGACAGGTACCGAGTACTGTATGGAGCCGCCATGTACGAAGAACAGGGGGGGCCGCGGTGTCGATGCGTACGGGTCACGTAAAATGTACATGCACAAGCAAACGCGCAGCCATTCTATCAGGATTCCTGAAGAGGCCTCGAATGATCGGAGGAGAGACTTCACTCGCCCACCAGGTCAGCTGCGGGAGAGCGCGGGTACCAGTCGAGCTGCGTACGTACACGCCTCTCAGCAGAGTTCCTCATACGGCGCTACTTACACGCGCATCAAGTAGGGGAAAAAATGCACGTCTCAGTGAGGCCAGGCTCGACGCCAAAGCCCGTTTGGCGGCTCGCCTGTGGCCGGCCGACTGCCACGAAGGTTGCTAGCTCTGTCCATCAACCGCTCTAGCGCTGCGCCCGGCCGTGCCCATCAAACAGTTATTCTCCGAACCGTGGACCTGACACCCCAGCGCGCCATCGTTTGACCTTCTGCCAGCGATTAAGCATCGTTCAGGTCGTACTCGTACCATCCCCACCAGCGAATAGCAGGGCTTTCGCAGTCACGGGCCACGGTCCTGCTTCGTCTTCGGTGCTGGCCGTTCGGTGCTGATTCGTCTGCCGCCGCACGGCATCTGGGCGGCAACAGGCGGTCGCATGCTGGCCGGCTCTCTCGAGCTTGTGGCGTCGCTGACCAGAGTCGAGAGGATGGTGCTGGTCGGGCCAGTCTGATAGGCCGGCCACGAGGCAGGGCTGGCCCAAGAGTCAACGTCCATTGACAAACACCAAGAGCTGGCTCAGACTCCTTTTGGCCCTAGCCTCGGCCATTGAAGATCTGGACTGCGCTGCAACGTCTCACCACAAACGTCCTCTGGGTGTCAATCAGCTCACAGAGTGGCAAACAAAACTCGTGCGAGCACGCACGACAACGCTTTCCACGGACGCTCCTCACTAGCCGTGCTAGGCCTGACGGACTGGCCCGAAAACGACTTCGAATGGAGCAAAGGACCGACGGAGCCCACACCGTCGTGCTTGGGGGCCATGGGAGATTACGTACGGAACGCGGCGGATGGCGCAGCAACATGCGCTCTCCAGCCCCTCATGCTGCGACGATGGCTTCGTCTGCTCCGGACGACTGGCGCAAAACGCCGACCCGTCCGTCTCTGACAAGATGGCACCCGCACTTCGTACCACTCGAACGATGTGATAATGGTTTGTGCAACTCTACTATTGCTGTGGGCTGTGGTTCTGATGCCCTCCGTGAGCTAGAGGGTATCTTTGGTGCCCGCTGGAGAATGGACCCATGTCACGTCTCCGCTCCGCATCCTGAGATGTGTTGGCTCCCAGTCTCCGTCCCTGCTGTACGATGTACAATCAGAAGTCATCCATCAAGTGCTCTTGCACCCTGCTGCGCCCCAGGGACTTCTTCCACCGTCGGGCATCCACTCTGGCTCGGCGGCCCCATTCATCATGCAGTCTGCCACAGACATGGCCAGGTGTCTTCTGGTCATGCAGTTGGTGATCTGCTTCCCGCCTCCAGTCTCTGGCTGGCGCAGTCGGCAGGAGCACAGGGGCCAGGCTCTGAGTAGGTACCTCGAACCACAGTTTGGCCTCGTATAGTTAGCACATGCGTGCTGTCCTCGTCGGCCTCAGCAGCGGTCGGCCGATTGTATTCTTGCAGATCACACCAGCGCAGGGGCGAACCGACCGACGACGTAAATCCTTGGTGCGCGTCGCTGCGCTACGAGCTTCCTTCTGCCAGGACGACTCTTGCCGGACCGCGGCATAGTACCCCGTGCGGACTGCACTCTGGCATGCCTGGTCATTCTTCAAGCAAATGCCCTGGCCATCTTGCGCAAGCTGCTTCGTCTTCTTCTGCTGGGACGGCGCCGCTCGGGTGGACAACCCGTCGGGGCAACCTTGCTCAGCGCATTCGTTTGAGTCAAGGGTTCGCTCTGGCACAAACAAGTCGTTTATCAAGCAGCAGCTCACTGGGAGCCTCCATCAAGGCAGGAGGAGCGTCTGTGGCCTGCGCGCGACTTGGTAGAGGAATGGCCTGGTTTGCCACTGCTGGCTCGTCCAGATTGTGGCTGGCAGTCAGTCACGTCCCGACACTAATGGCCGCCATCGAACGCCGTTTCTTTTGGCCCGTCGGGAGGTCTCAGCCATCCCGTGCGGGCCCCGTTCGATGAGAAAATAAGCAATAATGGCTTGGCCAGTCCACAAGGCTTGTTCGATGGGCGGACCAAAAAGTGCTGCTAGCGTGGTCGGTGAGCGTGAGGCATGGCTCGCGCTGGGTTTCTGCATGGATTTGCTTTGGGCACCTGCGAGATCTGGCGCATTTCCACTTCTCCTCTGCTGATGGACAGTAAAGAGGACTGCATAGGCGCCTCGGCTCGGCGCGCTCCTAGAATTCCGTGGGAGAAATAGCTGTCGCCTCGTCTCTTCCCTCCCCCGCTCCTCCCAGTGCGGCAGATATAAGCGGATCACATCATAACAGGAACAGAAGATTAATACGGGTGGCTCGGTGCTCGCCACGCCCAGATAATGTGTTCCTCATGCAACATGACGACACTCGACAACCGGGAGTGTCCGTCGGCATCAGACAAGTAGCTATGTGAACTCCTCCACCATGGCAACCCCCCCAGTGCTGTTACAAATGCTACCTGTGTGAGCACAGCTAGCCACATTAACGGTACTCCGAGACATGTTCTATCAAGTAAAGAGGTTATTGCATATACCGCTGTGACGTGACGACAGTTGTCTATTCGTCTCTAGCCCAAGCGCGTCACAATATGTCCTCGTTGGCAGGCACTAGGGCCCTCCCCTTCCCTGATTGATTCTTTTGTTTCGGCAGAAGTAAGTATCGCGACGCCGGTAATGAGGACTGAAGCCGCAAGTAAGCGAGGTAGGGGAGTGGGTCATGCATTCTCCGGTACTGTGAAATTGTGGCGATTTCGAGCGGCAAGGAAAAGGAGCTGCCATGTGGCCACAACGGAGCCCGTCAAGTGATGTGCAGGAAGAGCAAACGAGTCCGGCGGACCCGAGCCCTCGGACTTCGAACACGCCACTATCGTTCGAAAACGACGTCTGTTATCCTTGCCTGTTGCCATAGCCGGCTTCTCATAGTTGCCGGGAGATTGCCAAGATGGCGAGGAGAGCCCGCACCATAGCCCTGCCGGGGCCGCCGCCCGTGGCGGTGGCGTCTGTGGGCTACGAAGTGCATCGAGATTCACTTCCATATCTGGAACATCTTGTTATTGTGTATATTTTGCCGCCTGCAAAGCTCAGGACGCCGCCCATTGCCTCCAGAGTTCACCGCACCCTCTAGGGTAGTCTCGAGCAACATAAACCTAAATCTTGCCACCTCCTGGGAACACATGAATGCTGACGGCCTCCATGAGTGCTTGAGAGTGTGAACCCTTTCGTTAGTATCCGGGTAAGGAAACCTATCGGGACTGGAGATGTGGTGGTCAAAGCAATCGCAATCTTCCAGCTGTACATTTTACCCAGAGAGTACGGAGTACCCTAGCCATGAAATGAGCAGCGCGGCCCGCGGGTGAGCTATTTGCATCCTGGCAGCGACGGGTATCATGGCGGCAGTATTGAGAACTCGTTACTTGTTTATCAGGGCAGCCGGCAACATTAGAACAATAAGCGATAAGTACGTGTTTGAATCGGTCACTGCCATTCCATGAGACGAGTGATGTGATGCTCTCACCGTATGTAACCACAGTGCAGGCACATCATTCTCACACGGCAGCTTGCGAGAATCTGTGCGGGTCCACACAGTAATCAGCTGCCCCGCATTCTCGCTCTCACTGTGTGGCCCTCGCCCGACCACATACCGTGAACACACCACCACCCGACACAAGAGTCGAGACAAAGGCATCTGGCGTACGGACACGATAGCGGCCAGAACGCGTTGCGCAGCGACTGGCGGTAACTTTACCTGGCGTGAACCGCGCCCCGGCACCGCCCACCGGTTGACATTGCGACTGACCGCGTGCTCGATCGAATTGGCAACCTCAGCATCACAGTTTGCCCGCGGGGCAACGCATTCGCCATGAGCGACCTGCAAAGGGCATGGGCGAGAAACAAGCTCGGGCTGGCACACGAGCCCTTTGGCGGATTGGCGGAAGAGGAGGAGGCAGAGGCAGACCAGGTACCCGAACTGCCGGAGCACGCGGACGACGACTCGTCCTCAGCATCGTCAGTCTCCTCCACCGGCACCATCATTCCCACGCCAAGTCAGAAGCTTTTCGCGCGTCCAGAGGGGTAAATCCATGGCCATTATCGGGCAGGGTACAGGCTAACCATTTCATGCTCAGGATATCACGCGGTAGGAGCTTGGAACCGATACCCTGGACGACGTACTTTGAGCGAGAGCTGTACATTGAGGCCGAGAAGGAGGCTGGCGTGACGTTTCACGCATACCTCACTTCGCCGGTGGACAAGGGCCCTTTGCTTGTAATGCACCACGGAGCTGGGTCGTCGGGGTTGAGCTTTGCCGTGGTCGGCGCTGAGATCCGGAAACGCCTTCCTTCGGCGGGCATTCTTGCTGTGGACTGCCGTGGGCACGGCAGTACTGTTTCGCCAGAAGGAGCCGCTTTAGATCTGAGACTGCAGACCTTGTCCAGCGACCTGAATTTCGTCATCCAATCGACCAAGACGAGGATGGGCTGGGAACGGCTCCCCAACGTGGTGCTGGTCGGCCATTCCCTCGGAGGCGCAGTGGTCACGGACCTGGCCATGACGGGGAAGCTGGGAAGTGATCTTCTCGGCTACGCGGTGTTGGACGTGGTGGAGGGATCAGCCATGGATGCGCTGCAGAGCATGCAAACGTATCTATCGACGCGACCTGGCGGGTTCGCGTCGATACAAGCCGGCATCGACTGGCACATCCGATCGCGGACCATCCGCAGCTCCATCTCGGCGCGGGCGTCGGTGCCCGCACTGCTGAGGCTGGACGAGGCCGAGGACCAATCCCGGCCCTGGCGATGGCGCACCAATCTGGCGGCGACGCAGCCGTTTTGGGAAGGGTGGTTTGTAGGGCTGAGCAAGAAGTTCCTGGGAGCCAAGGGCGGGAAGCTGCTGCTGCTGGCCGGCACAGACCGCCTGGACACGGAGCTTACAATTGGGCAGATGCAAGGTATGAGATCAAGACATGCCGGACCCCGGTCGACGAGGCGCGAAAGCCGCGCATCACTGTACCTACTGCACAGGGCATGTACTGACAGACGACGCGTCACAGGAAAATACGCCTTGCAGGTGTTCCCAGAGGCAGGGCACTTTATCCACGAGGACATACCGGAGCAGACGGCCGTGTCACTGGTCGACTTCTACCGGAGAAACGACAGGAGCGCGCTGGTGTTGCCGCCCAAGGTTTCGGATCTGCTCAAACAGGGCAAAAAGGTATAGATGTACGATGTACGAAGTAGAAACGGCCGAATGCACAAACACAAACGCACACGCGGAGACTGCCGCGGGGCGCTCGAAACGGAACATCCTTGGCATATTTTGTTTCCTTTTTGCTACGAGGCGCACAAGCTTGGCATCGGTTGACACACCGCAACCTCGTATGAGCCTGGCCCCGAGGGGAGCGTGTGCTCTGTGCATGGCAAGCTCAGACGTTGCTGACCCAGGAAAGAGGATCGAGATGAAATGGTGTGTTACGAAGTATAGAACTGCAGCATGCTGGTCTAAGCCAGTCAAGCAGCGCCTCGTATGCATGTAAGTCGTTGACGTACGATGTGAAACACGCATGCCGCGGGACAGAGACACGCGTTGCGATGGAGCCGCAGCTGGGATCGTGTCACCCCGCTCATCACGAGCTCGCGGGAAGGTACAGTGCTTTCATACAAGAAAGCAGACATATCAAGGGCGTCACCTGGGCGTCTTCAGCTGCCCAGGGGGAGCTTTGCTCGAGTGCGTGCGCGTGTACGAATGCTCGTACGAGCCGCGCGTCTGGTCCGCCGACTGCGGGCGACGAGGCAAGCTGCAGTCGCCTGGCAGTCGATGGCAAACTTTGGCCATGTCTCGGTAGTCGTAGCAGTGCGTGGACACTACTTGCAGGCGGATGGACGCAGGGCCGAATGGTTGGTTGGATGGCCGGTAAGTGTGGCTGGGCTGGGCCGCGTGGTGAGACGAGGTGTGGTGAGCATGGTGAGGTCACTGAGGGTGTGGTGAAGAAGCCAGGGGTGATAAAGTGAGGTGAGGTGAGGTGAGAGTGTGGTAAACGAAGTGATGGTGGATGGATCCAGTGCCTCATTTGGAGCTGACGAGGACGCAGCAATTCACCCGCAAGCGAACGTCTCAGTACATGAGGCAGTAGTGCCATGTTCCACCTCAAAATCCTTGCCCGTATTTTGACAGCATAGCCGGGAGAAGCGAATTAAGGTGCTGACGATGGCAGGCATCCGCAGCGTTGGGACGGTGCCAGGACTTTGGCGGCCACAGATTTACACAGAGTGCCCACTGCCAACGACGGGGTGGATTTGGGTCCCTGCGACGGCTGCTGCGCCTGCTAGAATGTTCGCACGTATTGTGCGCGCAGGCGCTGCTTCTCTCAATGGGCAGGGGATCCGGCATTGGCATCCCTTGGCTGCGATGGTGGTCGGCACTTGGACAAACCTACAGAACACGATTGACCGTTTCATCAGCGGCGGACGACGGGATGGATGGTGGGTGTGCAGACGGGACGCACGCAGGTGGCTGCAGCGCCTGGGACGCCAGCATCCAATGTCACAGTGGGCAGCAGACGCCGCTGAATTTGGTCCCCAGCCTGGGTGCGGGGGGCGTTGATGAGCAAGCCCTCGGCCGTTCCCTGGAAGAATCCATCCCACCTCCACTACCAGAAGCCGGCAACCACCACCACCACCACCTCACCGGAGGACGACCCTCCCTTCCCATCCTGGACGAGGTGGAGGAGGGCGGAGCCCAGAGCGAGGGTAGTGGGCTGTCGTCCCGGCAAGTCGGAGGACGTCATGCAGAACCTTGAAACCTTGCAAAAGCTTGGCCGTCGCTGGGCGCCCTATTGAGTATTGACGCGACAGCCGCGGCTGAAGAAGCGCACCCCGGCGCCGGGTTCCTTGCGTTAGACACAGGTTGGAGTGCCGACGGGCCGGGTGACGTCCAAGCCGGACGCCATTTGAATGATGGAATGGAAGTCGGGCGGAGGGCCCAAGACTGTCCAGTCGAGCAGCTCAGCTGGATGGACCCTGGCGTGGCGCGGCCCAGCGTTGCCAGTGCGGATACATAGGTACCTTACGTTAGTGCGCTGAGCCCACCGAATTGACCTCGCCCGCGCGCCCCAGAGAGAGCGCCCTGGAGCCAGAGATCACGGAGCTCCCGTCGCTGACGAGTTGACGCTTACGGACGGGACGGGAGGTTCCATATTAGGTGGTCGTCACCTCCACTGTCAGACCACCCTGGGGCCCCCCTCTCCCCTGAATTGACCCGACCTTGCGGAGTTTTGGCGCTCTCCCGGGCTGTACGAGTGAGAGTACTTGTACTTTGACCGCTCCGAGGCACCTGCCAGCTGGCCACTGCTAGACGCCGACGGGCATTGCTAGGGCCGTGCCATCGTGCCTGCTGCAAGGAGCTAGAGCTGCTTCATGAGGCACAGTCGGTCCCTAGGTAGCTCCCAATGCTCCCTTAACCTGGGGAACCAATTGCCGTGCTTGGAGGGGGCGCACATCGGCGGGTAGTCCTGTTAGCTTGCCGTGCCTGCGCATGGGCCAAGCGACCGTGATGAGGTTGGGATCCGACGTCTCTGTGAGGTCCGGTCCCCCCGCCACCCAATCTCCTCGCCGCGTTTATTAGACGCCCCGTGACCCCGGACTCGCGCTGGGCTCCGTCCTCGCGCAGTCCTCCCCCGAACCTCGTCTCTTACTTGAGGCCTCTTCATCCCTTCTTTCGCCTTGCACATATACCCGGTTGCTCTTCCAAAAAGTTCTTTGGTCCTATCCCTAGTCCTTTAAGCACAACAGCTCGCGCCAACAAGATGAAGACCACCCTGATCGTCTCCATGGCTGCCGGACTGGCCGCGGCCCAGTCCGTCGGCAACGTCCCTGAGTGCGCGGTGAGTTCCCAGTCCCCATCCCCTGGTCTCGTGTGACGCTCAATCAGCCCGTTGCTCGCGGCGGCGGCGGCGCCTCGATCGCCAACGTTTGTCTCAGTCACTGACCGCTTCATCGTCATGCAGCGAGACTGCGTCGGAAAAGTGATTGGCTCCGTCGCTGGCTGCAAGTCTTCCGACATCGGGTGCTTCTGCAAGGACAAGGCTTTCATCAACAACATCGTTTGCTGCATCGCCAAGACCAACGATTGCAACGCGGCCCAGTTGAATGAGACGCTCAAATACGCCGACTCGCTGTGCAGCCCCCAGGGCGTCACACTTCCCACCACCGTGCCCACGTGCAGCACAGCAGCACCCACCCCTACCCCCTCGCCGAGCTCCAACTCCACGTCCGGCTCTACGGGCTCATCGTCGTCATCGACCGCCGGTGCCGCCGGTGCCGGCAGCGTGGGAGGCTTCGCGGGTGCCGTCTTGGCCATGCTCGCCGCTCTGTAAGCCAGGGAACGTGCTTGGGAGGCTCTATCAGGCGACCAACGAACCGGCCGGCGACGAAGCCCCACGGCGACGAGGCCGAGGAACACATATACGCTTACGCTTGGAATATGCGGGAACACGGCGAGCGCAGCGAGATGATGGCATCCGGGGCCTGCCCTGGGGAGGAGTTAATATGATACGGATAGTGGCATTCCTCTTCTCACTGGCCTCTGCAGGCCTTTGGGCCTCCTACGTGCCCTGTTTGTATGCGCCAATGACTTAATTCAAGGTATTAGACTGCCCCGTTTCTTGCGGCAGCCAGCCCTGCAATGCAGCCTTGTACCTGATGCGATGCCATGCCTCGATCGATCCCAGGGACCTGCTGCCTCCATCGCAACGGGGTTCCAGCCATGTGCCTGATCTGGCTGCCATTGAGCCGCCAACACGCAAGCGCCCATCCTCACCAGCGGCGCGCTCATCCCGGACCACAGCAGCGGTGGTGCGACGCGATAAAGATGGGCAGATCATGGGCGGATACGTTTTATGGCCACGGCGATATTATGGGGAAACAGGGTCTTGAGGGTCTCTCAAGGCGAGCATCGAGCATCGGAGGCCCCGCCGTACCCGCACCGACTGCCCGCTTTTTTATTTCTCACTCCCGCCGCCAGCCCAGCACCCATGCTTGCATGCATATGGAGGTCAGTGGTCCGGACAGCACCTGCTGACATCACCGACCCCCGAACTCCGGACGGCTCTGGTAAATCGAGCCCCTCCACATTCCGAGCTCGTTCCACCCCGCAGCAGCCCAGCACCGCCAAGCCAGCAACAGCAAGCATCCACGCCGACACTCCCGCCCTGACGACTGACCAGCCTTGCCCTTCCGACGTTGTGTGAATTTCCATTGTGCGCTCTCCAACTCAACCTGCGGCCGATTCGAAAACGAGCAGAGCAGAGCAGAGCAAAGCAAAGCAAGCAATTGAGACAGCCATGGCGCCCAAGACCATCATCGCCCCGTCGATCCTGTCGGCCGACTTTGCGCAGCTCGGGCATGACTGCGCGCGCACCATGGAGCAGGGCGCGGACTGGCTCCACGTCGACATCATGTAGGGCTTCGGATCCTCAGGGGCGCGGCGAGAAGAGCCCCAATTGGAATTGGAATTGGGATTGGAGGACTGACGGCTGACATTCGCGGCGCGCGCGCACGCACGCAGGGACGGGCACTTTGTCCCCAACATCACGTTTGGAGCCCCCGTCGTGGCCAAGATTCGCGGGCACGTCGACCGGCCGACCGAGGCGCACGGTCGGGGCACGTTTGACTGCCACATGATGATTGCAGAGGTGAATACTTGACACCACTCCCCCTCGCCCATATATCCTGTTCAAGCGTTGGGAGGAATGCGCAGCACGCGCGCTACGGTGGTGAGCAGCTAGATTGCTGCCACCGCGCGCGGGTGGGCTCCGTTCCCCACGACAGACAAGAATCAAGGATCCGCTGGAGGAGACCATGTGACGCACCTTGGCTGACGACAACGCCTTCTCTCCGCGACACGACGACAGCCCAAGAAGTGGGTCAAAGACTTCAAGAAGGCCGGCGCGGACATGTACTGCTTCCACTACGAGGCGGCCTTCTCGTCGGCGGCCGAGAGCCCTGAGGAGACGACGGACGCCAAGACGAGCCCGCGCGAGCTGATCCGCTACATCCACGACCAGGGCCTGCAGGCGGGCATCGCCATCCGCCCGGACACGTCTGTGGACGTCCTGTGGGACATTGTCGAAGCCGAGGACCCGAGGGACAAGCCTGATGTGCGTCAACTCCCCCCCCCATTACGCCCTGGCCCCCTCATCTTCTCTCTGCCCCCCTCGTGATGCGTTTGCATTGCCGCTGTGAGCAGAGCTGTTGGTTATGTTCAGTCTGGGTGCGCTCGTTAGCTGACAGAGGCTCGCCCCTGCAGATGGTGCTCATCATGACCGTCATGCCCGGCTTCGGCGGCCAAAAGTTCATGGCCTCGGAGCTGCCCAAGGTCGAGGCCCTCCGGAAAAAGTACCCCGAGCTCAACATCGAGGTCGACGGCGGCCTCGGCCCCGCGACCATCGACCAGGCGGCCGACGCGGGCGCCAACGTCATCGTCGCCGGCAGCGCCGTGTTCGCGGCCAAGGACCCCGCCGACGTCATCGCCGCGCTGCGCCAGTCGGTGGACAGGCGAAACGGCAGGTTGTAGATTGGCGCGCGAGGTGGTACATATACACGATGATGAAACAGCGGCCGTGGGTATAGAGCGGAGGGGTATGGTTGTGGTCAATTGTGGCGTGGCGCGGTGTATATTTGATGTCGTGGGTATCTATGAATGTACGGATGGGGTGGCTAACGTATAGATCCATCATACTAAACAAGCATGCTAGAGTCTGTTCGACGTCGTTTGGTTCTTTCCGTCAACCACCATTTCCAACGCTTTGAGGGGCCTTTTGACTTCGTCAACTGGACGGAAGCCCATCATGAAGCTCGTGATATGAACGGCCGGGGTCCTGCGACGGCCAGTCCCAGCTTGTCGGCGACGGAGGGGTTGAAGAAGTGGCAGAGGGGGCGCATGTGCGTCTGCGCGGCTCAGCTGGCGTACACCACGGCGATGTGCGTGTCGTACGTCTTGTACTACGAGAAGCGGAAGATATCGACGCCCAGGGCGCGGACGACGTCCTCGTTTAAACGACCCCGTTCTTGTCTGCACGCATCAAGGCTCCGTCCCTCACGCCTCTACGTCCAACTCTACCAGCTTCTTCTCGTCAGAGCTGCCGCTGCTGCGGTCGCCATCCCACGCGTCTCGCACGGCGCGCCAGTAGCGCTCCGGCTCAGCCCTCGCGATGGCGACGTGCCGCGCCCCCTCGAAGCGCTCAAGCCTCACGACGAAGCCCGCCTCCTCGGCCCTGCGCGCGTTGTCCTCGACGTCCCGGTAGTAGACCATGTCGTCGGCGGTGCCGTACAGGTACGTGCGGCGGCACTCGCGGGCGGCCAGCTGCGGCGCGCGGATGGCGCTCGCGTTCTGGTTCTGCGCGGCGGGCAGGCGGCGCAGCGCGTGGTAGATGCAGGCGACGGCGATGGCGGCGTGCATGAACGGCGAGGTCCACCACGGGAGGGTCTGCAGCAGGGCGCGGTGCGTGTTGCGCCAGCGAAAGTAGCCCGGGCAGGAGTCGAGCACGAGGACGTAGCGCGGGAGCGTCTCGAGGCCGCCGCTGCCGCCACTGCGCGACCGCCGCGCCGCGAGCATGTGCTTGAGGTGGACGGCGGTGCTGATGCCGCCGTTTGAGAACATCTGGACGAGCACCCGCGGGCGTTGGCTCGCGCCGCCGTTCTTGTCCGTGTCCGTGTCCGTCGTCGTCGCCGCCGCCTTGTCCGCCAGCGACCCCAGGATCGGTAGGGCAGGTCGCATGTCCCTGCGCGCGATCCACGGAAGCCATACGCGGGACAGCGGACACCGGATGAGCAGGATGCGCGACGTCGGGAACAGGGCGCGGTACCGCGCGATGTACTTGGCGATGTGCTCATCCCGCGCCGCCATCCAGGAGAGCATGAGGATCAGCTCCGGGTCGGATGCCGCCTGGGGGACGTGGCCCGGGTCCAGGTAGGCGACCGTTGGGCTGAGTCGCTGCATGAAGCCGAGGGGTGCGGTGCCCGAGGGCGTGTTGTAGTCGGACGCCATGCTTTTGGGGTCGTGTACGTATGGCGAGAGGAAAAGGAATGTGCCAGTATTCAAGGAGTCGGTGACGGGCAGCGGCGCATCGCGGTTCGTAGTCGAAGTGGGTGGCGAGTAAGTACACTGTACTGATCCTCCTATTCCAGAGATGAATCCAACGACGATGATTACGACGACATTAACAACTTGGTTGCATTCAAGACGTGTAACCAATGGCGAGAATCGGCGCGTCCGCGTGTGAAGTTGCAAGCGAAAGACAAAGAAAAGACGTGTCTGACGGGGGGCCGAGGCTCGGACTCCGGAGTCTGAGATGCCAAAGCCGCATGAGTCGGCTTCCCCAGACGAAGTGACGTCCGCCCGCTCATGCGTGCCTGGTGGGGTGGGAAAGGGGAGCAGGGGGGCGGGGGGTTCAGAATCGGATCCGGGGGAATTAATGGATTGACGATGCCGGGCCTAGGGGCCTAAGGGCCTAGGGTGGGTGAGCCGCCAAGCGTGAGGCGGCAGTCACCGTCGACGTTGCCCGGCATGGCTGCAAAGTCGTCTGGCGAGGCAGAGTGCATCCAGCCCGAAAGATGCAATTTCTTGACCTGTCATGTAAGATGGGCGCCCTTCTATATGGGAACGCGAAGCAACAGGGTAGACTTAAACACGAATAGAACTCGCAAGACACGATGCTGCCTTACTGAGCCACTACTAGTACGAGTATCATGTTTCTGTCCTTGGCATCATCCACACCCGTGGGCGATAGCCCCATCCGGAAGAGAAATTGAACAGAGCCAAGTCCGGGAATGCGTGAGATGCAGAAGCGGTTGTCACACACTACATAGGAAGACGGCCAGGGCAAGCCGCTTTCTGCGGCGCCCATCGATGACACCCCATGGACACTTTTCGCGGTGACACGAGCGAGGATCTTGGTATTGATACGGCGCCACAAGTAAAGCACAAACAGAAGCCCATGTTCTAGATATATTTGTACGTAGAACCGCCTGCTCGCATAGGCAAGGCGGGAAGCAAGCGAGGATGGATGGGAAACCGGCCGCACGTGTAACCGTGAACAGAACCATGATCTCACTCGTCCGCACCGCGCTTGGGATGCCAATACCGAAACGCCTTCGACAAGCGAGTTTTTTCGCCCTGTGTCAATGTGAAGAAAGGCAGCTGCGAACGTCGCACCGAGACGAGTGGTCCGGTCAGACGCTCACGGCACTTTGTGCTTCATAGGCGGGGTGCATTATGGCGTCCCTGAGTGATGAAGGCGAAAGGGTTGCCCGTGTAGTACGAGGCGCGCCGCGGCTGGAGCTTGCATCCATGATGCCAATCCTGTGATTCCATCAAGGGCCGCTGCGCACAGCGTGCTGCATCAGTGCTGCATCGCGTGAACGCTCTTGCTGCAGTACTCGACACACGTGCGTGCGGTTGTGCACTTGCATGAGACGACAGCGACGGAGATGGAGACAATGAACGAGTACCTTATTAGCCCACCATCAACCCGCCTCAAGGACTACAATGGATAGAAGAGAAACCCATAGCAAGTACATACACACTTGGCCAGACCCAAAGGAAACAGTTGTACTGCCAGCTGCCAGCATCGGAACATCACCATCTCCTTGGCCACCAGATGTCTCGCAGCTGTCTATCTGGCACCACCCGCCCGCCTGTTCCCGATGCGTAGACCGGGTGCCGAGATTAAAGGAAGGAACAGACGGCGTCTTGTGGCAGGCACGCGTCACGGAACCAGCCCATGTTTGCTCGTCATCGTACCATCTCGCTTGCCTCTCTGATCGGAAGGAGCGACCTTGCGCTCTTTCTCAGGTTGATCATGAAATCTCCTGGCCCTCAGTAGCGATGGACCGCTGTGTGCCTGCGTCCCCTCTTCGTCACGGCTCGTCACGGCTTCCAGCAGACGCAAACAATTCTTCCGGTCCCGGCACCTGGCCTCATCTTGCGCCCATCCCAAGTCCTGCCAACTTGGAACCCAAATTGAGAGTCAGCTGCTCACCTCTGCTGTCTCTCTCTCTATGCTGTCCACGCCCGCCTGATAAAATCTCGCGTTGTCAACCTCCCGCCTGCTCACACTTCCCCTCTTGTCTGTCCCAAGCTTCTTTCCACGAACCCTACAGTCGCACCTGTGCAGGCCCGACCACAGCCTGTTCTGCTTCCTGTCCTGTCCTCGTTCGCATCTGAGCCGGCGCCGACACCATGAAAGCTCTCGTCTGCCTGTGCCTGCTGCTTAGCAGCTTCCAGGCACTCGCTGCACCAAGCTCCCCCGGAAACGGCGCATCTGTCCCTTGGGACATCTCCAAGCCCCTCAACGGCATCACCTTCGAGCGAGTCAAGGCCGTGAAGCCGCCCACCCCTGATCGCCCAGCACCTCGTTTCTCCCGGCTCCACAACATCAAGGGCAAGCCTGGATCCTTCACCTCTGTCTCTGCCCTTGGGAGGCTACTGAAAACTCCGCCAGCGCATCATCAGCACGTGTACCAGAACGTCAGCGCCACCGGAGATTTCTCGACTCAGTATGCCATCCAGTGTGGTTGGGACGGCGTTCCCCTCTGGCTGCTGTTTGACACGGGTAGTTCGGACACATGGGCCGTCAAGACCGGTTTCCGATGCAACGACGGGGTCGGAGGGGGCAACGACCAGGAGGTTTGCGGATTTGGCTCCCCGACCATTGACGAATTCAGCGGAGGTGCCATCGAAGACCTCCACTTCCTCCTCAAGTATGGTTCTGGCGAGCAGATTGTTGGCCCCATGGGCTACAGCGACCTCACCTGCGGTGGTGTCCATGTGGCGCGCCAGCAGGTTGGCCTCGCCAACGACACATACTGGCACGGGAACAACCTCACCGTGGGAATCCTCGGACTTGCTTATCCCTCCCTTACCAGTGCCTTTTATGGCGAAGTGGGCAGCGAGGCCACATGGAACGCCATCTCTTACACCCCGTTCTTCACCAATGCCATTACGCAGGGAACCATCGATCCAGTCTTCAGCGTGGCCATCCTCAAGAATTCGTCCGAGGGCATGCTCGCCTGGGGCGGGCTTCCACCCATGGATTGGCGGCGCGGTCGAAGCGCTGAAACGGATCTCATCATTGTCTGTGACCTTTGTTGAGGAAACGGCTCAGAAGCTGACAATGATGGTCAGGCAAACTTGATCGGCCAGGCTGAGACGGCGTGGAGATACTCATTCTACACCATCATTCCTGATGGCATAAAATGGGGGCAGTCCACCGACACCACCAAGTTTCCGTACATTGTCGATACTGGCACGACGATGAACTATCTCCCGCCGCGTGAGTCTGGCCTCGCCTTGCACTGACGGAATATCACAGACACGCTGACCAAAGTCCAGCATTGGCCGAGCAAATCGCCATGGCCTTCCAACCGCGGGCGGTCTACTTGTATCAGTGGGGAGCGTATTTTGCGCCCTGCAACGCGATCCCCCCTCAGTTCGCCATCATCATCTCAGGGGTGGAATTCTGGATCAACCCCGCGGACCTCATGTACCAGGATCTCAAGGATCCCCTGACGGGGTACTGCGCCGTGGCAATTGCCAGCGGAGGGGCCGGGCCTTATATCCTGGGTGACGTGTTCCTCCAGAACGTCGTGGCCGTTTTTGACGTTGGAGCCGCCAAAATGCGCTTCTACTCGAGGTAACGGGCAGGTTGCGCATTCGGCACCGTGATGGGCACTGACGGCGGACGCAATTTTGGGCCGTCGCGGCAACGGCGCTCTATGGGGCAGGTTTGGCGGGCGTGATAATGGACTAGGTAGGGCGCGATGGTAAGAAATACATGGACAATGACTGCCGGTTGGCTCATCTGCCGAACTCTTGGTGAACTACGTATGTGAATGAGGCGTGGCCCCGAGGTGAGGGTCGATTAGCTCTGAGACAGGTCCTGGCGGCTTATCGGGTCAGGCACAGATTGACTTAGTCGCTCGTCTGTGTAAGCGGCTTGGGGCGACAACGGGGCGCCCGATTAAAAGCATGGCGCGGCCGTGCTGCGCTGGACACTACTCTACTCTGGATCGCACATCATCGAGCAAAATCAGCACCTCGCAAGCGTCCTCTACCAGCCTCGAGAGCGTCTTTGTTGCACCGAGACGTACAGGAATTCTGAACTGACCTGGAATTCAGCGACCAGCGAGCGCTCCGCCACCCATAACACTATGAGAGGTGTATCCGCAGGGCCGCCGACGCCGGCAACAGCTTCGCCGTCAGGACGAGCGCGGGCGAACACGTGGAACTTTAGCAAGGTGAGTCGAATGCTTCAATATTGTCCGCATCGTTTCCCACCCAGACGAGATATGACGGCAGCCCGCTGGCTGCCTGGCGAGACGGCGCAGGAGGAAATCACGACGTGGTCAAGTGACCAGCCTGGGCGGTGAGGGCGTCGCGCGCTCATGGCTGGCAGGGGAGGGGGATTTGCCGCAGCGCGTGGGGCGAATCCACTGGTGACAGCGCGAGTATGCGCACAGCATTGGGAGAGGCATCACACGAGAAGCGTCGAGCGAAAGCTTGATGCAACGATGGGAGCATCCCAGAGACCGAGTCTGCAAGGCACGAAGCAGAAGACGACGTCGAACGACTGCCGTTGGGCCAGGCCCGACTGCCATTCCCAGGGAGGAGGGACACCCATCATCCATCTCGTCCGATGCGACAGGGGTCCCACGCAGGGTGCCCGCGCTGGCAAGGATGGCAGATGGCTCGATCTCGGGCGTGTGGCAGCGTCGGGCAGAGCCGGAGACGAGCGGCGGCCCGAGTGGGCGGGCAGGCAGGCTCTGGAGTCTGACTGAGCCTTTGTTGCGGAGCGGTTCCTTGCAGTGCGAGGGTCGCCCGCCCAGCCTGATGGTGGTGGTCACTGGTGGTGGTGGTGGCGGGTGGCACCATCAAGCATCGCGTACCATGGCCCGGCAGACCCCACCAATCTCGAATGTCCCTCGAACGGCGAACGGGTCCTCCACCACCCACCCACCGGGGCAGTCCGTCACTTTTTGGCAGTCAGACTGGCAGTCCACCTCGGCAACGGGGTAGCGGCGGGCGAACGGTGGCAGGGCAGGGCCGGGCAGCTGGAAGCTGGGCCGACATCGAGTCTGCTTGAGACGGTCGAGGAGCGACGCAACCGTGCCGGGAGGGCGAGGCGAGCATTGCAGGCATGCGGGGTCAAGAGATGCCCCATGACTGAGGCGACGGCCCTGGGCTGGGATTTATCCGCCGTGTCAGTTGCCCGTTGCGTCACTGCCGTCAGTACCGGTAAGGAGAACGCTCCGTCGGCGATGTTGGTCGTTGGAGTGCAGTTGCGTCGCAGCGGGGTGCACAGTGGACACTGCAATGCAGTGCAGTGCAGCGCAGCCCAGTGCAGTACAGTTCACTGCGGGGAAGGAGCACCTCAATCGGTTGCTCGGGCCAGACGTCAATGGCAATGGGAGTCCATGCTGTCACGGCAGGGACCTCCAGTCTCGCCGAACCACCGAGCACCTTTTAGCATGCTGCTTTTCACTCTCGATTTCACCTCCATTCATCCATTGTACCATCCGCCCTCGTTTGATCTGGAGACGAGTTCCCGCCGCGCGCGAATACCCTGGCCCTGTTTATCGAATATTCCACCGCCGCTGGCCCTTGACCGCCAGCGACCCAAGCGCCAAAGGGGAACCAGACGAGAGCACCAAAGGGCGAATATTCCTTAGTTGGACCCGCGGCCCGGCCAGACAGACAATAGCCTCATCAGGCGCCCACGTTGCCGCTCCAGCCTCGAACCTTGAGAGAAAGGTACAAGGCCGTGGCCGAGGAGTCACTGGGCGCTGGCGAACCCCGAAGTCATCGACTGCCTCGGCGCTGGCGCACCACCCCCATCCCGTCGAATCACCTCAGCTCCACTCCCTGGCAGTGTGGGCAGGCATCTCCATTAGGCCTTGGGACCTCCACCACAAGGTACCATCCTTCTGGGGCACAGCTCCCCCAGAGCGCCCCGAAACGCCCCGCTATTCGGCCCTGCGGCAGTCGCTGTTGGTCCCCCCGCCTGCGCCTGAAAATCGGGCAGCCTCACGCGATCATTCACCGTGTCACCCGTTCATTCATTACTCACTGAAACTTGGCTTCACCCATCACACTCGTCGTCGTCGCCCATCTCACCTGCCTGCGCCTTTGAGCCCCCCCCGACAGTTTGTTTTCACTCTCTCGTCCGATTCCAGACCACAAGTGCCTTGGTCGCTGTCTCCTTCTTGCCTCGCTTGTCACCCTCGACTGCCGGTACAGCCTACTTCCTCAGCTTTGCCTGCCTCACCCTCCGTCACTGCTGCTAGATGCGCCCACGACGCCGGATGCCTTGGCCCTCGCTCTGCAAACGCTCTGCCTCGAGTATCAGACTCGACACAAGTCACCATGCCGTCCAAAACTAACAACGGCGTCGGGGTCCAGGTTGAGGACACCAAGATATGCGTCGTCATGGTTGGTTTGCCCGCGCGCGGGAAAAGCTACATTGCCCAAATAGGTATGTCGGCCCTTGAACCCTCTCCTCCCTTGCCAGGGCAAGGAATCAATCCCAATCTGCTCTCGTCAACGGGTGGCATGCACATTGAGAGCCTGGCTGACCTTTTTTTTGTCGTCTGCAGCCCAGCGATACCTGCAATGGCTCTCCATCCCGTCGCAGACGTTCAACGTCGGCAACTATCGGCGTAACGATGCGCCACAGCCCACAGCTGACTTCTTCGACACCAACAACGTCGAAGGTGAGCGGAAGCGCCGCGCTGCCGCCGAGGCCGCTCTCGCAGACATGCTTAAGTGGTTCCGGACCGGCGGCGTCGTTGCCATCCTCGATGCCACCAATTCCACAAAGGAGCGCCGCAAATGGGTCAGCGACACGTGCGAGGCTCACGGCATTGAGGTCCTCTTCGTCGAGAGCAAGTGCGACGATGAGGACATCATCATGGCCAACATCCGCGACGTCAAGACGACGAGCCCAGATTACCGCGGCCAGGACCCCGAAGCTGCGGCCCAGGACTTTCGCAACCGCATCCGCAACTACGAAAAGATCTACAAGACCATCGACGAGGATGGTGACGAGGACGCCTACACGTACCTCAAGATCATGGATGTCGGTAAGCAGGTCATCATCAACCGCATCCAAGACTACCTCCAGAGCCGCATCGTCTACTATCTCATGAACCTCCACATCCGCCCGCGCTCGGTCTGGCTGTCAAGGGTAAGCTATCTCTCTAGAAGGCGCCGTTGACCTGACCGCTGACTTGTGACGCTCCCTAGCACGGCGAGTCCATGTACAACCTGGAGGGCAGAATTGGAGGCGACACGCTTTTGTCTCAAAGAGGCGAGCTGTACGCGAGGAAACTGCCAGAGCTCGTCCGCGACTCTGTAGGAGTAAGTCTTTTCGGGTTAGAAGCCGACGTGGACGTGTGCTAATAAGACTCACAGGATGACCGTCCCCTGACTGTCTGGACGTCGACATTGAAGAGGACGATTGCGACGTCTCGCTTCCTTCCGCAAAACTACAACCAATTGCAGTGGAAGGCCCTCGACGAGCTCGATTCGGGCGTCTGCGACGGCCTGACGTATCAGGAAATCAAGGATCGTTATCCGGACGACTTTGCCGCCCGCGACGAGGACAAATACAACTATCGGTATCGCGGCGGCGAGTCGTACCGTGACGTTGTGATTCGCCTGGAGCCCATCATCATGGAGCTGGAGCGCAGCGAAGATATCCTCATCGTCACTCACCAGGCCGTCCTGCGATGCATCTACGCCTATTTCATGAAGAAGGACCAGGCCAAGAGCCCCTGGATGAACGTGCCGCTGCACACTCTCATCAAGCTCACGCCGCGGGCCTACGGGACAGAGGAGGTGCGGTACGAGGCCAACATCCCTGCGGTGAGCACGTGGCGGGGCAAGGGAAGTACTGCGAAGCATGAGAACCCTGCCCCGGAGACGCTGTAGCGCGTGCATGGCGGGGCATGCGTGTCCCACGACACGCCTGGCTGATGGGCGAGTCGATGGGCCTTGCATGGCATCGCACGACGGATGGCGACGACTCTAACACGACAATGAAAGCATGCAACCGGAAAGGATCGGCCATGACGAGGGTGGACCGACGTGGAGATGCGGGCTCCTCACAGCGCTGAATGGAATTATGAAACTGAGGATGCTCGGCCAGATGGGACTCAATGTATGGATAGACAAGCATGGCACCGAGGCCTCGGCGTGGAACTGTAACGTCTATGATGTCTTTTGCTGAATTCTTTTATCCTCGGCTCGCCCCGAGCCCGAGAGGACGGTGTACTGGACGCATGGCATATCGGCTGGCTGGCTAGTGGCGAATCAAATCAAGCGTTTCCAACTTTGCTGCGTGTGAGGGAGTGCATCCTAACGTAGGTGTTGCCTATGAGGATATGGGCATGGCAGGGCTTGGCTGACTTACTTTGTCAACGTCCAATCTCGGCCTGATAGCTCGCGCCGCCCATCTCATCACGCAGTGCCAGCTTCATCGACCAGCCGGAAGCATCGGTGCCACGAAACCAGGAGAGACGAAGCGTAGCCGCGGGCTCGCAACCGCTGCGCAGCTGTGGCTGCTGCAAACACCCGCGCGTCACTGAACAAGCCCAAAAGGGTTGCCATATCAGTGAATCACAACACGTACCTCGATGCGCGCTCTCTCTCTCTCTTTCTTTCTCTCTCTCCCTCATCACACCCCCCCCCCCTCGGTGGGATCATTTCCTCCTCCGGCACAACCCGACGCGCTTCTTTCTTTCGAACAGGCGAGCTTTGCGCTTCTCGTTCCGTTTGCTTGACGGACGTTTTCCCACGTCGCTGGGATATATTATCAGCAGCAGTAGCAGCAGCAGCAGCTCGGCCCGCGTGGCTCGAGGCCTCACTCGAGCGAGCGAGAATCGAGAAGCTGAAGCATCGGAACGCGGACGTGAAGTGAAGACTTCGTTTGGGGAGAGCAACTCGAAAACAAAACGCCGCACTGGAGCGACTCGACGACCGCACTTTCGCAACCACACATCCCTTCACCACACGAAGTCAAAGCCAGCGCCGGCGCCAACATCATGTACTACCCGTGGTATAGCAGCGGCCAGCAGGTCCCCGCTACGCCAAGCTACATGGCCTCACCGGCGGCGTCATCGCCCTACGCAGCATATCCGTACTCGCACGCGCTGCAGGTGGTCGCTCGCCAGCCGCCCACGCCGGCGCCTGCAGCTGCGCGGCGCACGGAAGGGTACCTCGCGCAGCCGGCGCGGCAGACGGGATACCTGTACGACCAGCCGCTGGGGACGACGCCGGGCTCGTATGGTGTGCAGATGCCGGGCGGAGGCGGAGGAGCAGCGGCTCCTGTCCCTGTGATAGCGGTGCAGCAGATGCAGATGCATGTGCAACAGATGCCCGTGTACCAGGTCCAGCAGTACCAGCAATACCCCCAGTATCAGCAACTCCCACTGCAGAGCCCGGCGGCCGTGTACGTTTCTGCACCTGCGCCAGCGACGACGGCACTGCCCGTGTCGTTCCTCGTGCCGCCCCCGACGACGGTGGCTGCCCCCGCGGTGGTGTACGTCGTGTGCCAGCCGGCGGTCGTGCAGCAGACACCAACCGTACTGCAGGCTATGCCCCTTGTTGCGTTGCCTCAGGCGGGACAACAAGAACCAGCATCGACTACGCCTGTGATGGTTTCAACGACGGCGGCGACGACTGCGCCAACAACTACACCAACCACGGCTGCGCTTCCCACAATCGCAACGGCTTCACAATCCTCAGCAGCACCAGCGGCAGAACCAGCCCCCGAGCCAGCCATGTCGACGACTCCCCCCGCGCCGCCACCGCACATCGCCATCCGCGTCGTCTTCTTCGGCAAGGGCACCGCGACGACACGCCTCTGGATCCGGGTCGCCGACGCTTCGTACACCACCGTGCCTACACGGGCACAGCTGCACGCCGACGTGGCGCGCCTCGCTGGTCGAAGCGGCCTGCCGGACCAGCGCGGCAAGAGGGCGGCTTTGTACGTCATGAAGGAGCCAGAGTCGGAGACGGAGACGGCAGCGGGAGGACGCGTCGTGGCGGGAGCGGGATGCGCGCTCAAGGTCGTGGCGGATGGGGGTGTCGTCCCGACGGAGCGGCTCGAGGTGGTGGTGCCCCTGGACGATGAGGATTCGCAGTCCGTGGAGGCATCGCTCGAGGAGGTGCTAGGAAGGGTGTTGCTACAGCAGCAGCAGCAGAGTGAGGCGCACGCGAAGCGCCATGTCTTCCTCGCCGTGGACGTGGACGACATGTGGAAGGGCCCCGAAGACGGCGTGGCGCACGTCCCGCCCGTGGAAGGAGGCACTCCGGCAGAGCCTCAAATCGAGACGGCCGTGCCCGCGCCGACAACGACAACCACCGCCAACGGAAACACCACGGAAGCAGGCGCGACCGCAGAGCAGGCGCAAACACCATCCCCGCGCCCCCTATCCGTCGTGCCAGACGAGGGAGAAGCACCCTCCGAGCCCCAGCCTAGGTCTGAACCCGAGCCCGAAGCCGAGCCGCCGAGCGTAATGGTCAACGGGGTGGACGGACTAACGATAGAGTAGGACGGCAGAGGCGGCGACGAGTGAATGAGGCACACACCCTGTTGCTGGCGGTGACCTAGGACAGTGGTTGCGGCAAGGGCGTTTAGGGGGGGATGGACCTTCTCGTGATGGCGTCATGGCAGATGGTCAGTGTCACAACAAGAGGAAAGGGGTAATGGATGGAGAGGATAATGGGGACACTGGCCAGAGGCAGAGCAGAGCTGCCGAACTGCAGCATGGATGCCACAGCCCATAAGGGTAGAACTGAACGCCCTCCTTTCGAGGGCCTCGGCATACAGGCAGCGGTTGCTCGCCGTGGCCTCGCTCTCAACAGTCACAAAGCCGCGGGCCGTCTGCGTCATATCAAGTGCTTCCTGTTTGAAATCAACCACCGCACATCTAGTAGAAAGCTTGGGCTCGGCACCGTGGTGGCTGTCAACGGCCACCTCGACTCGCCGAGCTCATGGCCGCCATGGGCACCCGTAATAGAACGCTTTTATCGTACACAAGCAACTCCGTTACCCCTGAATTAGAGTGTCTCCCCGGTCTTGCCCAGCTTTCCCCTGATATGGATATGAAGGACGCTTCAACATCTCTCCCCTCCCCTGGTCGAAATGGCCGCCGCGCGCTGCCTGCATGCCGCCCGTGAGAGAACGCTCGGCTGCGGTCCCCATGTCCCACGGGGTTTGCATCAAGCACGCGGCAAATCGGATCCATGTCTGCAAAGTCGCCGGGATGCTATGACGGTCACCGCCCGAAGACAGGCGAGCCTCCCCCGCCGACCGCACCGTCCTGCCCGACAAAGAGTCGCGGGCGCCAAGGTGCGCCCGCCAGTGCTGGGTATCAGTCGAGCCGGCGGCGCGGACGTCGTCCCCTCCGCCCGTGTGAGAAAAAAACAGCTTAGCCCAAAACAAACCGACCTCCACGCCCATCCACAGGCTTTCCAAGAGCTGCGGGAATCGGAATAAGAAAACGCGAGTAACAACAGACGCCGCCATGCTACATGAGGTGAACATTATGGGCATGAGGTATTGGGGCACAATCCGACCGGGCATGATGCATCGACAGTCCCGCGGGCGCGCCTCATGACGGGTTCCCCTTGACCCTCTTGGGCATCCGGGGCGTCGGCGGTTTCGTGGGCCGATTCTGGATGCCGTTGACCTGCGGCCCGGAGCCCGCGGGCGTGGGCGCCCCTGATCCGTCCTCCTCCACCTTGACGCCCGACGGCCGCCGGCGCTTGTTCGACGCCGGGGACGTGTTGGCGCTCGGCCCGCTCGAGCTGGTTCCCTGCTGGCTTGGCTGCAGCTGCATGCCGGGAGCCTGCATCTGACCCGGAGCCGGGCTGCCGATGTGTGGGGATCCCGGCAGGTTCATGTGCGCCGCGGCCGGGCTGGCGCCCATGGGGAACTGCCCGAAGCTCGGCGTTCTCGGCCCCTGCTGCATCGGCTGTCCGTTCATGCCCGCCGGCGCCCCGTTGATGCACGTCGCGACATACTGGTCCAGCGCCATGTAGGGGCTGATGCCGGGGTTCCCATGGCAGAAGGAGAACAGGGGGTTCATCTGGCACACGACCTCGACCATCTGAAGCCTATGTTAGTACGTGCTACCTCGACGCGAAGAGGGGTCGGGTTCCGTACCTCATGAAACTGGTGCACAGCCTCTGTGACGCCCTTGCTGTTGACGGCCGAGTCGGGCAAACCCTCCAGCACGTCGGGGGGCTGTCGTTGCGGGGACTTGAGCTGCTTGGCCTTGCTCTTCTTGGACATCTCAGGCGACTGCTTCGCGTCCGGCGTGTTGACCTGGTGCCACTCCTTGAACCAAATGTGCGCTGGCTTGGCCGCCTCGATGACCTGCTTCCGCGGGATGTACTCTTCGTGGCTTGTCGTCAGGAACTCGAGCAGCTCCAGCTTGAACTCTCCATCGAAAGTCGCGCGGAGCGTGCCCGTGGCAACGACCTGAAACATCCAGATTAGCAACTGCGCTCGGCTGTGACCGACGATAGCGGGCGAGGCTTACATGCGATCCAGACTCGTACCAGTACGTCAAGCTGGCCTTGGCGTTGTCGAAGCAATAAAAGTCTCCAGACAAGAGGCGCTCGTTCCCGCTCTTGTCCAACGTCAACTGCATGCTCTTGACACCGCTGCTGAAGTGCGTGTGGAAGTATCGAGCGATCGCGGGATACAAAATCTCGTATGACTTGTCCGTGATGTCCTCGCCGTCGCTTATGTGTAGGGCATGTCGGAAAATACCGCTGTGGGAGAAGAAGCGGTTCGCAAACGTGTTCCAGTAAAGCATATCGTCTTTGCCCTTTGTGCCCTGGTACAAGTTAGCGGCTGTCCGATGCCATATTGCATTGCAACGACAAGTCAAGGTCCACGCACTGGGAATGAGCTCAGGTGCTCGCTCAGCTGCATCAGCCTCATCAAGCACTGCGCCTTGATGCTTTCTCTGCGCTGCTGCTGCTGCTGAAAGATTGACGTTTGCATCGCGAACTGCTGCGCCTGGTTCATCTGCTGCTGGCCCTGCGGATGCATCTGCTGAGCTTGCATCGGGCCCTGAGCTTGTTGCTGAGCCTGGGGGCCTTGCGCGGGGCCTGAGCCTGGTGTCGGCGCTGGGGTTTGCTGTCCGCTCGGTGCCGGGGTGCCGGCTTGCGACGTCTGCTGCGGAGTCGGCTGCTGCTGCTGCCCAGGCTGCTGCGGCTGTGCCTGTGGTTGCGACTGCGGCTGACCCTGTCCCTGCTGAGCAACTTGCTGCTGCGCACCCGCCTGATTCTGCGCGGCAGCGCCGCCCATCTGGCTCTGCTGCTGCTGCTGCTGCTGCTGCTGCTGCGCCTGCTGTTGCTGCTGTTGCTGAGCCTGCTGCGCCTGCTGCTGTTGCTGCTGCTGCTGTTGTTGCTGCTGCAGCGCGGCCATGTTCTGGGCATTCATGGGCATGGGTTGGCCATGATTAGGTCCGCCGCCCATCTGCTGATTATGTGCGGCCTGCTGGGCGGCCTGCTGCTGGGCGGCCTGTTGTTGTTGGAGCGCAAGCTGCTGAGCCATGATGGCTTGGGCCTGGGGATTTGCACCCTCCAACGAAAACTGTGTTAGCTGAGCCAGAGGAGAAGCGGAATCGAAGCCGGGTCTTACCGGTCCCATTCTGCCCCGGAGCGCCTGAATCTGCTGCGGGTTAAGCTGCTGTAGTTGCATGCCCATGGGGATGCCACCACCGACGCCCATGTTGACCTGCACCTGTTGCGCCATCAAAGCCTGCCTCGCCTGCTGCTGTTGATGTTGTAGCAGTTGATGTTGCCGCATCGCGGCCATGGCACTGGGGTTCTGGACTGTGGAGCGTCGCATGTCAGCCGAGGAACTCGGGGAGCGCAAAGGGCGGGTGCAGGAACACGTACATTGGTTTTGCAGCTGCTGCTGATGCTGCTGCTGCTGGAATAGTTGTTGCTGGGCAGGGCTCAGATGCTGCAGGTGCGGGTTGGCGCCGGGCGGCATCGCGCCCATCATGGCAGGATTGACCTGACCGCCCGGGCCTGACACGGCCATGTGTCCGCCGAATTGCTGGGGCATTCCGCCGCCGGGTGCGCCTTGCTGTCCAGCATTGGGAGGCATACCGGGACCCATGGGATGGCCCGCGACGGCCTGGTGCCCCATGGCAGCCGGATGCCCGGTGAAGTTTGGCCCCATACTTGCGGCCATCATTTCTGAGATCGTGGGTCGGCTATCCACCGCGTGGATGTCGACAGTCGCGTTGAGACTCTATCGCATGCGCATGCGGCAATCCCGACGTATGTATTGCGACGTCGCGGGTGGTTCTGGGGCCCAGTCGCGGAGTCGGCACCAGATTCGCGTCGCGACACCTGAGCGTCGGTTCCGGGGGCGGGCACGACACGACTGAGAGGGAATAAAGCCGGGCCTCGAGGGGTGCCCGTAGGAACGCGTGTGATGGCCAAAGGCCAGCGCGGAAGCAGGATCAGAGGCCGGGAGGTTATCGTGGTCGGAGAAGCGAGGCCAGAGGCGCGACAGGAAGGAAAAGTCTGATTGTTGGTGACTGGATGGGGGTCCGGCGTCGTGATGCCAGACGCCAACAACAGGCCACTGAGACGACGGGAGGATGGGGAGAGACGGGCAGCCCGACGATTGCTAGTCCGAGCGAAGGTTCAGCTGCAGCGAAAGCAAAAAGCGACGAGGCTGCGCGAGCGGCGGAGCGAGCAATCGATGTGATTTGGAAGACTGCCGATTGCCGCCGGTAGAGCGAGGCCAGCGTTTTTGGCCTTTGGCAGGCGATGCGCTGGGCAGCGGGCGACTTGCAGGAGGCTTGCCGCGCGCAGCAGGGCCACTGGCCTGGGTCCTGTTTCCCTATGCAGCGAGGGCCTTCCGGAGCCCTGGCAGCGGCAACGAAAAGGCGCTGACCGGAAGGCGTCGAGGGGAAGCCTTATCGGGAGGATGTTGGGTTGGCGGTGACGGGGGCGGTCGAGCGCTTCGCTTGGGGGGGGATGAGAGACGTCGCAGTGCAGCCAGAGGCGTTGAATACGGCGACCAAGAGCCGGCGAGACGGCGTTGGGATCTTCCTGTTGCGTGGGTGGGTGCAGCAGCGAGACCCAAGACGGGAGAGACACCAGGTGGCAGGGGGGATGGGAGGGACCCAGACCCAGTCGCGGGACGCCAGGCGACGCCAAACCTCACAGCCGGTGGGGGGAGATTTCGGGGATATGCAATTATCGGCGGCCTCGGGGCCAGGTCGGCGCAGAAAAACCAAGACACACGTGCCGCGCGCGGAGGGTTGGAGTTGTTTGTGTCGATTCCAAATGGGTGGCTGGGTGGTGCCATGGCTTCCGCTTGAGGCCCCTTGGCAGAAAATTGGAGCGGGGTTATGCAGCGATCGGGTCTATGCATGCAGCGGGGCGAGCCCGGAGCAGCCCGAGCGCTGGGCCGGCTGGCGCTCACGGATCGTCCGTGGAAAGCCGCTGGTTGGCGTCGTCGCGTTTCGCACAGAGTGTCCTCCGCCTCAGGAAATAATACATTTGGCTTCCATGCTGACTGCATTGTGCGCACACAATTTTGCAGCGCCGAGGCTGCTGCACGCATCCCGACGACATCACAGTACGCGGCCGCCCATTTTACCACACTTATGCATATCCCATCCGCTTGCTTAATTACAGAGGCGCTATTTTTGGTCGGTACAAGTTACTTCCGTTCCCAGTCTGCGCTCCACCACGTGACTCTTTACAGTGCGTGTAGTGCGGAAAATTTCTCCTGCACTGTCGCCCAATATCTTCCATCGCGACGAGCTCCACACGCAGAATTTCTTCCTCGTCCTCATCGTTTTTGTCTTCCAGACAATTCTCTCCCCGAACGACTCCGGTTCTCGCCATTGCGCGGCGGGCGAGCTTCACGAGGTGCACGAGACGGCAGTCTGCTTTTATTTCGAGCGACCGCGTGCCTTGGACGACGCCTGTGCAATCGAGAACCGGAGGCCGAGTCGGCGATGCTACCTTTGTCTCGATGCTTTTTCCTGCGGCTAACGACCAGAAACGACGAAGCTCTCGGACGTAGCTCAGCTCCAGGTACGGACGCGTCTCCCCTTTCTCCTGCATTGGTCTCTGCCGGCCAATCTCCCCCTCTTCCCTCCATCTACATGATGATACAAACGAAAACATCTTCTTTTCCCAACTGAATCGACCATGAACGAAGATTGTCCTCGGGCTTCGGCCTGTTACTTGCCAGTATTTTTTGTCTGATTACACGTGCCTACTTGGCTCTCTCAACATGGCGGCTTCATGTATGCTCTTCAGCTTTGCTAACATGCTGCCCCCTGACAGACACCGAACGTACACGTCGACTGCTTGATTGCACTCTCACTCGTCAGCTCACCCGCAGCACGGCTCTGTGATATCCACAAAACGTGAGTTTTTTCTCATTTTATATCGCCTTGGCAGCACTCGTTGCCCCTCCCTTTTCATGATGAAATTTTCCATCACTATTCGCAGTTTCCACTCGAGTCCCGTTAGAGCCTTTCTGGGACGCATGAGGGTTTAATTCTTCCTTGGATGTCTGATTTTTCAAGCAACCTGACAACTTTGTTTGCTCCACTCTTGTCGAGACAACGAGGCTAACTCGACCAAAGTGTATAGGTCCCATCTCGTGCATGCTTCGTAATGGCTATTCCAATGAATACAAGAAAGACAATGAAATTTTCATCATTTTCAAGTCCGACGTGCCTCTGCGTGACTCTTGTGTGCGCCAATACTGCCACGTCAAAGTGGGCTTTCCTATCCTAGACCCAACTCCTCAAACCGTGATCCCCGTAGTCGTTATGCCAAATACAAGACAGACTCCCGCCCCCCGTACATCACATACATCATGACAGTTCGTGTTTGTTGTTAAATCACCCGCACCTCCTCCCTCAGGTCGTCGCGCCTCACGCGTCCGCCCACGATGCCCCTCCGGTTGCGGCCCGTCCTGCCCCTGCCCAGCCAGTTGAGCTTGAGCATCTTGCAGAGCTCGACGACCTTGCGGTTGCCCTCGTCGTCGGCGTCGCCGCCCACGCTGCCCAGGCCCGACAGCACGCTCATGCACTGCAGCATGCGGCCGACCATGTCGGTCACCTGCTTGGAGTCCTCGACGTTTTGCTCGCGCACGCTGCTGAGGACCTGGACGACGCCGCCGCCCGAGGGGGTGTAGGGCCGCACGCCGCCGCCGCCAGCGACGCCGTCGCTCCCGTGGCTACCGAAGCTGACGTTGCTGACGGCGCGGCTGCGGCCGCGCTCGGAGCCGTCGCCGAGGAGGGTGGTGCTCGTCGAGTTGTAGGAGCCGACCGAGGGGTCGAGCGACATGGCGGTGCCGGGGCGGGCCATGCTAGTGAAGGACTCGGAGGGCGAGGAGGACAGGTTGCCAAGGTTGGCGTCGCCGAGCGGGGGCGGCGAGGCGAGCGAGGGCAGGAACTCGAGCGACAGGCGCGAGAACATGTTCTTGAGCGTGTCGTAGCGGGGCAGGATGACGATGTCGCGGAACGCCGTCAGGACCAGGCGCCGGACGTCGAGGACGCTGCCCGCGGGGGCGACGCGCGCGGGCGGCCGCCCCGCCGTCGAGGGGGCCGCCGCCGTAACAATGCCGCCCCAAAAGTCGCGGGCCTGCTCCGGCGTCATGATGATGCCGCGGCCCGAGACCTCGAGATCGAGCGGCAGAAAGACGGACTGCATGTACGGCAGGATCGAGGTAAATGTGAAGAGCCACAGCTCGACGAGGGTCGGCACGAAGCGGTCCTCGGGCGTCAGGCGCAGCGTGCGGTCGAGCGACGAGAAGCCGGTGGCGAGGAGGTCTCGCATGTCGTCGACCATGGCGTTTGGGGACCTCTTGTGGATGCACCACTTGATGTGCATCTGCACCACGCGGTTGAAGTCCTCCACGGGGAGGCGGAGGTCCTCGCCCTCGAAGATGACCAGCAGCTTGGCCTTGAGGTAGGGCCACGCGTCGTCCAGAGACACGTGGTTCTGCAGCCCGAGCCTCCCCGGGTCGACGGGGTCGTACAGCGTCGACTGCTGGGACAGGGACGGCAGGGCTCCGTCTCCCTGCAGGCCAAAGGGCGACTCCGTGTCCATGCGACTGTCGGACCGCTCCGCCAGCTTCTTGTCCTTCTTGGCCTTGACGAAGCTGGAGCCTCCTGGGGCGGGGCTGGCGGGGACGTTGAAGTTGTACAGGCTGCTGGGCGCATTGGGGTCTGTCGGCTTGGAGTTGCTTGCCGCCGACGACAGCGGCAGGTGGTATTCATCCTTGAGCTTTTGCTTCTGCCGCGAAAGGAAGTGATGCTTCTTCTCCTTCTCCTTGCCCTTGTCCTCGGTCAGGGAGTCGATCGGCCGGATCGTCGCCGACGACGAGTTGTTGAGGCTGTAGAGGGACGGGTTCGGGGGGTCGACCAGGCTGCTCGTGCTAAAGTTGCCGCGCTGGAGGACGGAGAGGGCGCTGCCAATCTTGCCGGGGCTGGGGAGGGGCTTGTCCTTTGCGTCGCCCTTGCTGATGCTGATCTTGCTCGGCCGCGAGAAGAGCTTCACCTTTGACTTTTCCGGCTTGGGGAGCGGCTTCTCCTTCTCCGGCACGGGGGGAGGGATCTGGGGCATCGGCGGGAAGGGCTGCGGCGACACGGATTTCTCTCTGGGCGAGTTGTGGCCAGATCGAGGGAAGACAACGTTGGCGGCCGCGGTGGCGGCGGGGGAGTGCGAGACGTGCCGGTCCTGGTGTTGTTGGTGATGATTTGCGGCGGCGGCGGTCGCAAAGTAGGAGTCGCGAGGCGCGCTCGCCTCGGTGAGGCTCAGCATCGGGGGGCTCATTGGGCCTTTGCCGCCAGCGACGCCGCCGCCGTTTTGGCCGCTGCCGCGTCTCTGCCCGGCGTCGTTGGGCTCGCCGCCGGGGAAGGGGACCGTTTGAGATCGCTGGCGCACGTGCGATGTGTTTTGGTGGGACATGACGGCCGCCTTGGCCGCCATCTGGCTGGCGGACAGGGAGGAGCTGTTGGAGGTCGCGGCCGCTGCTGCTGCCGCCGCCGCCGCCTGGCTCGACTGGGCCATGCTCAGCTGGGACAGGTTCGAGGTGGACGTCGACGGCAGGGTCGAGTCGAAGAGGCCCTGCGTGGCCGAGTGCTTCCTCGAGTGGCCCTTGAGCAGCGGCGCCGCGGACAGGCTAGGCGTCACTAGTCGCGCGCCAGCGGCAGCCGCAGGGCGGGAGAAGTTGAGGTGGTGGTGGTGTTGCTGCTGCTGCTGCTGCTGGGGCTGCAGGCTGGCGGAGCTGGTCGAGCTGGCAAACTGGCTGTATATCGGCGTGGCCGGGGAGTCGACGCGATGCTGCTGCTGTCGCGTCTTGGAGACGCCAAGGGCGGAGGAGGCGGCGGCGCTGCTATCGTCGCTGCCCGAGGAGTCGATGCGCAAGGGGGGCGGGCGCGGGGGTCCGGACGGCTGATGCTGCTGCTGCTGTTGCTGCTGCTGCTGGTTGTGGTAGGAGGAGAAGGCGGCCGACGAGGCCTGGACGGACGGGCTCGTGGCTCCTCCGTTCGGCAAGGGGGAGAAGCTGCCGGGAGCTCGGTGCTGCGGCCGCATCGACGACGAGGCCGCCGGAGGCGCTGACCCCGGCGGCGGCGGCGGCGGCGGCTGCCCAGCCTGCTGGTGCTGGTGCTGCATTGTGTCGCGGGATGGTCTGTGGGGCGCTGTTACATCTTGACTCAGGCCGGTGATTGATTGGGGAAGGCGGCCGGCGAGATGTTTGGAGGGAGGCCGGGCGGGCGGGCGGGCGTGTCGAGGATCTGCCCCGGGGCGGGCGGTCGCGCGATGGTCAGAGAGAGAGACGAGGGAGGGCCGGGCAGGGTGGCGAGTGACGAGGTGAGGTGGGTAGCAGCGAGTGTCTGAGCCGGTTAGGGATGGAGGGTCGAGGGCGGGCGGGGCGAAGACGATGCCCGGGTCCGTTGGCGTACTGTAACAGTGTGTTTTAATTAATTGATCGGAGCAAGTCAGCTGCGGCGGGCGGGCGACTGAGCTGTTGTCTTGTTGGGCGGCACGAAAGTATTTATTCGGAGAGATGGTGGTGGTGGTGGCACAGGTGTGTGAAAGAGAGCGGTGGTTGTTGAGCAACAGACAACGGCGGGCGGCGCAAGATGACGAGGGTGTTGTAGGTGTATGTATGCATGTATGTATGTGCGAAAAAGAGAGAGAGAGAGAGAGAGAGAGAGGTCGTCGAGGCAAAGCGACGAAAGTGACGACGACGACGACTGACGACGGATTGGGGATAAAACCTACGGAGGTAATAACGGGCCCCCCGGACTGGGCGGGAGGCGTCCAAGGTTAGGTAGGTAGGTTGCTTGATGATGATGGGCTAGCTGGCCGGCTGGCTGGCTGGCTGGCGGGGGGGCGATGCGATGGCTTGAGATGGGGGATGGACGGGCACCGGGGGCACGCAAACGACTGCCAAACCCCGGGCAGCAATCTAAATTCGCCAGTCCCTCCATTGATATTGTCTGGAGAAACCTGGCCAGGCCTGACGTATTCCCCTGCTAGTACGTAGGGTACTCGTGTAACTGCCCGTCCAACGGTCAAGCACAGCCTGACGACGAACCCCGCGCGTGCCCGCTGCTGCTGCTCGAAGGATTGCGGCCCCTGTCGGCGCTGGCTGGCTACCTACGAGTACCTAGGTTCCAGGTTGGTGCTGGCGCGACCCTGCCTGCCTCTGCCTCATCAGTCAGCTCAGTGGACGGAGCTGCGAGCTCCAATTTTCCTTTCCATCATCAAGTTCACCCCACCTCCCCTCGACAGAGCAGAACGTCTTGCCATATCCTCCTCTTCCACCCACTCTCTCTCTCTCTTCCATTTCTTTCGCTTGCACAGTCCTTTCTCAGCACCATCACCATCACCGCCGCAATGGCTCAGCCCAGCAACAACAACGACACCACGTCGTCCCTCACCGCGACGTACACCTCCCCCACCAACGCCCCCTTCGCCATCACCAAGACCATCCCCGCGCCAACCACCACCTCCTCCTCCAGCGCCGCCGCCGCCGACAAGTCGCGCTACCTCGAGGCCCTGCGCGGCGCCGTCGCCGAGACGCAGGACCAGGTCAACAGGGAGCTGACGGCGCGCATGGACGAGGACAAGGCGCGCGACGGCACGGCATCCGCCGCGGCCGTCGACGAGGCCAAGGAGGAGGAAAACTACGGCGAGGACGTCCAGGAGGAGGATTGAATATGGAAGGGAAGCGAGCTTCGATCGATGCCTTCTTCTCGACATTATACGTCTACTATACACAAAGCTGCCTACACCGACACGCGGAAAAAAGGGGTATCCCTGCGCCACCAGCCAGGGAGCATTTGCCCCTTGGCTACAAATCATGCAAAACGCTCAACAACTAAACCTCGGTCTCGCGCACACGACGTCTAAAACCCTCTACCCCAGCTGGGCGCCCGGGTGCTGTCCGCCTTTTGCCCCGTCGCCCTGCTCAGGCAGCCATAGTGCACCACCGTGTTATCCGGCAGCACCGCGACGACGCTGCCACCGATCCTCATCCCGCCGCCCAGCTTCTTGTGGCACACAACGCAGTGCCGCTCGTCGGTTATCGTGACGTGCCTGTTCCGCCCGCCCTGGCCGCCGTCCACGTCATCGCCCAGGTGCAGCCGCGCGGCAGTGGATATAAACTCCGCTTTCCGCAGACCAGCAACGATGCGCGATTCGTTGACCAGGCTGTTGGCGGACCTGATCCTGCCGCGGAAGTATGCTTCCAGCGCACCCACTGGCAATTCATCCGGGATCAGCCCGAGCGTGGATGTGGCCGGTAGCCGGGACCCGTGTTTGGAAAGGAGATCCAATGATGGTTCGAGCTGAGGCTCATGGGGCGGTGGTGGCTTGAGATAGAGCGAGAGGAGGATGTGGTATATCGATTTCGTCGAGTCACCTGTGTCGTCGGACTTTTCGCTGCTCTCCGTGCTGGTAGCCGCGGCGTCTTGCTGCTTGTGCACACGATTACAGTATCTACTTCGATTAGACATCATCATCAACAATAGAAAGTGGCCACCTACTCCTCTGCTTTGCTGTAATCCTTCATCTTGAATACGAAAATGTCAAGCGCCTGTCGGTGTGATCCCATGTTGCTGAGAACGACAGCCTGCGCCTCGTAGAAGGACGGATCTAGAGCTCGTCAGCACTGACAACCAATCGACCTGCGTTCGGATAGAACTCACCGTCCTTGGGTATCTGAGAGAAAGCCCTTGTCAAGCCGTACACCTGCCGCGAGTCCCGCAAAAACTTGATAAACTTGTCCATAAGAGCATCAAACTCTTCTCCCTTCTCCATACCGGTGAGATTCTTGACATACAACTCGACCAGACGGTTGTGAAAGTCTGCCGTCATGTCGTCGAGCTCATTGATGATGTGTTCCAGATACTGTCTCTCGAGCTTCGTGTCGATGTCGCGAAGGAACGCTATGACCCTCTCGCGAGGCAACGTTTCCGCATTCTCTGTATCACCCGTGAAGATTTCCATGGCGTAGTCGGGATTGCTCTTAAGCGTCCACCCCGCATACTCCAGTATGAGGCCAATCTCGGACGGAGGCAAGTTCTGCAGGTACTGAATGGTACGATCCGGTCCGTGGAGTGTCGGCGCTGCCTCATCGGGCTTCGTCGTCGACCCAAACCTACGGAGCAGATCCAGAGCCTCCTTGTGCAGCTTCTTGCCGTAGAAGAAATCCACCAGCTCGTTGTATCTGCTATGCTCCAGAAGCCTTTCGTTGACCACATCTGGGTCACAAAAGTTGGGAATGCGAAACAGCGAGCCGGCGAGAGATGGTTGCGAGAACATGTACGCGCGGAACAAGGTCGTGTCGACGAGGCGGAACGTGTTCCGCAATTCTTCCTCAAGTTTCTGCTCCGACTCATCCTGTGTCGTCCTCAGAAACCTCTCTGCTGCCTCTTCTGCGGACGTTCCCTGGTCTGTCCGCGGCTTGAGCTTCCCCGTCACGGGATCAATGACTCGCTGAAGCCGAGCGCGGGTTCCCGCGAGATAGCTGTTGAGTTCCAACACCGCTTTGGTCAGGTCTTTGCCCTCGAGAGGCTTATCCTCTGCGGGCGATTCCTTGGCGCTCTCGGTGTCGTCCTCTTCCGTCGCGTCTTTCCTTGCCGACGTAACGGAGGCTGCGTCCGATACGTTCTTCTTGTGAGCCCCTCTGAACAGCTTCGCGAAGCCACCGACCATGGGCTGCGCGGCTTGCTCGGCGTCTCCATCCGGGCTGCTGGGCCTCGTACCACCAGCCTTTTTCGCTGGCTCTTCATCTGCGTCCTTGTCGTCCTGGATATGAGCCCAACGCGACAAGTCGCCAGCGATCTGAGGCGGATAGAGCCTCAACACTCTTTCCGGAGGCGCGTGGACGTCGTCTTCGTTCATCAGATCCATGGCCTGGCGATACTTCTTCTTGGCGAAAAGCATCTCCGCCTTGAGCATCTTGACTTCCCGGAGCGTCTCCGTCTTATTCTTGAGTAATGCGTCCTCCAGCATGTTGAGGACGCTGATGGCTTCGTCGAACTTGCCCTTCTCGACCAGCTCCTCCACCTGCGAGTCATAGTCGGTTGCGTCCATCTTCCACACGCACCGGTCGCTAGATATGTGGAATCCTTTGCCGGCATGTGCCAAGCTGACTGTGGGTGGTGGGAAATGTAGCTGAGCGGCGCCCGGCAGTGACATGCTTTGCAACAGCGATAATGTGTCCGGGTTCCGCACCTCGAGTGACCCCTTGGACGGCGGCTGCAAAGCCACGATGTAGGGATACGAGTATCCAATTGACTCGGGCGCAGAAAGCCATGGTATCTGCCGCCGCTCAAGTGGCTTCCCCTGGTCGTTGACGAACATTGTGTTGATGTCCTTGGCCAGTAACAGTTCACCGTCGGCCAGCTTCGCAGCCAATGGCCTGGGCATATACCCGCCGAGTCCCATGTAGCCCATGCTCGCGCTGCTAACGGCACCAAAGCGGCTTCCCTGGCTCGCGCCACCCACCGTGCCGGGGCTGACAATGTCCTCGATCTCGTGTGTTATGGCATCAACCAAGACGTAGCCTCCATTCATTCCGCACACGAGTTTCGTCGCGTTGGCCCATGTGATGGATCGAATGGACTCTGACAGCACGACCTCGCCGACATCGTCGCTGAGTTCGCTCTCATGCCAGCTCCATAGCAGCAGCCGCCGCTTCACCGCAACGGCCAGACGACTTATAATCTCGGGAATGCCGGTGTCGGGATCCTTGACGATGTTGGACGTGACGGCAAAGCAGGACGCGTTCTTGGACCGGCCGAGCGTCTCGATCAGCTGGTATGTCTGCCAGTCGTAGAGCGAGACGCTGTAGTTGGACAGCGAGACGATGGTGTTTGCTTCCTTGATGATGGCGAGCTGCTCGATGGCGCGCGTCGAGAACTTCTCCACCTCGCGCAGGAGGTCCGTGGGCTTGCCAGAGCGTGATGTCGGGCGGTCGCCATTCTGGGGGGAGTCGCCGGTGCTGTCGGCGGCTTGTGCGGACGCGGGCGGTTCGTCGCTGGCGGGGGGGAGCTCGTTGAGCCGGTAAACGCGCAGGGCGCCGCTGTTGAGGCCGACGAGGATGCGATCGCCTAGCTCGAGTGTTAGCAGCAGATGCTCCCCGGAGACGACGCCAATGCGCCAGATACGCACCGTAGGCGAGGATGGTCTCGATCTTGGACTTGTCGCGCTGCCGGAACTCAATGATCGGCCGGGCTGTGAATGCGGAGAGCATGGCGCTAGCTGGCCAGCTCGAAGCTGTGTCGACTATCGCAAACAGAGACGCATGAGACCGGCGGAGGTGGAGGCCGTTTGCGCAGCTTCAAGTCCAGTGTGCGATGTTTGGGCTGCGCTGCTCCGAGCGAGGTTATTGATGGGATGTTGGGATTGCTGGTGCCTGCCAGGAGCTGCGTCACGGCATTCAATCCATGGGGGGTCAGACGACGTCAACGGCCACCCCAAGCTCGGCACCCGCACAGTAGCACAGTGTCGCTCATACGGCCAAACGACCGAGCTTCTGACAGCTGCCATCTCCACGAGCTACATTCGTTTCATTTTTGAGAAATCAATTAGTATACATATGCCTCTATAAATTGTGCTCGTATATGCCTCTGCCGCTATGAAGAGCTCAGTCCAAACCTGCCACTTCCATAATGCCATAGCCAAGCGTCAAGACAACCACGAGCGTGATGATGCTGCTCGGTACGCCTCTGCTGATGAAATGCTTCACACGGAGATATCTCTGGCCCGCGGCGTCTTCCTTCATGATCGCGGCTGCACCATGTTAGCTGATATGCTCGAGCCAGAGGACCAGGCAACTTACTCATGTTGGGGAACCCGCTTGTAGGCAGGCCCATGGCGGCGCTGCACATGAGCACGCCGCCCATGACCAGCAAATTAGGATGCGGCTGATCCATCGCTACGCCGACATCAAAGACTAGGGGCAAGAAAATGAGTGCTGCAACCGTGTGGCTGATGAAGGTCGCAATGACAAGAATCAAGGTCGAAAAGACCACAAGAACGCCGTACAGCCCCATGCCTTCCACCTCGCGAGACACGAGCTCTGCGAGCGTGTGCAAGAGGCCCGAAGACCGCACAGCCTTGCCGAGAGACAGACCACCGGCGGCCAGAATAATGATGGTCCAGGGAAAGTTGTTAAAGTCCTCCTTGGTGAGGATACCGATGCCGAAGAAGAGGACGATCGGGATGATGGCAATCACGCCCATGTCGCCGAAGATGCCTTCCATCTGGTGGCTGCCACACCAAAGGGCAATCGTCGTGATAGCCACAATAGTCACGAACCACTGAATACCAGTAAACTTCTCCTTGAGCGGTCGAATTGGCGCAATTGAGGTGCCTTTGCCCGGCTGAAACGTCACGAGCAACAGAATCCAGATCGAGACGATCGAGACAACGCCGACAGGGATGACGATGAAGAACCACTGCAACCAGGTCGGCTCCGGTTTCATGATGCCCATGGCCACCACGTTCTGTGGAGATGCGATGGGGGAGAGCATGCCGCCAATGTTGGACGCGAGGGCAATGCCAATGATGACGGCCTTGGACATGTCCGAGTCAGACGGCAGAGTCCGCAGCATGGGCTCGATGATGGAGTAGCAAAGCACCGGTGCGGCAACATTGCTGATCAGCATTGACGCAAAGGCTGCGACGAACATGTTGGCAACCAGGACAGTCCGAGGCTGCGTGCCAGCCTTACTCAGGATGAGCGTGGCGAGTCTTTTGTCAATCTTGCACTTTGAGAGAGCCGCTGCCAGGGTGAAGCCACCGAGAAGGAGCATGATGACAGGAGTCCACATGGAGGCGAAAATTGCTTCCGTCGCTTCCTTGGAGCTGAGCCGTTTGTGATGCGTACCGGGGCCCTCATCGCGGACGACCCGCAGAACGACCGACAGGAACGGGATGAGAAGGGACGTCACAAAGAGCGGAATAGTCTGCAGCAAGTTAGATCAGGAGCCAGTCACAAAAATCGGATTGCTCACCTCGGTAGCCCAAAGCATGCTGACGAAGACGAGCATGGCGAGGCAGTTTTGCTGCTCCGCCTTCTTCATCATGGGCACAAAGAGTATGGTGAAGAAGACAGCGAAGGAGATGAAGAGCGTAAGCATAGACCCGCTCGCCAACCAGGCAGGCAGCGACAGCCGGCCGAGAGGCGTCCGAATCTGCGTGGCGGCGGGCCCCTTATCGTCGTCGCCCTGCAGCCTCTTCTGAACCGCGCTCGGGTCCTGGCCAAGGAGGGACTGGCCGAGCCGAGCAGCTTCGCCACGGCGTTCGATACCGATGAGGTCACGCCAGACCGTGTTGCGTTCCCAAACAACGTGCTCACGGAGGTGAGATCGAAGATCCTTCCTGGCCAGATCGTGATCGCCTCCCGTAACAACGTCGGCGTAGGCACTCTCCATCTTGGCAATGTTCTCCTCGAGGACCTTCCTCGTCTCGTCCTTGAATGGGTACGCCGTGTCGACGTGCGTACGCATATACTCGGCCTTGAGTTCCTTGTCCAAGATCTTGTCAAACTTCTTGAGGACCTTGCTGAAGCCAGTCTTGTTCAACTGCGCATACGACTTGAGCTCGCAGAGCTGGACGTAAAGGCTGATGATGCGCTTCTTGAGCATGATGCCGGACGAGTACAGGCCCATGGCAAAGACCGACTGGTCGCCGTAGTCGTCGTACGTCGTGCTGTACCTGCGCGTGGAGCGGCCAAACTCTGACGACGCTGCCAGGTCTTGGTGATGACCAATGTTGGCAATCGTCCGCCTCCTGCCGGTGCTGCTCCTCGCCTTTGTGAGCCCCGTCGTCTCGTCGTCGTCACTGTCTTCCATCCCATACTCGTCGTCAGACACCGGTCCGATGGAGCTCGAGGGTCTGCGATGGCCGTTGCCGCGTTGGGCCTCAGCAGAGGAGAGCCTGCGCAGGGGCGCTGCGACCTCTGTCGACGGACGCTCGCCGACATCGCGAGTCAGCTGCGCGACTTCGTCGAGCAGCTCACCCTCCTTGGCAACATAGAAGGAGCATATTTTTTCCAATTCGACGCCGAGCGCCCTGCTAAAGACTTCCTCGGGCTCCTCATTGAGGATAAGCGGTCGCTGTTCGGCGTCGCCGGCGGCGCGGCTCTGATGTACCGACTTTTCGAGATGGTAGATTCTGCACACGAGGTGTCAGCATTGGCAAAAGGATCAGAACGGTGTTTTTTGCACGGCCACTCACAGTTTCTTGAGGTTGCTGTACGCAATGTAGTGGCTGCTCCAGTCCGGAACAGCATTGAACTGGATGCTGTGGGAGAACTTCATCTCGTCCTGCTCCTCCAGCCACTGGAGTTTATCGGCTCGCTTTTCCCGGCGTCGTCTGTCGCGCTCGTCGGCGGCTTTGCGATGCTGGATGACGCTGTAGTCGGAAAGCTCGTACGAGCCGGCGGGATCTTGGGGGTGGGCGAGGCTAGTGTCGCTCTCGCGGTGGGTGCTGCTGCTCTGGGCACTCCCTCCTCCTCGCTCACGATGGGCGCCGGTCGAGGTCCGCTTGCTGGCGACGGCGCTTGGGGTGGGGGGTCCTGCAATGGAGGAGGGATTCTCGAGGCTGGCCGGGGGCGGAATTGTGGGCGGCGGGCTATCGCATGAAGAGGTAGAGGTTTTGCAATCGGCGGAGGCGAGGTTGCTTGTTGATTAAGTTTGCTGGGCGAGCCTGCTGCCAGAGCGAACTTGATCAGGAAAGGTAGGGCCTTGTCGGCCGCAGCCATGAAGTGGAGGTGGTGGCAGGTAAGCTTCGCGCTGCCACCATCGCCGCACTGGCGGGAAGCCTGCCTGGCAGCGTGGCCTGGGGCACCTCAGCCGGGCGGAAAGGCGGGTTCCCGGGTTCCCACACTGGGCAGGTACCCGGCGAATCACCGCCGTCCCATTCCGTGCCCTCCTTCTGCAGCCACTCCCGACGGCTTCGTGCAGGTGACACAACCCAGCTCCCGTGACCTGGACGGCCGCGAGCACGTTCCGACTTCACTGGCAACCGAGCGTCCGTCGTGAACCACGAGGCTGCGCCGGATATATGGCTTCAGGCATTGACCGACGTTGCCCTCGATGGCGTCGTCACTCTATGCTGTGCGGCTGCTCGCGTGACACGGGTGGTACGAGGAATCGAGGACCGGCCAATTGTGGTTGCCTGATTTACGGTTTACAGTGCCTACACGCTTCTATCCGTCCGTCCACGCGACGATTTACACGCCGCAGCTTCTTTACAACCACATGCGCGCATGGCTGCAACGGGACGAAGAATGGCCTCGGAATGGGCATTGCGGGCTACTTGCCATGGTCCGGCCGCCGTCACAAGTCACGGCACAAGTTGCGAGCGTGCCGATTCAGAACTTGGTGTCGCAAAATAGAAATACTTTTCTTGTCCCCGTCTATATGCTATCCAATCTATTAAAATATCGCTAATACAAGATTGCGGCCTTCCTCGAGCCACTCCGGTTCGGGAGCCGCTTAACCGTCAAGCATCTGCTGCAGGGCGTTCACCCTGTAGCTCTCACTCCTCTCGACAAGCTCCTCGTGGCGGCCCTTCTCGACCACCTTGCCGCCCTCAACCACGAAAATCACGTCAGCCTTGCGCACCGTGTGCAGCCGGTGCGTGATGGCAATGACTGTGATACCGCGAGCCGCCCGCTCGAGGCCTTCCTGAAGAGCCTTCTCGCTCTCAGCGTCCAGCGCGCTGGTGCTCTCATCAAGGAGCAGCAATCGAGGCTTTCGAACCAAAGCGCGGGCAATCGCCAGTCTTTGGCGCTGCCCACCAGACAGCCGGGACCCGTTAGGTCCGCATTCCGTGTCGTAGCCCTTGGGCATCGCCATGATGGTCTCGTGCATGTTGGCCAGCTTGCATGCTTCCTCAATCTCGGCATCCGTTGCCTCGTGGTGAGGCGTGGATCCAAGCCCGACGTTGAACTTGATGGTGCCGTCAAACAGAGCGCAATCCTGCGGCACGACAGCAATATCATTGCGGAACTCTGTGCCATCACGGGCGCAGATGTCCACCCCATTGACTTCCACCGTTCCCCGAGTAGGATAGTACATGCGCTGCACGAGCGACATGATGGTGGACTTGCCCGCCCCTGACGGCCCAACGAGACCGCAGAATTGACCCGCTGGGATGGTGAACGACATGCCCTGCAGGATAGGTACATCAGGACGAGCAGGGTACGCAAAACCCACATCCTTGAAGACAACCGTGGCACCTCTGTTCCCCGAGCTGGATGTTGGTGCCGCGTCTGCCAAGGCCTCGACATCGTCTCTCTTTTCGCTCTCGTCACCTGCGCCGGTCTTGCCAGGCGACACATCCTGCGACGAGGTCAAGTCCAAGAGGCTCAGAATTCGAGAACCAGCTTCTCGAGCCTTGGATACCTCGGGCGCCAACGTAAACATATTACCCCACAGCTGAGCGCTCACGAGCATGGCGATGAGAATAACAAAGAATTGTGTAGGTGTGGCCTCTCCTTTGGTGATTCTTGTGGAACCCCACCAGTAGGCGAACGCATAGATCATTGCGCCGCAGCTGTTGGAGATGGCGAGGAACAGATTGGCGTGCGCACTCGCGAGCGTCATCTCCTTTTGTGGCGCGCTTAGAGCCCGGCGATAGCTCCCGAGAACTTCCTGCTCCAGTGACAGCGATGAAATGGTCTTGAAGGAGTTGACAGCTTCGACCGTGATGCCGATGGCCGTTGAAAATGCGCCTGCATGCTTCCGCCCAAACCTCGACAACGCACGCAGCTGCAGGATTCCGGAGCCTAGGAGGATGGGCACCGTAACCAGACAGACTACTGCGATCTTCCAGTTGAGAATATGAGACACTGTGATGGCGATGACGAAGTTGACAACAATGGAGAAGATGGTCCCCAATATAGAGCCACTAAAGCCGCCGATGGCCGCGGTATCGGCTGTGATGACGGAGAGGAGTGAAGCCGGCGTGCGTCCGCCAGACTGGTGCCAGTCGAGTCCCTGCTCGTACATGGAGCGGAAGCAAAGCACACGAAGGCGGTACAGCAGCTTCTCAGCCACGTAGCCAAACCCAGACCAACTGATCGAGTTTGCGATTAGCTCCACGCAGGCGAGCATGAAGTACATGCCTCCAAAGAAGCGTCCCGCCCACCGAATGTGATCGGCCGTGTTGCAGGGGCTGAGGCTCCCGACTGTGTTGCCAAAAATGAGACCAGCACCCGTGAAACTTGCACCAACAATGACACTGGCAAAGATTGCAAGAACGATCCACAGGAGGTTAGGCCTGGCCATCTTGGCGAGTTGTTTGATGATCTGGCCTGTGGATTTGTGCGAATCCAGCTCCTTGACTGCGGGCTCATTTGGCGTGCTCGGAGCATCTGGGTCTGTCGCGGTCTCGTTAGATCGCGTCTTTTGTGCCCCTGAAGCCTTCTCCTCCAGCAAAGAATCTTTCTCGATAGTCTCCGCGTCCTCACGAGCCGTGCTCGTCACCGAAGGAGTGTCGTCATTTTGCTTGGACTCGATATTTTGCAAGCGGACCATGCCTGCGTACGAGCCGTTGAGGGCCATCAGTTCGAGATGTGTTCCCTGCTCGACTATCTCGCCGTTGTTCATGACAATAATGTTGTCTGCGTTCTTGATGGTCGACAGACGATGGGCAATGGCGATGAGTGTTCTGTCCTTTGCGATGGACTCAACGGCCATTTGAATCCGATGTTCGCTGGCCGAGTCCAGAGAGGCGGTCGCCTCGTCAAGAATAAGAATCTTGGGATCCCGGATCAGGGCACGTGCGAGTGCAAGTCGTTGCCTCTGACCACCGCTGACAAGCTTGCCACCAGTTCCGACCTCAGTACCGTAGCCATTGTCCAGTCTATCAACAAAGCCGGACGCGTCGGCCAGGGAGGCAGCCTCCCTAACCAACTTGACCAGGTCTACCATATCCTGGCCTTGAGACTGAGCAGCCTCATCCAAAGACTTTCCAGCTCTCACGCTCGAGGCAACCTCCGCCAAGCCTGTGCTGAGAATGACGGATTGGAAGCGCTGATGTGCTGGCCAGGGAGAGTTGAGCATACCGAGAGCGATGTTCTCCAAGATTGAGCGATCCAGCAGTGACGGCTCCTGCTGAACTAAGCTCATGAAGCTTCGCAGATTCTTCACGTTCAATGTGCGGAGGTCATGGCCGTCCAGACAAACCGTGCCCTCTGTTGGGTCATAGAGTCTGCAAGTAAGGCCGGCGACCGTCGATTTACCACTTCCTGATAGGCCAACCAGAGCAGTGTGTTTCCCGGCAGGGCAAGTGAAGGACACCTTTTTGAGTACCGGCCGCTCGGGTCGAGACACATAGGCGAAGGTAACATCGTGAAATTCGACGGTCCCTGAAATCGAAGTTGGGAGCTTCTCTCCGGTGTCGGCTTGAGAGTCAATGGCAGACGGGGCGTCGATATCGGCACGAAGCTTCTTGAACGATGCGGCAGCATTACCCAGGAGCGGCAGAAGAGGGGCGATGGATCCAAGGATCACACAGGCTATGAGAAAGGACTCAGATTAGCCAACTCACAGGAGGCGCAATTGGGGTTGCCTACCATCCACAATGAGGAAGACAACAGTATACACGCGACCGACCGAGACGTAGTTGTCTCCCTTCTCGACGATGTCTGCAATTTGCCTACTTCCTTGCCAGAATGCGAGCGCATTGGCTGAGTAGGCAATGAAGTAGATGGACCCAGCCTGGATGGCTGCTGTGATCGCCTTCTTCACGCCGTGTCCTTGAGCCTGCAACATTCGGGAGGCGAATTTGCCCTCGAGACGGGGACCGGCCCCAAAAGCCTGGACGACGGCGATGTGCGACAGGGTTTCCTGGGCAATGGAAGAAGCTGACGCAATGGCATCCGACATGCGAGTCGCAAACTTTGTTGTAAAGACACTGCCAACGCCGGCCATGATGAAGAAGGCCGGGATCAGGCATATAAGAATGGCAGCGAGGGTTGTGTCCCTGATGAACGCAACGACGTATGCGGACACGAAGAAAGAAAAGCAGCCGATGCAGATGCCAACCTTTTCGGAGGTGCCGGATTGCACAGCTTGTATGTCGGCATTGAGCCTTGAAGTGAGCTCTCCGGCCTGTCGCTTGTCGTAAAAAGTGGCATCTTGTCGGAGCAGGGTTCTGAAGTAGCGGTCCCTAATGCGGGCTTCAAGACGGCGGCTGAAGAGACCCCAGGAGACGGCATAGATGAAGATGGAGCCCAGGCTGCTTATAGCGATGTAGACAATGAGCAGAACCTTCGAGTTGGTGTCCGACTGGATATCGCCAGTAGGCTGAGATTTGCCGACCTCGCATGATGCCTTGTTGAGGTTGTCGAGCAGGTCACCAAAGATGATGCCCATAATAGGAAAGGGGACACCGGAGCCGGCGGCGGCAATGGTGCCGACAACGAGGAGAAGGATGTCGAACCATGTCGGGTTGGCATAGAAGAGCAGACGGAAGTAGGTGAAGAAGTCGCCCCCGGACTGTAGCGCAACCAGACATGTCAGTCAGGGCTTGGGTTGCGAGAAGCGGCAAACTCGCGGTCAACTTACAGACTTGTCGTCTTTGGCCGGTACAGTCGACTTGTCGTTGCCATCACGAGCGACAGCTACAACGGCCGCCGACTCGGACTCGGAACGGGCAGGCTGCTGCTCGGCGGCAGCAGCAGCCTCGTCCCTCACGGCAGCGCCCATGGTTGCTCACCAAAGAGGAGCTGTCGTTAGGTCAGCTGGGTCGGCAGGTAACCAAGCCAGAAGCGCATGATCCCGAGAAGTGAAGGAAGGGAAGAACGGACAAAGAGATGGCCTGTGAGTGGACTGGGACGCGCAGGGTGACGGCTGTCTCTTATACACATCTAGATGTGTATAAGAGACAGGGTGCAGGGCGGCGGGCGGGCGGGGCCCTTGTCTTTTGCCGCTTGGGTGAGCCCTTTGCAGAGAGGAAGGAGCCATGGAGCCTCTCTGCACAAGACTGGAGGGATCTGCAAAGGAAAGAACGGAGCTGCTCACGTACAGAACTACAGTGGTAGGCGAGGGACTACGGTGTCTTGTTGTTAAGGACTTGGTTGCTGGTCACACGGCTCTGCTTAACACCAAGGAACATGCCTCGCCCATCGCAGCGGTGACATGATGGCATCGCAGCAGCTCTAGCAGAAACAGGCAGCACATGCCGAAGATTCCACCGCACCCACACTCGAAATCTGCCGCCTAAAACACAACACCATGCGATCCATGCCTGCGCTGCTCTACCCTCCCCTGCCCCGTGTGCAACGGCGCGGGTCGCCCAGCTTCGAAGAGCGAGCGGGTGGGCATTGGGCAACGGGCACAGGCCCGGTGAAGAACGCGGAGTGGAGCCACGAGAGAGAAAGAGAAAAAATCAGATTAGATGAGATGCGCACATGCCTAGGAGGCTAATCGAGCCCAAGGTACCGGCGAGTCTCGCGTTGTACCAGCCACGGCGGGCCATGCAGCGACACCCCTGCTCGCTGGTGGACCATCTGCTGTTGTACCGGTACTTGCGACGGCGGTCGAGGGGCGCCGTCCCGACGACCGGGCTTGGCGGAGGTGGGGCACTCGGATCAGATAATTTCTCTCGGCGGCTGCCCGCGTCTTCTCCGACCAAGACAGTGGCGGTCCCAAGCGGCGACCGACGGACACGAGCGAGCGAGGGCTTCCAGGTCCTTCATCCGGATTGATATGGACCAGCTATTTTCCCAAGGGCCCTGCTTCGTTTCTATGGGACCGTTCCTCAGCATCCACCCTCACTTGTTGCTTGCTGTTCTGCGTCTCCATCCCATCCTCCTTCAGACCCCTCCCCCTCCCCGCCCAGCGCAGCACGAACCATCATCGCAACCACAGCCACGGGCGGGTCCAGCACCCTGGCCCTGCTCGCTGGATGGGCCCCTTCGAAAATTGTCCGCTGCGAAAATGGCTCACAGCTCGGGGCCCCGAGGCTCGTGACGCGTGGTGCAGATGTTCAAGCACTGACTTTGTCGTTGGGTCTTGTCCTGCCCTGCACGCACGCGGGCCATCTGGCACACCCGCCCGACCGAACCGCGGGAGTCGGAACTGACTGGCAGGCTCGCGCGCACGAGACACGTTCCGCATGTCTCTCGTACGGCCACACCCGCCGCGCCGCCGCCACGGCTGCAAGTGGTCTCATGTGCCATCTGGCGGATCTGATAAGCTCCGGCTCCACCACCCCCATCGCAAGTGGACAAGCCGTTGGGTCTTATTACGGCATACGCAATGTTTTCTTCCGCGCGCAAGTCTGAATAGACCACCGCAAGTCTGAAGCACAGCCGTTGGCGGCCCCCGCTCTGCTTGCCCATCCCTTTTGCCTCCGTAGTCTGCAGAACTTGGTAGTACGCGCTCGATGTTCCCTGCCTGTCGTGTGCCGGCAAAGGGATCCCGCCTCTCCCAAACCCCTTGCTCATCCGACTCTTCCAGCCGTTGAGCTTTAAAGAATGCTTGTACCTGAGATGGCGATCTTTGTTGGGCTCGGGTCTTGGCTCTTGAGACGCCCTGGCTGAGACACGTGTTCCCTGGAAATACCACAAGTGTCCTGGCCAAGTCGTATGTATGTCGTCCTTGCTGCCCGCCGCTGCGATCCTCGGTCGGGCTTGCCCACGGCTCATAGCTCCGCGTATACTGGTACCACCATTGTCCACCAGCGCTACCCGGCCCAGTAATATCCCTACCGGCCCTTCGGTGCTCTCCTACGCCAGACCCTTCCTCCCCCAGGTTTTCCCTTTGCATTCTCCAAAGTCCTGTCGCGGCCGAGCATCGTCTACCCCGTTTCACGTCTCCAACTCTATCGCCGCCGCTCACACCCCATCGACTGTCATCTCGCCTTTTCCAGGCCACAGACGGAATTTCGCAACATCCTCTCGTGTCATTTCCAAGATGGGTTCCGTCCCCGACGCAAATGCGCCCACCATCAAGGTGTTCATTGCCGGTGGCTCCTACTGTGGCTTGTCCGCTGCCGCGAACCTGCTCGACCTCGGCCAGGGTCTGTCCCCGCGCATGGCCCAGGAGGCATATGTCCACCACGCCGACCTACCTCGCGTCAACTGGGACATTACAATTGCCGACGAGAGAGACGGCTTCTGTAAGTCGCCCTGGCACGCAACCGCGCAAAAGTGCCTGCGATTCTGACTTTGGTTCAATCAGTCCACTTGATCGGGTCGCCGTTGGCTCTTGCAGACTCGGACTATGCAAAGAAGGCCTGGGTCAAGTTCCATGACCTAGTCGGGCTGCAGGATCCCCAGATCAAGTTTGTCAACGGGGCCGTCACCAGCGTCGACTGCCAGGCCAAGAAGGCAACGACCGTTGACAACGCCACCAAGGAGGCTACCACCCACGAGTACGACTACTTCATTGCCGCCACTGGCCTGAGGAGGGTGTGGCCTGTCGTTCCCCAGTCTCTCACCCGCAAGCAATACCTTCTCGAGGTGGAGGAGCATATCCACGCCGTCACCAACGCCCAGCACGGCGTCGTGGTTGTTGGCGGTGGCGCCGTGGGCATTGAGATGGCTGCGGAGCTCAAGCTTGTCCAGCCCAATGTCAAGGTTACCCTCGTCCATTCGCGGGACAAGCTTCTGTCCTCTGAGGGTCTCTCAGACGAATGCAAGGACAAGGCTCTCGACCTCGTTCGCGAGGCCAACGTGGATGTCTTGATGGGTCACCGCCTCAAGACCACCAACAAGGTCGAGACCCTGGACGGGTCGACGAAGTACGAGATTGAGTTCACAAACGGACACAAGATGTCTGCCAGCCAGGTCATCATGGCTGTCTCCAAGAGCGTCACGACCTCGTCATACCTGCCGGCCACGGCCCTCGATGAGGAGGGCTATGTCAAGATTGAGACCAGGTGAGTAGCGTTTCTCGATTGCCGTTCGTGACAGACGCTCACAATCTGTAGTCTGCGCTTCGAGCCTGGTACGCCCAACCACGAGTACCACTTCTGCTCCGGCGACCTGGCCAAGTTCACGGGCATCAAGCGCTGCGGTGCGGCCATGCACGGCGGTCACTACGTTGCCCAGAACATCCACAAGAGCATCCTGAAGGAGAGATGCGGCCAGGAGCCCACCTTCATGGAGTTCCGCCTGGAGATTCCGCCCATGATCGGCCTCGCCGTCGGCAAGAAGGCGGTCGCATCTGGGCCAGAGGGCACCGTCTTTGGCGATGACGTGATGCAGTCGTACTTTAGAGACGACCTGGGTTTTACGAGTAAGTTTCGTGCTATCACCTGGTAATGCTTGCACATTGGTACTAACTGTACACCAGTCTGCTGGGACTGGATCGGCCTGAGTGGTCGCAAGCAGGAGAACCTGACGGCATGATTTTGAGCGGATATGAATTAGACTTACGAGACATATTGGGCACGGTAGAACATTCGGCGTTGTTGGATTATGGAAGTCAAATCTACAGTTGGTGGTAAACGGCACCACGATAGCGACACATGAACAAAAAATAGCAATTGTCCTAGTCATTGAGTTCGGACGCTGTGACGGTTCTTCGGGAACTCTTGTATTCACCTCTGCCATCGGTTGGATGACATACATTTCGTCTTGCGCAACGACAGAGCGTGCTTGGTCCTGTGATTGACCGGTACATTTCAATCCCATTCACATTCACGATGCACATCTGGAAGCAGACTGTCACGGCCAGGCCCAGGCAGCCCTTTCAGCATCCCATCAGAGCATCGTGTATCCAGGCCAAGATAAACTTCGACGAGAGCTTTGTCGCCGAGATGATTCCAATCTTGCAGGCTTCATCTCGCCCGCATCGACCATTTCCCTTCACACCCCCAACTTGTCACGCCCTCGCACCCCCTCTTCCTCTTCCAGGATGCCTACCCTGATCATCGAGGAATGGGTCTGCTACCGTTGCCACTTCAAGATGGAAACCAAGGAGATCACGAAGCCGTGTGTGCGGTCGGGGGCTTGCATGCTGTATCACCCAAAGATGCGCCCGCCATGCAAGTGCGCAGGCAAGTGGGAGGAGAATCTCGTCAAGAGGGTATCACGCTTTCTATGCGCAGAGTGCCTCATGGGGGTGCGGTATCCCATGCCGGGAGACTCTAAAGAAGTGGCGAGATGAGACACCCTGACTCTGCAATTCGAGCTCGGGTGGGCATGGCGTAGCCAGACGTAAGTCGGTGAGGTCTATAGGCATCTGGGTATTTTTACTTGCGACGACTGGGAGTAATTGGGCAGGAAACGACAAGACTCCATTCGTGATGCATCTATGCCCTCTATGTACTCTATAATTGCAAACTCAGACGTCCCGCCTGCGGGCTTGCTCTTCAATGCTCGGGTCCTACAGCCCACGACCCTTCCGCCTATATCACATTGCCTCTCACTTGCTTGATGTTCTTGACATTGATGTCTCGCCACATCGCCACTGCAACGAGTGCGACTATCAGCACCGATGTCCCGCCCATAAGCATCATCTTCTGCCCGTCGCCATACGCCCTTTGGATGGCAATCCGCGCGGGCGACCCCAAAGGGTACGACAGCTGGACGTCGAGCCGGCCATAGATCTTGTCCAGGTTTTTGAGCTCCGACTCGGGAAGATACTCCCTCAGCTTCTTGGGGAACACGGCTTGCCAGATGGCGGCGGCGACAGTCAGGCCAATGGCCGCACCCAGCGCGGCGAACATCGACTCGACCGCGAGCACGACGGCCACGAACTGGTGCGAAGCCGCCGCCATTGCAGCCGTCTGCTCGCAAATGACAATAGTGCCGCCAGCCACGGCAATGAGAACCTGGCACATGACCAGCCACCCGATGTGGACGTTTGGCTGGCGGAACTTGATCATCAGGCCGACGCCGACGATGAGGAGCGGCACGCCAAAGTACATGGCGAGCCACTTGAAGCGGCCCGTCTTGCGGATCAGAAGCCCGACGACGAGCGCCCAGAGGCACGTGCCGACGCTGTAGACCTGCCCTACGTAGCTCGCCTGCGTGACGGAGAGGCCGTTGACGACTTGCAAGAACGAGTTGAAGTAGGAGTCCCAGATGTAGTAGCTGATGAAGCTGACACATGCGAGGATGCAGGCGCCGAAGACGGTGCGGTCCATGAGGAGGCTGTAGGGGATGAACTTGACGGGGGCGTATCGCCACTCCCACAGAGCGAACAGGGCGAGGAGCACAATGCCGGTAACGAGGAATGAGATTATCATGGGCGAGTGCCAACCCAGCTCCTGGCGCGAGTAGATGTTGAATGGCAAGAGGAAGAGAGCCAGCCCAATAGAGAGCAGCAGCACGCCAACAAGGTCGAACTCTCGCCCGTAGTAGGCAAAAGCCTGCGACGGCCCTTGGTCGTGTTTCCTGTTGGGAATGAGGCCCTGTCGCTTGGCCTTGTGGTAATTCTGCATGAACAGGAAATACAGCGGCAAGGTGATGATTGGCGTGATGATCGCAAAGGTCGCAAAGCCCCAACGGAAGCCGGGCCCGTTGAGAAAGGCCTCGGAAATCGGCCCTGACAGCCACGCCGTGATGATGTACGGCGAGCTCGAGTACGCAAACACGAGGCCCCGGTTTTTCAGGGACGAGGTGTCGGCAATGAATATGCTGAGGCAGTAGTCGAGGCCGTTGAAGCCCACCCAGTAGAACACCTGCGCAGCCGCGTACGTCTCAATGTTTCGACAGACAGCCATGACGGCAAGGCCTAGAGTGGTGAAGATGATGGACAGGAGGTAGCCCTGTGGCCTGCCAAAAACGTCGAGAATCTTGACGAGGGTGAGCTTGAACACTCCGCCGATGATCTGGCTCATGAGGGTGACGGTCGGGGTGAGCGAGTGCTGCTGGAAGGCAGAGGTGACCCAGGGCGTGAGGGAGCTTGTGGCGCCCTGCTGGGTGGTGTTGACGAAGTAGATGACCCAGATCATGATATAGGCTGCGACCAGCGCCGTCTGTGTCCATACTGTTGTCGTGGCTTCGATATTTTGCACGCCAGCCTGTAGCTGTTGGCCGTCGAGAAGGCGTTCCTCCTCGTCGTGCTGACCATCGCTGTCACTGCTGTAGTTGCCAGGGCTGGATATCTGGCGATGCTTGACTCGAGGCGCAGGCTTATCAGAATCTGACAAGACGGCGCCATAAGCCCTGCCGTCCGTCTTGGACAAGACTGGGGCGGCTTCGTGGCTCATTGTGAGAAACGTGCCTGGGGTTTGTCGCCTCGAGGGCTGGGATAATGGTGAGTCCGTGCTGGAGACGTTATGACGACGAGGTTGAAAGCGGGACCCCCAGGTGTGATTGATGAGGAACCAGTGAGGCAGTGTGAGTTTCGGCGGCACAACCAACTGCCGTCGGGAATGTTTCACTTTGGAAACACCAGTTACCGCCACGTGCGACTATGGCCGAGTGCTCGAAGCAGGATGCATGCAACGAAAGAGCCACTACCTCATGTCAACACCTCGGTGCTGCTTGGATGCCTTCACCGTCTCGTGGCGCTTCGAGGTTGGTCGCTTGGAGGCGCTGGCGTAGCAGTCTCTCGGCGGCTTCAGGGGTATGCGAGTCGTGCTGTCAATTGGAGACACTGGGCGAATTTCTGGGCTTCAGGGACTGCGACAGCCCTAGTCTCACCCAAAGACGGCGGGAACTCGCATTGCTCAGGCGGCAAAGGACGGGCAGCAAAACACTTCACTGCATAGTCTCGCACGGCAGGCATCGTGAATGAGCCCGTCAAGCCGGGGCCCCCCTTGGTGGGGTGCTGCCCAACATCGTCAGCGACCACCTGGCCAACAAGCGTGCCTGTGCCCATGGTCGTCGACTCTCTCTCTTGCGCCGTTGTCGGACCGCACAGCCGGCCGGGAAGCACGTCCAGCAGGGACCATTGTGGAGTCGCGGTTTTTGTGCTGCGGCTGCCGTCGGTGTACCGAGTACAGTAGGTTCCAGGGTGGTGCTTATCAGATGCCAGCAGGATTGCATGGAAGGGGGCCGCGCTGGCCCGTGCGCCAGTAGCGGTACGTACCTGCCCAGCAAATTCGATTCACAACAAGGTTATCAGATCCGACGCGGTGCGCCACCACCCAACAACGTGCCAAAAGGCAGGCGCCATCGGGGCCCCCAAAACCAATGTCACGGAAGGCACGCATGCCAGGGGCCAGGGCTACAAATTCTCCGGGCGTTGGGGGCGCACAACAGCAATGACGGAATATTCTCTCTCCAACACTTTATTCCATCTCGTCTTGCGTGCGTAGCACGAGGCACCGGCCAGTTGGACGAACCGTTTCCTAACGCCGCAGCTGGCATCATCGTCCCCGTCACAGCCGCCCAGGACGAAAGCGCACCGGCTAATCGGCCGGCGCAGGCTTCACTTTGCCCACGCGCGCGGTTTTCGGCCCCTCCGTCAATGAGGGAAATTTTGCTCCTGGTCGAGGGGCATCTCTCTGCCGTCGGCTGCACTTCTTTGTACCTGTACCTGTACCTGTACCTTCTGCGCCTGGTCGCTCGCTTCCTTTGAACCCCGGTCGATGCTCCACAGTCGGAGGTGGCCCTTGGTGGTGCCGGGGAAGGGGGGCGTGTCGAGGGCGTGCGTCCATGGACGAAAACGCATCGGCCGACATGACGACCGCGCGGAGCGCCGCATGGATTCCAAGTCGCATCGCCCATGCTGGCCCCGTCGGACTTGCAGCATCTAGCAACTTCTTTCCTCCGAGGCCCCTCGATGAGGTCTTGCGTGATCGGGGCTCGCTTGCGGGCTGATCTAAACCCCCGAGGGGTCGGCGATCCTCTCCCCTCTGTCCAGCGGAGGATCCAGCGGGCTGGCACACCGGAGCGCCCCGTCGTAGACCCTTGAGTCTGCCTCTGGGTGTAGCTACCTATACTGGATACGTAGGTACGAAAGCGCCACGCCACAAGATGAGGTCACAGCAGAGACCTGGGACAAAGCTCGTGGTGGTGCTGGTGGAGGTAGTAGAGGTAGGGTAGCTTCGGCTGTCACGACGGCGCCTCGTCAACACTGCGTCTTCAGTCGACAAGTCCTCCTCTCCCACCAATTGGTTCGAGAGTCGTCCAACACTTCCATCGTGCATTGACGTTGCTTCCGAGGACAGTTACATCCTGCATAATGACTGCTCCCCTGGTGATCCAGCTGGCGTCTCTGTCGGCCGACGAGACCGTCCTCAAGCTGCCTCATCCGTACCTCACCGAGTACGCCATCCAGCAAGCCAGCCGGAACGAGGCTCCCTTTTACCGGCTTCAAGAAAAGCCCAGCACCTCCCGGACACAGCTCCCCAGCAAGCTCGGCAACCCTGCCGTGGCCTTCTCGGAGCCCGCGCACCTCAAGTCGAGCGAGCTTCCTCCCGCTTCCAACAACAGCGCCTGGGCCCGCGCGAGGCGATCGCCATGCTCGACGGTCGTCTGGGACGGAGCTGAGGCGCCCTCGCTGGCGCAAGCTTGGCTCCTTCTCTACTTCCTCTTTACCGTCCGCCCGGCCGAGGAGCTGCTCCGCCTCGAGCTCAAGGGCCAGAATGCCTCGACTCTGGCCCAGCAGCTGACGGATGTCCTGCTCGCCATCGAGCACCCGCTTCCGGCGCGCGAGAAGAAAGTTCCCTCCACCAAGGCCGACGAGAGCGTCGTCGTCGCTCTTCGAAGCACCTTCTGGCAGGGCGCCGGCTCGCCCTTTGGCCCGCGCCCCGTCTGGTGCCCCGACGAGTCGCCCAAGTCGCTCTCGGGCCCGAATCCTCTGGCTTCTTACCCTCTCACGCCGCTACAACACACAATCACAGTCGCCTCAGCCGGTGATCCCCAAGATCCCGAGCGCTACCAGCAGACATGGCACCCCGTCCGGCCCGCCAAGCCCGCGCCCGGAGCCGTCGTGTACAGCCGCTGGATCCCCCATCTCAAGGAGACCTTCTCCATGGTCTCGCTCGACTGGGAGGACCCGGAGCACCTGCGGCTGTTCCACGAGTGGCAGAATGACCCTCGCGTCTCGCAGGGGTGGAACGAGTCCGGCACGGTGGAGCATCATCGCCAGTACCTGCGCAACATCCACGAGGATCCTCACCAGCTCGCCATCCTGGCCAAGTGGGACGACACCTACTTTGCCTACTTTGAGGTGTACTGGGCCAAGGTACGTGCAGCTTCTCCCCCTCTCCTTTCATTTCCTACCAAAGTCTGCCGTGGAGTGATGACGCTGACCTGGCACCCCCGTGCGCAGGAGGACCGCCTGGGCGGCTACTACGACGCCGAGGACTTTGACCGCGGCCGCCACTCCCTCGTCGGCGACGTGCGCTTCCGCGGGCCTCACCGCGTGTCCGCCTGGTGGAGCAGCCTCATGCACTACCTCTTCCTCGACGACCCCCGCACCATGTACGTCGTCGGCGAGCCCAAGGACACCAACTCGACCGTCGTCATGTACGACCTCATCCACGGCTTCGGCCTCGACAAGTTTGTCGACCTGCCCCACAAGCGGAGCGCCTTTGTGCGCTGCCCCCGCGGCAGGTTCTTCCAGCTATGCCCACTGGCCGAGAATGAGAAGGCGGTGGGAGGCATGAGGATCGGGCTGGTGCCGAAGCTGTGAGGAGTCGACAGGGCAGAGCGGGACAGTGGCATTGTCTTGGGTATATATCTGTGTTGTTCCGGGCGGGCTTTCAAGAAGCATTTATTTCATCATGATGAGATGAGCTTCGTCACTACATACATGTCGTAACGTCTTACAAAACGGTCGTGTTGAGAATAGTCAGAATATTGGTAACTCTGTTGCCAAGGTCTCTTTATACCCAGTCTCGTCTAAGCTTTTTGCTCGTGGTCCGACAGCGAGGGACCACCTCATGCCCAAAGTACGCGTTTCTATGCACAGCCGTTTAATAACAAATCACAACAACCCCGCTTCGATCACAACTTGGCCGTCTTAGCCCGCCGGTGCAGCATCTCGTCGCCCAGCTTGGCCATCTCAAACTTGCGGACCTTGCCGCTGCCCGTGAGGGGGACGTCGCCCGGCACGCCGTCCTCACCGAGCCAGAAGACGTGCGTCGGCGACTTGTGCTTGCCGAGCTGCGTGCGCACCCAGTCGCGCAGCTCGGCGTCGCTGGGCCGCGCGCTGTTCTCCGTACGCTCCACGAAGGCGCCCACCACCTCGCCGTAGTGCTTGTCCTTGAGGCCGACGACGACGGCGCGGGACACAGATGGGTGGGCCATGAGGCGCTCCTCGATTTCGAGAGGGTAGATGTTTTCGCCGCCTGATTTTGTCAGCACCGGGTTCCTTCATGAGGGACGTGGAATACCACAGCTATGAGGGTTCTTACCTCGGATGATGATGTCCTTGAAGCGGCCCGTGATGGTGCAGTAACCATTCTCGTCAAAGACTGCCTCATCGCCTGTGTGAAGCCACAGCACGCCTGCTGCGTCTCGAACCATGACCTCGTTGGTCTTCTCAGAGTTGTTCCAGTAGCCGGCCTGCAGCTGGTAGCCCGCCATGCAAAGCTCGCCTCTCGTGCCGACGGGTACTATGTTGCCGTCCCGGTCGACAATCTTGGCCTGGGCGTGCGGCATGACAGTGCCGACGGTCGTGAGTCTCGTGTCCATGGCATCGTCGGTGTAGGCGTTGAAGCACGTCGGCGACGCCTCGGTCAGGCCGTAGCTGCTCGTGAACTCGGACATGCCAAAGCGATTGACCAGCAGCTCCATGAGATACCGCGGAACTGGAGCGCCGGCGATGATTCCCGTTCGCAGCCTTTCGCAGCTGAAGCCAGCTGGGAACTCGGCCTGGAAGAGTGAGTCGAACATGGCCGGGACGCCGTGCACCGCTGTGCACCCCTCGTCGGAAATTGCTCGCAGCGTGGAGGGGATGTCAAAGACCTCGGCTGGGTAGACAATCTTGCCGCCATGGGTGACAATGGCTAGCAAGCCAAGAACGAGGCCGAAACAGTGAAAGAGCGGCGGCGGGCAGCAGAGAATGTCTTCGGAGGTGAGGCGCATCCTGTCGCCGATAAAACGCGAGTTGTTGACCAGATTGCTGGTGCATTGTCAGTCTTCATATATTCCTAGTGTCAGCTCATCCAGGCCTTCTACTTACTGATGCGTGAGCATGGCGGCTTTGGGCATGCCTGTCGTTCCACTCGTAAACTGCAGATTGACCACCTGGTGAGGCAGAACCCGCCTCATTGCCCGATACAACCGGTCGTGGTTCTTGCGACCACTTGCCCGGGTGAGATCATCGTACGTCGTGTACCCGCTTGACTCGCCGCGCAGTATGAACACCTGAGGCCCTTTCCCCTCGCTCTTATTGCCCCTGAGCTCAGCCAGCAGCTTTGTGTTGTCGAGCTTCCCAATCGTCTTGGTTGTGAAAAACACCTTGCAGTCGGAAAACTCGATGCCGTACATGGCCTCGGTGGGCGTGTAAGTGTTGTTGAGGATTACGAGGACCGCGCCTATCTTGGCCACGGCGAAGAAGACGGCCGCGTATTGCTCGCAGTTGCCTGCCATGATGCCAACGCGATCGCCGACGCCGATGCCCATGTCGAGGAGGGCCTGGGCGAGCGAGGAGCTTTGCTGGTTGAGGTCGCTGTAGGTCCAGCGGGCTCCCGTCCAGGGGATGACGATGCACTCGTGGGTTCCATGCTGGTATGTCTGCAGCTCGAGGAGCTCGCCGAGGGTGAGGTCGACAAGAGGAGGGTCGACAGGGCCATGGACGAGAGAAAGGCGTTGTGTCGCAGGGACAGTGCTGTCCTCGTCCTGGTGCCGGATGGACGGTGTCGTCGGTTCCGTGGCCATGCTCGGACTGCCGCACCGGTTCAGGGCAACGCCTGCCGGGAAGGTGTATATTTACCTTACGGAGTGATGGGTCTGTTGTCGGACGATCTGCCGTTGCAGTCGCTTCTAGCAGCGGGACGTCTATATGCGGTGCGGGCAATGTGTCTGCAGAGCAAGTCCAAGCGAAAGAAGCAGTCACGATGGACTGACTGCCAATGGCCTCCAACTACGTAGCAGTATGGGGTCCTTTGATCCAGGATAGGCCGGACAGCGGCATGAGGCCAAGACCCGCAAGGTGTGAGCGGCGGTACAGGCTCAAAGATGGCCTCGTCCTTACCAATGGAGGCAACTTAGGCGCTGTATGGGTACTGTATGATGCAAGAGGCGAGCGCCCAATGGTGACCATGCGTCGAAAAGTGTCCATCCTGCATCGAATCGTCCACCCGACCATTTTAGCCCCAGGCGATCTCGCCGACCCGGGCAGAGGGGCATTGGGTGGTATCCACGACTTCCGTGCGTCATGGAATCCCCGAGCTTTGCCGAGGAGACCTTCGGCAACCTTGCGGCGGCCGTCTCAGTGCAGCCCCTCGTGAGCCCAAAGCCCCATCTAATCTGATGATCAGATAAGATGAGCATGTGGTTACGTTTCGCCTGCCTCGCAACTGGAGCAACGAGGGGTCTGGGCCTCCACGGCGCCGTCGCCTCTCCACTTCGGCCTCGGTTCCAGCATCCTGAAAGAGCACAAGACAGCGAGGAGAAAATTTTTATCAGATCAAAAGGTGGCGCCAAAGAGTGGGATGGCGCGGACAGGGTATCAGACGCGTCGAGTACTCGGTACAAGTACGTCACGGCGGCGAAGGAAGACGCATCTCTGGGGCGTGGTGGCTGCTCGACTACTGCATTGGCGGCGGAGACGACCGTCTTCTTGTCCAGGGCCAAGCAAGGAACGGTCGTCTCGGGGCTGTCGAATGTGGCCCTCCACTAATACGCGGCGGGCGCCACTTGGTGCGGCAATTGTTGGACCCTTGCTTTCGACGGATGCTCAGCAGCAGCATAGCTGGCCGTGGAGGCAATGGCGGGCGGCGATGGATCTCGGCACTGGCCCTCCGCCGGTTATGTTGCCATTAAGCGCGTGCAAAGTGCCTGGAAGTGGATTCGTCGGGGCCCCGACGCATGAGGCGGCCGACACCGCTTCGCCCATGCATGACGATGAGATGCGTTTACGTGGGTTCGGGTGGACCTGCAGTTGCGTGTGAGAAGGCGAGTGGGTGACATTGCAGAGAGGAGACCGAGGATGATGGAGGGGCACAATTTACAAAGTACGAGCACTACGGAGGAGCTCGAGGGGCAACCGCCTTGTGCAACGCCGCACGGCAGGAGCAGGAGGGCTGCGCTTGCCTGCTTTTACCATGCGCATGTGCGTCATTCGCACCTGCCGCCAAGTCAGACTCGGTTGCACCCCAGCACAGTACAGTGTCTTAATTAAGACTTACACCATTTTCGTCCACGCGCGTCTCCAACAACAAACTACAAGCTGGCCCCTGTCTGGCTTCAGCACTCTTGATCAACCCACGACCGTCCTCGGCTGTTTTGTCCCTCGCCACCGCCCGCCGTCGACCTGGACTCGACTCGACTCGCTCAGAAGAGTTATCAGATCCGCGACCCCGCCCCGGCGTTGCACCCAACGGACCCGCCCAGCCCATGCAAGCCATGGCGCCCTCCACATGGTCCCGCGCCATCTTGCGCTCTCGCATTATCTGATCCAGGAACTCCAATGTTTCTCCGATGTACCCTCGGGTCGCCATGCTCTGATTCGCCCACGACCCCGGTCCAAGCCCGCCCATGGGACATCGCGCTGTTACACGCACCCCTCGGCTTGAATATGGAGGGGCACACTTTCATCATGACCCGAGCTGGGCGTTGTCAACAGGATAGCTCTGCGGCAGCTCAGGTGCGCGACGCGCGAGGATGGGTACGGGCCAGAGTAGAAGCAGTGAACAGGAGTAGTCAACTGGGAAGCGATCCTGGCTCGGTTCATACCTCGATTTACTTCACGTACGGCAGACGCTAGCAACGCAACACATCGTTGGCTTAGGAACACATGCCATCTGCTCGACCCTTGGCTTAGATCGGCGTCGGTGCCAGCTTGCCTGCAACAATCCTCAAGATGCCTTCAGTCGATGAGGCAGCCGATGCTGGCATCGATGTCCAGCCCAGCCCAGCCGCCGATGTCCCCGAGCCGGCCAGCCAGTCTCCGGAACAACGTAACGGAGCTGCATTTGTCCTCGACGACAACCTTGAAACGATATGGAGCTGGAACGAGGTTGTACCGCCCCGCATATCAACTTGCATGCACGACCTTTTCTGCGAAATCGCCGAGACGCAACCCGACGCCGTGGCGGTCCAGTCCTGGGATGGAAGTCTCACGTACAAGGAGCTTGACAAGCTATCATCCAAGCTTGCGCGACAGCTGAGACAAAGGGGTGTTGACATTGGGACTCGAGTGCCGTTATGCTTCGAAAAGTCCATGTGGGCAGTCGTGTCGCTGCTCGGCGTCATGAAAGCAGGCGCGACGTTCTCCCTGACTGATCCCAGTCAGCCAGAAGCCAGACTCCAAACGATCGTTGAGCAAACAGACGCTCAGCTTGTCGTAACCTCGGTGCTCCAGAGCGAGCTCGGAAGAAGGATATGTGGAAGGGGTCAGGTTTTGGCGGTTTCGCAGGACTATTTCGACCATAGCCCCGACTTTCAAGACGAATCGCTCCCGCAGGTGCCCGCAGCAACGCCCATGTACATCATCTTTACGTCCGGGAGCACGGGCAAACCGAAGGGTGTCGTCATCTCCCACGAGAACTACACAAGCGGCGCCATCCCCCGCGCTGAGGCTGTGGGCTACAAGAGCAGCTCCCGCGTCTTTGACTTTCCATCTTACGCCTTCGACGTAAGCATCGACTGCATGCTATGCACACTGGCGACTGGCGGTAGGATCTGCGTCCCTTCGGAATCGGATAGGATGAACGACTTGAGCGGCGCGATACGAAAGAGCCAGGCCAACATGGTACACATGACTCCGTCAGTCGCCAGAGTCCTGGACTCGGACATTATACCCTCCCTAGAGGTCCTGGGTCTAGGAGGAGAAGCAGTATCGGCGAGCGATGCTGCCGCTTGGGGGAAAACAACCAGCCTGGTCATCGCGTATGGTCCGTCGGAGTGTACGGTTGGCTGCACCATCAACAACACGGTTGGCGTTTCAACTGGTATTGGCAAGGGCGTCGGCGGATCAACCTGGATTACAGATCCCGATAACCACGATATCCTCATGCCCGTTGGAGAGGTCGGCGAGCTCCTGGTCGAAGGGCCAGTGGTGGGAGTGGGCTACTTGGGAGAACCAGAGAAGACGTCAGAAGTCTTTATTGAGGACCCAGCCTGGTTGACTCGTGGCTACGGCTCGTTCCCGGGCCGTCGGGGCCGCCTCTACAAGACGGGTGACTTGGTCCGCTATGAGGCTAACAGGCTGGGATCCATAGAGTTTGTTGGAAGGAAGGATCAGCAAGTGAAGCTCCGAGGGCAGCGAGTTGAACTAACCGAAGTCGAGCATCACCTACAAAGCTGCCTTCCTGCCGGAGTCAAGGTCACCGCAGAGGTCATCAAGCCCGAGAATGGCTCCCCAACTTTAGTCGCTTTCCTATCTGAACCTTCAACATCCATCACTGGGTCATCAGGCGATTTGTTGACAGAGCCGTCGCCGGACCTGGCAGCTGCGCTGGCCACCATCGATGCTGCAATGGGCGCGCGAGTTCCGAGATACATGGTTCCGGCAGTGTTCGTTACTCTCAACACCATGCCGTCTTTGGTCTCTGGAAAGACAGATCGCAAGAAACTGCGGGAGATTGGTGTGGCTTTGCCACGAGAACGGCTTGCCGGTGCTGGTGCTGGAGAGAGCCTAGAAGAGGATCCTCACACAGAGCAAGAAAGGCTGCTCCAGGGAGCTTGGTACAAAGTCCTCGGCCAAGACACAAGGGTTTACCGAAACAGTAACTTTTTCGCCGTGGGAGGTGACTCGCTGCGAGCTATGAGGCTCGTCGCAGCTGCTCGAGACGAAGGCCTGTCCATCACTGTCGCAGACATCTTCACAAATCCTTCTTTGGACATGATGGCGGCCCGCAGCAAAAACACCTCGGCCGCTTCTGAGGATCACGTTCCTCCGTTCTCGATGCTGGAGCCAGACTGGGATGTCATTCAGGCCAAACAGGAGGTGGCCAGTCTCTGTCAAGTCGACCAAGATTTGGTCGATGACATCTACTCCTGCACGCCTTTGCAGGAGGCATTGATGGCTCTGTCAGCCAAAGTGAAAGAAGCCTACGTCGCGCAGAGAGTTGTGAAGCTGGCAGATGCTGCGACGGCAGACAGATTGATCGCGGCATTCGATACAGCCCAGCAGAATTGCCCAATTCTCCGCACACGGATTGTCCAAGTGCGTGGTCGAGGGCTCGTCCAAGCAGTCATCAAAGGGAAGCTTGATTGCTACTATGGATCCAACTTGACCGAGTATCTAGTCTCGGATCGTGACAACGATATGGACCTCGGAAAGCCGCTTGTTCGCTATGCTGTCATTAACGACAGTGTCACAGGTAACGTCAGTTTCGTGTTGACGATGCACCACGCATTGTACGACGGATGGGCAATGCCGCTGGTCGTCGAGCGCGTGAACAAGGCGTACCAGAACGAGACTCTGCATCGCCCGGCCGACTTCAAGCATTTCATCAAATACCTCAGCAGCGTCGACAGGGCGGATTCGGAGTCCTACTGGCGCGAACAGCTTGAGGGCGCCAACGGCCCGCAGTTCCCAGCACTTCCATTTCAGGGGTACCAGACAAAGGCCGATTCTCTGCTCGAAGTTTATGTGCCTTTGGAAAATCTCCCAGCTTCCAACGCCACCGTTGCCACCGTGATCCGGGCGGCGTGGGCCCTGGTCGTCTCTCAGTATATCAACAGCGACGATGTCATTTTTGGAGAGACGCTGACCGGACGCAATGCTCCCATTATTGGAGCCGAGGAGATTGAAGGGCCCATGATTACGACTGTTCCTGTTCGCGTTCAAGCGGACAAGGAGATACCCGTGGCGGAATACCTTCAGTCCATTCAGGAGCAGACCGTCGCTCAGATACCGCACGAGCACTTTGGGTTGCAGTACATCCGCAGACTCAGCCCTGACGCCCTGGAAGCGTGTGAGCTACGAACAGGGCTAGTCTTGCATCCCAGCTCGGAGGGAGAGCCGTCCCAGGATGCGGATCTCCCTGCGAACAGACTGGTCCCCGCTGGCGACGCTGAGGCAGCGCAAGAGGCTCTCAAATTCAACACTTATGCGCTGATGCTGGTTTGCTCCATCGACCCTAAAGGTTTCCTAGTCATGGCCAGCTTTGACTCCAACACAGTAACGTCACCGCTTATGGAGAAGGTTCTGAGCCAATTCAAGACGGTCGTCCAGGCACTCTGTTCCGAGCCAAGTAGGCGACTTGGTGCCGTTTGGAGCCTCACCGATGACGACTATTCCGAGATCAAGTCTCAAGTTGCCGCCACCACGGACACCGCCGTATTTGGCCAATATCCCGGAGCACTGGCAGCGTATCTTGTCAACTCGCAGGCTCAAGATCAACTCGTGCCAGTGGGCGGCGTGGGAGAGCTGATTGTGCAGAGCACGTCCGAGCTCGACCTTCCCATTCTTTCAGATCCGTCCTGGACGGGCAAGGTTGGGGCCAACCCAGCCGAAGGGAAGTTCTATAAGACGAGCAAGCTTGCCAAATATAGCGATGGTCAGCTCCAACTCGTCAAGGTTCACGTTTCGAGTGTCAGCGGCCTCAACTCCAGCCAACAGCCCGTGAAGCGGGTATCAGCGACGTCTCGCCGTCAAAAGAAGCTGAGAAGCCTCTGGAGCCGGGTACTACGCATCAGCGAGGAGGAGATTGGCCTCAACGACAACTTCTTCCTCCTGGGCGGCGACTCCATCACGGCCATGAAGCTGGTGTCTGAGGCACGCTCAGAGGGCATCAAGCTCACCGTCATGCAAATGTTTCAAAAGCGGTCTCTATACGACATGGCAAGCATCATGGAGGAAGACGTCGCTTCAACCCAGGTAACTGAGGATGTTGCTCCGTTCTCCCTGCTGGATGTTCCAGATGTCGCAGAGTTCGTGGAAACTGTGGTCAGGCCGCAGCTGGCAGACCAAAGTTGGCAGGTGTCCAATGTCCTGCCGACCCGACCCCTTCAGCAGGTTGCTGTCAAGGGTACCACGCAAATGCCCAAGTTCTCTACGCGTTACGAGCTCATGTACTTTGATGCCGCTGTTGACAGGGCTCGTCTCGCAAAGGCATGCAATGAGCTCGTGTCGCGGAATGAAATTCTCAGAACGGCTTTCGTTGAGCATGCCGGACAGGGGTACGGCGTGGTCATCGAGGACATGCGTTGCCCTTTCGTCGAGTATGCTACTGATGTTGACGTTGAGGCGTTCTCGAAGCAGCTTTGCCAGCTCGACGTCTTGACCAGCATACCGCTCGGCTCGTGCTTTGTCAAGTGGTTCCTCGTCGAGTCGGTTGCCGGGCAGTCCTGCCTCATCTTCCGAATCTCGCATGCGCAATACGACGAGATCTGCCTACCTATTCTCTTGAAGCAGCTCTCGGCGTTGTACGAGAACGCACCCGTCCCAGCGTCGATTCCGTTCTCGTCATACGTGGGCCACGTTGTAAGCCGCAGCGTTCCCGCAAGTATTCCGTACTGGCGCGATCTCCTCGCCGGCTCGGCCATGACCATCCTCAAGCCCGACGTCCGCGTGGAAAAGACGAACCACTTTGCCGTTGAAAAGTCGGTCGACATCTCGTCCCGGCCCCGCGACGTCACCGTTGCGACGCTCCCTACGGCGGCGTGGGCTCTGTGCCTCGCCCGGCGCCTGGGTTTGAAAGACGTGGTCTTCGGCGAGGTCGTCAGCGGGCGCAACATCGACTTCCCCAACGCCGACGCCGTCACCGGGCCGTGCTGGCAGTATGTCCCCGTGCGCGTGCGCTTCGAGCCCAGCTGGACCGTCGCCGACCTCCTGGCGCACATCCAGCACCAGCACGTCGCGTCCTCGGCGCACGAAGGCGTCGGCCTCAGCGAGATCATGGCCCAGTGCACCGACTGGGACCCGTCCACGACGCCCGACTGGTTCGACTCGGTCGTACACCAGGACGTCGCCCACGTCGAGACCCTGCCGTTCGCCGCCGCCAGCGGCCGCATGGAGACGGTGTACCCGCACGAGGAGCCCCTCCGCGAGTGGAAGATCCAGGCCTTTATCGACGGCGGCAGCATGACGCTCGAGATTGTCACGGTCGAGAGCTGGGCCGAGTACGCGAGGGGCCTCCTCGACGAGCTTGCCGATGTGGCGGCCTTTTTGGTTGGGGAGCCGCAGGGAGCCTTGTTCTAGGGGTCCCGTCATCGTCCTGCGGGTGGTGGTCCGGCGGCAGTTATTACCAGATTGTAACTTGTGTGCAGAGTTGGACGCTTCAGACTTTCTCCTAGCCCATAGAGTAGCAAAATATTGTTGTTTCTTTTTTCAGAAAGGATTCTGCCTTCTCTATATCGGTTTCGTAAGTCCACAGTCGCCTGTGCGTTCGCTAGCCTCAGAATGAGTCGCGGCATAAACATCAGATCTGCGAAGGTCTGTATTTCGTCTCCCAGGACAGCATCACAGTCCCCTTGTAGCACGTATGAATGAGTGACGACGAACTCCTTACCTGTCAAGTCTCACATAAAGGATAGACACTCAACCCTTTCGTCAAAATGCGCTTGAATCCATTACACCGATAATGCTAGGCAGCCTCTCTTTCGCCACTCGCGCTGGGGTATATGCAAATCAAGAACCCGGACCCGGCTATCCCTTCGTCTGAACCCGATGCGTCGTGCTCGCCCATGCTAATCGCACCTCAACGCCCGTTGCCAACCATGCCCATCCATGTCACAAATGTCATGCTTTGCCACATTACTTTGCCATCACACCCTGTTGGTCTTCTCCACGTTGTCGTGGTTCCCTGAGCCGACGTTGAATCCCAAGGCCCTCTGAAGGCTTCGACGGATTCCCTTACCAGTCCGTGAGTCCTCGTCCTTGTTGTCCTTCTCGCGGCCCAAAATGCCAAAGCTCATCCGCCTGGCGGCTTTGACGCCGCTGTCATTGCCAGTCGCCGGGGCCTTCTTCTTCTTACGCGCGGCGGCGATTGGGTCGGGCGCAGACGGCTTGGGAGGCCATTCTCCGTCGCGCTTCCACCCGACCACGCAGGAACGCAGCATGTCAGACAGGTTGACGGGGCATGCGGGCTGGAGGTTGTTAAGAATGACCTTGTCGTAGAGGCTCATGTAGACGTTTGGGGAGATGCAGGCGCGCAGCGGATTGTTGGGGGGCAGCAGCGGCTGGCCGATCGGCAGCAACGTCTCGACGGGGTATAGCTTGGCGGCCGCCATGTCTGAGACAGACGAGCCCTGTGTTCGGTGCCTTCTCAATTCCTTGTCACTGGCATCCCTGGCCACGGACGAGGTGTCGGATACGGTACCAGACCCCTCGACGCTCGTCGCGGCCGCACTAGGGACGGAACTGGGCGGAGATCCGGACATGGAGTGGCGGAAGAAGAACCGCCGAGGCGAGCGCGGAGACGTGGGCGGAGGACTTGCAGGTTTGCTTCGTACCCTGACGGTCTTCGCGCTCGTCCAGGCATTGCGGCGAGCCTCGAAGCAGGCCAAGCCTTTATTCCACTGCATCTCCTCACGCAGTGCCCTGCGCCGGCGGGCACGCTTATCGAGCGCAGAGGAGGTCGCGGCCGATTGAATCGAGTCGGTGCCATCGAAGCGCAAATGGGCGGACGATGCGGGAGCTTCATCTTCGGAGAGGTCCGATGTCCACTCCATGCGAGGGCGATAGTGAACTGCATCCTCCGAGACAACGCTGTAAAGCGACTTGGCGTCGTCGTCCTCGTCGTCTACATGGCCATCGTCGGAGGGCGGCGCTTCAAGCTCAGAGCCTTCGTCCACTTGATAACCGTCATCGTCACGGGTCTCGTCCTGGACCGGCACGTGTGCTCCACTGCTGGCACCATCTGTTTGCGTGCCTGTCTGGCCAACGTCCCCTTCAATGATGCCGCCATCAGGGGGCACCACGCTGGATGCGTGAGGACGCGGCGGCCACGTGAACTGCCAGTCTGTCTTGACCTTGTCCGACAAGTAGCGCTTGATTGCCTCCTTTTGCTTTGACTTGTCCTTGCTCAAGAGATCGGCGTACTCGGGGGCAACCCAGTCTGGCGTAGCTGTAGGTGGTGGTGTCGGGAGTTGGGGGTGGTGATGGCGGAGCTTAGCCAAAGGGGAGCGAGGGCTCTTGTAGAAGTCGGAGAAGATCATGGCGGGCGAGGCACCGTGCTTGTGATCCGTGGGGTGATGGGCGTGTACTGGCGCAGATCCGTCCCGAGCCGCGATCCGCTGTGGCTGCCCGGGAGCGGGCTCTTTGTCCTGGGCGGCGTCTGGGGAAGCAAGGTTGTCAGTAAGAATAGGAGGCGGGCATGAGCACAGATGCGCGGCTACAACGCATGCGTTTTGTCCAGATGGTTTGGAGAGTATGCCGCCGCCGCGATCAGGTGAAGCGAGGGAAAGTGTACAAAGCCACGGGCAAGGCAGGGTGCCCGTTGGCGAGAGCAGACGGGTCAGGTGCAACTATTGTGGGAATGATGTGATGCAGTCGCGAGGCGTTGACCGCACAAGGCGCTTGGCTTGGCGGCCGAGTGCCCAGTCGGCGGCTTTGCGGCGCAGATGCGGTGCCGACCTGCCGTGTCGCGCGTCTGCAGACGGCGCAAGCGCCTACAACAGCGGCACGGCTGGATCTGGCTGGCAGGTGAGGTGCTCGGGGAGGCACCGGGGGGATCGGTGAGCGCGTGAGGCGCGGGCGAAAGAGAGGGGTGAAAGGTGTGAGAGAGGGAGAGGCGAGAGAGAAGCGGTTGGTGATGATGAGGCAGGCAGGGAGCAGGTGGGCGGACGCGGGGCGGCAAGGCAGGAAGGACAGGAGCGCTTGCTCGCTCGGAACGGGCAGACGTGAAATGAGGAAGCTGCGGTGCGACGCTGCCACGGAGGTTTGCCAACAAGGCGGTGTTGACTGTTTGAGCGCTCCGTGTGCAGGTACTTTGGTCTCGGTGCAGCATCACAATCGCCCGGAGGTACTGCAGAGTATAACAGGTAGTGAACGAGACAATGCTTGCCCATGCAAGTCCTCGGTTCGCAAGGCGCAGAGAGACGGAGGGAGGCACGATGCGCGACAGGTCCGTCGCCAATCATGCTGCCGTCTCCCGCCGCCAGAGCCGGGCCGATGATGCGTGACCGGCGGGACGGCGAGGAATGCAGCGCGGCGGCTGCGCTGCGGGACGACGTCGACGATGCAGAGGCGGAGGAGAGCCGCAGGTGCAGCGCAAGCAAGACACATGCGACAGGGCAGATCAGGACAGGAACTTACCGTGACTCTGGGCCGCACCGGGCGGAACGTGTCTCGTCGATGGCTTGTCGTTGCCGTCGTGCTCGCTGCCGTTGGCGGTGCCAGCCGTTGCGTCGTCGAGGGAAGCCGCGGCGCGAGGCATACAAGTAGGGTCGTGGAGTAGGCGGTCGTGGTTGGGATCGCCGTCGGTGGCCGGCCCGCCGCTCACAGTCGTCGGCTGAATGGGAGGACTCGCAGAGCTTCGTGTTGCTAGACCCGGACCTGGACCTGGACCTGGACCTGCTGTCCGTCGCCCTCGGGGGTCACTCGTGGCGGCGGTGGCGGCAGCAGTAGCAGCAGTATTGGTAGTTGCGGTGGCGACGACGTCGGCAGTCACGTCGACGACGGCGGCTGCGACATCGTCATATAGTCGTATGGAGCCCGCGTCGTTGGCCGCCATGTCGGGCCAGCAGCCATTAGCGGCGGCGGGGGTTGGCGTCGGCGGCGGCGGAGGCGACGACGGGGGACCTGGCATGGGAGGATGGGCTGGCTGGGCTGGATCGTCTGTGTGTCGGCGTGAGTGTGGTGAGGCGGGTGTGTGTGTGTGTGTGTGTGTGAGGTGTGTGGTGTGAGCGTGGTGTGTGTGTGACTCTGCGCTGCGTCTTGCGTCTCCGGAGCCCGATTTGCTTGTGCGCTGCGCTGGGTTGCGTTGCGTCGCGCTGCGTTTCCGAGCGTGCGTTGCGTGCGTTGTGGTGCTGCGCGAGGCCGTTTGTTCGTTTCGTTGGACTCTTGAGTTTGGGCTTGTCGGGTTTGACGACAAGGTTCCATGGGTCGGATCGGGAGCTTCCAAGGCTCCAGCCGCCTGCCACTCACTGGGTTTGGCCGCTGGCCCCTTCCCGATACGGAGTACCTACCGTTAGGTACTGTAGGCAGGCACTGGCAAAAATATTACATTGCAATGACTGACTTGTTTCTCCGTACCTACGCGCCCCGCAAGGCACCACCGGCCTTCGTCAGATCAAGGTACAAAAGTAAGGTAATGCACCAAGCTAGGTTTTTTTTCCCTCCCCTTAGCTCTGCAGGTTCTGCGCTGCAGCTGCCTGATCCTGGGACGCCGGCGGCGCCGCACGCAGCAGGCCGTGGCCCTGCCGAGTCGGACGACCCAGCCGGAAGGTGGGCGGGCGTGTGGGGTGGGCGCCGCTATGCTGGAAGCGTCTGTTAGGTTAGTTAGCACTGGGAGGAGGAGGAGCCTGCCCATCAGCTGCGCGCCTGCCTTTTTTTTCTGCCCTTTCTCTCTGTCTCCACTAGCTGTTTGTCGGTGTGTCCGTCTCCCTCTCTTGTTCTGGCAGACAAATCACCCTTGGGACACCGCGCAAATGGCGCGACTATCTCTGCTGCTGGAGCGCAACACACGCTGTTAGTACCACTGTCGCTAGCAGTGGCAAGCGACCGCCCATCGCACCAGCAGCCCGTCCGAGTGCAGTGAGGTGGGGTGACGGGTGGAGTCAGGCGGCTGCAGACCTGAGCCCATTGCCCGCCTGGCCCTTCGATGAACAAACACTTGCGTAGCTGCACTGGCTGATGTCCGTCCGTCCAGCCACGGGCCGCCAGATGGTCGTGTGACTGAGTGACCCTGGCATCCCGGCACCCAGCAAGGGCCCCCAGCTGCTGCTGCCGCTGCTGCTGCTGCTGCCGCCGCTGTGAACCCCTTCTTCTTCTTCTTCCATCAATGGGTGGCTGTCTCTGCCCGCGCGTGCAGGGGGGGTAGAGCTCCGTTGGAGAGACACACACATCGAGCCAGAGCTTTCCCCGCGCGCCACTGATGACGGGCGTCAATGGTCACTGGTCAATGGCGGCCCGTGGCGGACCATCGTGCATGCCCGCGTGCAAACGCTCGCCTCGCCTCGCTCCAACGCTGGCATGGCCGCACCATGGCAGGGCTGCTGCTTCGCGCACCACCCCCCTCGGCTTGCGCTTGCCGGGTGCTGTTTTGGCTACTTACCTACTAACGACGTGCCGCGAGAGAGCTCCCTCCATTCGCCCAATCGTGCGGGGAAGGCACACTGCGCGCGCATTGCGACTCCTGATCCTGTCGCCGTGCCGGACGCGAGACATCGCGGCGCCCAAACGACGCGAACAGGCGAGTGACTGTCCGCCGCGTATGGCGCCCTCCCGGTGCCGTACAGCCCGACCCATCGCCCAGGGGACAAGGCCTCTTTGTCCCGGCGGGGACTTGTTGCCCGCATGTCCATCTGGTGTCTGCCTGCTGGCGCGGAGATGCCTCGTTCACGATGGTTCTCGCTTCCGTTGGCTTTCACGGCCAGCCATTCGTCCATCCGCCTCGCATCACATCAACACCTCCTGCATACAGTACAACTAATGGTGGCCTACCCTGAAGAGCCCCTGGTGCGCATCTACACGTACACATCTCACCTCGTGCATGCCCAAAGAGACACCGCTCCCACGCGCGAACACATCGCAGCGGTTCGCGCGCTTGCCCAGACATGCAGCGACAGACGCCTTTAAACAGCTAAGCTACTGCATCGGCAGTCCGTGCAGGGATGCACAAGGTGGTTCCCTTCCTGCCTGCCTCGTGCCCAATGCACCACCCGGCGACTGCCGGGTGCATCCTCGGGCACAGCACACCTGGGTTGGGTGCCAAATGCTACCGAGTCCACGTACATGCCATGCGGGGTGAGGCAAGCTGCCTCGGAGATCATCCTCTTGGCGTCTCCAAAACCAACCGGAGACACAGGCTGGTGCATTCACCACTTGTTAGTTGATGCTGTTGCGGTTCAAGCCCGTTTGCATCCTACCGCTTAAAGCTTCCGTACAAACGTCAAGGCATCTGTGGCATAGAAACCAACTGACCTTCCGTTGCACATCCAGGCAACGCGGATATGTTTCATATGGACACTGGCGTCCATCCAGCCATGTGGTGTCAGTGCTTCGAGCTACGTAGAGGGCCACAGGATATAGATTACTCAGACCCGGCACGGTCAGGTCGACGAGACCATGAACAGCCATAAGCGACTGGAAGATGTCGTTCGCGGACGCTGCCAGCGGGATCTGGTAGTTGTCGCTCGGCCGTTGAGCCCGTCCGCCTTCCTCATGCTAGCTCAAGCGCGAGTGCAATCTGATGGGGGCTTCTATTGGATTCGTAAGAATCAAGGCCTTGCCTCATAGCTCGTGACGAAAGGATACACCCACGATGTTGGCCATTGGCAATTGCCGCAGACGGGCCATCCTTGATTTTTAAACGTCACGGCTACATTCCCTCAACGAGACCGCACCTGCACAAAGCAAGCCGGCCCACGACAAGCATAAAGACACTCTGTTGTCGAATCCTGTTGTCGAAGTCTAGCCATGGCCAAAAACTAATGATACACGCGGGAAGATGCCTTGCGGCTGCGCTCAGGCGACCTCCTCCACCATCTTGCCCGATGCAAGTCCACCGCCAGCCTTGGCAAACACCCGGCCCGCTGGCCCCGTGACAATATCCTCGGGGACGGACACGCTGACGCCGCTCTTGGAGCTGACCCAGCGGATGAACAGGGGGTCCGCCTTTGGCTGGTCGTCCTCGGGCGTGGCACCGCGTGCGGCGGCGGCCTTGCGGTTGATCTTGGGGGCTTGCTTCTTGAGGAGTTTGTTGATGGTTTCCATCTGTCGATGCTGGTTAGACGATGTGCCTTGTGTGCGCCAATAGAGGGGGTGGGAGGACGGGGAAAGGGTTCAGCCTGACGTACCTTGACTTCCTCGGTTCTCTTCTCACTAAGATTCCGTCGCCGGCGGGCCATCTCCTGCCGGCGCATCGAGAGTTCCTCGGCCGTGAATACCTTCTTGGCTTGAACCTCTGCATCGGGCGTGTCAGTCTTGCTGCACAATGGCAGTGAACGAGGCTCATCTTACCGTCGGAGAGCTTCATGTACTCCTGAGGCTCCTCCTCAAAACGTGCCCGCTGCCGTTTGGTCATCTTACCGAGGTCGGGGGTGGCGGCCCGGCTCCCATCCTCGTCACTGTCGAGTTCCGCAGCTGGGGCTCCTCCCTCTCCTAGCTCTTCCTCCTCGACCTCGTCCTCCTCGTCTTCCTCGCCGGCCACCTCAATTTCCTCGCCCTCGGCGTCCTCGTCGTCGTCGGCCATTGTCTCGTCTGCGAAGCCCAGGGTCTGGTCGCCGCCGTCGCTCTCGCCAGGGTCGCTGAGCTCCTCGTCGTCATCGTCTTCCTCGTCCTCCTCATCTTCTTCGTCGGCCACAATCTTGGATGCAGCTGCGCGAGCGGCGGGGCGGGTTGACGACGAGTGCGAGACCCGGATGGTGGGAGCGGTGCGGACGCCCATGTCTATGTCGCCATCTGCATCCTCTCCCTCGGCGTCCTCCTCGCCTTCGGCATCGACGTCTTCGCCCTCGGCGTCGACTTCCATCTCCTCGCCTTCAGCGTCTTCGTCCACGTCATCATCATCTTCCTCGGCGTCGTCAATCTCCGCCTCCTCTTCCTCCTCTTCGTCATCGTCTGGGCTGGAGTCGATCACATAATTCTTACGGCCCCCGCGATTCCGGGTGCCCGTCACGATTTCGCCACCCTCAAACTTCTCGGCGCGGCGAGAGGAAGCGCCGCGGGCGGCCTGTCGCGACCTGGATGCCGACGTCTTCACGTTGACGCTGATGTTAGAGTCGTCAGGCGAGGACGGGGCATCGCGCAGGGCGGAGGCGCCCGAGGTGCGGCCCGATCTCCGCGAGGACATGGTGCTTCGATCAATCTTGTCAGATGCGTCAGCCCATCTGGCGTGTACGGAAATAGACTCATTCGCCCTGGTGGCGGCCGAGCGGCGCGGTCGCGAAGCCATGCTGAGGGGCCAAGGCGTTGAGCTGGAGGTGCTGCGGTTCCGCGCTGGCGGTGCCAGAGCAGAGAGGGATGGATGCAGGGGAATAAGGGGCGGGTGCGGTGCCGGTGGCGAGGTGAGGTGAGGGCAGGCTAGGCTAGGCGTCTCCGTCGTCGTCGTCGTCGTGCCGCTGAGGCAGGAGCTGCAGCGCGTTTGTCATGCGGGTTGGTGAGACGAGGTTGAGTTAAGCTCGGGGCGTCAGGGCAAGGGGCCCTTTGGGGCCCTTTGGAGCGCTTGGGAGTGAGGCGGCGCTGTCGTTGCAGCAAAAGACTCAAGATCATTGGTCGCCTGCGACGAGATCCAAGGCAACACGTGTGGACGTTGCACAACCGCAGGCGGTCAAAATGCATCTGCGCCGTCCAACGACGCCCGCCGCCTTCGCCTCCCGGCTCGTCTCATCTCAACTCAACTCAACTCATCTCATCCAACCCGCCACTTGTGCGCGCGCGCAGCAACCCCCGTACGCCAGACAGACGGACGGGACGCCAACCATGGCCAAGCCAACAACGGGGACGCATGCAGCGAGCGCGCAAGCAAATGAAACGCACCGACCGCTCTGCGCGACGGAGACGATGACGCCAGCGACCGCCATCCGGGGTTGAGGGCAGCCGATCACGACGAGCGCGCGCAACGTGAAGCAATGCCGCCGCGAGCGCGGCGCAGGGGGCGGTGGCTTACCTGTAAGCGGGCCAGCGACGAGTTTTTCAACTGCGTATCGCGGGTCACCGTGGCCAGGCTTGCGACGACGGCTGGCGGCGGCGGCAGCAGGGTGCTGCTCGACCAGGTTGAATGGAGCGGTTGAAGAGCCGCCGCGGGTCTGGGCTGCGTTCGCGCGCGCGCCCTCCAGTAGGTTTGCTCTGCCAGCCGGCCCGTCTGTGTCGTGCTTTGGGCGCTGCAGACGGTCTATCCGCGAGAGGCAGCTGGGTTCGACGCCCTCTTTCGCGCGATGCGTTAGCCCTCGATGGAGCTGCAGGCGGCGCTGTGCTTCCGTGTGTGTCTGTCTGGTGAGGATGCTGACCGACCGTCGACAGGGTCACGGGCCAATGGGACAGGATGCTAGGGAAAGCAGATGCGGATGTGGGAGACTCGTGAGGGTCGGGGCAAACGTTGGGGCGCTCAAGGGAACGGCGGCGATATCAGAGGCTTCACGATGGGCACGGTGACACTTTTGGGGAGGTTCACGTCGTGTCGCGCGGCTGGATCGGGTGCCCTTGGGACCCACTTTTCCGCTTCAGCGGATTCCGCCGCCCTGGGAGCTTCTGCAAGGGCGCCCGGTGGCCTGGGCCTGCCTGACGGGATCGACTCCATTGCACCACGAAGCACTGCTGCTGCCCTGGAACTGTTAGCACCGGAGGGACACTGCCCAGAGTGTGGCGGCACAGGCACCCGAGTTACACCTCCAGGTTGATGTTGACGACGGCCTTGGTCACAATAGGGTCTTCATCGCCATCTGCAAGCCAACATGTCGCAAGGTCTCGGCTAGTATATTGAATGCAGGCTGCGTAGTGATGTTAATCGGACTCAAGCTGGGCCCCCTTCGGCTCCACAAGAGTCTGCCCGCCCGCCCGCCATGCCTAGCAGGCCACCCTACCTGGCGCGCCCGTTCCCCAGATTCGGCCGGCTCCTGTGCCGAGGCATGTGGACGCCGCCGAACCTTTGCCGCTTCCCACCCCGTTGCACCGTCCGTCCATTCATCCGTCCATCCGCTGCCAGACCTGCTTCCCCACGACCACAGGCGCATTGAGGCAAAAGTCAGTCCACTGATGCCTCGTTATTGATCGCCAGCTGCCATGGCCGCCGACCCCGAAGACCAACAATCGCCCGCGGCGCCGGCCATTCCGTCATGGCAGCGCGACGCCGCCACGGCCGCCTCCGCCGGCGGCGATGATGGTGCGAGCGCCAGTGACAGCGACAGCGGCCAGGCGCCGACCGACGCCCAGCAGCCCGAGGACCAGCTGCAAGTCACCCGCCGCTTCCTCGAGGCCGATGAGGTGAAGACGGCGTCGCGCGACAAGAAGGCCGAGTTCCTCAAGTCCAAGGGCATCGAGGACGGTGACATCCAGAAACTCCTCGGCGAGCCGACGACGTCACAGCAGGTTGGCGCACCCACGCCCGACTATACACTCATGGCCGCATATGCTGACACTCTGCTCTTCCAGAAGCACGACGAGAACAACAGTGCGGTCCCCGACGCCCAACACGCACAGCAAGAAGCAACACAGACCCCGTCGTCACTATCGCCCAGTGCCGGCGACCGCCCCCCCGTCGTCACCTACCCCGAATTCCTCACCAAGCCGCAGCGCCCGCCGCCCCTCGTCACCACAAACGGCCTCTTCAACACCCTATATGCCTTCGCCGGCCTCTCCACCCTCCTCTACGGCACGAGCAAATACGTCGTCGGCCCCATGGTCGAGAGCCTGACCGACGCCCGCGCCGACCTCTACGACACCTCCTCCAAGAAGCTCGACGCCCTCGTCGCCAAGCTCGAAAAGACCGTCTCCGTCATTCCCCCGCCCAAGACCGCTGCCGGCGCCGTGTCCGCCGCGGCCGACGAGGACGCTGACGCGAGCGACGCCGAGGACCCTACCGAGATGTTCCACCGCGACATCGGCACCCAGACCACTTCCCTGCCAGCCCGCCCGCTTGCCTCGGCCAAGGCCAAGGACGGCGAGGGCGAGCCCCTGTCGGCGCGCCAGGCCGAGCGCCTGACAACCCTGGCCAAGACGCTGTCTGGCATCAAAGACCAGTTCCGCACACAGAGCGAGGACATGGATGAGATACGCACCCTTCTCGACGTCTTCCGCGACGACCTCGACGGCATGACGTACGGCGGCCAGACCCAATTTGTCGGAGGTTACGACATGTATGGCACGGCCACGAAGTCGGAGCCCGAGGACGAGATACGCAAGGTGAGGGACAATATCAGGAGGGTCAAAGGCGTGCTGCTGAGCACGAGGAACTTTCCCGGCTCGACTCGGTGAAGACGCCGCCGCAAGTTGAGAGGAGCTTGTACGTTATGGGATGACACGAATATGAACGCCGGTCCGCGCCCCCGGGCCCATTCTGTACATAGATGCTGTTTATTTGACGAAGCGTCCATGGAGTTCCAATCTATCTTGACATGTTGCTATTCCACGACCCCAACTCGTCTTGTCTCCCAATGTCGCAAGTATAGACCACCTACAGCCATTTCAGACCTTCTTAGGGTCGTCGATGGCGTAGCGCTCAAACACAGGCTCCCAGCTGGAGACCTGAATATGGCGGAACCCGCGGCCTTCCTGTAGCTGCTCACGATACCACTGAGTCGTCGGTTGGAAGGTATACTCGCATTTGCCACGCTCTCCAGCCTTCAACTTGGCTTCGGCCCACGCATACAGCAGGTTCCTTGAGCCGCGTGCTCCAGGATGCTTCCCGGGCACAGACGGCGGGTGGAAAATGGTCTTCTTCGTGGCGACTTCCACTTCGTCGTCGGTCAGGCCCGCGTCTTTCATCTCCATGTCTTCCACCTCCGCCCGCGTCAAAGTTTGAGTAGGCGGTTCCTTCGACATCTCTGAAGCTTGTACCTGTTTCCACCCCTGTTCCCTGAGCTTGGCCGCTGGCAATGGCACCCGCTGCCTGACATTGTCACGAACCTTGGACAACCAATCGAGTGTGATGTCGAGCGGATGCGCGTTCTGGTCCGCTGAATCCCCAGCAGGTATGCCGCCCAGCCAGACCCGCGATAGTGGCAGCACATGTATCCTACTTTGAGCCTTCACCATCTGCACAAGCGCTTGTTGGGCGTCTATAAGATCGGTCACATGCAATGAGGCATCTGCCGAAGCCTTGCTGTGTGCTTTGAGATCCCATAGAAGCAACTCCGTGGATTTCCACGGCTTGATGTGTAGGTCGACTGGGCGAAATATGGCCACCCACGGCCGACGACTGTTGGATTTGCCACTCCCGAGGTGCGTATGGCCGTCCCAAGCCCCCTCAATGGTGTAAAAGAACCCGCAGAATGTATTGACCCTGCCCTTCGGCTCCGGCTTTCCCCTAGGAGCCAGGAAGTCGGTCAATTTCTTGAACCATACTGTGTAAGTGTGGAACTTTGAAGTGTAGTCGCCAAAGTGCCACGCCATGTCGGCGTGCCAATATGACACTGGAGACGTATGAAATGCGATTGGACAGAACGGCATATGACGGGCTGCCTCGTCCACCTGCATGAGGAAATCGCCAATGGCGACACCATCGTCGTTGTAGACCAACTGGAATGATTGAGGCTGATCGCGGCCATCGTCATGAGCCACTTCCTTCTGGCACTGGATCGAGTGCTCGAAACATCCAGGTCGGATGAGTCTGGTCATGCGATCATGACGCTGGTTACTTGAGCCAAGAACTGTAAATCTCCTCACTTGGTCGATGTGCTCCATAGACCACCATCCGAACCAGTTGACCAAGCTTTGTTCGTCGTTGCCATCTATGGCGTCCGGCGCGAGAACCACGCGGCCGTCGGTTGTCTCAACTGACTCTGACATGAGCTCACGGACAAGCCTCCAGCTCTTCATATAGGCTTCCATGTCCCACTTGATGGCGGTTCGATTTTTTGAGCACAGCTCGGCCTTCTCCTTGGCCAGGCCCAAGATGTAGTCTTCAATGCCAGCGCACACCACCAACTTTCCCGGGTAGTAAGATTGACTTGTCTGAGAGAAGTTTTGGAAGCCCCATTTGAAGAAGTTGTACGCTTGCCGGGGCTGCGAAACCAGAAAGCTCGGTGTGACGAGGATGGCCGTCCCTGGACGTAGTATGGGGCAAAGCTCGGTGCTGATGGCGCGAAGAGCCGGATCCATCTGCGGAAATCTTTCCATTGACAAAAGGGGCCGACGGAAAAGCCAGAACAAGAAGTTAGACTTGGAGGCATGGAGCATATCGGCCAAGTGTGGAAAGGACCTAATGGCTGAGAATGCCTTTTCGTGGATCACCACAACTCCAGAGTTCTGGTCGACAAAACTTGACCAATCACCTGGCTTCAAGCTGGATTTGACGTTGCAGAGAGCAGTTGAGGACTTCAACCATTGTGATATGAAGATTGCTTCTTGTTCCGCCGACGGTGGAAACGCCAGGAAGAACGAGGTCTCCTGGGCTTGATGAGACACCGGTGGGAGTAGCTGGCTCGGCGTGGATCTGAAGACGAGATCCACGGTAGGGATGCGCTCCTCAGGCGAAAGTGCCGGCGAACCAGACTGCTTTTCAGTCATGTATGTGAAGGGCGCAAGCATAATCGGGTTCAAGCAGGGCTCCGACTTGAACAGGACAAAGCCTAGCACCGAGTCTCCCTTTGGGCATCCTCGGCTTTGTATCTGAGACCACTCTTCCGATCTGGAGGAGAACAATATGGCGTAAAACTCTCCTAGGTGGCACAGAAGGCCGAGCGCCCCGATTTTGATATCGTTCGTGATGCCATCCAGCTGTTCTGACATCGACACTCCCTCGGCGTAACCGCGACACAGCTCCTCGCCATGCGGGCAGACAGGATCTAAGAAGTCCCGTGACATGCAAGAGTGTGAAAAAATGAGCTCATTCTCGCCTCTGAAATGAGCAGCCCACGGAGCCTGTGTCTCCTCGACGGGCACACCGACAAAGTTCATGCCCAAGGATTGTGCCGCTCCCGAGCCAAAACGGCACTCCTTGCGAACCGGCGGCAAAATTGGGAGCGTGGGAGGGCCAGAATTTGGAGCGGATGTTGCTTCGGTCTGCTCGGGTTCGGGGTCTGCAACTTGTTGATCCACGTCCGGTATGGAGTCATCTTGTTCGACGAACAGGCTCTCATACTCGTCATAGCCTTCAGTGACTTTCGCTCCGGGTTCGATATCGAAATGCACGGTTCGTGCCCTTTTCGGGGGCCTCTGATCATCATTGGAGTCCACCGACTTTCTAATCGACTGTTTCTCGTGAACGCTGGAGCTTGTCGGTAGACTGGATCCCAGACTGGATCGGCGAGTGGTACTCAGTGCTTGCACTTCAGCTTCCCTGTCCACGTTGACGCTGGACTGTGACACATCGGGTGCAGAACTTCGCCGCGTTGATGGAGGAGTGTTGGTCCTCAAAGGAAGCTGGAGGCTCGGAGCACGGGTGCCTTCATTGTCCCTAAGTTGTTTCTGCGCGAGGTTCTGAAGCCGAAGCCTCAATAGCTGGGGCTCCTTCGTTGTATCGGACACAACTTCCGAGAGTCTCTTCCGGGGCTTCCTTACTTTGCCGCCGGCGAATACGTTCACGGTTTCCTCTGGAGATCTGACGCTAGCAGTTGGCCGATTTGCCGCGGTACGAGTCGACACGGAAGCAGACATGTCTTGGGTGGCTAAGGGCCGAGCTGGCAGCAACTTCTTGTGAATACTAGAAGTGTCTTTGCGCAGAGATCCTGATGATTTTGCCGAATCTGATTTCGCCGCCGTTGCAGATGGCTTGAGCAGCTTTGCCGGAGGCTGTGACACCTTCGTCACTGGCCTTTGTTGTGGAGCATCTGCACTTTTGGCCTCGTCGCTGCTGGCACGCTTCTGCTTTGAAGACGAAGCACTGACGGCTCTCACCTCTTTGGATCGGGGGCGAGCGGCGTCCTGAGTAGTCTGTTTCGGTTTAGTTTGCTGCGTTAGACTCTGATGTGACGAACGCAGCGTGTCGAGCACTGTCAGATCATCTGAGCTGCTGCTGCCGTCGTCGTCGCAGGCAGCCGATTGCTCGACCGGAGGTTGGTCGTCGTCCGGGTCCATGACCTCGTCCATGGTTTCTTCGATGATATCGAGGCCATGTTGTCGACTGTCGTAGAAGTCGGTTGGCATCAAACCTTGTGAGATGCGCTTCCTGTTTCGGCGGTCGTGGCGGTCGCGCCTTTGTCGAATGGACTCTAGGAGTGCATCCTTCCAGTCCTGAACACGGAAACCCACAGCCGTTTTCCTCCCCGTAGACTTCTTGATTTCTTCCCATTCTGATAGCGTCTCGTCTTTGAAGTCCTCCTCCGGACCCCAGGTAGCCTCATCCAGTGGCCAGCCCTCCCACTCGACCAGATAGTAGTTGTGGTTCTGACATGAGCGTTCGGCGAGGATGCGCAGCACGGTGAACTCTTCTTCCGAGTCGTATGCTTCCTCGATGGTCGAAGTGATGGAAATATCGTCCTCTAGATCCTGATCCGGGGGAAGCTGGCCCGAGGCTGCCATCGCGGCTACGACTTTGCCCAGACCGCCCGCAGCAGGCCCCTGGAACTCCTGCGTAAAAACACGAAAGCAAACATTCAAGTCCGCGACCCGCAACTCCGAGGTCAAAAAGAAGTCGAGAGGTACAGGCTGACAAACAAGAGGCCTGCAAGCCTGCCAGCTGAGAGCGCCTGGCGCTAAGTGGTGAGCTGCTTGCCATAAGCGCGGTCATGGACTCGTGGGAACTTCTGGAGGCGTGAGGCTAACCTAGATTGATGTGGATTGTGATCAAGCGGAGAAAGCGTCGGTGAATGTAAAGCAGCTGCTCGACGCTCGACCCTGCACCTGGAGTACTTGGTTTTGTTCTGTGCATGGGGTCAGCAGGCAACGGGGCGTCCAGGAAAGACGGCAAGACAGTGCGTAAAGCTGGAAATGCATACCGTATCGCTGATAGGGAAGGGGCGCCTGCCTTCCCCGTTTGCAGGGCGACACGGTATCCGATCCACCGTGCAAGAAGGAACCGAGACAACAGTGACCTGTGTAACCGTGAAGTCTAGTCCGATGTCGACTTGCAAACAAGCACGCAGCAGACGACGCTCGAGGTTGCTTTTCCTCCATGCAAACAGCTGCAATCCATCACTTGCGCCGTGCTGGCCGGACCAACGAGGTCACGAGGAACTCTTTGGCGCCAGCTCCCGCGATGCGCTGTGTCCCATTGGGTGCCAGGCGCCAAAGGGGAAGCGCGATCAACTTTGTGCGAGAACGCGGGGAGTTGATTTCGACCAGCACAGCGGTCCCTTGAATGTGCAGTTTTAGGGTCGCGCGGTTTGCTCTCGATTGCGGCGCCAAAAAAGGCGCAGAATGAAATTGTCTGCCCAAGCTCTGGAACCCGGACGGACTTGGCCAAGCATGGTGGCATTGCGGGCGAGAACGCAGCGTCAACCTTGGCCTGCTTGCCTGCATTTCAGTCTTTTCATCAAATGACCCAACATCTACCTACACACTCACGTTACCTCGTAACTTGGTGCTAGATGCTGGCAGGCAGTACCTTCGTATTAAAGAGAGAGATCTTGGCCGTAGGCAGACCGCCATCGCGACACCCTTAGGCAGCAAGCGAACCAGGCGCCAGTTTACACACGGCATCCACGGCTGTTTACTCTGGTGCCTTTTGGAGGCCCCAGTCTAGCGACCGCGGGGACCTGCTTGCCGCTGTCAGGAGCAGCCTCCATTACCTACCCTAGCGCATGCTCGCCGTTAAGCAGCGCAACAGGGGCCGGGCAGATTGCTCGAGATAGGTGGGTTGGACCCTCGCGGCGCTGGGCGGCTTGGATGTGCCAGACAGGGCAGCGATGGCACCTCCCCCTCAAAAGTATTAAGTTAGGTACCTGAGGTTGTAGTGGATCACGGGCAACAATCGCAGTGGATGCGGACTGCAGTTGGTGCCCTGCCCGCCCACCCACCTTCTGACGGCGCGGCGGCGGGCTGCTAATGAGGCACCTGGGCAACTCACCTGCAGCCTGGCGGCACCCACTTCAGGTTGTTGTGCTGCGCCTGGGCTACACGCACTCCGTCCGCGGCCAAGGGGCAACCCTTTGAAACCACAGCCGCAGAGCAGCCCGTTTCTTCCCCCTCCACATCCACACGTCTCCAATCCGCATCACCACCCCTCGGGAACCACACGTCAGCATCCATCTTCGACAACTCAACACCTGCGTTCGCAGCAGTCGCATAGTCCCGAGACGATTCCGCCACCATGGCCAACGACGAATATGATGTGCGCGCCCCCCCGTCCCGCTGCTGTCTTGACGAGTGCTGACCTCGATGCGCCCCCACTAGTTCCTCTTCAAAGGTGCCTCATCGCCCCCTTTACCGCCCGCGGCCGATCCGTCGGTTGCCGCGCAGCGCATCCGTGCTAACCACTCCTCCCATCAGTTGTGTTGATCGGTGACTCTGGAGTCGGCAAGTCGAACCTTCTCAGCCGATTCACGCGAAACGAGTTCAACCTCGATTCCAAGTCCACCATCGGCGTCGAGTTCGCCACCAGGTCGATCCAGGTCGACTCCAAGACCATCAAGGCACAGATCTGGGACACCGCCGGACAGGAGCGATACCGAGCCATCACCTCCGCCTACTACCGCGGCGCTGTCGGCGCCCTCCTCGTCTACGATATCAGCAAGCACCAGACATACGAGAACGTGACGCGATGGCTAAAGGAGCTTCGCGACAACGCTGATGCCAACATTGTCATTATGCTGGTCGGAAACAAGAGTGACTTGAGGCACCTGCGTGCTGTTCCTACCGAGGAGGCCAAGTCGTTTGCTAGTATGCCTTGGGTGCCTTGCGCATTGCTCCGATGTCTCCGCTGACGTGCCAATTCGCGCAGGCGAGAACCACCTGTCCTTCATCGAGACATCTGCTCTGGACGCGAGCAACGTCGAGCTGGCGTTCCAAAATATCCTGACTGGTACGTTTGCCCCCGAGGCATACGCGAAAAATAGTGGGTGGCTGACGTTGGGCCCCGACCAGAGATCTACCGAATCGTATCCAGCAAGGCGCTCGACAGCGGCGACGGCGCCCAGGCGACCATCAGCGCCGGTACCAACATCTCCCTGAGCAAGCCTGCCGACGACGAGGCGTCCAAGGGCGGCAAGTGCTGTTAAGCGGGGCGACGGCGCAGTGTCGCGGCTTCACAACTTGGGGAAAGATACCAGACGTCTCACATATTCGCCCGAAATGTTCGTCACTTTAGGAGAGACTATGGCGCAGCGTTTAGGAGGTCACGAAGCGTGGCACGCCTTTCTTGATACGGGAATGCGCAGACACCTTCGGCTTTCCTTGGTTGTTTGTTTGTCATGAGGGGTGCAAGGCTTGATGCGTTGGACGATCACTACGAAACCGTCCCCTTTACGTAGCTGAATGAAATCCTTAATGATCACATGTCGGTAGCGCGCGGAAGGTAACTTGACTGACGCTGGACGAGTTGATCAGTACACCTGTCCAGTCTGACCGACGCGCCACGCCCACCCGGCCGAAAAGCCGCCCGTGCCACAGCCGGCCGACTTGTATTTTCCGCATCGCCCCTTGCATAACCCTTGGCCAATGGTACATACTACTTAACGACAGCACGCTGGGTTTCACAGCTGGGTGCTCGGACGCGGGCGTGCCGCCTGAGCACATGTGACGGCGAGCGGGCACGCACACGCGCGGTGGGCTTTGGGCTGGTAGTCTGAGACTCGAGCGTGGCAGAAGGGTTATGTGGGGCTTCTATGACAACCTGGAATTCGCGACCACCGCCCGCCAGTGGACGCTGGCTCCCCACCCTGGCAGGCTTATCGATAAGGGAAAGTCCCTGGAGCCAAATTTTTTGAGAGCGCAACCAGAACACCATCTCAACCAACCATCGCCCAGTCGCAAACATATCGACCCTCGCAACAGGAGACAATCACCGGTCATCCTCGCAAGTATACCCGACATGGCCGCCGTGTACAAGTCTCTGTCCAAGACCGGGACGCAAAAGGCCGAAGCGCCCAGCAATGGCGTCAAGAAGAACAAGCAGCGAGTGCTGATCCTGTCTTCCAGAGGCGTTACATACAGGTATGGGACCGATCCGCAAGCCCTTTCACGCTCGGCGGCTCTAACGTTGTTATCGTTCTGCAGGCATCGCCATCTCTTGAACGATATTGCGTCGATGCTGCCGCACAGCCGAAAGGATGCCAAGTTCGACTCCAAGTCGCGCCTCAATGAACTCAACGAGCTCGCCGAACTCTACAACTGCAACAATGTGCTCTTCTTCGAGGCGAGGAAGGGAAAGGACCTGTACTTGTGGTTGAGCAAGGTCCCCAATGGTCCTACGATCAAGATGCACCTTCAGAACCGTAAGTCTCCTCGAGCACCCCGCGCAACAGCCGGCAGAGCACGCGCTAACACGCTGCCGACAGTGCACACCATGGAGGAGTTGCACTTCACAGGAAACTGCCTCAAGGGATCCCGGCCGTTATTGTCTTTCGATGGAGCCTTCGACAAGCACCCGCACCTGCGCGTCATCAAGGAGCTGTTCCAGCACACGTTTGGCGTGCCGCAAGGCGCACGCAAGTCCAAGCCGTTCATTGACCATGTCATGGGATTCAGCTTCGTTGACGGCAAGATTTGGGTCCGCAACTACCAGATCAGCGAGGAGGAGGCATCTGCGGTGAAGGCGAACGAGGAGGGTGCCAAGGAAGGCAAGGCCTCGTCCAAGTCAAAGCCCAGCAGCGACACCGACATCAGCCTTATCGAGATTGGGCCCCGGTTTGTGCTCACGCCGATCGTGATCCAGGAGGGCTCGTTCGGTGGACCCATCATTTACGAGAACCGCGAGTTCATCTCGCCAAACCAGCTGAGAGCGGACCTGAGGAGATCGAAGGCCTCGAGGCACAATGCGCGAGCAGAGCAGATTGTCGGAAGGATGTCCAAGAAGGGCGATCTGGGCTTGAGGTCAAGCGGTGGCCAGCGGATACCGAGGAACGAGTTGGACAACAAGGCACTCTTTGCTTAGACCAAAGGAGACTTGAGGCGTTGGGGATTACACGGTTGCAGCCTTGTTCTTGCATGCAGGGGGACAATATGGGGTTTGCCAAGACTACTCCGTGTTAATTGCGTACTGTGGCATCTTGGCGGGTAACAATATACCATGTTCCGGGATCTTTTCGAAGAATTTCGTCGCTAAAGAACACCAGTCGTGGTGTCTGTGTTTCCATGGGCGTGCAACGCTGGTGGTTGCCCCCCTGGAACGCTGCGCGACAGTTAGTCAGATGTCGCACACGTCATTGCCTGGGCGAGCGGCAAATGTCCGGCTATCCCCCAGCCGAACGTGCGACCACCCCTGGGTGAGTGCCTCATTTCACGACTCGCCCTCTTGTCATCGCTTCCTACCTCGCCAACCTACCATCATCCAAGCATAACTGCTGGACGAGCGAACGATCCATTTCACACAATGGAACGCGCCAACTCAACGGGGCTATCGTCCCCCATTGTCAATCTTGTTGTTTCAAGCCCCAACGCCGGGGTGGTCGCCCTGTAGGCTACGTCGTTGTGTGCTTCAGGTGACAATAGTCGCTGCGAAGCGAGGACGGGGCACTCGTGTTCCGCCATCAAAACTACTCATTCATTGTCGAGTCTCGGGGAACCTGCTTGACATACAATCCTCCAGTGCCTCTGGAGACGCAACCCTGTATCTAGGGACCCCAACAACTGCGGTGCGCCGCTGATAAGACCGGCAAACGGCACATTCTCAGAACACAGCTTGCCTTCCAAGATTTGTCCGAATCGATCAAAAGAGATGCTACATTTTCCCGGTATATTCTGCCTCCTATTCTGGCTATTGACACTTGACTGATGTGATTATCCAGTCCAGCAACGTGCTGAGTCTTTTGCGGAGTAAAGCATTGTTATAGAAGTCGGCGGCGTCTGTGGAGTCGCGTCCAGTTCGTCTTCATACGCACCAAACAACACACTCAACCAGACATTGCGCGAATTGGCCATCGAATCAACAGCAGAACCAATAAGCTTTTTGTCCAATTTGTCGTCCGGTCCCGTTTAACCTCCAATCCCATCACGCCGATCGCCTATGAACAGCTACCCAGGACTCAAGATGCGGGACACGAAGCGGCAAGGAGCTTGTTTGGCAGGCATGCCAGTCGAGATCTTGCTCGAGATCTATCACCACTTGGACATTGGTGCCATCTTCGAGCTTTCGGTAATCAACAGGTCGTTCTTCAATTTCTACCTTCGGAGAAAGGCCACTATCCTTCTTCCAGTCCTTGAGAGAGATTTCAGTCCATTCGACGAGCTCCTCCAGGTCTATACAGCGTCTGTTGATGATGTCGACGTCAAGGACGGCCTGTATAGGCCACGCCGTGTCATCTTCAAGCGCTTTGTTGGAGATGCCGGGCTCACGCTGACGAAACACGCTTCCTTTCCCAAGAGATCTACTGAGATTACCGGCAATGGCTTCACCCGTGTAGACAAAAGTCACAGGGCAGTTCCGTTGCCAGAGTTGTCTCAGAAAACATCCGTGTTGACAGAGGATGATCTCAGCGGCATTTTGAAGCATTGCCGACTTGTCCTGAGGTGGGAAGAGCTGTTTCCTCAAATGAGATGGTTCAACCAACCCGAGGACTGCCGTTTCTTGCGACCCCATGAGTCGTTCAGATTTCGCAGAGCCTTGTACAGGTGGTGGCTCTATGGCGTCTACTTTCACGGCGAATTTCCTCGCCCACGCGTGGGGCACCCCGAACCGCACGTGGACGACATTCGAACCAGTCAAATGCGCCACCATTCGACTGCCGAGCTTCTCGAGCTGATGGACTTTCTGGAGACGATCAAGGACGTGATTCTGCACTACATCTGCCCCCGTTTAGACCCGAGTCAAAACACTGTGAGTCGGTCTCGTGGCCCCTTGTGCCATTTGCGTGGCTAACGAGTTCTCAGATCGCCGGTGAAGTAGCGCCTGACGGGCTTGCAGACAGGAGCCATTCGCTCGCCACCAGCTGGATGGACCAAAGCCGCTGGGGTCGTGTCATCAAAACATATGCGAAACTCGGCCCCGAGGAACTGCTGTACTACTTCGACAACATCTACAGCTATCCGCGGAAGCGCCTGATCACAGAGATTCGGCTTCAGCACCCCAGCTTTACCTTTGACCAGGAGTCGATCCAGATCGCCGTTCGGTGTGCGCTAGATGAGCGGCACTGGACGGACAAGAATCCAAGTCTGGCGGAGGACGGATGCGGTGGAATCATCGACTTTGACGATGAGCGCGACGAGCAGAGAGGAGTTTTCAAGTATGACGGCAGTCCGGATGGGTCCCTGCCTCAGGGCGCCAGGTCTGTCCAGTCGTATTCGAGGTACTCTCCACGAGGCGATGACGGATCGTTCATGGACGACTATTACCGCTTGTCTGGCTTCGAGGCTCGCTTGGCTGGGGCAACTGCTCTGGATGCCGTGGTCTAGGCGCGCTTTCTTGGTGCCTGATCGATTGCGACCCCATGGGGGTTTGCATTGCGCTGGTCTGCCAACCTGTCTCCTTCTGGGACCGGCTTCTTCGCTTCGTGTACGACGGACAAGCCGTGCAGCATAGGCACAGCTGTCATTGCTGCTGAGCGCTGCGCTTAGGCTTACGTCGGGCAGCTTTATTTCAGGACGGAATTTTTTGACTCGAGTAGACTGAATTGAGTGGACAATTATCATCTTGATGCGTTTGGTGCGAATTGTAAAGCCGGCCAGGCTGTGCCGTCTCGCCCCGGTGCCCTGATTGCTGGTTCCAGGTTGTGGTTCCATGCGATCAGAGGCCGTCGGACTGGTGTTTAGCGCAGTTTGCGGTGTCTAGGCGGCCCTGCGCTGGCAGCTGGTCGGGCGTGTAACTGCCCCAAGTGGCTGGGGCCGCCAGTCATGCATCCCGCCTTTGGGGGGGCCCGCCTATTATGATTTGCGTCTCGACTCTCATCCCCCAAGCTGCACCACCCTCAACCACCGCCCCTCTACCAACACCCGCATCAGCGCAGGGACTCACGGTTGCGCTGTTGCGCGCTGCTTCTCGCCACTCGCAGTCCCCGGACTCCGGTCTTACATCCGCAGCGCCTTGATTAAAGCGGCGAATCGCGCGGCGCATGCGTCGTGCGGAAGCTTGGTTTGCCGACGAACCTTTCTGGATAGCCTCACAAGAAGGTAAGCATAAACGCACAACGCTGCGCCTGGCGCTCTCATTTGCTCCTGCTTCGTGTTGGCTTCTGGCTCCCAAGTCACTACGCTTCTGTTCGGTCACGCCACATCCCGCCTGGCTGTCGCTGCTAGGCGGTGTTCTGACGGGCCAGAGGAGCCTGAGCGACGGCTCTTACATGATGGCCTACTGGGCGGCCTATCTGCCACTCGGCGACAGTTCCACTGAATGCTGGGGTGTTTGTCTCGAGCCTCGAAGCGAGGGCATCTGAGATCATGAAGAGAGTCCTGTCATGACAAGCAGCGCTGACGATGCACAGAGCCCCTTTGGGCCAAGGGAGAGTGTTGCTCACCATCAATCACTCGTCAGCGCAGTGCCGCGCGTCACGACGATAAGGGGGAACTTGGCCGCATAGGTGCGGCCTGCACCCTCCTTCATGGCTGGAACTATGGAGGAGCATGTTGCCATGGATGTAGACGACCATCCGATGGAGGGTGTTGAGGGGACAAACGGCCTCGGGGGCAAGGACGACAATCGTGCAGATGAGGATGACGACAACACTGCGTCGGACTCGGGCGGTTCTGAAGACTACAGCGACGCGGAGCCGGATGAATTTGCGCTGGACCAGCTTCGTCGCCGTGGCCTGCTCCCCACCGGCTGCTGCTACGATGACCGGATGAAGCTGCACATGAACGCCGACTTCAGCCCCAACACACACCATCCGGAGGATCCTCGACGCATCCACGAAATCTTCAAAGCGTTCAAGAAGATGGGCCTTGTGTATACTGGACCCGAGTCGGAGCTACCTCGCATCATCAAGGAATGCCCGACAAAGTTCATGTGGAGAATTCCAGCTCGTGCCGCCACGCGAGAGGAAATCTGCCTAGCCCACTCCGCGGATCATCTGGCATGGGTTGAGAACCTCGATACGGTCAGCACGTCGGAGCTTCGTGAGCTCACCAAGCGATACGATCAGGGCCGGGAATCGCTATACGTTGGCAGTATGTCGCACTCCGCGGCCCTGCTCTCCGCCGGCGGCGCAATCGACACCTGTAAAAACGTCGTCAAGGGCCAGGTCAAGAACGCCTTCGCTGTGATCCGGCCGCCGGGGCATCACGCGGAATGGGACGCGCCGATGGGTTTCTGCTTCTTCAACAACGTTCCTGTGGCTGTCCGCGTTTGCCAGCAGGACTACCCTGACGTCTGTCGAAAGGTCCTTATCCTGGATTGGGACGTGCACCACGGCAATGGCATCCAGAACATCTTCTACCAGGACCCGAACGTTCTCTACATTTCCATCCACGTGTACCAGAATGGCCACTTTTATCCTGGGAAGCCACCGAACCCCATGACCCCTGACGGCGGCATAGAAAACTGCGGTACGGGGCCCGGCCTGGGGAAGAATATCAACATTGGCTGGCATGATCAGGGTATGGGTGATGGTGAATACATGGCGGCTTTCCAAAAGATCGTCATGCCCATTGCTCAAGAGTTTAACCCCGACCTCGTGGTCATCTCTGCCGGGTTTGACGCTGCGGATGGTGATGAGCTTGGAGGCTGCTTCGTCACGCCGGCCTGCTACGCCCATATGACGCATATGCTCATGTCTCTTGCGGATGGAAAGGTGGCAGTCTGTCTCGAAGGTGGCTACAACCTTGCGGCGATTTCCAACTCGTCGGTGGCTGTCGCAAGAACTTTGATGGGGGAGCCGCCGCCAAAGATGGTCATCCCGAGCATCAACAAGGAAGCTGCCAGAATCCTTGCCAAGGTGCAGGCGCACCAGGCACCATACTGGCAGTGCATGCGCCCTGGCGTCGTCAACGTACCAGAGGTACAATCCCTCAACGCCAGCAGGCTGCACGACGTCATCAGGAACGCCCAACGACAGGTGCTTCTGGAGAAGCACAACATGATACCTCTGTATGTTCAGCGGGAGCAGCTGTACAGATCATTCGAAAACCAGGTACTCGTTACGCCAGACCTTCAAGATGCGAAGAGGATATTGGTTATTATCCACGACCCGTGAGTCATTCAAACCTAGTGGCTGTCGAGCGGATGCTAACATGGCGGAAGTCCTCAGCTTCTCGCTCAACCGGACGCGGTGGACTCGTCTCTGGAGCCCCATAACGCTTGGGTGGTGAGTCTTTCATTGCGCATGCCAGGACACTGGAGGGCCATGGCTAATCGTCACAGGTGGACGGCGTCACACAGTACATTGACTGGGCAGTCAGCAAAAGCTTTGGTGTCATGGACATCAATGTGCCAGCATACGTCACACATGAAGAGGTTCGCAAATTCGGCAGCCCCTGCGCGCCCAGTAACATGGTCTAACAGCAGTTGTTCAGGACGCCGAATCATACGAAGCTCGATTCACGGAGAAAGTCCTTCAGGATCAGATACAGCAATTGATGTGCTATCTGTGGGATAACTTTATTGGGCTTTACGATGCAGACGAGATATTCCTGCTCGGAGTCGGCAATGCGTACCTTGGAGTAAAGGTGCTTCTGATAAATCGAGGTTTGTTCTGCGGAGACAGCTACCTAATTTGTGAGGCTAACCCATGAGTAGATTGCAAAAGTAGAATCTCAGGCATCGTCAATTTCGCTACAGGCAACCTCCGCCCCGTCAAGTCCGACATCGACGCCGACCTGTCGTCGTGGTACAAGGAGAACTCGAGGGTGTACGTGGCAGGGGATCACGCCTGCTGGACAGATCACGATCTGACGAAGAAGGTGCACAAGAGACGTTTTGGTACCGTCGTGCGCAGTCGGATGGTCGGGTTGAATAAGATGATGCAAGAACATGCCGAAGAGGCGCAGGACTGGATCATGTCAAGGGTGACCCCCTTCAGCGGCGGTGACACGACCGAAGACGAAGACAGGCCGCCGTCATGAGAGCCCTGCACTGCGGTTTCTTATTTGTGCGGTAGAATTCGCGTCCGTCGTCGCCAGACAGATGGCGACAGGCGTCATTAGGAGCTCAGGAGTCAGGGCGGCAGAGAGTCGGGTGTTGACTGGAGAATATCCTTTAATTACAGCTCAAGTTGCCTGAAAAAAAAATGAACGCAGAATCAGCATCACTTCCACTGCTGCCGTGTCCGAGATGTGCCTTTAGCTGTACTCTTGAGGTGAAAGCAGCGAGTAGATGCTTTCTCGCAGCCAGCCAGGGTGTACCGTGCCAGATGACACCGTGCCAGATCCTTTCGCACAGTGTGGCCTGCCTTATCGCTTATCAGTAACCTCAATGCAAATTTCCCGGGGCAAACAGCACTCGACCCATCACTGCCTTCTAGCCTCCGCCAACTGCAGCCCTCGCTCGCCTTTGGCAACCCTGCCTGCAGCAGCGATTCACGTTCGAGTAACGCCCACAATCACGGGCCTACGCGCTGCAGAGAGTCGCCAGCATGGACCGCGATCGCGACGGTCGAGGTCGACGGTTAGCCCTCCTGCCGGCGTCGCGGCTACCTCAGGCGCCCCCGCCCGAGGCCAGCGAACTAACAGGTCCCAGATTCGACGATGGCGAGATCATTAGGTATGGTGCCGGCGAGTCCTGGAGACCAACCCCACGAGGTGGCGACCGATCCCCCAGGCGAACATCACCGAGGCGAACCAGAAGCCCGATCAGAGACCGACCTCGAAGCCCGAGACCCAGGAGCCCTCGCCCTCGCAGCCCTGGCATGGCGGGCTCCGATAGCTACGTGCCAGGACGTTACGTACCTCGTCGGCGTTCCCGTAGTGGAGGTGATCGCTACCGCCGCGAACGCTCCAGAGACCGCGAGTCGCCCCGGAGACGCGAGCGCAGTCGCTCGCCGATGAGAAGGTCGCCGCCTCCGCGACGTAGTCCGTCCCGTCGCGGCTCGCCCATTCGTGATCGACCGTACGAACGCCCTAGATCTCCCCGCCGTGATTGGAACAACGACAGAAATCAGTCTCGCGACCGCAATCGCGATTGGGACCGGGACCGTAACCGCGATAGAGACCGAAACTTCGATAGGCGTGACGACAGGCGAGACGACAGGAGACGATCACGGTCCCCCTTCGGCCGAGACCGCCGCGACAGGAGCCCTCCCGGAAAGAGCACACCAATCGCCGCGCGAGGTGGCTCGTACAGACCGAGATCTCGCAGTCCCCCGAACCGACGCGGAGATAGATATGATGGATACAGACGATCTTCGCCCCCGCGAGACTCTGGTGTCTCGTCGGCTCTGGTTTCACGGCCTACTTCGGAACGAGCATCACCACGTCCTTCATCGACCCGAGTTCGTTCTCCCCTGGCGTCACGTGAAGAGACCCCCCAGCCCGCGGCAACGTCGGGGTCGGCATCCGTTCGAGACGCCCCTGGATCAGTTCCCCACGATTCTAACACTCCCTCGATCAAGTCCCCACCGCGCGGACCGGCAGCACTTAGAGCGCCGCCGACCGGCCCAGCCTCTAACCGCAGTGGCAACGCATCGCTGGCATCGCCTGGCCCGACGGCCGCCAAACACCCACAGACGCCAGGTACTATACCACATCGATCAGACACAACGAGTCCTTCCACATCTAACCCACCCGCGGGCCCGCGAGGATATGTTGCCTCGGGCCGAGGAGGGTACCCATCACGCGGCGGACGAGGAGGATGGAGCCAGCCACCCTCCAGACAAGGGTCGAGCCTCTCCCAGCCGCCTACGCCTGGTGGACCAGCAGCGATACCTACTGGGCCTCGCGGCGGCCCGGGGGGTGCGGCCTACGCGTCAGGGCCTGGTCAAGTACGTCCCTCTAATCCACATTCTCGTCCCTTTGCTCACCGTGGTCGTCGGCAGCGTCCATCCCTTGCTCAGAGCCTCCTCTCAACCATGCCACCGATCGTGCCGGGCGGCAAGCTGGAGCCGTCCATGACACCGCTCGCCCTAGGCGTTACGCGAGAACTCGAGCCCCACTACCGCAAGTTGCGCGACGAGGAGGAGAAGCTCCGCGAGGAGCTCAAGGCGAAGCAGGAGAAGGTTCGCAAGAGCCTGTACCTCTGGGACCGGTTGGAGCGGGAGTCGCGCGCGTGGGAGCTGCGCAGCGACTTGAGCGAGAAGAGCATGAAGAACTTGGCGGGCGAGGGCATGGGCGGCGCTGCGTTTTAGTGAGGCGCGGCGACACGCCACCATATGGACACGCGCCCGTGTCGTCAGTTATGCCGTACACTCGGCAGCGGGTTTGAAATCGGAGTTTGGGCATGGAACAGTTCGCAAGGAGATATGCGTTGAGCATGAGTTTGCCTGTATGGATTTGACAAGCGGGCGTCACCGGACTGGAATGGGCCTTTATACGAGGGCATGGCATAGCATTGCAAGAATCAAGGCGACAACTGCCGTTTAGTAATACCCCAAGTACGAAGCGCAATGACTGCCGTGTGATTTGGTGACAATGATTCTGCCTCTTCTTCCCCCTCCACGGCATTTCAAACTATTCAAACTAGTATCTACGTACGATCGGTCAGTCGCTCGGTCATGCAGGTGAACGCAATCGCAACCGCGCACTGTAATTCCTTGATCGTTTTATCTGAGCAAAAGACTTTCTACACTGATGCCAATTTGTCGCCTGATCCTTGCCCACATGGAGTGATCCAGCTTCTAGGGGTATCGTCCATTTGCGCCGACCGTTTCCGAACCCATTACCCATTACCCGTCGCCGATTGCCCATTGTCAAGCCGAATTCATCATCGAGCCTCGCAGGGCGAAAACCACAACACCCTTGCAGGGTAAGTCCAAGTCTCCTCGGGAGAGACCGCAAAATCATTCCAATGACCGGCGCAAAGCCATAACAGAGAAGCCTCTGTCCGATTAAAAGGCGATGGCGTCGTCCTCGTCGTCGTCGTCGCCGTCCCACTCCTCCGACTCCTGCTCGTCTTCGTCGAGGAAGTCGTCCATGCCGTACTGCTGCTCTCCGACTTTCTGGTTGTCGACCAGGATGTTGACTGTGTTGCACATGCCCTGCACGGTCAACTTGGGCTGGTCGTCATCCGGAGCTTCGGGCGCATCATCTGACTCGGATGCAGACGACTCCACCTCGTCTTCGTCTGTATCGGGTTCTCGATACAAGGGCCGGCCCCCATTGTGTTGTCGGAGAGACTTGCTCGACCTGGCTCCGGCCGAGTCCGAATCGCGGTCGTGAGCGGCAATTCTGCCACTGCGCCGCGAAGGGGGTGCAGACACCCCCAGTGGCTTCTTGGCATGCCTGGGGCTGCTCTTGGTGGGCCACGGTTCCTCTGTAGGCGTCGAGCGCAAGGTCGTGAAATTACGGGGGGGCGTGAAGGGTCGGAGGAAGACCATATCCATCTTGTCGCGCCACTCCTGCCGCATCGTCGCGCGGGCTTGCCAGGGTATGTTGAGCATCGCCTTAATTCCCAGGTGCCGTAGATCGGGCAGATTGCCGGCGCTGTTTATGAGTGACTGAAAGAACACTTCAGCTGCCTCCACAGACCAGTCTCGAATGTGTTCAATGTTGACGACACGAAGAGTCGACGGCCACGTGGGAATCTGATCAGGCAGCAGGGCTTGCTCGTACATGGGATCGGCGTCATTGACACTATCATGATGACGGTAGTAGGAAAGATTCATGTGCAGCTCGCGGAGGCCGGGACACGTTTCGGCCAAATCAGTCAAGAAGGCTAGATCCAAGGACTGATTATGCAGGAGGCTCAGGGTGCGCAGGCTCCCGCCGTGGGTACGCAGAAACCTGGTGAGGTCCTCGGACTTGATTTCCCAACAGTTTATGAGCTCCAGGTGGCCCAGGTTCTGAGGCAATAGTGGAAGCAAGCGATCGTTCATCACCGTTGAGGATTCAAAAACCAGGTGGTTGAGGTTGCCAAGCTGCGAAATGGCCTTGGCAAGAACGTCAATCACTACTCCATCTTCGTGGAGCGCACGCAGCTCTCCCTCTTCGTCGGCTGGCGCTTGGTGAAGATTGCTCAACGAGGGAACCTGAAAGTTCGTGAGGGCCAGCTTGGTGAGCTTGGAGAAAGGCGCCGTCTGGTGAATGCCGATGATGCTCTCTAGGGTAGGCACATGGCCACCAATAAGGCGGCCGCTCCACTCCCAGCTCTTCAAGACGGTTGGGAACGGCTTGTCAATGGAGCCGTCTGGAAGGGGAATAGACGGTTCGAGAGCTTTGAATATGTCTGAAGCGTAGCTCCATCGTACGTATTTATCCAGCTGCCTGTAGGGTGGCTGGTCGAGGGGCGTGTAGACGATCAGCTCCTTCAAGCGTGGCAGCGACTGGATCAGATACTTCAACGCGTGAAGTGGCACCATGTGGATGTCGATGAGCAGGGTCTCAATTTTGGCCCTGTAATTGTATAAGGTCTGGGTGGCCGGTCGAGACAGCAGCGAGGCCAGGCGCTTTGCCTTCAGAGAGTTTCTGATGATTGGGCGGCGATAGAGAGCCGTGAGCGCCGGTTCCGCGAAGGCACGACACGTCGTGGCAGCGTGTACGAGCCAGCCCGTCGCCATGTCGTCTGACGATGATGCGGTCATCCTAGCCGCGTAGTGAAACACGTCCGACCAACACTCAAACGAAATCCGCGGGTCTCTCCAGTCAGGGATGAAGGCCGTGGGCGTCTCGTCTTCTGGTGCTGCCAGCTTGCGTTTCTTGACAGGGGTCGATGGGGCACTTCTTCGTTTCCTGACTCGATCCCTCTGGCGCTTCGGTGTACCGGCCGCCGGCTGCGAGTAAGAGTTGCTGCTCATGGTGCTGTGACCGTTCTCAGCTACACCTCTGCGGGACGAACGAGCTCGCCCTGAGGCGTTGCTGCCCTGGCGTGGGGAAGTCTCGAGATCTGCGACATCGGACTCGTCGGACTCGGATACGGCGGATGATAGAGAGTCGGCATCTCCCTCCGAGTCAGTCGATTCGCGGTAGAGAGGCCGCTTCGAGGATCGTGGCGCGGCTCGAGAGGACCGGCCAGGGTTGCGTCTGCCCGAGGCTGCCCTCGCAGCAGACGATGGCCTGCCCGCGTTGCGAGTAACCGCCATGGCTTGTGCTTGCAGTCTGCGATGCAACTTTCGGCACGCTGTTTTGGCAAGAAATGCCCTGGATCGAGGCGTGTCGAGGATGGGCAGTGCCAGGTGTTGGCGAGGCTGCGCGGCTGGGTCACATAGGATCCGCCTGCCTCTTGGCGCTAGGTACGTAGACGCAGGCCGTCTGGCCGAGACGTGGGTGACGTATTTCGGATATCGGTTAGCCGCGCAGGCAGGGCGATGAAGGTGCTCTGCAGCGGGCGGCGAGAGATGAAGGTCGAGCGCGAGGTTCGCAGCTTTATATGTGGGTGGGGTGTGTGTAGGTCGGCGCTGTTAGGTAGGCGTCATAGTGCTTGGACGTTGTGGTAGCCTTGCAGTCGGTAGCGCCAGCTGGGGCAGGCAGCGACGGCTGGCGGCGCGGTGCAGTGCAGGCCCGTGCAGGGGTCGTGAATGTTAGTGTTGGTGCGAGGTAACCCCGGCGGATGCACGCGTGGGGACATGCATGGGGACGGCATGCACTTAACGGGGCGTGTGCATCGACCGGGGTGATCTGGCGCCGGGCCGGGCCCCACCGGGACGATGCTGCCGCTGGACGACTGCAAGAGAGCAGATGTATGATAACATCCATGAGAGCAATACCGTCTTGAAAGAGCAACCAACCGGAGTCTTTTTAATGAGTGTCTATGAAAATATGTGATGAACATTGAGTCTTGGATCGACGCGGGTGAGCTTCTGCCGGCAAGGAGCCATGCCTAATTTGCGCGTCGCGCGCCAGGCGACGTATTGGAAACATGAGCTGTAAGAGAAGCCCTTCAAAGTTCTGGGGAGAGTGATCAAAGTTGGCGGAAAGGCATCCAGGAAACAATGGCCACGGGGTCCTGCTGGTGAAAAGGCGCCGAACTTTTTGCGGCAGTGCCGTCCCTCGCGTGAGCTGGCGTGATGCGCCTGAGCAACAACTGAGGTCTGTCTATTCCAGAGCAGACGAACTCCGATGCCATGCCAGGCCGGTACTAATGCTGGGGGCCCGAGACCAAGCGCAGTCGGAATAAAGAGTGAGCAGGGGGGCGGGGAGTAAGCTCAAAGGCTGCTTTGCCCGGTGGGCTGTAACGGATTGGATGTAATGACGGGATTGATGGAAAGGGAATGAGCCTGACGAGCTGCCATGATGAGCGGTCGAGACCCTCTCGCCCGGGCTCTCTGTCGAGGTGCCCGCCTACCTAGGTAGGTTGGTACCTCCTCTGGTGCCGTGCTAGGGGACGGGCTCCCCTGCCTCCAGGCTGCCTACTTAGTACCTTACCCAACCTATCCATGGATACTTTGGTACCGTCGCTGGTGCTGTAGCGGTGGCTGCCCGGCCTGCCCTGCGCCTGTAGGCGGGCTCTGACCCGCCCGTAAATAATCCATCACGGGCGCCCGCCCCAGCTGTTCCTCCCCCCCGCGCTAGGCAACTTCGGGGGTCGCGATGGCCCCGAAAACGAGGCTCCCCTGTTGTCCTCACCTCACACCTCACACCTCATCACGCGTCGCCCTCTCACGTCGACACTGTGCCCGTGCCCCTTCACCCGTTGCGCTGCACGCACGCACGCACGCAAAGCCTCGACGCCCGGTCTGCCATTGATCGCGGCTGCCTGCATAGCATCTCGCGGCACCACTGGATACCCGCTCACTCACCGTGCCTTGTCTGGGACCCGCCCGTCAACCGCGTTCGCGCAGATACTCGGCTGCACCGCTCGTCCGTTTGCCCTCGCCGCCTCGCTGTCGTCGCCGGGCCCGCGTCGACAATGAGACACGCCCTTCCATCCTCTTGAGCAGGCAGGCACCGGCACACAGTTCCGTATCCGCCGCGGCAGATAGCGCGCCCCCCGTCTGCTGCGCGCTACCGCTACAAACAAGGTTTCTCCATACGCCGTCCCATGCCGCCCTTCAATCCGCCATGACGGTTCACAGTCCCTATCAGCGGACGGCCCCTTTCCTACAACGTAACTGGGTCAAGGTCCACAAGCCCCTTCACGAATCCTCCGTCATGGGCAACATCATGTCGTCGCCGACGCACAAGGGGCCTCAACTTGCGTCCGCAGACGGACGCCGCCCAGCCAAGCGTCCCCGTGTCTCATCGCCCGACTCATTCGACGCTGGAAATCTCATCGCAGCACCCCGCACAACGGACTCTGGCTCGGTCCTGCGCGTCGAGGTTCTCAAGATCCTGCACAAGGACTCGAAAAAGGTCCGCTCTGCCCAGGGGGCTGTGATACCCCGTGACGTCCTCACCACCAAGGCCGCCTGCAGGATCACCATCCGCGACTTGAGCTCTGCCGTCCCGCGAGTCCTCCACTGCCAAAGCCAGCTTTGCGATCTCACCACGTACAAGAACCCCGTGGGTCCCCATCGCGTCGCCCGGGTCGACCTGCCCCGTCCTTTCTACGTCCCTAAGGAAAGCATTCTTATCAGCAGGCCCGACGACGGGAGGTACGACCTCTCCGACAAGTACGAACTCCTAGTCGAACTCGAGTCCGCCAACGGTGGCGTCCGCTGGCCTCCTCTAAATCCGCAGCTTGACTTCGGCATTCTCACCGACTCGTTCGACTCGAGCCAGTCCTGCATTTTGTCGAGCCACTTTGATAGCATCGTTGGCCGACTCAGGCAGTCTCTGAACTTGTCGCCTGGGCATCCTTCCGACCGGCTTGCCGTGTCCACTAACTACATCATGGACATCGACCTTCGATGGGGAAGCGGCCTGAGATCTCTGAAGCAGGTCGAAAAGGACTCAAAACCATGTATCACGGCCATTGACCCTGACGCAGACCCGTACGGTGACATCAACTTCGAGCAGCCCGCAGATGACGTCGTCAATGGGATCAATGGGGTCAATGGGATCAATGGGATCAATGGCCATTCAAACGGAGACGCATCCCACGACAATGACGACGACGTCGGCGGCGACCAGACCCCTTCGCGGTCGCTGAGAACCCGCGAAAAGTCCAAGAACTACAACTTGAAACTTCTTAGCGACCAGGCCCAAGGCAGGGAACGCAGAAGGCGGGCGCGCAGTGCTAGCCACACGGCCCATGAAGGACGTGTTCAGTATCTGCTGCCATCAGATCAGCCGGTCTGCCTGGACTTCTACCGATGCGTTAAATGTGGCGCTTATCACGAGTCGACGTCGCAGCTGCAGCTCCACTTGAAATTGGTCCATCCTGCATACGAGTTCGTCCTCGAAACAACGAGTCAGGGGCCGCAGTTTCGTGTGTCTGCTCTGCGAGCGATGCCAGCGACACCAAGCAGGGCGGCTGCCCGCCAGCCCAGGGTATTCAACATCCCGTCCTTCTCCATGGGCGACCTGCCCTCGGTCTCGGCGCAGGCCGCTCAAAATGAAGAGTTGTTTAGGTCCCCCTCAGTCAAAGCACAAGCGAACAGGCTTGCATCTGATTCGCCGGCTCCGAAACTTTCAAAGCTTCCCGGACGCCGGGTTGCCAAGTCAAAGAACAAGAAAGTCCTGGTCCCCAACATTCCACAGCCCCTATTTCACCCCATTAGCAAGGCAAAGCTGCAGCCCGGACAGGAGGTGCCCGAGACGGTGCCGGATGATACATGGCTCATACAAAAGCACCAGGAGAGCATAGGTGAGTTCACCGACGTGGATGCGACGGAGAAGGAGTATATCTGGGAGTGGGACGGGTTCATTTTGCGCAAGAGCATCACCTCAGCCGCGTATTTTCCACGTGCTTTTCTCGATTTCGTCGAAGAGAAGGCAGCGTGGCTCGTGGCCGAGAACCACCGTATGATCGAGTTCGGGAAGCATTGCAGTGTGCTGCTTGCCCGCGACTTGCTGGGCGACGACACCATGAAACTGGCATTTGAACACATCAATGCTGCCAGATCGGAGAGTGCGACAGGTTTAAATGGGCCGTCGAATTCGTCAGACAGCTCGCACGGAGGAGATGGCGCCTCGCGACAGTCTCCGCGGTCGACGCAAATTCGCAAAAGTAGCAGCGGCTGCAACGTCTGCCAATTGCCGGTGCTGGGACCGACGCTGTTACTATGTTCTAACAAGGTAGGATCCCTTCGTCTTTCTCCTGCGAACTTTGCTGACCCTTTATCCCGGTATAGTCCTGTGCGCGGCGATTATATCACTCGACCTGCATCAAGGAAACCGCGAAAGTCCCCGTCACGCAACGTGACTGGCGCTGCAACTCATGTTGCGAGGCGCAAATTCCGAGCTAGGAGCCCGATCTTTTGCGGACGCGGCGAACGTCCCGGCGGGCGGAGCCTGCGCTGAGGGAGAAACGCATGACACGTAAACGCACGGCGGCCGCCAAAACGCGACTTAGGAACGAAGCATGAGACACATTGGGGCTTTGCAGAGGGGGCTGGGTTTTGCTTTGGTAGGGGATGGAACTCTTTTGGGCATTGGCGGTGAATGGCGTCTGGTGGGCCGGGCGGATGTGTTGGAAGAGCGAGCAGGTCATCACTTCATATGGTTTTAAGCAGCTCGGAGGCCAGGCAAGCATCGACGTCCAAGGCAGGGCGCAATTCATTGTTCAAGGCCGTAGCTGGCGGCGCGCCCGGTATCGTGCTTCGGTTGTAATACAGGAGACTCACTGTGGTGTGCGTAGCATGGGGGTTTGCACAGCACGGCTCGATCAGAAGGCATCTTCACTCTTCGGGGGCCTGGGTGAATCTGCCAGTTATAGTTCTTCGGTTCAGTGTCTTGACCGCAGTCAATCCCCTATCCATGAGCCTCGCGCATTCCCATCCTATGCATAACATTTACTCTACACTCATAAAGGCCCCAAACCCCAGACGCCAAATGCGAAAACAAATCCGGAAGTCCGGAGAGAAGCGCGACATCATACCGGCCGAAGCACCAACGCCCAACCTTTCCTTTCGTTGGATATTTGCTTTTCCGCGTGCCCGGCGCTGCACATTCCGCTCGGCAAGCGCCGCTCTCAGTGGCGACCGCGCGCCTCCCTGCGGCGGTCGCTGCGCTCCCTCTCCGTCTTCTGCCGCTTGCGGCTCTCCTCGGCAATCATGTCCGCCAGGTCCTCGTCGTGCTGCCAGTTGGCGCCCACGCCCTGCTGCCTGCTGCCCTCCTCGAACTTTTGCCGGAGGGCGTTCTTGTCGAGCCCGTCGTGCTGGCCGAGCGAGTCGACGTCGAGGGCCACGTCCACATCGCCGGGTTTCTTGCGCTTTCGCGAGTCGTCCTCGGCGCCGAGGACGGGCATATTGGCGTGCTGGGCGGAGCTCAGGTCGTACTGGTGGCCGACGCCGAAGAGGCCCCCGGCGCCTTGGGTCTTTTGTTCCTTCAGGACCGTGTATGCGGCGCGCCCGGATGGCGTCTCGGTTCCATACCCGGCGCGCTCCTTCCGCAGATCAAAGTCTCCGGCCATGGATGTCTCGGTGCCTTGGTTAGGCAGAACGGTGCTAGCGTATCCGCCAGGTGTCTCCAGGCCGCCAATGTCTTCCTCTCCACCCACATCCTCCTCCTGCTCATCCTCGCCCTCCTCCTCCTCCTCGTCTGACTCTTCTTCCTCTTCAGACTCTTCCTCGCGTGGCTGCAGCTCGCCCCACAGCGTCCGCTCGACGGGCTCGAGGATGGGCTGGTCGGGTTGTCCCTGCTGGACAGGCGCAGGCTGTTGGGTATTCAGGCCAAGAACGTCACCACCGAAAAGCGGGCGATTCAGCTCGTCGACAGGGGGCTTGCCCCATCCACCCGGGTGGTAGCCCCAGGTTCCTCCGGGAGGGGGCGGCATGTTCAGGCCAGGAATCTTCAAGGTGGGGTATGAGGGAGGGGGTCCGACGCGCTGCTGGTTGATGAGCCAAGGCGGAGGAGCGCCGGGCGGCATCCCCAGGGCCTCTTTGGTCGCCTCGCCGAGGTCACCGGGCCGAAAGTGCTGATAGTCTACTTCGGCTTCCTTGCCCTCGTAATAAACCTCTCCGTAGCGCGTCAGCTCCGGCTTGGTCTGGAAGCGGAAGAACGCATCGTAAAGCTTCTGGTAATCAATGTCCAGCCTTCCCATCTTGGGCTGAACGCGGGCGCGCTGCTTTTGCTTGAGGCTCTGCTCTGCCTCCTTCTCGAGTACGGCGTCTCGCATCTCCGAGATGCCGGTTTCGGCGATGAAAGCGGGCAGTCTGAAAGCCGACTTCTCGATACCGCGCTTGGAGGAGAGGTATTCTCGCTTCAACGACCAATGTGTCGGCACGGGCACGATGTTTCGCTGGGCTTTGATCTGCACGAGCAGCCGGGGGTCGAGAGACGACACATCGTGCCACTCAACTACCTCGGGGTGGCTGACCATGCTCTTGAGTTCGGCGACGGAGAGTGTTCGGAGCTGCTTGCGCTTCTTTTTGGAGAGTCTTGTCCTGCCCGTGTTTTCCTCGTCTTCGTCGGGGATATCGTCGTCGTCGTCGAAAAAGACATCGCCTTGGTTGCCGGCATTGGCTTCCTTGGCAATGCTGTCACCATCGACGGAAGCACCGAACTTGGAAAAGATGTCTCTGTAGGCAGCCAGGGCTTCGTCGTCACCCAAGGCGTCCTCGAGGTCCGGCTTCTCTACGGTGATTGCGACCTCGGCCGCATCCGCACCCGCTTGGCCATCGGCGTCGTCGGGCTTGTCAGACTTGACTGCATGTTCGTCCGAGGCGGGGCGGGCTTCATTCTGCGGCTGGTCCGACTCCTGGGGGATGTCAGGATGATTGCTTGGGGAGAAAAATAGGCGAATGGCGCCTTGAAGGAGTAGGTTTATCGCAAGAGGGCGCTTTACCTGTGCCTTTGACTTCTTCTGCTCCTTCTTCTTGGCCCTCCGCATCTGGTTCTTGGTCATTTTTGGGGCCGCCATGGCGAGTTTGCGTTTGGCGACTGGGCGCCGCTACCGTGCCTAGAAACGGCGGCCGGGTTCGAGGCTTGGGTGACGAGCTGGAAAACGGCGTAGAGGCCAACGAGAGCGACGATGTATTGCTTCGGGTCTCTTCCCATCACGCGACGGGAGGAGGTTGCGATGATGAGGGAGGGCAGAATGCCGAGGCAACGGACGCCGTGGGGTATTTTGGCTGGCCGTGAGGGCGGCAGAGCAGCTGGTGGTGCAGCTGGGTGCTGGTGATGGAGGAGTTGAAGGTGAGAGGTGAGGTTCAACTTGCAGCCTCGTCGCGTGTCTGGGCCGGCCTTGCTGGGCGAAAATAAAAAGTGGAGGAGGCGCCTCAGGCGTGGCGGTGGCCTGCGCCGCACGAAATGCGACGGGCAAGCTGACCGGGAGGTGCCCATGTGGCTCAGTTGCAGGCCCGGGGGCCATCTGGCGGCCGTCGGCGAAATGCCGGCTAAGGTACCTAGCAGCACCAGGTGGCGGGCCCCGATGCTGTGCCAGCCCGACTGACGCTGTTCCACTGGGGTTGCGCAGGCGCACACTGGAGCGCAGCGAGAGCTGGTACTGTAATTCAGCAGCTTATCATTGGAGATTGCGAGGTACCCGCCATCCAAAGCCGCCAACCCGCGAGCAGCCTCAGGTGCCCGCCGGCAGCCCACATCAGGCCGTGGACGTGCTAGCCAGCCCTGGAGAGCCCCTGCTCCCGCTGTGGTTTGCGCAGGTGCCTAGGTACCCCCCCACCAGTCAACCAAGGCACATGGGCGCAGGGGAGCGGGTACTGGCACCTGTTGGCGGGCCGCAGACGGCACCTGGGCGCAGCCAAGTTGGCCACAAGAGCCAGGGCACCTGCACCTACCTACCCCTGCGCTGTCATCATCAATGCAAGAGCCCAGCACACCTCACCAAATCCACTGGGGCCAGACGGCACTTTAGCACCCATCTGACCCACCGGCTGCTTGCGCAACCACACGTTCTCTTTTACTCGACACAAACGCCTGGCGGAGACGGTCATCCTCCTTCATGTCTCTCTCCCGCATGTTTGGTTCCACGATCCTCCCCATGGACTCGCCATCGCATCCACGCCTTGTCGCCGCACCCGCCAACTCCTATCCGTCCTCGAACCGTCTGCCGCTCTCCACGACCGCGTCGCCGCGCTCATAATTCGCAACAAGCCGTCGCCGCAACGATTGACTATCCCCCCTCCGCCGCATCCCGCCCAGCCCACCGGCATCCACCCTGTCACTCGTTTACTTTATTTTTTGTTCTTTTTGGATGAACAAGGCGCCCGCGCTCGAATAATCCCACCCATGCCAAGCTTCGATACCGCCGTCTCATCCCCGTCCTGACGTGCATTGACGCATCCCTCGACCCACGCACACTCCGCGTCGGTTCACCTTCCTGCGCTCGGCGCCGACGACGTCAGCCATGGAGAAGTTCCCCGATCACGTCGACGCGCCATACATGGCCAATGGCGTCGCACGCAGTCCGAGCCGCGAAAAGTCATCGCCCGCCGCATATCCTCAGCCCAACGGCGGCGCCACACTCTCGGATCGCTGGCAGCCCTCCGCCAGGAGAGAGAATGGCCACACCCACGCCTGGCCGTCGAGCTCCGGCCGCGGACACGGCCGCCAGAAGAGCCTGAGCGATGCCTTTCGCACCATACGCGCCAGAAATGGCAGCATGAGCCAGAATGCCCACGAGATTGCCGACGCCCTGCGGGCACCCGTCTCCCCAAAGCTCGTCGTATGTTCAGCCTCGCTCTCCTGCCCTCCTCGTCCATCAATCGTGCCCTGGCTGACACCTCCTTTCCCCCAGATACTTTGCCTGTCGTGGTACGCGTCGTCGGCCTTGACCAACACCTCCTCGAAATCGATCCTCATCGCCTTCGACAAGCCAGCGACCCTGACCATAGTTCAGTTCGCTTTCGTCTCCTCCTCCTGCATGTTCCTGGCCTGGCTAGCCACGATATTCCCCGATCTGCGCAACAAGATCGCCGTCCTGAGGCATCCCATTCGCAAGCCGAGTAAGGATGTCATCCTCAATACGCTTCCACTGGCCGCCTTCCAGATTGGTGGCCATTTACTCAGCTCGACCGCCACGGCCAAGATACCCGTGTCTCTGGTACATACCATCAAGGGCCTATCCCCCTTGTTCACCGTCCTGGCATACAGGATATTCTACGACATACGATACCCCCAGGCGACCTACCTCTCTCTTATCCCCCTGACGGTCGGCGTCATGCTCGCCTGTTCGGGAAAGCACAGCTACGAGGGCCAACTGACGGGCGTCCTGCAGGCGCTGCTGGCAACGCTCATCTTCGTCACGCAAAACATCGTCTCCAAAAAGATCTTCAACGAGGCGGCAAAGGCCGAGGCCGAGGCCCCCGGCGTGCGATCCAAGAAGCTGGACAAGCTGAACCTACTATGCTACTCCTCCGGCATGGCCTTTCTCGTGACCTTGCCTATTTGGTTTTGGTCCGAAGGCATCGGCCTGCTGGGCGACTTCCTCAGTGACGGTGCCGTGGACCTGAGCAACAATCCCCTGGCCATGGACCACGGCCGGTTGACCCTCGAGTTCATTTTCAACGGCGTCTTCCACTTCAGCCAGAACATGCTGGCTTTCATCCTCCTGTCCATGGTGTCGCCCGTCACCTACTCGGTCGCCAGCCTGATCAAGCGCGTCTTTGTCATCGTCATGGCGATCCTCTGGTTCAGGAGTCCCACGACGCCCGTACAGGCAGTGGGCATTGCGTTGACCTTCCTGGGCCTCTACCTCTACGACCGGACGAGTGAGAGCAACAAGGCCGACCGCAAGGCGCGCCTCATGACGCAGTCCCGCACGGGCACGCCATTGCTTCCCCTCAGCGAGGACGTCTCGGGCGCCAGCAGCCCCAAGGGCGGCTCCAGTGCGCATCCGTACACCGAGGGATTCCTCGGGGCCGTCACGGCCAACGAGGATTCCAAGAAGGCCGATGACAACTTTGGGCGCGGTCGTTCTGGCCGTGTCAACGCTGGCTGGGCCCAGCGGTAGTCGACATTCTGCCATGGGTCGAAGGAGAAGGACCGAGTTGTCGTTGAGCCCTTGTTACGTTTACCTTTCTTATTTTCACCTTTCCGGCTTGATTGGCGGAGACAGTACTGTCCGCCGGCACCGCTCACACATCTTTTTGAGGTCACAAAAGCACGCAAGCATCTAGATCTGGGGGACAGTCTACCTATGGCATCGAGACGGGCTTCTGGCGTTGTCTGCGGGGAACGAGGGTTTTCTTTTTTTGGCCTTGCCCGGTGTACATGTACATGGAATGACATCTATCTGCGCATGCCTTGCATGAATGTGGTACGTTTTGTTTAGATATACTTTGGACGGGGATGTGCATGGTAGGACGTGCGCGTGCGCCTTCGTCCCTGAATCGGATGGCCTTTATGAAAAGCGTGTTGAACACGGGCGTGTTTGAAACAAGCAGGCTAGGTATCTCAAAATGCTCTTCCTCTCTCGATGTGACGCCCGTGTCTTGCGTGGCTGCTACGAAGTTACTCCATGAGCCACTCTTCTACCTCGACGCCGATGCTCCTCCCTATACCCCTGATGGCGTCCCACCCGACGTTGATCCTCCACTTGCCCGCCCGGTCCATGGTGTCGCCCGCGCCGACCCTCACCAGCAGCCGCAGGCTGGCCAGCGTGGCGATAGCCATGCCCACGTCGCCGTCGACGACGGAGCCCACGGAGCTGCCGCCCTCGGGAATCCACTCGCCCCTCACGGCCTCGAAGATGGCCAGCATGCGCTCGAGGACAAAGGCGTGCGCGCCGAGAAGCTTACGCGCGATCTTGCGGTGCTTGGCGCGGCGGGGCGTCGACGACCCGCCGCCGCCGCCTGTGGAGGCCAAGGCGAAGCCCCCGCCGCGTCGACGCTTGCGTCCGTAGTGGTACGTCGAGAAGACGGTTAGGTCGTGGCGGGCGGCGTTGTGGGAGGCTAGGTATGCGCAGAGGAGGAGGATGCGGGCGGCGATGGGGAGGAGGGCTGTAAGCTGCGCGGCGGCGGCCGGTGCGGCGGCCGGTGTATGAGGTGTCGTCGTCATCGCCGTTGTTGTAGATTTGGATACGCCGTTGACGGCAACAGTGGACGTATGGTCAGGGGCATCCGCCGGGGCGGCGCTCTTCCGGCTCGCGGCAGGCCGCACCGAGACAATGCTCGGGTTCAGGAGTGACTCGTCCTGGAAGTGAACCCTCGCGGCGACGAGCAGCTTCGAGAACTCTTTCACCGTATACGTGCCGGCGACGACGGGGGCAGTGAAGCGCGGCCACAGGGCGCGGCAGCCGTGGCGAAAGGCGGGCAGGGTGCGGGCGGCGGAGCGCACAAAGGCGTCGTGGACGGCGGCGCAGAAGCGCGTCCACAGGTCGGCCGTCTCGCGCTGCGTCGTGCCGGGGATGGGCGGCGGCGGGGCGAGCGCCAGGATGCGCACGAACTCGGGCTTGGTGTACGGCGGGAAGTGCAGATGCGGCGACGAGGGCGTGCGGAGGAAACCGGCGGGTGGTGCGGTGACGATGAAGACGCATGTCAGGCAGGGTATCTTGATGGTCGGGCGCGGTGGTCAGCGGGTTCCTTCTCATGTTCCTCTTCTCGTCCATGCCAACGGGGTTGTCGGCCAGAGAGCGAGAGTAGAGAGGCAAGAGACTCACAATCTCCGACAGGCGAGCCAGCGCAGGGAGCAGCGTCGGCGGCGCGTCCCTCTGTCGGTCGATGGCATCCAGCACCAGTACGAACCTCCAGCGCGGATCCCGCGTCGGGTCTCTGAGCATCGCCCCCAGCGCCACGGTTAGCTGCGATAGCGTCTCGCAGCGCCTGCGCTGCTGGTCCCATCTGCGGCGCTCGTCGTCGTCCCGCGCGTCCCGCCGCAGCGCGTCGGCCACGGCCCCGACGATGCGCTCGAAGAGATGCCGGCCGGTGATGCACTGCGCGGCGTTGACGATGGCGTATCGCAGGCTGGCCCCGCCGTCGCTGTTGTTGACGACATTGTTGCTGCCGCCGCCTTCGGCTTTGCCGTCTGCGTTGCCATTGACGGGTCGTGACTCGGCCAGGTGTGATAGGAGCTGTGATGTGACGGCGGATTTGCCCGTGGCTTCGGTTCCGTGGAGGACGAGGTTGCGACAGGGCGCGGCGTCAGGCTATGAGAGATACAAATAACATGCGTTAGTTTTCGCAATCACCACATATTGGGGCACCTGAAGTACCGCAAATATTGTGGCCTAGCCGGTACGTACGTGGAGGAGCGTTGCGAGGGAGCGAATCTGGTGATCCCGGCCGGGGAAACGCTGGACCAGAGAGGCGAGGAGCTCCTCATCTGGAAGGCGGAAGATGGGTGCCATGGCGTTGTGGCCTCAAACAACCCTGCCCGGCAGCAATTGATAGACTCGGACAGTCGGGAAGCCAAGTGTCGGCGGCGAGGCTGTTGCTGCGAATTCCGGCGAGGCTTGGTGCTGCGTCGTGGTGGGTGGTTTTTGGGTGGCTTAATTGAAACGCGTCTCGCAGCGCGTCTCGGCGACGTCAGTTAGTGGACCGCCCATCGGGGAAAACTCGGCCGAGAGCCGACACTGGGGCAGGCACTTCTGCTCTTTACACGCCCACTGAATCGAGTGAGTGCATTGAAGTGGTCGCCAACTGCACAATATGAATTAATATTCTTTCCATTGCAATGCTTTGATTCATTCGACTCTTTCATAATTCGTGCCATCCTCGACTGCCGTTATCCTTGCATCGAAGAGGCTGTACTAAACCCAAACGCCCAGCAAATGCGCCTCGCTCTCAAAACACAACATTGTCAACCAAGACGGCGAGCGACGGAACTCCAAACACCTCGTCCCACCACCAGCGCCATTCCCGTATGCGCTCATGCAAGTCTTGCAGCACGCCTTCAGCGTCGAAAGCCGGAACCGGCACGCCCTTCACTGACGCGCCGCCGTGATTGTTAGCCTGGGTAGTCATCCGATTCTCTCGGCTGCCCCAGCCAGTTGCCACGTCCTTGACAATCAGATCCGTAAACATCTTGACGTCCGAGTCAAACCGCACTTCTCGGGCGCCGCTGGCCGTGTTCGCGCCAAAGAGCCTACCTGCTGTTGTCACTGTCTCTCCCGCTCGAACGAGATTACTCGTCACGTCGTCGGCTGTGGTCATGATTTGGTCGAGGAGCTCGAAACAGTTGCACAGTCTGGTCCAAGCTTGTGAGGAGGGGCTAGACGCGGCGATGACACGGATCTGTGGCCACAGCAAGTTGAGAACCGCCACAATCTGCCGCAAAACATGCAATTGCGTGGCTGACAAAACGGCGGCATCAGTGACCCAGTCGTCTATGCCCTCGATCGCGGCGTGCGCCAGACTGACGGCGTGCGGGAGGTCGGCCTCGGTCAATTCGTAGGCAACGACCTTTTTGGCCAAGAGGATACGCAGCGCTTCTCCATAAATGTCCAGTAGCGGGTGTGCGGAAGTGTGTCTGAACGCAGCTCGAACGCAGGAGGGCAGCATCTTGCCCAGAACAAAGCCGACGATGCCCTGGTTCGCCATGCCTTTCCTCAGCATAGTCACGTCCTCTCGTAGCCTGTCGTTGCTGATTGCAAACTTGACGTTGCTGAGCAGGAGGTGGAAGAGCTGCTGACTGCTTCTCGTATCGCCTTCTCTGATCCGCACGCCATATGAGATCAATCCCGCAACCTGCAGCTGGGGGTCGTCGGTGGAGGGCGAGTATTCGTTCGAGATCTGGTAGAAGAAGTTGTCCACCGGCCGGATCTCGGACCCGTGAGATTTGATGAGCGAGACGATGCTCCGAATGAAGGCCACGTAGCCTTGATGGCTCGACATGTCATTCGACACTGCCTTGAGGTCCATCTTGATCTGCTCCATCACCCGCTGCAGAGTTACAGAATGCTCCGCCAACAAGATGGTTCTGAGCGACGGCCCAGCGTCGCGAATCGACCTTCTCATCTGCGAGACGGCAAACTCAAACAAGTCTCGGTTCGTCACGTAGTCAGGCTTTGGGCCCAGAGCCACCACCGCGTCTGGCACGAAGTCTTTTCCGCTCTTGTGAAGCTGCTTGGCAAACTCGTTCTCATACTTGAGGTAGTCTCGCGGCTTCACCAGCGACAGCGCCCACAGTTCCGGTAAGCTACACTCCGATGTGGTCCAGGATTCCAGACCAGACTCCAGCAGAACAGACACGAAATGGGTCATGTGCCGCCGTAGATGCAGGTCCAATTGATGAGGTGGTGCGACAAACAAGCCGTATGTGCCTGGTTTGAACATGTCTGAAAGTTCGAAGCTGCCGCACTTGATGTATCGTGCGCTCAAACGTGCAGAGAGCGAAACCACGCTCTCTATGCATTTGTCCTTGCTTCCACTTGTAAAGACGTTGGGCTTCTTTTCGTTTCGTGAGGACATCACGCAGCGAGCCATGGAAAAGAATCCTCGAAGTAGGACGCGCTCGACCGTTTCCAAAGCGTCGTCAGCCAAAGCCGAGTTCAAAATTTGGCTTTCGCTTTGCTGGCTTTCCTCTTCTTCCTTGAAGTCGTCCACCCTGCGGAGGAATGAGCCCAACGTGGTGACGGCAGCCTGCAATGTTCCCCAGTCGAGGTCTGGTGGAGCGGCTGCGAACTGTTGGTAGATAGTCTGAAGTTGGTAGGTGTTCAGTGAAAAGGTGGCTCCTTCAAGATCTGTAGCGGCCGTCAGGACATCCAGAGAAGCGGCAACAGAAGAGTAAAGCACGTCTCCTATCGCCGCCTTGTTTCGAGCAATGGTGTCGTTTATGCGATCTTCGCTGATCGGCTGCCGGCCATCCTTGGCCAGGGCAAGAACTTGCTGTTGAATTTCAGGCGCAACTGAACTGAACTGCCGGAGAACCTGCTGGAAGAACGAGTTCCGCCACTGATTGAACGGTCTGAACGTTGTGCCTGCCTCTCCAGAGGCAACGATGAATCGCGCGAGTTGCGACCAACAGCGGATATTGATCAGGCAGGCCTCCTTATGGGAGTTCTCCGGGGAAACAAGGCGCTCAATGAGGCTGACGGCCGGACGCAGGTCGGGGGGAGCTGCCCAGAACAAAGTGGCAAGGAGATCGTGGTGGTTTCTCAGGGCCGCGAGATCGCGGGCGTGCACATTTTGCTCCTTGAGATGTTGGCGGTTGTGATTTGGCGTCGTCCTCACGACCAGATTGCGTATGTCCTTCTTAGCATCGACCTCCCTCAGCTTTCGGATGCTCAGCCCGACCATCTTCAGGAATATGTGAAAGCATCGGTCGCCAGGCTCAACGTCTAGTACTGGACGACCCGCGAGTTCCTCTAAAAACCGGGGAGATTCGTATGCCTCTTCATTGCGCAAATGTGCAAGATCCTGGGAGCCAAAGAAGTCGAAGATGACCCCAACCACGGCTGCGGATCGCCGCCACCCCCATTGTTGGATGAGGCAGTGGCATCGCCCGACAAGTGCCCTGCAGTAGTCGTTGAAGCTGGGAGACTGCCGCGTGTTGTCTTGGTATAAACGAAACACGCGTTTCAACAAAGACTGGGGGATGCCCCATCCGTCACTGTTCACATCGTGACGTCTGCCCGAGACCACGACCCCAGAGTCACCAAATTCGACAAGCGGAAGAAGGTTGAACATGAAATCCCACGATCGTTCAAAGTTCTCCGCATCGGTGCTGGCGGCGACTGACGGTGGAATAATGATGTCCTGGGCCACTTCCCAGAACGATGCCCTAGGAATATGAGCGGCCTCCAGGACCTTCATCAGGACCACCCATGACTGAATGACGAAGGCATCATCCCGCAATCCGCGTTCCCGGACCCGTATTGATTGCAACTCATCATAGGCCTTCCTGATCGGTGCGGCGCCTGTGCCGCGAAGAATCGACATTGAAGTTTTGGACATTCGCTTCAGGAGATCTTCGGCTTGAAACTGCTCCACGGACAGCATCGGCTCGTCTCCGCATATACGCAAAACAACGAGTGCCATCAGAAGCATACGGTCAGATACTCGCATTGCGATGCTCTGTCTCGCTTCTGGCGCTTGAGTATGATCATCGACAAGAGAGCCGACCCGGCTGTTGAAAGAGGCGAGACACTCAATCGCGCGAGCGGCGAAAGCTTTCATATCGTTGTCTCGTGTAAAGCTCAGAGATTCCTTCAAATATCGCAACACAAACATGGAGGCGTTGATGGCGGTCGAAGAAGAGTCCATGTTACCTGCGTCAGCACCCTCGATTTGTTCAGCAACAAAATCGAACACGATGCCAAGCTCTGAGGAGACTTGGGCATCCCAGGCCCCCCAGTTCAAGGACCTGCTCCCCAGGTTGAAGGAGACGGGCGGGCGGGCATCCGCTGCCTTGGCAGAGACGTCGCCTCTGATATAGGACGCGAGGATTCCGCTACCAATGAGGCTGGTCTCGTGAAAATAGACTCTGGGGTCGAGCGGAAACACCTCGAAGTGTTGCGTGTAGGTCGTGCCGTAAGGGCCCAGACCGAGCAGCTTGGAATGGCCGTGATCAGGCCGTACAGGTCTGGGCTCAGGCACATATTCGACTGGCAGAGGCTCCTTGGCGCGCTGGAACTCAGGTGCCTCGATATCGACACGTCGTGGCTTGATGAGCTTCCGCCTAGGCGCATTCGCGGGACGAGGTTCGAGAGGTGTCGTCGATCTGGCGTGTGTAGACTCCACGCTGTCAGATAGGTCGGGAGAGCTGGCTATTTCTGCCGCGATGTCGGCTAAAGACGCCTGAAGCGGCATCCCCAAGTCGGCATTGCGGTACAGGCGGTCAAAGACGCGCTTTCGAGCATGAAAGGCGCCTCGCCGAGACTGATCGCTCTCGTCCATCTCAAGCTGGGCTGGACGAGTAGGGGCCGCATAGCGAGGAACGACACCACCTGCTGCGGGTGGCTTATCAGACCGAGGTTTTCCGGGTGGTTTCTCCGGCCTGTATGTGACAGAACCGCCGTCACTAATTTGCTTGACAAACTTGCGCGTGGTAGACGTTGCTTGACTCGTCCACGCTTTCTGCTTCCGCCGTCCATTACCCGAGGTGTCTTGCAACGGTTGCCGAGGCTGTTTGGGACTCCTGATGGCAGCTGTAACCGATTGGCGTGGACGTATAGAGCCTTCCCGCCATTCATGCAGTATTGACGCTGCATCAATTTGGTCCTGCCGAGTGGCGAGCTGAATAGTCTTTCGCCTTGGGCTGCTTCTCCCTTGTCCGGGCTGTCGCCTAGCAGCACGCGCAGCAATGTTGAGGAAACAAGGCGCATTTGGCTCGAGGACGTCCAGAATACTGAGTCGAGGAGGAGTTGGTCTGGGAGCTGAGCGCGGGGCCTGACCTCCACCCGCTCTTTTCTTCGATTTCCGATTCTTGCGCTTGGGATTGTCTGGCTTTGATGACGCTGGGGCTCGGTACACATGGCTCGTGATCTTTTCTTGTCGCTGCCCTTTGGAATGCCTGGGAATCGGGGTATGGCCAGAGGCCTTGATGCGTTTGGGGTCGCGTTTCAATGACTCTGGGAGTTTGAGTTGGCGTTTGCGTACAGTCCATCCTGGCAGCATGGCATCAATGCGGTCGTCTTCTACCACGGATCCATCATCGTCATCTGACATAACGTCTTGAGCCGGAACAGGCGTCGCGTCCGGTACCAGGCTCAGCCTGGCCTGCACGGGAGACCAGTCACTCGCAGACACAGGGGCCGCAGCTCTCTCGCTATCGCTCTCTTCCGAGTCATCAAAAAATAAGTTCGCCGCAGTCGAGCCCGGCAACGCCGGTCTCGATTGCGCGACTCCTCGCCGGATCTCGCGGCTAGGAGATTGGCGATGTTTGTTCCTCCTGATGTCCGCCTGAAGCTTGTCACGACCGGACTGTTGATCCAATCGCAGCCAAGACGCTGGAAGGACACCACGGATGCGCCGTCCAATGGTGTTGACGACTTCTTCGTCGCTTTCTGAACTGCTCTCCGAACTTGATGCTGCATGAGCATTGTGACGGTGCTTTGATGAGAGCCTGTGTCCATTGTCGTTGTCGGATGAGATATCAATGATTGCTCCAAGCGAGGGTGGTTGCTCGTCTGCACGAGGAGTCTGGGGCTGACGGTCCTGCATCGTCTTGCCAGGACGGGTGCCCGGTTTTGGTTGCGCATTGTGCGAAGTCGAAGCGAGCGGATCGGGAGAAGTACGGCCCTCGCGGGACGCTGCATTCGCTTCCGCCGGATCACTGTCGAGGACATTTATCCTTCGACGCTTGCGCACTGTAGAGGGGGGTGGTGACGATTGGCGCTTGGCGGACTTCGTCGGGACCAACCGAGGTATCGGTTTGAACAAGTCATCCAACGCCGGCAAATCCTGATCGAGAACGCTTGTATCGTCCGTATCACCGGGGGAGCTTGCTCGGCTGCTGTCCTTGCCGCGGTTGTTTGCGGGAGACGTCTTAGGGGGCGATGACGAGGGGAACTCGAAGGGATCCGCCGCCCCCAGGGAGCTGGATGGCTCGTTGAAGTGGACCTGTGATTCTCCAGCCACATCCGTCGTTTCCTGACTCTCTTCCTCGAAGTCGTTGTCCTGCTCCATAGCCTCGCGGTGCCGACGGGCGGATTCAATTGCCACGCGGACAGGTCTCACGCCGTGCTTCTTGAAGAGATTGCTGTACTGCACGTTCTCCAGCAGGTACGGATGCTCCTGGATGGGCTTGCGTGGCCGCAGGGACCGTTCGTAGCGAACGGCCACTTGTCTCGCCTCCTGGTCGTCGTCAACGAATTCTTGGCGGCGGTTCTGGCTTTGATAGATGGGGATCTCGATTCGCGTCCGTAGTGGGCCAGGCGACGCATCTAGGTACTGCAACGGCTGTGTCTCTTCGGCGTTTTGGTTCGGCTCGGGCACGGCCGGAGGCTCGTCATCGCCCCAACCGAGGAGGAGCTCGTCGACTGGGGGCAGATCATGTTCGCTGGGTACGGAGGAGAGTGGCGACGAGTAGGGAAGCTGGTCGAAGGGCGGTGTAGCTGTTGCGGCACCTAAAGGTAAGGCTGGGAGCTGCGTTTGAACTTCACTCTGCTGCTCGCCTTGCGAGTCGGGGACGTCCCAAATGTCCTTGTCCTCCTGCGGCGCGATTTCCGCAGTATTCGCGAGTGCCGTCGGCAAGGCTGGTGCCTCGTCTTCTTGGCTACCGAAGCCATCCTCCTCCTCGGAGTCTGGAACCTCCCCCAGCTCTTTCCAGTTGGCCATGGTCCCCGTTCGTCATCGTCTCATGATTCAAGGCTGGCGGAGGGGCTGTAGCGCTGCATGTAGGTCGTTGGCGTCTACTTCGTATGGTTGCCGATAACGATGTCGTGTGGAAAATTCAGGCCGCGTGGAGTGCTGGTGCTAGCGGTCCAGAGGACTCGCTTCGAGGCTGGTCGTTTTGGTGGGCGAGGTGTCTTGCACTTTAACGCGCCGGAGTCTGCGTGAGACGCGTTCTAAGCTGCTGTGGTGCCTCTGGGTGGCGCCGGCGTTGGCGCGTGGGGAGCGTGGTGGGGCACGACGGGACACTTTGACTCGACCCGATGCGGCATAGAAACTCGCCTGCGTCAACCTCACTCCATCTCGAGCCCGTCCGCCGAGCCGCCTCCCATGTCCACTCGATCCTAGTCGCAAAACACATCGGTCATCTGATCTCGCGGCCATGAGCGGATTTCAAAAGGCGTTGCCCATTGGGCTCGCCGTCTTCTGCGGCGTCATCGGCGGTGAGCTTGTCCCTGCATCCTCGGGGTTTCGCCAGCAATTCCTAACTCTGCGCAGGAGTCTACACATTTCAGCCAGTCCTTGCGCCAAAGGACCTGACGGTTGATGGCCGGGAAAAGACGTAGGTTCCTGCCTCACGGCCCCCCAAAGCAGCACACCCAGCATATGTGCAGCAGAGGCTCACACGCCTGCGCGCAGGCTCCAACCGAGTCAGGAGACAAGGCCCGCCGCCGACCCGATGCCCGCTCCTAAGAAATAATGCTCCCGCTTCAGCAGACGATTGCGGCAATTCATTGTACGCAAAAGCGGCGTACAAGTCGTTGCCTAATTCGAGCCAATTCACTCAGAGCTACAATTACGCCTATTCATCGTCACCTGGACACGCCAGGCTTGGCATTATAGATATCTCATATACAGTCGCCCTCGGAACCCGAGCGCATGACGAGTGGCTTCATATAAACGGCGCATCCAAACCCCAGAAAAGCCTGTCCCAGTCTATGTTGTCCAGGTCCATCCTGCCCTGAAGCTGCTGCCACTGTTGTTCCAGATAGGCAGTCTCCGAATCTGGATTTGCCGCCTGCGGGAGCATCCCGTTCCTGCTATCGTCGCGATGACTCGAGTCTGGGGTCATGGGCGGCGTGCCGCCATGAGTCCGCAGCTTGGCCGACGGCTGGTTCTTGAGAACCTCAAGCGCCGGGTGCGACGCCTTGTGTTTCTTGAGGACCTGGATGGAAAGCTCGAGGAGCTTCGAGGCCAGGGGCGATTGGTCCCGTGCCTCGTGCAGGATGCTCCACGCGTCGGCTACCTCCACGCCGCTCTTGATGGTGTCCTGGGAGTCGTCGACCAAGCAGGCGTCCAGGACGAGGGCGATGCAGGCAATGAAAACGCTACGAAGCACCATGTTCATCCGCTGGCGAAACGACACAAATGTCAAGTTTTCTCCCCTCAGCTTGTGCTCAATGTGGATGATGGTCCTCGCCGATTTGAGACACTGTTCACGCGAATAAGCAAACGCCGGCTCCACGCTGCCCCGGGCAAGATACGGCAAGTGAAGCTTGCAGAGCTGGCGGTTGAGAAGGATGTTGAGGGTATAGCGTTGTACGGTGATGCTCGGGGTGCGTCGGGGGTCGGACGGGGGAAGGTCGTCCATGCTGGGGTTGTCGAGCCAGAAAAAGGCCGGCATCTCTTGCATGAACTGGTTTATCCTCGTGTCCACCTCCATGACCTGGCGGTACTCCATCGTCTCTGGGCTCATGACAAAAGGGCTGCGATCCAGCAGCCCATGACATACCTCTGCCAGCCGAATGCGCTGGAGGAGGTAGGATACGCAGGTCGGCTCTTCTATGGGGCGGTCAATGACCTCCCGGCCCTCGACAATGTCTTGGTCGTTCGCATTTCGGGGCTTTCTGACCACCATGTGGCTTGGCAGCACGGTATAGGTGCCTTCTTGCGGCACCGAGAACTGCGAAAGCATCCTGCCTCACGTTAGCAAAAGGAGCGGACCCGGGTGCGGGACACGGGGCAAATTACCAGTCCGAGGCCGCGAGGTACCACCAGACGCGACGGCCCATCTCGGTCTTGATGCTGTGCATCTGCTGAGGGTCCGAGGAAGGCGAGTTGTTGGGATAATCGATGAGATGAAGAGAGAGCTCGCGGCCCATGGCGATGGACTGGGCGACAAGAGAGCGGGCGCGAGTGGAAACGCCCTCGAGGCTGCAGAGGACGAAGAAGATGAGGATCATGCCCTGGGCGCACTCAAGGGAAGTGTGAGCAGTGCGCTGGACGTGGTCGACGACGTCGAGGGCGGCCTTGAGCCAGCCGGTCGTCTGGCAGTTGGCCTCGGCGGCCGAGGCGTAGAGGGCGCGCGCATCGTCGTACGGGGTCCAGGCATAGGTGGTGCAGGTGCAGATGCTGAGGAGGAGCAGGATTCCGCCGACGTCGAAGCGGCTGTCGCGCTCGATGCCGTCGTAGATGTCGTCGATGAGGCGAGGAAGGGTGGGGTAGTGGATGATGTGATGGAAGTGGCTGACGTCGCTCACATACTTTTGCACGAGTATCTGTGCTTCGTCACGACGCGGGAGCCAGATGCACTTGACGACCTCGGTGGTGCCCAAGGCGGCGGGCGAGCCATCGGACTCGACGATGAAGGACGAGGGCTTGGAGATGAGGCGGATGGGGCACGTGCGGAACGTGATGGGATCTGCGACGAGCGAATCCTGGAGGAGCGACGCCCGGGTCAGACATGGAGTTACGACGGAGATGACGAACCATGTGTTCGCGAACACGTTTCACTTGGTACTGAGACTGGGCGGGCAAGCAAGCAAGCATGGGCAAGGGGCGAGAGCGAGGGCCAGACTCACCAGGAGCTTCTGGCCTGAACACGACCTTTCCAGCCACAGGACGTCGGCGGTGAGGCGCTGGAGGCGCGACGGAACCTCCGTGGATGGAGATATTGACGGTGCCGGTGCTGGCGGTGCTGGCGGCGGGAGCTGTTGCTGCGGATAGTTGGAACCTGGTCGCCGCGTTGGCGGCGGCGCAGGCGCAGGCGCCAAGGGAGACTGTTGGTGATGTTGTTCCTTGGACGGCTCTGCCGACGCCCTGCCGTCGGTGCTACAGGCAGTGCTCAAGCTGGCGTTGCCGGCGGCGGCCTGGGATGCCACGAGGGCCTCGAGGCGCTCCAGGCGAGACAGCAACTCGACGGCATTGACGTCGCCCGCGGCGCCGGCCACGACGGGAGCGTCTTTGTGAATACCTGAGCCGGCCGCGACGCCCAGGCTCACGCCATGGGGGGCGCCTTCATGCTGGCACGCCACTCCGCGGGACGTGCAGTTGGAGCATGGGAAGACCCGACTGCAGCGCAGCTTGCGCACCCTGCACAGCGTACACGAGATCGGTCGCTGTCTTGGCTGGCGACCCATCGGTTCCGGCGTAGCAGTTAATACCCTAGACGTATACTGTACTGCCTCTTTTTTCTGGGTCTCAAGTTTCTCTTGTCTCGCGTCCTCCTCAATTAGAAGAAAAACAACCCCTGACTCGGGAGGGGGCTTGTTGGGAGTTTCACTCGCGTTGCCCACAGGGGTGACCGCGGTACGGCGTGTGAGCGACGCGCAAAATGGGATTTGGAAAGATGGACTGTGTGTGTGTAAGTCGAGGTGCCTCCGTGGGTTGATGAGGCTTTGACGGGTGAGATCCACGGATGCTTCGGAGTGTCCGCGGAGAGTCCGCGGGCAGGATGCACGGCCTGGCCAATCACCGCATGCTCCGCCCCGGTCTTTACGGCCCCATGTCCGAGATCTGCTGGTGCGAGGACTGAGGAGGATCCGGCGGTGGGCACACGGGCGGATCCTGTGCCTGTCAAGCTGGCGATGCGCCAGGCTGGACGGCCGACCGACCTGCTTGGTTGTTATTGCAGCTGACGAATGGACAGGCTAGACGAGGTTGCTGGCACACGCCCTGCGTGCCGTGTCGAGGGGGTGACGCTGGATCGACCCATCCATCGACCGGCTCGGCTGTCAAGTTCCAAGCCCCATGAGCTTACTTCGTCCGAGACATGCTTTGTACGCTACCAACCGCAACCCGATTAGATTGATAATGATTTCTTCCGACCAGGCAGGTCGCGACGCATAGCTCTACTCTACCTTGTGCTGCTACCGCGTATGGCGCCTGGCATCTTCGCATGGCAGGGCTAGCCACCCACTCCGTGGCTTCATGGTGCACGCCGGACCCGGTTCCGTCCCCCCTCCCCCCTTGTTCCATCCCTGCCCTACACGGCATGGCAGGCATGGCATCCAAGAAGAGGTGGTGGTGCGCGTGGCTCCTTTGGTGTTATGATGAGCCATACTTTCTACCGGACTCGACATGCGCGGCCCCGAGCCCGGCTCTCGGGTTCGGTCAAGACTCCGGCATCCAGGTCTCGCCCGATGCCTGGTCGGACGTCCGCGTCTCGGCCTTTTCAGTTTTGATCGGGCAGAGCAAAAAGAAAACTCGCTAGCACCCAGAGATGCTTGTGATATAACCATGGCTGAAAACGTATATCAGTAGAGCGTGCACCAACAAATCCTCAAGGAAGTGCCCAGTGTCCATGCATGATCTTGGTTGCTTGGCACACTGCTCCATTCTGTTTGATGTCCAGCTGAGCTCAGGCTTCCCTCGTCGACGACTCAAATCCGATAAAACAGTCGACTTGCTAGGCGAGCATGGCGCCTCCGAGCGGCAATGACAAGGAGTGCGTCTCGAGCGCCTCCACGGTCGCGGGCGTCCCACCCCATGACCACGAGCGACAGCCGGTCCATGAGAAAGACATAGAACGCGATGCCCAGAGCATAGCGTCTTCCGTCCGCGGGGCTTCAGACTCGACCACCGCACGCGATCCGACAGTCGTCGACTGGGACGGGCCAGACGACCCGGCGAACCCCATGAACTGGCCCTTGTCCCAGAAGGCGGCTGCCATTGCCATTGTGTCTGCCATCACATTCGTGAGGTATGTACAGGCTGCCCACGTTTCTTTAAACGCAGACTGACATACCCCGTAGCCCTCTCGCCTCATCCATATTTGCGCCGGGCATACCCCAGGTCATGGCCGACTTTGGCTCCACAAACCAAGAGATTGCGTCCTTCATCGTGTCCGTCTACGTCGTCGGATACTGCTTCGGCCCGCTGCTCATCGCGCCGCTCTCAGAGCTATACGGTCGAGCGCCGCTGTACCACGTGTGCAACGTGCTCTTCGTCATCTTCAGCGTTGCCTGCGCCCTCGCCCCGAACCTGGGCGGCCTGGTCGCGTTTCGTCTGCTTGCCGGACTCGCGGGTAGCTGTCCCATGGCCATCGGGCCCGGTACGATAGCCGACCTCGTCCCACGCGAGAAGAGGGGGAAGGTGATGGCGGCGTGGGTGTTTGGGCCTCTCTTCGGACCGGTCATTGGGCCAATCGGTATGCGCTCGTCAATGCCTTGCAAAGGCATCCTTCATGCGGATAGAGATGAGAGCTAACGGAGGGAACATTAGCTGGTGGGTATCTCACGGAGGCCAAGGGTTGGCGCTGGTCATTCTGGGTTCTGGCCATTGCGGTGAGTCTCGGACGATACGCGGGATATCCCGAGTTTGCAATTCTAATGAGGCGATGAAATAACCAGGGCGGCGCCATTACAATCGCGTCGCTGGTCTTTATGCGCGAAACGTACGCCTATGCGATACTCGATCGAAAGGCCAAGAAGCTTCGGGAGCAGACTGGTGACAACAGCCTCCGCTCCGCTCTCGACGATGGGCGTGCCACCAAGGACATCTTTGCATCGGCCATTGTCAGGCCTAGCAAGATGCTCATTTTCTCGCCAATCGTCTTTCTCCTATCACTGTACATGTTTATCCTGTATGGATACCTGTACCTCATATTCACCGCCATGCCAGGGTTGTTTCAGAACGAGTACGGCTTCTCCACGGGCCAGGTTGGACTCTCATACTTGGGACTCGGGGCGGGGTCGGCGTTTGGCCTTGTTCTCGCCGGTGCTGCATTGGACCGGGTCGTCGCGAAGTTGCAAAAGAAGAACGGCGGCGGCTTCAAGCCAGAGTATCGCCTGCCCCTGATGATTCTCGCAGGTGTCGCCGTGCCCATCGGCCTGTTTCTGTTTGGGTGGACGGCCAAGACTCACCAACACTGGATTCTGCCCATCATTGGCACGTCATTCCTAGGTTTTGGCATGACGCTCGCATTCGTGGGTCTCCTTCTTCCCTCCATTGGGGCCCCTTCACGTAAGAAACTACAATCACTGACTTGCAGTTTAGATGGCCATTTCAACGTATCTGGTCGACGCCTTTGGAGTGTTCGCCGCATCCGCGGTCGCCGCCAGCACTGTGCTCCGGTCCCTCGGAGGCGCGGTGCTACCGCTGGCTGGAGGCAAGATGTTTGAGACGCTGGGTCTCGGCTGGGGCTCCTCCTTGCTCGCCTTTATAGCTCTGGCGATGATACCCGTGCCGGTCGTGTTTTACCGCTATGGCGAGCGCGTCCGGGAGAAGAACCTCTGCGGCGTGCAGTTTTAACGGGCGCACGTAGCGGCGGCGGAGTCATCTGTAGTGAGGAATAGGGAGAGAAGTATACGGAAGACATGCATAGACAGGGCATAGTATGTAGAGAGACCGAACTGAGCCAACTCATCTCAATATTTAGATGAACCGATACGAAAAGCTTGAGCTATGTTCTCACAAGCTCAAATATATGCCGCCAAAGAAAATTCGCATCAAGTACACAGATTTATACTCCCGACACAGTTTCAATTGGCAGATGTTCAAGGTTTGTACGAAATGAATAGGCCCAGTGGTCACAGAGTGCGACGGCACCAAGCAGTATCAGGAAGCATTTGAGCGTGAGTCAAGGCTGGGACGAGCAGGGATCTGTCCATCTATACGAAGTACTGGTCATTCCTGCTTGCTTGACAAATCAGTATTGATAAACCTACCGAAGATATGACCTGATCCTTTGCAATGTTAAAAAATATAATTCCTGATGGTAGCGCCCTGTATGATGTGCATGCGAGCCGAGGTGGCTGTACGCGGTAAACCAATGGCACGGGCGTATCTCATCACATTGGGAAATGCGGAATATAGACGAGGTATCTGAGACAGGCGCTCGGGCGTAGCGGCTGCACATTGGACGATTTGACGTTGTACGATGGTGTCAGTCTCGTTTGAAACGACGACGCAACGCACCCGCATTAGGACATTCTCTTGTACCAAAGCCTATATCCGTCGAACAAGGAGTCAGAAAAACGACCAGATCAATCAGCCTCGAGGGGATAGATGCGAACGATGCATGCACTTTCTCCAGGTTCATTCGGACCAGGTGCAGTTCCACTGCGCTGTGGATCAACCGCGTCACCGTGCCATCCAAAGTGTGATCACTGATGAATGAGTGAACGGCGGCTCGTCCGTTGGCTGGAATTTTGGGCCCTCCTCCTCCTCCTCCGGAAAGGGAAAGCCAATTGACAGCAAATCCAGAGCTCGTGATTGGCCTGCATCGTCAAGCTCGCGCACGTGATTTGCGTGCGCCAACCAGGCAAGAAGCTTAGTCACTCGAACTCCAGCCAGTCCGGAGCTGCTGTGCTCGCTGCAAGCAAGGGCCGGCCCCAGGCAGGCAGGCAGGGCCGCAGGCCAGCAGATCCGCCAACTCCCGCCAGCCCGAAAACTTCCTCCCTCGTACCACTTTCCTCATCGCCAACGACCGCCCGCACCGCGCGCCGCCCCCCTCTCTCTCCCCAATTGACTCGACGCCGAAGACTCGAACCTCGACCCGTCCCTCCATCTCCCCCCCCGATCATTGAAAGCAACAATGCTGCGCACCCAGGCGACGAGTGTGCTGCGCAAGGGCGCCCTGGTGCGCAGCGTCCCGGCCGTCGCTTCCCGCGCCGCGTCGACGGCCCACGCCATCTCCAACCCGACCCTCGCCAACATCGAGAAGCGATGGGAGGGTATGCCTCTCCAGGAGCAGGCTGACCTGTGGATGGCCCTGCGCGACCGCATGAAGGGCAGCTGGGCCGACCTGACTGTCCAGGAGAAGAAGGCCGGTACGTTGCTGTCGCTCTGCTCCTCCCCCCCCCAAAAATACCTCCCGAATAGCCGAAGGACCTGCTCGTGGTCATGACGACCACAACGCCGCTTCCGCATCCGCCCATCGCCAATTCCTCAACCCCGGGCTCCACCACCACGCGACATGCCGCAGCCTTGCGTCCGCTGTCAATTTTAGACCCTCAATTGCTGCTGCTGCGGCCCAATTGAAGCCATTGGCTGCGCGCGCCGGCCCCGTGGTGCAGAGTCCGGGGGAGCCGCCATCCCGCACGTGCATTTGATACGCCTCGTTCCTGATCTGAAAACTAACTCAAACCGCCTCATCCAGCCTACTGGATCGCCTTCGGTCCCCATGGCCCCCGCGCCGTCGACCCTCCCGGCACCAACGCCCGTATCGCCTGGGGCGTTGCTCTTGGCCTCGGTGTCAGCTTCGCCGTCTTCGCCACCATCCGGGCCTTCGCCAAGCCCGTCCCGGCCACCATGACCAAGGAGTACCAGGAGGCTTCCAACGAGCTCCTCAAGGTATGCAGCCCCGGTGATGGCGACCTGCCGAGATTCTCCCTTACTGACGTGCATCACCCCTGCAGCAACAAAAAGCCGACCCCATCACCGGTATCTCCTCCGAGGGCTACTCTGGCAAGGGCCAGGTCCAGTCTCCCCCCAAGGGCAACTAAGCCAAGCTCACTCGACAAATACCATTTGCTTTCCTTTGTCTTAGAAAATACGAGTGGCTCATGGGGGAGTGCTCCTCCTTCCATGTGTAAAATGGTCTAGGACGATGTCGTGGAGAGAACCGCTGCAGCGGAGGGCGGAGAGCCGGAAAGGAGCCACGTGTTTAGCGGTTGTAAATACTGTACTACAACGACGGAACTCAGTCTTTTTTCCAGTGGTTGTCATGGATGCATTGCATTGATGTAGAGCCCTAAATGGCAGGGCACGCCAATGCAAGTCCCCTGCCTCGCTGCCTCGACACGGCACAAGTCACAAGCTCCAACCTGAACTCCATAATCCGCTACCAAGAAGTTGCACCAAAGCGCCTTGCAGCCTTGCAGCGCATCACCCTCCGCTCTGCCCGGCTTCCCTCAGCCGCTCAAACGTCACCTGTGGCGTGGAGCTGGCCGGATGCACTTCCTCCTCCTCCATGCGTCTGTCCAGCTCGAACCGGCCATCCTTGCCCCAATACGAGGCCTTCTCCGTCCCCTTGACACAGCCCTCGGTGATCAGAACATAGGGCGTCGGCGCGTCAAACATTGGCTCCGCCAATATCCGCTCCATCTCCATCTTGAGACCTCTCGCCCCCGTCTCGGCAGCTGCGGCTCGCTCTGCGATTGCGTAGAGCGCCTTGTCTGTGAAATACAATCGAGACGGATACGTCTCAAACAGCGCAGAGTATTGTGCGACGAGGCTGTTGCGGGGTTCGGTCAAGATCCGGTAAAGGTCGTCTCGAGAGAGCGGGCTGAGGGCACATATGTTGTGTAAGCGCCCGATTAGTTCAGGGATAAATCCGAAGCTTTGGAGGTCCGCGGGTGTTGCAAGATCCATGGGAGTGAAAGACGGCGCTGATGTCGAGTTGTGGTGCGCGAGATGCGTAAAGGTTTCTGGCGGCAGCACATGCTTACTGCCTGACATGGTCGAGCGGCCCTTGACCTGTCCTCCAAACCCCATGGAAGGCTTTGCAACCCGCTGTACAACCGTCTTGTCGAGCCCAACAAAAGCGCCGCAAAAGATGAAGAGGATGTTGGTAGTGTCAATAGTGTATTGGTCGACCTTGCCCCCGGGAGGCAGAGGCTGCGGTGAGGATGATGACGATCCTGATGAGCTGTAGTTGGTCGTAATCGGAGGGGTGGACCGTGACGATCGGTTGTCCTTGACATTGATGGTGACCTTGGTTCCCTCTACAAGCTTCAAGAGCGCTTGCTGCACGCCCTCGCCGCCAACATCTCGGCCGGTGGGAGATTCCCGTCGTGCCAGCTTGTCGAATTCGTCCAACACGACGATGCCGTATTCCGCCGCCTTGACATCGTAGTTGGCCTCGATGAGAAGACGCTCAATACACGTCTCCACATCCTGTCCGATGTAGCCTGCTTGAGTGAGCGAGTTGCAGTCGCAGATTGTAAAGGGGACGTGAATTTGTTTGCTCAACGTCCTACGCACCGTCAGTACGTTTGAAAAAGACACGATAGAGAGGAGATACCACTCACTCCAGGATATACGTCTTGCCAACTCCCGTCGGCCCAATCAGCAAGAGATTGCTCTTGTCAATTTTGACGTGTTCGGGTTTAGACGTGTCCTCCGGGGTATACAGGTGGTCGAGCGGGTCATCTTCGAACGCCGGGTTGACATCGTACAGCGGTCTGACGGATTCGTGATGGCCCGGGAACTCATCTTGACTCACTTCGTCAGCGGCTCCTCGATGGGCAGACCTAAACGTCGCAGGCTGACCTTCGACAGGGTGCGTGTCGCGTCGTCTCTGGTGCAGCTCTCTGTCACGTGCGAATCGTTGACGCATGAGCTTCTCCTGGACGTTCCTGTCTTCGTGTTCGTGCTGGTGTCTTCGGCGCAGGTTCTGATAGTGGTTGAACAGTGTCGCGCATATCGTCTTCTTCGCCCGGTCCTGTCCGACCACGTATTCATCGACCCGTTTCTTGAGGTCTCGGGGATAGAATTGCGGAACGCCGAAGTTGGTCTTGTTGAACATGGGACCGCGACCTGTCTCCAGCGTAGGGTCATAGCTGCCAGTGAAGCCAGAGTTGAAGTCTGGCGTTCGCCTGGACGTTTCGAGCGGTCGGAACGACGACAAGTGGCGACGGCACACGCAGCATGGCGGTGTCCTACCAAGCGGCCTCAGAACCTGGCGGCTCAACCGTAGTGACGGCGTCAGCGTTCGGGCAGGCGCGAGCATCGTAGTTGGCGACAAGGCGGGAGCATAGGCCCGCCTCGCCCGAGATGTTATGTCGTTGTCGTCGAGGCAGAGCGTCCTGCGGTGGCGGTATCGTGCCGAGCACCTTGTCCGAGATCTGGCTCCGCCTCTGGGGTCCTGATGCGGTGGACGTGAGCTATGGACGCCGGTAGTCGTGATATCGAGTATGCAAAATATAGCCTCCGCTGCCTGTTGGTGGATCGAGGGGACGCGCTGAGTACTCTCGTCGGATCGGAGTGTTGGGACAAAGATAATTAAGTAGTAGGCATGATGGCGGTGTTGCTTTCGCGGAGCATGAACAGCGGGTGATGGCACAGCGGCGGGGCCGTCATCGGGAGGCAGGTACGGAGTTCGCGGGGGGATCACCCTGCGCAGCAGCGGGTCCCCCGGCAGGTTCAACCTAGAGACAGGAGGATGGATGGCAAGATGGGGTGGTGGCTGCAGCTCCCACCTGCGCGCACAGTGGATGCTACATCAGTCGACCAGGCGCTGACATCCAGCCCAGGACACCTCATCCACCACAGCTGCCCGGCGAATGAGCGCCGAAGCCCCCCCGCTGGGGCAGCTGGAGCGCCGCGAGCAGCGGGCGGGCACCCACCTGGGCACCACCTAGACTCGAGGTGACTTGACGAACCTCCACTTGGCAGACGGGCGACCAGCCATGATGGCACCACCCCGATCCTCCACCAAATGCGGCTGCTGCAGCCGTGCGGAGAATCGCCTCCAGAGCCTCCAATGCATCCCAACCGACGCACCTCTGTTGCATTGTTGGGGTGGTGCAGGCCCTGTGATTCGACCATTGTGCATCCCGCCAGCGATTGCCAGTCTGGTGGCGATTTCTGCTTGCGCCCACTGCCAATTGATTCCACGAGGACGGCAGCAGCTGCAGTCCGCTGCAGTCGTCCTTCCATGCACACGGACAGTGATGAATGCCAACTCTCAGCAGTTTGTTAGTTAGCGCGTTGCCCACCCAGTCGCCCCTCAACCCCATCCGCTCCATCCACCAATGTTGCCTGGAGCACACTGCCCGCCAGCGGTCAGCCCGCCAGCCCAGACGTCATTTGCGGCGAAATAGCTATCGATAAAGCTCCCTCTGAGCTGGCCAGCGCAGGCTCGTTCGAGCTCAATTCACTCATCACCTACCATCCGCTTGCCACCTAAGATCGTATCATCTTCAACTCTTCACCAGATTCTGTCAATTGCTCCCAGAACCGCTGCGCCAGACGTCCCCTTGTTGTTTTCACTCAAGGTAACCTTCGAGCTCGCGACCGAGCAAGAGGCTGGCCTCCAAGTCACCTCATCTACCCCGCCTAGGAAGTCGACCAGGCACCTGTGCTATCCAAGCCAACAACATGGCTTCTGCTGTTGAGAGCTCGTCCAATTCATTGAACCCAAAGGCCCAGGGTGCTTCTACTGGAGGCATACCTGCTGACGGCACGGGTTAGATGTCCTCGACCCCCTAAGCAGCAACCCGGTCTGACGTGTATATATATAGGCGTCGTGAAGCTCGACCCCTACCTCGAACCTTTCAGCGACGCGCTTCGGCGACGTTATGCCAAGGCTCAAAGCTGGATCAAGTCGATCAACGAGACTGAAGGTGGTGTCGAAAAGTTCTCTAGGGTGAGTTGTCCCGTCGTCCTCTTCACTTGTGTCTTTCCTTAACGCCAAGCCAGGGTACCGAGAAATTCGGATTCAATGTGGACGACAAGAACAGCATAGTGTACAGAGAATGGGCCCCGAATGCCACTGCTGCCTTTCTCATCGGCGATTTCAGTACGTTCACTAGCCTCTCACGCAGGTCATCTCATGTCGCAGCTCGCTGATCTCGCTGTAGACAACTGGGATCGCACATCGCACCCGATGAAGAAGGACGACTTCGGCGTCTTCGAAATTCACATCCCAGCCCAAAATGGCCAGCCCGCTATACCTCACAACTCCAAGATCAAGGTGATTTATCAGTGTAGGACACATTGCCAAGGCAGTTATGAGCTGACTATGTCGCTAGATCTCACTTGACTTGCCCACAGGAGAGCGGGCCGACAGGATCCCAGCGTGGATCAAGTATGTCACGCAAGACTTGAGTGTGTCTCCGGCATACGAGGCTCGTTTCTGGAACCCACCGGCGGCAGAAAAGTACCAGTTTCAGCACCAAAGACCCAAGAAGCCTGCCAGTGCACGCGTATACGAGGCGCATGTGGGCATTTCCAGTCCAGAGCAGAGGGTGGCAACCTACAAAGAATTCACCAAAAACATGCTGCCCCGAATCAAAGAGCTCGGCTACAACGTCATCCAGCTCATGGCCATCATGGAACATGCCTACTATGCCAGCTTCGGCTACCAAGTCAACAGTTTCTTTGCCGCGAGCAGCCGCTACGGCCCGCCCGAAGATCTCAAGGAGCTCATTGACACCGCACACAGCATGGGCCTGGTTGTGCTTCTCGATGTCGTCCACAGCCACGCATCCAAGAACGTTCTCGATGGCTTGAACGAGTTCGACGGGACAGACCATCAGTACTTCCACAGCGGCGGCAAGGGCCGCCACGATCAGTGGGATAGCCGGCTGTTCAACTACGGCCACCATGAGGTGTTGCGATTCCTCCTCAGCAATTTGCGATTCTGGATGGATGAGTACCGCTTTGATGGCTTCCGCTTTGACGGTGTCACAAGCATGCTATACACGCATCATGGCATGGGCACGTGAGTAACACCGCATCCTGGGCGTAGCCGCGCGTTTTAATGACAGTTGCAGGGGCTTCTCTGGCGGCTACCATGAGTACTTCGGCGCCGATGTCGATGAAGAGGCTGTCGTTTATCTCATGCTCGCAAACGAGATGCTGCATTCACTGTATCCACACTCCATCAGCATTGCCGAGGATGTCTCCGGGATGCCTGCGCTGTGCCTGCCGCTGTCTCTGGGAGGCGTTGGCTTCGACTATCGCCTGGCAATGGCCATCCCGGATATGTGGATCAAGATTCTCAAGGAGCTCAAGGATGAGCAATGGGACATTGGCAACATCTGCTTCACCCTGACCAATCGCCGTCACGGCGAAAAGACTATTGCCTATTGCGAGAGCCACGACCAGGCGTAGGCTAATCCTCATCCCTGAAGCATGAGAACTGGGTTACTAATATTATGCAGACTCGTCGGCGACAAGACATTGATGATGCATCTATGCGACGCTGAAATGTACACCAACATGTCGGTTCTGTCACCGCTGACGCCCGTCATCGATCGTGGCATGGCTCTCCACAAGATGATTCGGCTCCTCACGCACAGCTTGGGCGGCGAGGGATATCTAAACTTTGAAGGCAACGAGTTTGGCCATCCTGAGTGGCTTGATTTCCCCCGCGAAGGAAACAACAACTCATTCTGGTACGCTCGTCGGCAGCTCAACCTGACCGATGATCACCTGCTTCGCTACCAGTTCCTGAACCACTTTGATGCCCTCATGAACAATTGCGAAGCCAAGTACGGCTGGCTACACTCACCGCAGGCCTTCATCTCATTGAAACACGAGGGGGACAAGGTGATTGTGTTCGAGCGCGCTGGACTCGTCTTTGTTTTCAACTTCCACCCTACAGAGAGCTTTAGCGACTACCGCATCGGGATCGAGGTCCCGGGAACGTATCGCATCGTTCTGAACAGCGACTCCAAGGAGGTCGGCGGGTTCAATAGGCTCGATGAGAACACGCGCTTCTTCACGACCCCGATGGAGTGGAACGGCCGCAAGAACTGGACTCACATCTACATTCCCTGTCGCACGGCTCTTGTCAGTTTCAATTCGGAGCACGGCTCTTGCCCTTTCATCGCAATCACTTGCTGACAATAGCACAGGTCCTCGCACTCGAAAACACAGTATCGCAGCAGCAGTAGTGGTAGAGCGCCGGAAAAGCAAGGTCTGATGCCCTTGCCCGAAAATACCTATGGAACGGATGGAAATCGAGAAAGGATCGTGTATTGGTAGTTCATGGGGACAGGGACAATCTTACTGTGTCAGCCTTTGATGTATGTAGTGGCAATGAGACTTTCGTGTTGCTCGTCATATATTAAGTGAGTCCAGAGACTGGATCACGAGCATTGTCAACACCAGACTCACGACAGACGGTTTGGGTGCGAGAGTTCCGAGGCATGAGCATCCGAGCAACTCAAGGCACCCCTATGGGAGCAAACACAATTTTCAAGAAAGATAAAGATCAAAGGTGTAAAGCAGTTCGTACTATGGTCAGGCTGCTGTGCAAATAAGAAAGAGGCCTTCACGTCGTAGAGTGTGCCCCTACACTGTGCGTTGACGGCCTCATATTCAACAGCCCCAAGCCAGGCATCCAAGGCTGTGCTGGGCACGGGTGCACCGTGCAGCGACAAATTTGCCGCCGGGTGTGGATCGCGAAAAGACGGAAGAGAAATGGGGAGCCTCAGGAACCAAGCCTGGCATGTCAGGCACCTCCACTTCTTCCTGGCTCGGTTGGCCGGGGATGCTAGGGGGTAAGAGGCGGCCATACGCACTGTGCGCTCGGCCCTTGGCGCGAAGAACCGCTGAGATCGCATCTGCCCGGCCGACGTCCAATTGCTTAGATCAGGGCCAAAAAAGGTGCAATTGTCAAACTTCGAGGCAATTTTTTTCCATTTCAATGTCCGGCTCTTTCAATGAACTCATTCAGTTGCCGGCGGCACGACGCGAGGCTGGCGGATGAAGCCGCGAGCCCAGGTCCGAGCCGCCCGGTCTCCTTTCAAACCCCGCGAGACACTGTGCGTGTCACAGTGTCCAATCTCAGATTAGCGCATCACGTGACTGGCGAGAAAGCTCTAACCGACGAAGTTGTCCGCTCCCGAGCAAAACTGCTCACTCTGCAAATTCTCCCCTGCCTCAACCAACCTCTCTCCACTCCCATCTCTGATCGCTCTCTGTCATCTGGCAAGATGTTCAAGAGGTGAGTCTCGGCCCCTCGAGCAACTTTTTTGCGGCCCCCGCGCGCCGTGCGCGCCAATTGAGGTCGATTGAGCTGACAGCGCTTCCTCGGTAGCGGCATTTCCTCCTTCGCCAGGGCCGCCCGGCCGTCCTTCGCGGCCGCGGCCACGCGACGTGCCATCAAGCCTGCGTCCCTTCGATTCCCTCTCAACAGCCGGTTCGCCTCTACCGCCAGCGTCGGTGATGGCAAGATCCACCAGGTGAGCGCGCCTTCGGACACCCCCGGCCGAGCGGCTTTTTGCTGACGAAAACAAACCACAGGTCATTGGTGCCGTCGTCGACGGTCAGTCAAATCTCTGCCATCGGGCTCGATATGCGCCCGAATACTTCACACGAACACGCCCGCTGATTGTTTTGCAGTCAAGTTCGACAGCGCCAAGCTGCCGGCCATTCTGAACTCCCTCGAGACGGAGAACAACGGCCAGAAGCTCGTCCTTGAGGTCGCGGTATGTGCAGTCGCATGAGGCAATTCGTGGCCTTCCTTCTGGCGCTAACACAACTTGCAGCAACATCTCGGCGAGAATGTCGTCCGCTGCATTGCCATGGACGGTATGTCACCTTGTCCTTTCACTGTTTTTTTCCGCTGGTCTCCGCGACCCCGGGTGGAGCCCGCTCTGACTCGTCACAGGTACCGAGGGTCTCGTCCGTGGTGCCATGGCCAAGGACACCGGTGCCCCCATCACCATCCCTGTCGGCCCTGCCACTCTCGGCCGTATCATGAACGTCACCGGTGACCCGATTGACGAGCGTGGCCCTATCAAGACTGACAAGTTCTTGCCTATCCACGCTGAGCCGCCTACCTTCACTGACCAGTCCACCTCTGCCGAGATTCTGGTCACTGGTATCAAGGTCGTCGATCTGCTCGCTCCCTACGCTCGTGGTGGAAAGATCGGTCTCTTCGGTGGTGCCGGTGTCGGCAAGACCGTGTTCATTCAGGAGCTGATCAACAACATCGCCAAGGCTCACGGTGGTTACTCCGTCTTCACTGGTGTCGGTGAGCGTACCCGTGAGGGTAACGATCTGTACCACGAAATGCAGGAGACCTCGGTCATTCAGCTCGAGGGCGAGTCTAAGGTGGCCCTGGTCTTTGGTCAGATGAACGAGCCCCCGGGTGCTCGTGCCCGTGTCGCTCTTACTGGTCTTACCGTCGCCGAGTACTTCCGTGACCAGGAGGGTCAGGATGGTTAGTTCTCGTCCACTCATGCCGAAACATGTGCGTGTTCCGAGGCTAATCAACGTGCCAGTGCTGCTTTTCATCGACAACATTTTCCGATTCACCCAGGCCGGTTCCGAGGTGTCTGCCCTGCTGGGTCGTATCCCCTCTGCCGTCGGTTACCAGCCCACCCTCGCCGTCGACATGGGTGGCATGCAGGAGCGTATCACCACCACCAAGAAGGGCTCTATCACCTCCGTCCAGGCCGTCTACGTCCCTGCTGACGATTTGACTGACCCTGCTCCCGCCACCACCTTCGCCCATTTGGACGCCACCACTGTCTTGTCCCGTGGTATCTCTGAGTTGGGTATCTACCCCGCTGTCGACCCTCTCGACTCCACCTCGCGTATGCTTGACCCCCGTATCGTCGGCCAGGAGCACTACGACACCGCCACCCGCGTCCAGCAGATCCTCCAGGAGTACAAGGGTCTCCAGGACATCATCGCCATTCTGGGTATGGATGAACTTTCTGAGGCCGACAAGCTCACCGTCGAGCGTGCCCGTAAGATCCAGCGTTTCCTGTCCCAGCCTTTCACCGTCGCCCAGGTCTTCACTGGTATCGAGGGTAAGCTGGTCGACCTCAAGGACACCATCGCCTCGTTCAAGGCCATTCTGGCCGGTGAGGGTGACAGCCTGCCTGAGGGTGCCTTCTACATGGTTGGCGACCTGGCCTCGGCCAAGGAGAAGGGTGAGAAGATTCTTGCGGAGCTGGAGAAGAACTAGGCGACCTTTGCTGCATAATGTCCGGCGATTGTGGAGTGGGAGCCTGTGTATAGACCAGAGGAACCGGAGCCGGGGAGGTTTCTTTCCAAGCTCCATCAACTAAGTCTCTTTTGTGGGCTGTGTACCAAGAAATCAAAATTCCCCTTGTAAAGCACCATATTACTCGCTCCTCATTGTGACAAAGTTTGCGACTTGAAATGTTGGTTCAATGGCGACGGCTGTCAATTTCGTTGGGTCCGCATACAGATCGGGAAGTGAGCTACTCCACGTTCTCGCCCGCCAGCTCTCCGACCCGCGCCACCGTAGATCTGGTAATCTGGAACTCTGCAGACAGAACTCCGCATTTTGCTACCGAAGTGCCGGCACCTTGACACCTGTAGAAGACGTCAGCCTGGACTGGTGAGTGGTGGCAGTGATGTCAGAACCTTGTCGGGGTGGACCGAGGCCCGGCTGTAGGGTGAGTGGGTGGGTGCTCCTGAGATGGTGGACGGGAAGTGGCATGACAGGGTCAATGAAGTCAACGCACGCCAACTGCGGCACGACGGTCACGCAGACGTCGCCCCCAATACTTGGTTCAGATCATGGTAATCATTACAAAACTTCTGTGGACTTGGGAATACCTAAACGGGCATCCAAGATGCTTGCTGACTGTTTCACAATCACGACGCTAGACCACAGATCGCTGTAAACCCAAAGGCATCAGGGGTCCCTCATGGGATGGGGTATAACTTCCAGATAACCAGTCGCTTCCACCGCCAGCGCCCAAGAACAAATCAACGCCCGCTTCCACCGAATTACGCGTTCCGTTCATGCAGCCTTATTATCGTCAGGGTTCTACTAGAGACTCCCAGGGTTGTGAGGTTCGAGGTCCAGAGACAGACGCGCTGGCTAAGACCCTTCCCTAGGTCCAGGGGCGGTACTGTAGTCGTCAGGAATCTCGGTCACAGTTCTAGCGCGAACCGCCCTGCCCTCGTCGTCAACCCAGGTAAGCTCTCTTGTTTCGGCTTCCTGCTGGGCGTCCCAGTAACCTCCGGCTGGTATCTGGGACACCCATCGCGTGTTGCCGAGGATGATGCGGGCAACCTTGAGCTCATCTTCCTCGCGGATGGCATCTTGTGGCATCTTGAGGAGATGGCTCCATTTCGGACCGAGGTGATCCAGGAGATCGTGGAGCGAACGGTTTCCGACACCCTTCAGCCACCAGACTCCGCTCATAAGCTTGAGAAAGGCGGCGTAGTGGGCGAGGATGACGAGGGCTCGTGGCAGCATGTTCTGTACGCAATCCACGAACTGCTGGGGCAGGAACGTAAGCCAGGTGATGATGCGCAGCCTCATGACTGCGCCAAAGCCGCCCAAGCGCAGATTCTGAAAAAGCGAGCCCAGGAACTCGAGAGCCTTGTAGTATATGCGTTTGTGCTGATGTTCCGGGTCGCCCTCCTTGATGTCTTCTAGCATGAGAAGGAGGTGGCTAGGGATATCGGCAGCCGACAAGTCGAGATCAATCTGGGGTCTGTAGAATAGAGGTCCGAGGCCGCTTGCCTGCACCTCCTCGGGACCTATGTGGTCAATCAAGAGCCCGATGCCTCTCCACACGACGATCCAGTTGACGATGTAGCACTTGGGGCCGTACAAGTCTCGAAAGTTTTCCGAAGCGAGTGCCGTGAGGAGCAGGGCATTGGCGAGCATGGCGCATCGGTCCTTGCCGTTGGGCGATGTTATTACGTGTCGGTAGCCTTCGAATGCGCGCGCCCTGTATGCGATGGCTCGTTGCTGGTTGTGGTCCATGAGAAGCGTCTGCTGGTGGAGACTAGCCAGGCCGAGCAGAGTGTCCATGAGGAAAGGCGAGCCGAAGGCGTACTGCACCACGGTGGTCCTCATAATGTCCTCGATGGGTCTGAAGTCGCCGCCTTCAATGGAGAAGGATGAGCAGGTGTTGGTCGTGTAATACCAGAGGAACCTCATGGCAGTCTCATCGAAATCAGGCGGCAGAAACTGCGGCTCGATGACGACGGGCGAAGCTGCGGTGCGGACCAGGGCGGCGGATGATGAAGAAGAGACCGAGCCGGACGGCGACGAGCCCGAGGCCGAGTCTGGGGGAGTTGCGTATACGCATTGTTGATTGCGTAGCCTGCAGTTCCTGCAGATGGGCCGGATTTCATCGCACTTGACCTTGCGGGTCTTGCATGTGAGGCAACCCTTGCGAGACTTCCGGTGAGGTCGTTTCGGATGATAGGGCTTCTCCGGCGGCTGGCCGTCGTCGGGCGGCAGCACGGGAGCGTGTCCGAGCACTGGCTCCATGTGGTCACCGTCACCGGTGGATGAAATCGCTGGTGGCGGCGCGGTTCATGCACGAGGGCATGCGTGTGAGGCAATACAGCTAAGTTGCCGTATGTTGTGCAACGCGGGCGGATGAAACGGCGCGCAGCCGGGGTGGTGAGGATGATTGTCGGCGCGGCAGCTGCTGATACAAGATTTCGGATTTAGGAGCGTAAAGGATCCCGTTGAGGGTGGATGAGCTGAGAGAGAAGTAAGAGAGGATGAGGGGAAAGGGTGGACAGGCGAAGAGGTGATGGAGGCTGCGTGAGCAGGCCGACGCAATGAATGCATGGGGAGGTAGAGAAGGAAGGTAAGTTTAAGTTGAGCAGCCGCGCTAAGAGAAGCCCTGGCTGGCGGTGGAAGAAGCGTCGACCCGGGAGAGAATCCTGCGGGAGGTGGGAAGGGAACGATAACACCGCCGCATCGAAGGATGGAAGGCAGGCGCCCGGAGTCCTAAACCGCTGAGCTTTGGCAACCTTGAGAAGCCTTCGTACTCGAAATGCAGATGCGAGTCCAAGGCCGCGCAATGTGCACACCTCGATGCGCATCACGAACGCCACAGCAGACGTGTCGCTCAACTGCCGCAGCTTCTGTCACGACCACTGAAGCATACACGCGATGACAAGAGCAGCACGCATCGGGCTACGACGGCACTGGACAGGGCAGGGCAGGGCTGGCCAGGGCACAGCAGGGCATGGCCTGGCACAGCATGGGGCAAGCAATTACCAATACCAACTGGCGCGGCTGCGGCCCCCCCCGGCGAGGTTGGGCGACGGCGGCAGAACCAAGGATCCGCGACGGGGAAATTCGATGCCGCCAGGGCGCGACAGCCGACGCCATTGGGCAATGCGTGGCAGTGCTGTATCAATGACGCCTCGTCGACGACGATGCGCCGGCAGGCTGACGGCTGACGACGGGCGGGCGGGGCGCCCGGCGCACGAGGACGCAGGAGGGAAAGGGTTACTGTTACGCCTGCGATACGGCGTGGACTTCTCATCACTCGTGCCTGGTTCAGGGGGGTTGGCCTGCGGCTGCGGCAGTGACGAACGCTGACACGCGTCCTCCTCGGGGGCTTGCCGTGGTGCTTGTCCATTTTCATGGTAGCACTCTGTGCGAAACACGGCACCACTTTGGGGATGGCTCCCTCATCCAAGAAAGAGTCATCATCAGCCGTCAACAAGGCAAGTCATCAGACTCGCAGGAAGGCGGCTCAACCGGACGGTATTACTCTCCAGCACCAACATCAGGAAAGGTCGGCAGAAAGGGAAAGCTCGGCTCGAAAATCAGGTAATATCTTACTAAAAAATGCATCGAAAGTAATTACCCTCAGCTTTGGCCGCATTCGAGGGCGCACCATGGCAGGTTGCGCGCAGGTTGTTGAATGTTCAGGTTGATATCGGAGCTGCAGCCATGATGGATCCATCCATCAGGCCCTTTGGCGTTGGCGCCAGCGACGCGCCACGGTCCACCTCACTGGCGTCTTCCACGAGAGCCGCTGAAGCTGTTGCGGCGGCTGACGGTTGGCGCCGAGTCTTGGCGCTTGGTCGCCTGCACCCAAGGACCTAGGTACATAATGTAGTTACCTGTATCCATGGATGCCCGCGGTACTGCCCAGAGAGCTTCCCCTGTGCGAGCCGGCCAGGCGCGGAGGACGGGCGCCTCGGGCTGGGCGGGGTGCAACTTGGGTAGGTACTAGGTACCTAGGTTGCCCGTGAGCTCCAGGCTCGCGGCCCAGGGCACCGACAGCGCTACCTATTGACCGCCAGCGACAGCTGGAGCCCTGGAGCCATCCATGGACCCCAGCCAGTCGCCAAACGGCCCACCACGGCGCCGAACCGCCGATCCGACTTGTGGTCGGTCGGTGTGTGGTGGATTATTATCGTGCCATCCATCGACGCCGGAGCAGAACCGGAAACTTCACCCCATCCGACACGACACGACATCAGCACGAGCTGCGCACCCCCCCTTTCCACGCAACTTTTGCGCCGGCGTCCGTCGCCGAGCCGTCCGGATGCACGCTCCTGCAGTCCGCCGAGCGTTTCCAACGGTTGCATTCGCCGCCAGAGCCCCCGCCGCGCGGGCCCTCCATACCTCGAATCCGGCCCGCAATGCCGCCCATGGCTCCGGCGGCAAGCCCGCGGATGACTCCGTGACCGAGCACGACGGCGATGCCGAGGCGCAGGCTGGTACCGAGACGTCCGGCGGCCGAACCAGGAGCCATGCGGCGGGCCCGTCGAGAACGCGCCAGGCACGGAGGCGCATCGCCTCGGCCCTGCCGCCCGTCCAGCTGCCGCCCAGCTTCCTCGACAGCAACGTCTCCATCTTCGCCCCCGGCGCCCAGCCCCGGCTCCCGGCCGCCATTGCTGAGGATGCGAGGCACCCCAAGGTCTCGCGCCTTTTCCACGACCAGAACCCCAGCTCCCAGCAAGGGCACCAGGCGCTGGAATCGTACTTTGAAACGGCTCTGAACGACCTCTTGCTCAGGGACACCGAGCTCGCCGTGGACTTTGCGCGATCTTGCACCGCCATTGGCGATGCTTCTTGGAACTCGCCCGACAAGATTGAGAGGGTGGTGCGCCTCTGGGACATGATACTCGACTCCGCATGGCATCTCACCGATGCCTTGTATCCCGCGCGACAAGCGCAATACATGTACAAGACGCGGCCTTTTTGGTGGTGGCATATTTACAAAGACCTCGACCCGCGAACCCACCGCTTTCGCGACCAGTCTCTTCCCCTTGCGATGTGGCTCGACAACCAGCTCAAGCATGCCGAACGCCTCGAGAAGCCCCTCGCCCACGCCGTCGCCGATTTCCCCATCGACACCCTAGCCGCGATGCAAAAGGCGATCGGTCGCGAGCTCAATGCTTCGCCGCCGCCCAACTTCGATTCGAAGACGAGTAAACGACCCATCACAGTCTTGTCGCTTTCGGGCTACGGAGGAAAGGCCGTGGCAGAGTCAATAGGGGAACACCTTTCTCTGTGGAACGAGGCTGACCTCGTCCGTCTTGATGCCCACGACCTGTCTGCCCTGGTTGGCGAGTACCTGGGCCAGAACTGGGCATATTCCCGTGGTCCTGTGTCTATGCTCGGATTCCGAGCTGCAGAGCTCAATGGCAAACTGGCCGTGGACACGGAGTCTGCCGGACGGCATCAAGACGATGACGACGGCGATGCCGAGGCTGGAATCCTGGGTATTAGGACTGCAACTGGGACACTGGAAGATGAGCTACAAAAGATTAGGCAGGGTGGGTATGACTGCTTCAGCAAGTGGGAGAACCTCAAGATCGACAAGATTCTGGACCACATCATCCGTTCGGCCTCTCTCAAGTCGCAATCCTCACAGCCTCGCCCTGTTCTCCTGCAGATTCACGACCTCGTTGAACTGAGCATGACGTTGGAAGGCTCCTTGCTACTTAACAGGTTGAGGGCGTTGGTCGACGGTGCCTGGCAGCAGGGCTTGCAGATTGCCGTCTTGGGCACATCTTCGTGCGAACAGCCGTCGGACGAATATCAAGGCGCAATCAGGGACCTTGCCGTCGGAGACTTGGTCATTACCCGCCATATCCAACCAGATCGGGCCGACAGGCACAATGCCAAAAACCGACTGCCAACTCCCTTTTACCTGCAACAAGCGGACTACTTTATCGAGAACCTAAACAACATCAACAGGATGCTCAGAGCCATGGAGCCGGACGCGGCACAGAAATTCCTCGACCCGTCAAGCGATGTCCTGCGGGGCTACTTGATGTCTGCCAACCCACGCTCCTCGATCTTTCGCGATTCCATACTCCCCATCCCGGAGATTTATCACCTTGCGTGCGCATTCAGGGCCCTCGAGCAAAGCCGTGAAGGCAGCGGGGCGGTGGGGTTTCTTGAGCGGTTCAAAATGGGACCGCTGCGGCAAAGACCTGGGCAGCTTTTCCTCGACGAGGAACGATTAGAGGAAAGAGGCGAGCCGGGCGATGCGACCAAGTCCGCAGAAGAGAACAAGGCAGACGCGCGAGCGCCCATGAAACTCAACGAGTACGAGAAGAGGATCTCTGCTGGTCAAATTCACCGGGAAAACCTTCGAACGACCTTCGATGATGTTCACGTCCCCCCGGAAACAATATCGGCGTTGAAGCTGCTCACCTCATTGGCGCTCGTACGGCCAGACGCCTTTTCTTATGGCGTTCTTGCCCAGGATAAGATACCTGGCTGCCTCCTTTACGGCCCTCCCGGCACGGGCAAGACGATGCTCGCCAAGGCCGTTGCAAAGGAGAGCGGCGCCAACATGCTCGAAATCAGCGGCGCAACCATCAACGACAAGTGGGTTGGCGAGAGCGAGAAGCTGATCCGCGCAGTTTTCACGCTTGCGAAGCGGCTGTCGCCGTGCGTCGTCTTCATCGACGAGGCAGACTCGCTGCTTGCGAACCGCAGCATGTTCAGCAACCGCCCTTCACATCGCGAACACATCAACCAGTTCCTCAAGGAGTGGGATGGCATGGAAGAGACCAACGCTTTCATCATGGTGGCGACCAACAGACCGTTTGATTTGGACGACGCGGTTCTGCGAAGGCTGCCACGCAAGATCCTGGTCGACCTCCCGCTCAAGGACGACCGCACGGCCATTCTCCGGCTGCTGCTCAAGGGCGAAACCCTAGACGACTCCGTCTCGCTCGAGGACTACGCCGAGAGGACGCCGCACTACTCGGGCTCCGACCTGAAGAACATGTGCGTCGCCGCGGCCATGGCGGCCGTCGAGGAGGAGAACGAGGCCGCCGCCAAGCACACTGGCCCGGAGCCCTTCCAGTACCCTGAACGCCGTGTGCTGCGCAGGGACCACTTCGAGAAGGCGCTCAAGCAGATACCCGCGAGCATCAGCGAGGACATGGTGTCGCTGAAGCTGATTCGCAAGTTTGACGAGGAGTACGGGAACCGCAGGAAGGGCGGCAAGAAGAAGGCCATGGGCTTTGGCATCCTCGACGATAAGCAGCACGCCAACGCCGTCGAGACGAGGATTCGCCAGGATGGCGGCAGCAGCAGCCCCTGAATGCATGTATATCTTGGTGTTCTTTTTCCATTGGCATGACTGGCGCAAAAGGGAAAAAAGGCCCCAAGGTAGCAAGGGACCATATTAGAAGGCGACATGGATATTCATTCATATCGCCGCATGTACATCATATGCGTGGGAACATTTCGGGTTTCATATGTTGTGTTTTAGTACATAGGTTTCTTCTTTCCAAAACGCGACACGCCTGATCCGTGTGGCAATTTTCTTTATTCTTGGTGTTACGCCCGTCAAACGAAATGAGTATCACAGAGCCCAGGGCTTGCCTGCCCCTCCCTTGGCGACATGCCCGTACGTTGGTACATCGTAGAGCCATTGACACCGCATCCAGCGTGAGGATCGGTGCTCTTTCATTCTGTCGAGATCTGGATGCCTTCGGCGGCAAGGGCCCTGGAGTAGTCCCCTTGCGCCTTGGCCAGGGCATCTAGCGCGGGCTTCATCATCTTCAGTACGGCCTCGCGTCCACCGCCCACCATGTCCGATTTCCACCGAATCTTCTTTCCGGTGCGCTCGAAGTGGTCACGAATCTCCTGCTTGCGCTTCCGGATGATCGCTTCCCTCTCCGTCTCGGCTTCGTCCGCCACGGCGGTGATGCGCGCGGTGGAGCGCTTCAGCGATTCGGCCAAGTACTGCAGCTCGGCAGCACGGTCTGGGTCTCCCGAGAGAAAGGCCGTCCAGAACTGGTGCAGGAACTCGATGCTTGTAGCGTGCGTGAGAGCGCACTTGTCCACCATGCCGGCGGGCAGGCCCATGGGAGACGTTGCGTCGCTGGCGTGACCGTACTTTTGAGCCCGCTGTTGGAGAATGCCCGACATGACCTCCTTCTCGGCGGCCTTGACGGCGGCGCGTGACCCGACTTGGGTCCGCTTCTTTTCTTCGTCGTCGCTGTCGCTTTCGTCGTCAAACTGGACGGTTGCGAGAAGACCACTCTGGTCCGTCGTCCCGTTGGCGTCAAAGGCTCGAACGTTCGATCTCATGCGGGACAGTACTTCCGCCGGAACCTGCGCCGCAAAGATGCGCTCGTTCGTCGACGGTGCCGAGTCTTGCTTCTTGAAGAACTTGTTCTGCTCCTTCACGTTGAGCATGATGCGGTGCTCTTGGGCGTCACCCCGGAGATCTCTCAGCGACAGCTCGTTGTACGTGCTGAGGTTGTCGTCAACAGGGGTGTCCGACGGCGCAACGTTGGCCATGATCTTCTCACTGAGGCTGTTGAGAGTCTTGACAATGGGTATGTTGCTCCTCGGTCGCATCTCGACGTCCTTGGCGTTCCCGGACTTGAAGCCGCCTTGGTTCTCCTCGTTCGCCTCGATGTCGATGATGTGCGGCACGCTCTGTGCCATAATCCTACTCTGAAAGCCTTCCGTATTCTCGCTCACGTCGTACTTGTCGAAGAGCGCATCCGGCCGGTCATTGTCATTCACACGCTCTCCCCTCAGTTTCTTCGATAGCCTGCTGAGGAAGAACCGTGACCAAAACTCGGCCTCTGACACCTTCGGAACATTCTCATTGTATATCCGCTTCACGAGGGGATGCTGTGCGAATATCATCTGCACCTGTTCGACGCTAATATTGAGCTTGAGCTCTCCGTCAACGGTGCGTGGCTTGACTGTTGAAAGCACGTTGTAGGCGCCCCTTTTCTGATTTATTTCGATGGCATGTGCCCTCAGGAGGTTTGTCCGGGTGGACCAGAATTGTGAGTTAAAAGCCGCTCCGGAAATAGACTCTGGCTTCGCCGCCATGGCCTCCATATAAGTTTGATAGAGGGCTCGGTCCTTCTTCATGAGGGACTGCTGCAGCTCAATGTCAACTTTGAGCTGGCTGTCGTCAAACCATCGAGTCGAGGATGGCTGCGCATTGACCGCGCTGGCAAACGCCATGGAAGCGGAGGCGCTACCGCTGCCGTTTGCGACAGGAGTCGATGAGCCCGCCCCGGACGGTGTCCCTGCTGCGGCGGGCCGCGGGATGCTGGCATCGTTGGCGCGAAGATCTGCCAACAGTCGGGAAAGCACATCCTTGATCGACTTTGCTTCCGTCTTGGCTTCGGAGGTGTGGAAGTGGAAGAGATACGTGACCGGGTCGCCTCCGCTCTCCGACTTCTCGAAGATCTTGAGCATCACCTTGGCTGCGCTGTCCGGTGTCTGCTGAAGGTCTGGAGGCACCAGGTTAGCGGCTGTCTATAACCAGTCTGTGGCAGAAAGGCAACCGACTCGTTATACTGGCGACGGGCAGAGAGACCGTCGGCGGCCCCCCTGAGTTGGGCGTCCATGTAACCGTCTGGTTGTCGCCGGTCAAGGTCAGGATGCCGTCCTTTTTCTTATACAGAGTGCGACCGGCGGGGGTCGCCATGATTGCGACGCCGTAGAGGACGCGAGAGGGCGTGGCGCTAATTAATCTCTTCCCTTCTATAGCTGCGCACTTGCCGTGCTCATCGCCGCAGCTCGCGATCCCCAAGGTTCACCGCGCGCGCGCACGTGAGGTTCAGCACACGGCCTTGTTTCCCATGTATCTCCGATCCTCTGAGTATCCGATGAATAGTGAGAACCTAGGGTAGCCAAGCGTTGCTGACGATAGCTTATTTCGGTTGCCGATTTGGCTAATAGATGCGGTGGCGGCGGCGATAATGACGAGTCTGGTGGTTGATGACGAGGAAGTGAGGTGTCAAAAGGCGTGTTCCGTGATGATACAAAGTACCTGCACGCCTCGCCTTGCAGCAAGCGAGTGCTGGTGGATGCTCAAAAGGTACGTATTTCCAGGACCAGCAGCCAAGGGAAGGCTCACGTAAAAAGTATGTAAAAAGTACGTGCCTCTCCGGCGAAGTGAGGCTGGTGCCTGCAGCGCAGCCGGTGTGGCGTCGCGCGTCTTGTCAGCGCAGCGTGTGGCGTCGGCAATGCAGCGGCACAGCACACCGGTGAATTCCCCCTACCCAACCCGTACCGTACGAATTGGCGCGCGCAGGACGGCCTGGCAGCGGCCACGGGTGCGCCGGCGGGGGAGGCCACGGGCGCGCTACGGCCGCCCCACCGTGTCACGCGCACTGTCGCAGACCCTCCCTGGCGCCCCTTGCCCCGGCGCGCTGGAATCGGCAGGCCCCCCAACAAGGGCGCTGGGAGTGGCGCCGGGACCTCGCTGGCTCGGCTGGGCGCGCGGTGAGTGGCCGCCGGGGCCCTGTGACCTGCCCCCTGCCCCCCCTGCGGCCCTTCTGTGGCCTCTCCCAGACGCTCCTGTGGCCCCGGGGCGCCCGAGGGGGGGTCCCAGTGTTTGGTTCGCTGGCCCGGTGAGAGGGAGCCTGCTGGTCCGGGGCGGCGGCAGGATTTGCCGTCATACACGAACTTTTCCGCTTTCTACTGGTCCAGCTCGCATTAACACCTCGCCAACAGAGTCATCCGCCTCTCCTCTCTCTTCTCTCTTCTCCTCGCAGAAGAAAGACGACGACGACTTACTCCGCCATTCATTTGTGCGATCTCTGCGATCCCCCCCGACAGCTGTGGGATGTGTCGTCTCTCCGAGCTGTGACCTTTTCCGCCTTCCCGTTCCCATATCCCTCACCGTCCCCGAAAGCTCCATCCCTCGACTGCTCGCCACCAAATCCCTCGCCATGTTGAGGAATTCGCTCTGCAGGGCCAGCTCCCAGCTGCTCCGCGGTGCCAGATGCCCGGCCGTCTCGTCAAAACGCACCCTCGCGACCACGTCGGCCAGCACCTCGTCATGGAAGCTCGCCGCCGCCCGCAGGCCCTTGGCCGTCTGCGCCGCCCGTTCCTACGCGACGAGCGCGACGCATTCGCCCCCCGACCCCAGCGACAACTTCCTCTCTGGCAGCACCGCCAACTACATTGACGAGATGTACATGCAGTGGAAGGAGGACCCCAAGAGCGTCCACGTCTCGTGGCAGGTCTACTTCAAGAACATGGAGAGTGGCGACATGCCCATCTCCCAGGCCTTCCAGCCGCCCCCGAACCTGGTTCCCAACATGACCGGCGGCGTCCCTCGTCTCGGCGGCGGCCTGGCTCTCGAGGACGGCTCCGACGTCACCAACCATCTCAAGGTCCAGCTGCTCGTCCGCGCCTACCAGGCCCGCGGCCACCACAAGGCCAACATCGACCCCCTTGGCATCCGCAACACCGCCGCTGGCTTCGGCAACATCAAGCCCAAGGAGCTGACCCTTGAGCACTACGGCTTCGGCGAGAAGGACCTCGACACCGAGTATACCCTCGGACCCGGCATCCTGCCGCGCTTCAAGAAGGATGGCCGCGAAAAGATGACGCTGCGCGAGATCGTGGCTGCCTGCGAGAAGATCTATGCCGGCGCCTACGGCGTCGAGTTCATCCACATTCCTGATCGCGAAAAGTGCGACTGGCTGCGCGAGCGCCTCGAGGTGCCCCAGCCCTTCAAGTACTCCATTGATGAGAAGCGCCGGATCCTCGACCGCCTCATCTGGAGCTCCAGCTTCGAGTCTTTCCTCGCCACGAAATACCCCAACGACAAGCGTTTCGGTCTCGAGGGCTGCGAGACCCTGGTTCCCGGCATGAAGGCCCTCATCGATCGCAGTGTCGACTACGGCGTCAAGGACATTGTCATCGGCATGCCCCATCGTGGTAGACTCAACGTCCTCTCCAACGTCGTGCGAAAGCCCAATGAGTCAATTTTCTCCGAGTTTGCCGGCACTGGCGGTGCCGAAGATGAGGGCTCTGGTGACGTGAAGTACCATCTGGGCATGAACTTTGAGCGCCCGACGCCCTCGGGCAAGCGCGTGCAGCTTTCTCTCGTCGCCAACCCGTCGCATCTGGAGGCCGAGGACCCGGTTGTGCTCGGTAAGACCCGTGCCATCCAGCACTACAACAACGACGAGAAGACGCACCGCACTGCCATGAGCGTGCTGCTCCACGGTGATGCCGCCTTCGCCGCCCAGGGTGTCGTCTACGAATGTCTCGGATTCCACTCGCTCCCTGCCTTCTCCACGGGTGGCACCATCCACCTGGTTGTCAACAACCAGATTGGCTTCACCACGGACCCTCGCTTCGCTCGCTCCACGGCTTACTGCACGGACATCGCCAAGGCCATTGACGCGCCCGTCTTCCACGTTAACGCTGACGACGTCGAGGCTGTCAACTTCGTCTGCCAGCTTGCCGCTGATTGGCGCGCCGAGTTTCAGCACGATGTCGTCATCGACCTCATCTGCTACCGCAAGCACGGCCACAACGAGACGGACCAGCCGTCGTTCACGCAGCCGCTCATGTACAAGCGCATCAACTCCAAGGAACCCCAGATCGATGTCTACGTCAACAAGCTGCTCCAGGATGGCACCTTCACCAAGGAGGACATTGAGGAGCACAAGCAGTGGGTCTGGGGCATGCTGGAGGAGAGCTTCGACAAGTCCAAGGACTACCAGCCCACTTCCAAGGAGTGGACCACGTCGGCCTGGAACGGCTTCAAGTCCCCCAAGGAGCTCGCCACCGAGGTCCTGCCGCACAACTCGACGGCTGTCGACCAGAAGACGCTGGACCACGTTGGGGAGATCATCGGCTCTGCTCCCGAGGGCTTCCACATCCACCGCAACCTGAAGCGCATTCTCAACAACCGCACCAAGTCGGTTGTCGAGGGCAAGAACATCGACTTCCCGACTGCTGAGGCCCTCGCTTTCGGCACCCTGGTGACCGAGGGTTACCACGTCCGTGTTTCCGGCCAGGACGTCGAGCGTGGCACCTTCTCCCAGCGCCACGCCGTCTTCCACGACCAGGAGACCGAGGAGACGTACACTCCCCTGCAGCATATCAGCAAGGACCAGGGCAAGTTTGTCATTTCCAACTCTTCCCTGAGCGAGTTTGGTGCTCTTGGCTTCGAGTACGGTTACTCCCTGTCGTCCCCCAACGCGCTCGTCATGTGGGAGGCCCAGTTTGGTGACTTCGCCAACAACGCGCAATGCATCATCGACCAGTTCATCGCCTCGGGCGAGGTCAAGTGGATGCAGCGAACCGGTCTCGTCATGTCACTGCCTCACGGCTACGACGGTCAGGGCCCGGAGCACTCCTCTGGTCGCCTGGAGCGATACCTGCAACTTTGCAACGAGGACCCGCGCGTCTTCCCGTCTCCTGAGAAGCTTGCCCGCCAGCACCAGGACTGCAACATGCAGATCGCCTACATGACGACCCCTGCCAACCTGTTCCACGTGCTGCGCCGCCAGATGCAGCGCCAGTTCCGCAAGCGTAAGTTGTCTCTGCGATAGAAAACAAGTAAGCTCCGCTAATAATGTACCCCACAGCTCTGGTCATCTTCTTCTCAAAATCCCTCCTGCGTCATCCTCTGGCTCGCTCCAGCATCGAAGAGTTCAACGGAGAGAACGCTGCCTTCCAGTGGATCATTCCCGACCCCGAGCACGAGACCGGCGCCATCAAGGCGCCCGAGGAGATTGAGCGCGTCATCCTCTGCAGTGGCCAGGTCTGGGCCGCCCTGCACAAGCACCGCGCGGACAACAAGATCGACAACGTCGCCTTCACCCGCATCGAGCAGCTGAACCCCTTCCCTTGGCAGCAGCTCAAGGAGAACCTCGACATGTACCCCAATGCCAAGACCATCGTCTGGTGCCAGGAGGAGCCTCTTAACGCCGGCGCCTGGAGCTTCACGCAGCCGCGCATCGAGACGCTGCTGAACCAGACCAAGTACCACGACCGCAAGCACGTCATGTATGCCGGCCGCAACCCCAGCGCGTCGGTCGCCACGGGCATGAAGCGCGTCCACCAAGGAGAGGAGCAGGACTTCCTGCAGATGGCCTTCACCGTCAAGCAGGACAAGCTCAAGGGCGAGTAAGCGAACGGTCAACCTTGCGCACAGCATTTTTTGCGAAATGCGTCAGATAGACAGTCACAGACGGAGAGGTTGGCGAGGAAGATGGCCAAGATCGAGTTCTACTAGAGGGCGGGCTCCGGCGGGGATCTGGGCCGAGTGATGGTGGAGGGCTCCTTTGTAGCACAACTAACTGTATCATAACCTCTCGTGAGGGCAAGCCGTAGTATCTGTACCCTTTGTTCCCCATAGCGAGGTTTAGGTACGGTAAAAGGTATATCTGGGATTATAATGTGCTTTTATAAACAGCGAGGTTTTGAGACGACTCGCAGCAACTTTTCAATCGTGTTGTGGGCAGCGTGAGTCCAAGGCGGCCCAATGTTTTAGATGCATCTGGTCATATACTGGACAGACTCGTGTCATTCTCCATCGCCTATGTAGTCACTAACTGCCATCTTCAGGCTGTATCCTGACTTCCCAGGGGCGAACAACGCCGTCGTCTCCCGTCGTGACCAGCATCTCCTCCTCGCCTCTCCGGGAGGAGCCCGCATCGTACCGCCTGCACCAGGTGACGTGGTTGACCTCGTAGGGGCCGTGGGCACCCGGCTGCGTCGCCACCAGCTTCCAAGACGCGGCCGAGGGGCTCGCGCCATTCTGTCCGTCGGCTGCCGGCTGGCCCTCCTGGGGTACTGCGTCCGGAGCTGGCACAGCTGCCGGCTCTTCCACCTCCTTGTACAGCGCGACGATGCCGTCGCTGCCCGTGCTGGCGACGAGGCCCGACTCGCCGCTCCACGCCACCGAGTAAATGTCCCTGCCATGGGCCATTGGCAGGACGGCGGTGCAGGTCCACTCCTCGCGCAGCGATCTCCTCATCGTGTTGGGGATGCCGCCGAGCGCGCTCCGGGCACCACTGCTCTGTCCCTCGTCGTCATCTTCATCGTCCTTGAGCGTCCAGACGCGAATCGTGCCGTCGGCCGAGTGACTTAGCAGACGGGGGAAGCGGCCGTGGCTGGGCCGCGGCTCCCACTGGACGCCCCAGACGGTGCCGTCGTGGCCCTCGAGCACTGCGACGCACACCCACTCACCGTCGCCGTCCTCGCGCCAGACGCGCACGGTGTTGTCGTAGCTCGCGCTGGCGAGCACATCCGGGCTGAAGCGGCGGCGGGCGTTGCGCCCGGGCACGTCGGGGCACCACGCCACGGCCTTGACGTCGCCCTCGTGCTCGTTGAGCACCGCGACCGTCTCCCACTCGTCGTCGTCGTCGGACGCGCCAATGTCCTCCCATATCCAGACCGACTTGTCGCGCGAGCACGTTGCCAGGTAGGCGCCCGAAGGCGAGAAGGCGCACGACTTGATCTCCGAGTCGTGGCCCTCGAGCACGAGCGTAAACTCCCAGTCCTTGCCGTCGCCGCCGCGGTCGCTGTCGTTGTCGTCGCCGTCGTCATCGCGGTCTGAGTCGTCACCGGCATGTGCAGCAGTGCTTCTGGCAGCGCTGCGGGCCGTCACCTCCATCTCGAGCGCGGGGCCGACCTCGCCCGCCGTATCGCCGTCCCAGCGCCATAGCCCCGCGGTGGAGTCGAAGCTGCCCGTGACGAGGCAGAGCTTGTGCGGCGGCAGGCCCGGCTTCCAGGCGACGGAGCGGACCGACCGCGTGTGCCCGCCGGTGAGGGAGCTGTGGGAGGAGAGGGTCGCGAGGGAGAAGACGGTGGCACTCTTGGAGTGTGCCGTCGCGAGGAGCGGGAGCGTCGGGTGCGGTACCGAGGCCCAGGCGCGCTCGTGCAGGTCGGGTTGGAAGGGCCGGAGCGGGAGGATCTTGACGCTCGGCGTCGTCGAGGACGACAACGGCTCCGAAGGCGGCGGCGGGGGCGCCATTGCGTCGTCGTGGCTCGCGAACGTCTCCTCGCGTGGCCGGTGACGAGCAAGACACGGGGCGGTTGGCAGGCAAGAGCAAGTCGGACACTATTGCCTGGGCGCGGTGTGTACAGGCTGGCAGATGGTGATGCTCGAGAGAGCTGAGCGGGAGAAGGAGTCCGATGATGTCGGTAAATTATTTAGTGGGATGGTGGTGGTGCCCCGCCTAATGTCTACCTGGACGTGGGATAGTCGCCCCGAAAGTCGGATCTTACTCCCCTCGGCAGCCTCACGTCAGGATTTCCATGAAACAGCAATCACGGACACCACACGCAGAAAAGATGAATTGAAACCCACAAATTTGTACGCCTTTGTCCGCTTTCATGATTCATGGAATCGTCAACATGATCGATCCCTCAAGTACAGTCTCCTTTTTCGCATAATGTTTCGGGCCAGTCACTCTATCAGGCCCCCCTTACTCCAGCAGAGCCAGGCTCAATTCTCCGTCCCCCCTGCCACGCGCCCAAACATCCCACTCAAGTAGTCGCCTATTGAGAACCCGCCCTCTTTGGTCTTTCCCGTCTTTCTGGACCTCGGGATCGATAGCCAGATGTACACGAGGAAGATGAGAGAGACCAGGACAATGGGCTGCAAGACTTGGACGCCGTGGCCCTGGGCAATGGCGCCGACCGCAAAGGGTAGCACCGTCGCGCCGCCGCCGCCCAACGCCGAGGCAAAGCCAATGGCACTGATGTGGTACGCCTGAGGCAGCAGCTTGGTCATGACGACGACGGTCGCCGGGAAGAGCGGGCCGAGGAAGAAGCCGAGCAGCCCGACGAAGATCATGGCGCCCACCATGCTTGGGATGAACCAGTAAAGCAGCTGCAGGGCAATGCAGAGCAAGAGATACGCCGTGATGGCCAATTTCTCGCCAACTTTGCCCGTGACGAAGCCGAGCACGATGCGGCCCAAGCTGAGGCCGAACCAGAAGAGCGTCGCCGTGACACCGGCAAGGAACGGATCCGCCTTGCGGACCTCGATCATAAACGTCGGGATCCAACCCCCGAGGCTGACCTCAACGCCAGCATAGGCCAGCAAGAAGATGGCCGCCAGCCAGACAATAGGCTCAGCAAGGACGACGCGCGTTGTGACCCCGTCTCTATGGCTGTCGCTCTCTTTGCGAAGCTTCTCCCGGTAGAGAGCCCCTGTTGCTCCCCAAAACGCCCAGAGGCCGAAAGCGAACTCGACGCAGACGGCACCAATCATCAAGTAATAAAACGTATACCAGGGGAACTCGAGCTTCGCCACCAATAATGACGCGATGAGGGGTGCGACCGTGCCGCCTAGACCGAACGCGCCGTGGATGATGCCAAGCAGCTCGTTGGTGTGCTGCATGTTGCCGACCCACGCATTGTATGCGCTGTCTTCGATTCCATTTCCAAAACCCACGAGCATGAAAAGAATTGGAATGACGGCAAACGGCGGGTGGAATGCCAAGGGGATATATCCAATGAGGCGGAATGTCGGGCCGAGAAATGCGACGCCCCTCTGTCCGACCTTGTAGTGAACCCAGTTGTTGGACAGGGCTGCCGTGACATATCCAAGGAACGGCGAGAGGAACATGGTCGAGACGACGGCGTAGTTGATGTCGTAGTATTTCTCAATCTGGCGAGAAGAACGGGTCAGTAATTAGCATCCATCTCATCAGTTCCCGCCATCATCTACAGTGATTGTACCTACAAATGGTAAGAGGGCCTGCAAAGGAATCAGCAAAGCTCAGCACAAGACGGGATTCAGGCGCTACTTACACCGATGCACCCATCATGCATCCCCAGGATGAATAACGAGAAGTTGACGGCAAAGTAACGATACTTGTTTATTGGCGGATAATCCCACCGTTCCCGGGTGTCAGGTCGCTCCTCGTCGTCACCGTCGTCGGGGTCATGGCGGACATCACCGCCCGTGCCGTTGGACAAGAGGTTCTGCGATTCGGCGTCCGCATGCAGGGAATCGTCGCGGTGGTCATCATGGTCGGGATCGAAGTGGTCTTCGTCCCTCAAGGCGATGCCGCTTTCGAGCGGTGGTGATGTGCTCATGGTCGCAACTCTCGCTGACCAAAGCTCACCGGTCCTGATTGAAGGCTCTGAGAAACTTCAGGCCAGAGACAGTGGTCGGAGACAGAGAACAGAGAGATGTTTCCGAGAGGAGAGACACGAGGCCCCCACATACTGAAGACGCTACTGTACCTTGTGCAGGCGGCCTCGTTGCCCGCCACTCCCCGGCCGTGAGCTTGAAAAGGTTACCGCAGGTCATGTCCGGGGGGCGGATGTCCGGGGCGGGTCAACCGACTCTACGAGCCGGGGAAACTCAGGGTGTTGACGCCACTCTGTCTTTAAATCGCCGAGGCGGCAGAGCTGAGCGAGCCCACGGTCTCGTGGTCCGTAACATGCCGCCTCCTTTCGAGCCGCCGAACGGGTAAAGTACCCCAATGGTTGTGTGTCAACCGCTCGTCGCGGGCCGGTGAGCCGGGTTCTGAACCGGTGTAGAACTGGAGGGCGCGGCCGGCGTTGGGTTGGGTGGGGGAGACTGTTCGGTCCGTGTCGCTTTTAGCTCACGCAGCCGATAACGGCGGGGAACACATGCGGCGGGGTCAGTCGGTAGGTCAGCAAGGGTTGGTGCGAACTCATGGCTGGGATGCTGAGTCCCTTGGTGAGGGTCGGTTGTCGTAGGCTCCATTTTCGTCTGGCGCCCGGGCTCGCCAGCGGGCCATCTTGCTGTCAAGCACCCGAGGGCAGACGCCACTCCGCAACCTTGTTGATCGATCGAGACGCGAACGACGTCGTTCTTCAACAGGGGGCGCGTCTCCCCTTGCACGGACCCTGACAACTTCCGACGGGTCAGGGGGATGAATGCGATAAGAGCAATGGAAGATCAATGGATGTTGTCGTGTCGCAGGTCATGTGTGACAGAGGAGGGCTCGCTGCCTCCGCCGTAACCCGGGTCCTGATCTTGCTTCTTGGTCATGCAGGGTAGGCACGTCCGCCTCGCGATGCTGAGGAAGGAACTGCCGGCTCAGCACCTTGAAGGGGTGAAGACTCGAGAGCCAAGAGCAGCACTCGCTCGAGTCTACATAATACGAGTGCCTTGGTTTGCTCGGCGGCAATGTCCATCCCCGTTGCTCTCGTTCTTTCGCCCCTGTCACTGGACACTGCTGCGAGCCTCATTCGTTTCTTGGCGATCCACCGGGTGTTCCCGATGCGACCCTCGGCGTCACCGTCACGACCTCAGAACTGCCGTAACTAATCGTAGTATTACCTCGTTCGCCGAGACGGGTGACATCACTGCGAGCCCTCCGCGGCAGCACCACGCCATGGGTCGGCCAGACGCCGCATCCCACCGTCGTCGCCGTCTCACCTCGCTCTGTCGCTACAGTCTGGCATCATCACGTCTCCGCGTCCAGCAACTCGCTTTCAGCTGTCCGTCGCGGGCTTACAAGCTGCATAAACCGCCCGCCTCACTGTCCGCCCGCACGCGCAACTATCGCCCAGCTCGGGCGTCTGCAGCCTTCGTGTGCTCGCTCAATTACATCCGGCATCATTAGCGTTGCACCGGCAGCGAGGCCTTGCGTTCGCCCCCTCGTGAGACCGCTGATCCGGCTGCTGAGCAATAGTCCATCGCCCGTCGCCTCCAAATCCGTGCCATCCGGGCGTCGCCTCAGGTCAGCTGGCCTTCCAGCCCTTGCCTGTGCCCCTCCACATATACACCATCGTCGCGTAGGGCTGACCAGGTCACTCAGCCCCAACATAATCATTGCTGCTGAGACGATCGCGCGTCTTTCCTGTGCCGCAGTCTTCCATCATTGTCGCATCGAGGTGTTTCTCGCAATACCTATACCCACGATCAATTTTAGCACGGGCCGTCAAGGACCATGTCGAGATATGAAGCAGAGGATGGCGGCCGTCGCTCGCGACGCGACCGCGACCACTCCCCCGAGTATCATTCTGGCGGCGGCGGCGGCGCAAGACCATTTGATCAGAACAATCAGCCCCCGCCTCCTCCCCCTCAACAGCAGCCACAACAGCAACCTCGCGGCCTGAATGAAGACTACTATCGCGAAAGCGCCGCCACGCTCGGCGTCCCGGCTCCAAACAACCCCCGGCCACGGTCCGTGCCTCCCCCGTCCTCGGCGGTCGTACGCCGGCCCCGCTCCCCGTCTCGGTCGTCTCGCAACTCGCGTTCCTCGTCCCGATCCTATCGCGGCCGCGGCTTCGATGATGACGATCGCAGTCGGTCGCGCGGCGGATCTCGTGGTCCCGATCCCATGAGCCGCGCTCGGGGCATTGTGCACGACAACTTTTCCCACTCGGCCGCAGGTATCGGTGCAGGCATTCTCGGGGCCGTGGTCGGGGGAATCGTGGCCAACAAGGCGTCCGAGGCGGCCTTCAAGCACAGGCACAAGACGAGCGGCCGAGGGCGCCGCCATAGCGATGAAGCAGCTCCACGCATGGTGTCCACAATCCTCGGTGCCGTGGCTGGAGGACTTGGTGCGAATGCCATCGCGAACAGGGTCGAGGACTCGCGGGACAAGGGGCGACACCGCCAGCTTGCGTGGGAGAGTCGCTACGGGCCTGAGGAGGACTTGCCGCATTACGACTCGGGGAGATCGAGAGACCTCGATCACCGAAACGGGCGCGGTCGGCTGTATCGAGACGATGATGACGACTACGATTACGTGTATGACGACGATAGAAGATCCAGCCGGAGTCGCGAAGGCAGACGCCGTAGGGACGAGGAGGCCGGCTTCCGATACCGATTCTAAGAACGACACACCACACTCACAATTAATGAGCTTGCTGACGACACGAGGACTGTTGCGATTTGGCGATAATATTTGCTGGCTCTATGTTTTGATTTCTGTGCCTGATCTGTAAAATGGATCATTTCTAAGATGGGGGATTGATGGGCGCCGAGTGGTTGTTTTGACGCAACGGGGACACCCTGGATACGTTTTCACGAAGTTACGGTTGCTGCGAGAGCAGGTTCCTCTGACGCAACCGAGGGCCACCAAGCCATGATCAAAGCAGTTATTTTTGACATTATAATACAAGTTCTTGTTTTGCCAACATCGCCCTCCAGCTTTACATCACATCCAGCCTTGGTCAAACCCAAGCCGGCTCAAATGTCTGCGCGATCGAATCCCTCACCGCGACTGTTACCACAAGTTTCCAGTTCTCCCATGTCCAGTCTCTCCAAAGCCCTTGTGTGGCCGTTCCCGTTTGTGACCACTCGCAGCAAAACATTTGATGCCATCTCCGTGGCACAAAAGCCGCATGTCCGACGGCGTCATATCAAAGTGCCCCGGAGCGCAGCCCTTCTGCTCCGGGCTCCTTTCCCGCCCTCGCCAATTGCCAAAGAATCTCCCTGTAATGACCGAATCGTATGAAAAGACAAAAAGAAAACCATAAAGCCCAGAACACGTCGCTGGCTCTTTGAATCTTGATTACATGTAAGTCCTTCGTCGGAAGAGCTTACTCAGTGTTAGCAGTGATGGCGAGGGAGGGCTCTCAAATCGGGCATCCTAGGTCCAGTCGCTGCATGCAATCACGGAAAAGTTAGCGAGCATAAGGAAGCGGATCCTCAAACCCCATGTCATACCCTTGCACCTCCCTTGCTCCGTACGAGGTGCGGTCGCCTGCCCTGTTGTCGTGCTCACGCGATGACTTCTTCTGGTGCGAGTGGCGGGGACGGTCGTACTGCTGCTGCGGCCATGCCGAGCTGGCGAAGCTCTGTCCAGGCTGCTCGACGCGGGTCTTGCGCACCTCGCGGCTTCTCTTTTCGCGGTACTCTCTCTCGCGCTCCACGATGGCCTTGAAGAACTGCGCGATCTCGGCGAGACCGACCTGTCGCGCGCGCGAGACGTTGATCATGTTGAAGAGCGACTGCGAGTCGACGAGCTGCTTCGCGACGACCGAGTCGGGCTGGCAGAAGGTGCGGACGCGCATCTGACGCGCGTTGACCTTCATGCAGTGCAAGAGGCCCGCGATCTCGACGGGGTTGCTCTGGCGGCGACCGTAAAAGTTGAAGTCATTGATGTGTAGGTTGACGAGCTCGAGCTGCGTCTCCAGGTCGTAACGGAAGCCAACGACCTTGGGGCGTCCTTGAGACACCCAAAAGTCCGCAATCTTCTTGAGGTTGTCGGCCACAAGATGGCCTCGCTCGAGCTCATCGGTGATGTAGTCGTGAATGGCGCCGGTGAGATGATACTCGAGCTCGCAGTAGAGCAGACTCTGCTCCCGTGGGCTGAGCGAGATGGCGATCTGGGATGGTGGTCCGGCGTCTTTGACCTGGGCCTGGGCCTTGCGGCTCGAGTTGAACTCTGCAGTCTGGAGCGTAACAATCAAGTTAGCCACGTCTTTCACTTCACCTCGATCTTGTTCCTCCCGTTGACTTACCATGTCTTTTGCAATCTTCTTGATACTTTCAAGGATACCCGCCTTCTTCTGCGGCGTCTTCTTCTCCTTCTCGGGCGACGAGCGCTCGGTGCGCTCCAGCCAGCCATTCTGCCCAATCATGGTCTTCTCGCCCTTCTTCACAGTTGGAAAGTCGCGGCCGCAGAAATACAGCGCCAGCGGCGAGAAGACCTGGTCCTCGAGGGTCTCGTCCCTTGCTGCAACGACGACTTGAGCAGCAGGAATGCGTGCTGGGAGCGCAGGGGGAGGAGTGGGAGGGCTGAGGGTGCTAGGGCGATGCAGACAGTCGGACCTGAGGCCCTCGGAGGTGCTCTTGGAGCGGCGAGGTCGGTGAGCCAGGCTCTCCACACGCGGAGGCGGCTGGAAAGAATCGCCAGTGCTTCGCATGGCGGTCCAGGCATTGTACATGTCGATGACGGGGCCGTTGGCGTTTCCGTCCGAGGAAGCAGTGGCATACGTGCCCCGTCGGTCCGTCGACATGGCCTGCTGGCAGGCCGGATAGAATCCAGAGGCTTGTTCACTCTCAGGGCGCGTTTGAACGTAGCCATGGTGTTCAAGGCCAGGCGGGGTAAGAGGCGACACTGGCATCGCCTGTTCGGGGTTGAAAGCAACAGCCCCGGCAACGCGTCGGGTGCTGACCTGGATAGGAGAAGGAGGCTGCATCTGGCGTCGAGCAGCCAGGTTTGGGTCCGCTCTGGGGGCGAAAATATCCGCCTGGGGGCGAGGCATCAGCTCGGAGAAGGTCGTCGACGCGACGCGCGACTCAGTATCCGCTTCTTCGCTGCTGCTGAAGGCGTAATTCATGGTCGGGTGGTTGCTGGAGCCTGGCTGAGACTGGGCCATGCGCTTGGTAGGCGTCGTGTCGACACGCGGACGCGCTCTGACAGGACTGCTAGTGACTTTGTTGGTGAAGCTGGGACGGATTTTCAGCCAAGATTCATCAAACGGAATAGGGATTGTAAAGAGGCAAGGTAGACTTACGCGTCCGTAATTTTGTCCATCTGCGTCTCCGTGAGGTTCATGCGAATGTGCAGCGGCTGCTTGGTCTGCTTCTTCTTGGGCGACAGCAGCTGCTCTCTGTTTGAACTTCCGGACCCGCGGGCCTTGTGCTTTCGAGGGGAAGGTCTTGACACGCTCGAAAGATTGGGTGGCTGGTCTCGGGGCTTCTCTGGGCTCTGTGACGGCATCGGGGTCTCCCTCGTCTGGCGACGATGGGCGAGAGAAACACTTGGGATGATGGCCCTGGCCAAACAGAGCTTGAGCCGCGGCAGCGGGAAAGACCGAAAATCCAGACGGTTGACCGTCTGTTTCTCGAAAGGATGTGCGCAAACGAGTAGTCTCGTCGGTATCTCGAGTTCTTGAGCGTAGCAAAGGGGGGAAAGGGGATGTTTGAGGGGTGTGTGTGTGGTGGAAGGAGGGGGGCTTGCAAAGGTGGCTGCGGGTGAGAAAGTGAGAGATTGAGAGGGCGGCAGAGGCGAGTGCGCGTTCTGAAAAGGGCCGAGTCGACTTTGTTGTTGTGTTCAGCCCGGCTGCCTGGCGCCGCAGCTGTGGGCAGCTGTTCGCACCCAGCCGCTGCGGCACGCCCCAGGGCCCGCTGTCAGCGGCCAGCCGAGGAGTGAACACCGCGTGGATCCGCGGCCCTACAGCTGCGAGCTATGAATGGGACGCCCAGCGCATCGAATTTGGCCGAGACTGGTCATGGGTAGCCGAAAACATTGGCTACCTTGTCCCAGACGCATGCCCAATTCTGGGGAACGCAAGGCGGCAAGGCCTCCTGTTTTGCAGGCACCGACGCCCGCGCGCACGAGAACGATTCGCATTGCATTCCCAGTTTACGTCTTTGAGCTGTCAGCATGTCACTAGGGCTCGCTTCCATAGGTATACAGTTGGGGCATCAACATTTCGCAGTCGCTCCCGTGGCCAAAGGGTGGTTGTGTGGCGTCCATTCAAGGGGTACCCCCAGGTTTGACCTGCGCGCTCACAACAGCAGAACAGGGCACAGTCGGGTACGATGCTGCTCTAGCCGATGTAGAGATTGTGGCCATCGATGAAGGATTAGTCTTCACATCATGGCACCGACCGACGAACCCTGCAACGCCTACTCTGCTTGTCAAGAGCCGCTCCCGCCACGATCTTGCGCCGAAGCCCTTCAATTGCCAGACAAAGACGACGCCCATCCAGCGCCACGGCGCTGCAGATTGAAGTCCACAGCACGTGCCGTGGAACGGCTGCGGCCAAGCCCATGATCATGCATGACACCGGCCATAAGCAGAAGATGGCTTTTCTATTTTGAGAGGGAGTGTGAACTGTCAGATTCATGCTACAGGCACCCCCAGCACGAAGATGGTCAGCCAGGCGTCAGGAACAAAGGCCGGAAAAAAGCTTTGTCGGTGGCGAGTGACGCCCGAGATGTTTTCATTGCAGAGCGCTGTCCTTTGTGTGAAACGTGGAGTCCATCGGCAAGTGCCCGCGGATCGCGCATTGGCGTTGAAGCTCTCTTTGCCTTGTTTGTCGGACCCGACATTAAAGCACGCTTCACGCGGGCCCTCTGCCATGGCCGGGTTTCGTTGCCGCCGGTTGCCGGCCGCTACCTTACCTACCGGCGAGCTATGCCGAGGGAGCAGCCTGGTGCGGTAGTTGGGGTGGCTGTTGCCGTCTGGCACTCCCGCGCCGGTTTCAGAAAGCGCCCGCTACGGCGAATACGGCGGGGGTACAGGCGTCTCTCTAAGAACGGATCATAGATGCGGATGATGTCTACGCGATCCTGCTGCCGAGAAGAGCTGCCAGTCTGCTGGCGACTCAAGTTCCAACACGCCCCGTCAAGGACGAAGATGACGCCTTGTGGCCTGACAGCGTGTTCCCTCGGTGGGTGGCACGGTCGGTCTCTTCGTGCTGCTAGGGATGAGGGTAGAGATCAAGGCACCTAGCAAGTCCGCCGACCCGTCCAGATGTTTTATTCGTAAGCCATCGTCTAGCGTTGACAGTTTACTCGGCCACGCAAACCTGCCCCTCTGCCCCGTTCCGGCCTCTCGCGGCACATCACACGTCACGTCGTGTGTTGCCCTTGCCAACTGCCACGACGGCGGCAGCAAAGCACCGTGACTTGGCCCGCAGGGCCTGGACCTTTGATCGCCCTTGACGTCGACAGGAGGGGGTGTCGAGCTAGCCACGTCCAGCTCATCATCATGGGGAATAGGATAAGAAAAGGGACGTCGATGCATGATGCAATTCTGTCTGGACCGGCCAAGAACTATTTGCGGCTTGGTCCAGGCGCCCCACTCAAAGACAGGCATGTTGCCATTCCCGACATGACATGCCGTGGCCAACGCGACGCAGGGGCAAAGGCTGAGATCCTGGGCGAGTGGAAAGTGGATTACGGTTGGGGCCCGGGGCCACGGCCAGGACTCTCACCTCCTCCGTGCTTCGTACACAATCCCTCACGGCTCCATCTGATTCTGGACCCTGGGCCAGGACCTCACACCGATGCGCGGGAACGTCCACGAAAGCAAAGTGTTGGCAGCAGTCTCGTGCGTGTCGCCCGCCAACGGTGGGCGGGCAATATGACCGGGAAACTAGGTTTTTTGCCGATGCCTCCCACTTGCAGATGATGTTGTCTTGCGCCTTGCGTGTTGGAGCTACACACGTGCGCCGGGTTTGACGGACGAGCCGGCGGCTATCGAACGCCAGGTGCCGCGGCCGCTGTCAGTCCTTGGGCGAGCCGTTGCTAAACTTTCGGGTCGGGCAGCTGCTGGTACATACAATAGATTAAAGTTTATCGTTTAACCTTCAGGGGGGATGTTCCTTCTTGTGGCTCGGGCTCGGAATGGCTGGTGACTCGTGAGGCGTCCTCGCCCTGGATTTAGCCGGCATATGTGCATGCTCGTGATTAGTCCAAGCCCTGCAGAGTCTGGACGCGTCCACCCAGGTCCGCGGCCGGCTGCGGTGGGCGCGATGCTCTGCGACAAGCTACGCATGTAAGTGACAGAGCGTCGGTAGGCGGTGGTCGTGGTCCCCGATTCGTGGCGGGTGAGATGTCGAAGGGACTGTTGGGTTCTGGCACGGAGCAGACGCACATGTTTGGCAGGCCGCCCGTGGGGCCCTGGAAGCCGCGTGCAGAGATAGGTGCTGGTGTTGGCGCAGCGGGGGGGATAACGAACATGCTGTACGGAGTAAGTACTGTACTGCAAGGTAGGCACCTACTGTCGTCGCGGTGCCGCTGCGATGGCCTTCCAGTTCCATTTCATACCGAACTCTCGCCCAAGGCTGGGCAGGAGCGCCCGCCCAAGGTAGTGCAGTGCGGCCAACAGCTCGCCTATTATTACCGCCCGGGCACTGGAGAGAGGCCTGAGAGAGACAGGAGACGGCCACCGCGGTGAGGTGGGTGCACCGGCTCGGCGACATCGATGGAAGGCGGTGTCGGCAACTTGGCACCAAGCAAGCAGTGGCAAGTGCCGTACGACTTGGAAGCCCATCCATCCATCTATCCATCCCTCTATCCATCCAGGAGCACAAGACTCATCATCCACCGCCGCGGCTGGCGCATTGGAGGGCGCGCTCGTGTCCCCTCTCTCGGTCCTCCCGTAACGTAGCTCGTACGTATAGTACGAGGTAGCAGGTGCTTGTCCCCTCCCATGAGGTACAGTACCATGGAAGGTGAGCGAGCAACCCTTGCGCCGCTGGGTCGCCAGCCATTGGGTCGCCGCATCACGAGTCACCAGTGACCACCACGTTGTCAGCAGGCTTGTCAAAATTCGACGTCTGATCTGGTCGCCGACCCGCCACGAGTCCACGACCAGGACCAGGTCAAGCAGACACCCACGCGCTTCCTGTGCCGCGCCCAATCAGCACCGTCGGCCCGCTTCCCCACAAGCGGCCTGCAACCTGGCTTCCCTGGCGCGCCATCAACTCCCGATATTCCTTCCCGGCTGGCCGGGCGCCACTCGCTCTCCAGTCTCCAGCGCCCCCCCCCCCAGGTCGACCCCACTAGCCTGCGCCGCGGTTGACAACTTGAGCCCGCCTTGGGTCTTGGTCGTCGACGAGGACTTGTGGCCACCCGCCTGTCCTCACGGCCACTGCAGCTCCTCATGTCAGATGGGCCACCACACGGCCAGCACCGCCTCGGGGCCGCCAGAGGTACTGCTGTACTTGTTCCCTCGCACTACGAGGAGGTAGGAAATGGCCGATGTCGTTGTCCCCCTTGTCCAGAATCCAGAGTGTCCTGGGCCGGCTTCGGTCTGTCCGCCCGACTCCTCCCCTCGAAACATCCGTCAAACCCTCCCCCCAAGGTCGGCATCCCATCAACGCCCTGCCCACGAAGCGGGATGACAGGCTCCTCCCCCGAGGATCCATCGCTGCTGCCCCGTATCGGGCTCGGCCAGATGCGAGACCAGGGGTCGCTTCCGATGGAGCAACGCCGCCAAGTGGTGAACGGTGACTTGCAAGCGGCTTGTCGATGACGATGCTGCAGAAACAGTGTCCCGAACAGGCCAAGGTCGTGGGCTGCCCTGCGTTCTGCACTGCTGACCGCGTCCGCCGTCAGCAGCCTCTGCAGCCTCTGCAGCCATCGTCGTCTCCCCCGACGCTTCTCTCGTCCTCGGCGCCCAACCACCAGCGCCACGCCCCCCGCCCGCCTAGCACGCGGCTCGCCGCCCCGCGGACGGCCAACCTGCCGCATGGCCATCTCGTCATCTCGATTACGTCGCTGGCCGTCGCTCCAGCACAGTACAGTGCTACCTACGGGGCGCCGTGCCCGAACTCCGTGCAGCATGCCTCCCTTCCTGGACCTCGCTCAGGCCAGCCGGGCCCCGAGCTCATGATCCGGCCGGCTGTCTGGGCTGGCAATCGTGCCGCAGCTAACCATGCCCGCCCCCGGTTTGACGATGCCGTGCTGCAGGGCCGCGCTTCGCTTTCGCGCCCAGGGGTATTACAGCACCAACTGGCCAACCCAAAAATGATGACTGCACACGGGCTAAGACCTTGTCCGCCTTGTGCCGCCGGCCTGTCGACCATGGACACACGCCCTGCCGCCAAGGCGAGCCGTTGCAGGTGTCGATGACACGATGCGCCCTGGTCGCGGATGTGCAAGGTGCATTTTGCCGTCCTTCCGTGTTCAAGGCTCGCTCCCGTGAGCCCTGCTTCCCGGGCTCTGTGCCGTGGATTTAGCAGCACCCTCCAAGAGTCCAGCCCGTTCTCTCCACCAGTCGTGAGGCTCCAGCCGCTTACAAGGATGCCTGCGTGCAGGGGGTGCCGGAGCTTTAGCCAGAGTGGAGGCCGTTCTTGCTGGGCCCGACAAGTCACTCGGGTTGCAAGTGATCCAAGGCTGGCTGTGTCTCGCATACGTCCCTCGGCGCCCATTTCCCCGTTGCTTTAATAAGTGGCCACGATCCCCCGTCGTAACCTCACGATGCGTTGCTCCCTACCTACTACTACGTAGTGCGTTGTTGTGCCACCTTGGACTTCCTTCCACATACCTCTCTTTGGCTTCCTCACTCGGCGCATCATTCAACCCTGACGTTTACTCACAATCCATCGCGGGCCTCCTGGCGCGGCCAGCTTGAGAATATACACTATGAGAGCAGACAGAGTCGGCCAGCCGGGGCTGGAGTTGTATGATGTTGGTGCGTATTCCCCTTTCCCTTCCACCACTTAAACTCATGCATTATCTTGCCCTTCTTTGCTAATATGAGAGCACAGTTGTTGTCGGCGCCGGACCCGTCGGCCTCATGCTGTCCACGTGCTTGGCGCGTTGGGGCTATCGGATTAAGCACATAGACAACAGGCCCGAGCCTACTCGCACTGGCAGGGCTGACGGGATTCAGCCTCGATCCCTAGACCTCATACGCAACATGGGGCTCAAAACCGACATCATGGCTCACAAGCCCGCCAGGGTCTACGAGGTGGCGTTTTGGGATCCGTCACAGTCGGGAGACGGTATCGCTCGGACGGGCACTTGGGCGAGCTGCCCGAGCTTCATTGACGCACGCTATCCCTTCACCACCTTGCTGCACCAGGGTCACATCGAACGGGTCTTCATCCGAGATCTAGAGAAGAACGGCGTGGACATCCAACGTCCGTGGACCATCAAAGGCTTTTCCTCGGACGAGCTGCGAGACCCCGAGTATCCTGTCGAGGTGACCCTAGCACATGTCGATAGCGGCGCTTCGGAGACAGTCAGAGCCAAATACCTCTTTGGCGGAGAAGGTGCGAGGTCGTTTATCAGACAGCAGCTCAACATCGCTGTCCGCCATCTCGATCCCATAGAACACGTTTGGGGGGTAATGGACGGCGTCGTAAAGACCGACTTCCCCGACATCAAGGTGCGGTCTGTGACTCCACAAGACCTGCAACGGCTGGCTAACTGCCACGCAGATGAAGTGTACCATCCATAGCGAGCACGGGTCCATCATGGTCATTCCCCGAGAGGACGACATGGTGCGCCTCTACATCCAGATTGCCTCATCGACAGACTCAGATTGGAACCCGCGGAAGACGGCAACCGAGGCCCAGGTGCAAGAGTCGGCAAAACGGATCATGCAGCCGTACTCGATCGAGTGGCAGCGTGTGGAATGGTACTCAGTCTACCCCATCGGTCAAGGAATCTCGGACAACTACACCCTTGACCAGCGCGTCTTCATCGGTGGCGATGCTTGTCATACGCATAGTGTAAGTCACTCTGTAGCCTGCCGGGCCCTGCGTCGCACTCTTGCGCTTACTGACGAGCCCTACAGCCCAAGGCAGGGCAAGGAATGAACACGGCGTTCCTGGACGCCCTCAATCTGGCGTGGAAGATCCATGCAGTCGAGGGTGGCTTCGCCGACCGGGATATCCTAAAGACGTACGAGTCAGAACGCAAGAGCGTGGCAGAAAGCCTCCTGGATTTTGACAACCGGTACGCCAAGCTATTCTCGCAAAGGCAACCAGCACCTTGCGAGGTTCGCGCAGCGTCCGCCGCGGATAGAGACGCCAACGCGGCCGATGACAACGAGTTTATCAGGGCGTTCAAGGAGGCCTGCAGATTCACCAGTGGCTACGGCGTAGCGTACGGACCCAACGCGTTGAATTGGTCTCCCAAACACCCCGCATCATCGTCACTAATAGGCCCGGACGGGACCAAGCTCATGCCTGGGACCATCTTCATCAACTCGGACGTGACGAGGGTCGTGGACGCCAACGTTGTGCATCTGGAACAAGAAGTCCCGCTCAATGGCTCGTTTCGCATCTTTGTTTTCGCCGGCAACCCGGAAGTAACGCAAGGCGCGCTTCGGGACTTTGCGAGTGGTCTGAGTGGACAGAGATCCTTCTATGGCGCCTACATGCGTCATGATATCCGCAACGTCTCGCACCACGAAAAGCACAACCCTCACAGCCATTTCTATACGCTTTGTACTGTCTTGGCGCGCAAGAGGGCAGACATTGAAATCTCCCGTGACGTCCCGGGTGTCTTGGCAGGGTATCGCGAGCACATATACGCCGATGATATCTGGGACAGACGTGTGCCTGACGCCCGAGCAGCCGCGCACGCGAAAATGGGTCTGGACGAGGATCTGGGCGGTGTGGTCGTCGTCCGGCCAGATGGATACGTGGGCGCGGTTGTCAAGCTTGTCGAGGGAAGCAGCACCGTCGACGCTCTGAACGCGTACTTTTCGGCGTTTTGCACGAAGCGACTTGGAGATGCGGTAGCGCAGCTATGAGGGCAAGATGTCAGTACGATTTGGCCCCAGGCTTCGACGGAGGGGCTTAGGCTGCGAATGACTTGATGAATACCACTGTATATCGGCTAGAAGTTATCTCGGGAGAATTCCTTTGGACACCACCTGGGCAGTTCGTTCCAGGTGCACCATGCCACAGAAATACCGCAAGAGAGCACATCGCGAAACCTGCGTGAGGGACAGTGGAGGAGGGAGATGCCGTCTCGCATGTGAAGACAACACGCTTTTTCATCTGTACATGGATGGGAAGCAGCGCCCCGTTGACCTTCCCTTAGCAAGCACGCGCGGGCTTATGGCGAGGAGCCGTTGTTGATGCTGTTCACCCAGCCGCTGAAGAACAAGAAGTGCGTTTGATATGCAACAGCTGGTAGCCTCCCATTTCCGACACGAGTCCAATATGCCAGAGCATGCTGTAATAATACTTAAAGGCTAACCTACAAAGATGCTCCAGAGCCTGACGTTGCCAGTCGCTTCTCTCGAAATCATGGACTTACACGGAGGCCCGACCAGGAGCGCCCCGCGGGCTTGCTGAGTCGTCCGTGTCGTCGCTCATGGAGAGCAGGAACAAAAGGGGGGGGGGAGGCAGGGAGCCACTCTGCACGACGAGTGGAGCCCCTCGCTTATCAGCCGCGATCTGCCTTGGTGCCAAGAAATGGCTTGCGGGTATTGAGCCAATCATAGATTCGTTGTCCGGAGACCCACCCATTGACTCGGGACCCACCCGACTAACCCGGCAGCCAATGACCAGCTGCAGACAATGGCTGTTCAGTGGCACGGGGCGCTAGGGGGTTGAGCCGAGGTTTTCCCAGCTAGAAAACTCCCCTCAACACCACTAAACTTCAGCGACAGCTCCATCATCGTAGGGACCTCAGCGACCTCGTTCAGCGGCCTCGTTCAGCGACCACCGCCCAGCAACGCCCGCGCCCGCCCGAAGCGGCACCCACGCCCTCAGGCTCGCGGTCCTGTTGACGTTTTCCCTTCTTGGAACTGCCGCGGTCAAAGCGCCGACGTCATGCTCGCGTCTTCCTTGGCCTGGCAACGGGACTGATCTGGCCACCGCCGTTCAGGTATAAAGGTACGCTCCTCCCGCCGCTCTTCCCTCCTCTCCCTTTTCCCTCCTTCAACTTTTCACTGCTTCTGCTTCTGCACTGTCAAGTTTCGCATCACCACCGCTATCAGCAAGCTCGTTCTGCACTTTCGCATCTTCCAAGCAAGCTCTTGTCCAGATGCTAGCCATCCTCTCTACACTGTTCCTTCTCCTTTGGCCCGTCGAACTGCTTCTGCGCGCATCCTGCCTCGCCAAGCACCTGCTTTCGACCGCGCTCGCCAGAACCACGCGTTCCTCACCATCCGCGCATCTGCTACCTTGGACTCCTTGGAGCACCCCGCGTTCCCCTGCATCACACCAGCTCTTTCTTCATCCACTCGAATCAATCGTCATCATGTCTGATTCTCCTGCCGCCCAGCAGCAACAGCAGCCGCAGCCGCAGCCGCAGCCGGTCGTCCAGCCGCAGCAGCAGCAGCCGGGAAACCCCAACCAGGACGCCATCGACGCCGTCCGTGCCGCATTCGTGGCTCGCCGCCGCCAGAGCGTCTTGTCTCTGCGCCGCTTGGGAGTCCCCAGAGCTAACCGCGTGGTCCCCATCATCCAGGCCATCAACGCCGCTCGTCACGGAGCTCCTAGCGTTCGCTACCGTCCGGCGGCTGCTTCTCAGCCGGACTCAGTTCCGACGCGTTCTGGACGTGTCTTTGCTCGCCCCAAGACGCGCTTTGTCATCGACACAGTCTACCCTTTCGCCAATCGTCAACGCCTGACCTCTCTCCGCCAGGACGACAGCGACGAGGAGCCTGACACTGCCGCGCCACTTAAGGAGTCGCAGGCTACGATTAACCATCGCCGCCAGCACAAGGAACTCCTTCGCAAGGCGGCCGCCCAGGTCACTCTTACGGTCCCTGCTCCTGCCCCTCCTGCTGCTCCGCAGCCACCAACTGAACAGGAGAGCGACTCGGATGAAGACGTCTTCACTATTGAACCGGCCGCTACTCCCTCCACTACTGGTCCACCTTCTGTCGCCGCTTCTCACGTGGCTATTGAGCCCGCTGGACATCACCAGCAGGCCCACTCTCACCCTGCCTCTGTCTCTACATCACCCGCCACCCCCGAGGTCCCGACCGCGGAACCAGCGTCGCTTGCAGCTCCTGGCCAGGCTTCTTCGGCCCCAGCGACTTTCCATTTCGGCAATCAGCAGGTGGGCGAACAGGCCAACTCGGCATCGCAGCCTGGCGCGACCGGCTTTGCTCCTCATCTGCAGCAGCATTTGCCATCATATCTGCCGGCCCTTCGTGCCTTTGGTGCTCGGGTACACCCAGACGCTCCCGGCGCTCAAACGACCTCTTCGGAGCACAGGCAGTCATCGAACCCCGATGAGCCTGGATTTGTCGTAATCAATGGAATTCGCACTCGAAAACGGCGCGCAGACACCACCACCGACCTTGAGCTGGTGGTTTCGGCCGGCGATTGCCGTCTTCCAACCCCGCAAAGAAACTACCTTGTCCGACGAGAGACAAGACTTTGGGCCACATTTGCGCGTGCAGTTCCCGTGTAGAACGCAGAGGTAAGTCTCGTTGTGTTTCTGCTCGCCAGCAGCTTCTCGTTTGAGCTTTGCTAATACCATTTCCAGGCACCACGTCGCATGCACTTGCCCCGATTGCGGGATATATCCACCTGGGTGATGGCTGGCGTTCGCGACGCCGTCACCCGCGTTGGTGGCAGGGTCACTGGCCTTGGTACGTTTTGCTCTCTTTGTTTTCGTCTACAGTGCATCGCACAGCACGCTAACAAAGGACAGCTCGCACCACCTCCAACAATGCCACACGCATCCGGCGTCGCGCTACAGGCGCCGCTCTTAATGCCGCGCGTCGAACCCTGGAATTCAGCAACAAGCGCCTCCGCGTCGAGGCCCCTGATCCCACCAGGCCTCATTGGCGATCCAATGAAGAAGCCCTCAAGACCATGGTCCTTGAGAAGGAGGAATTCTTCCGGGTTCTCTTCAGGATCGGACAAACGGTCGAGCACAGCCGTGATCAGGTGTCGATGAACAGACGACTCCGATTTCTCAGGCCGTCCTTGCTTCGCTTTGACGCCGAAACCCAGCCGCATTCTTCAGACCAGGAGTCGGACCTCATTGGCCCTTTCCTGCTGCACCTCTCGAAGTGCATCAATATCTGCCGGAAGATATACAACGTCAACACGTTCTTCAGGTTGAAGAGGAACAACCCTTCATTTCAGGCGGCAGCCATCAATTACGACCTCAACGCTGATGACGTCCGGAACGTGGAACAAGCGGAGGCGTTCATGGCTGCACCGGCTCTTCCCGCTACCTGCAACGACATTTTGCAGGTCCTTGGACTTGATCCTTCTGAGCTGCTCCCCAAGGATCAGTTCGATGCGATCTTACTTGATTTACGGGCCGTCTTGGCCCATCTTCCCATGCCAAGTTTTGTGGTCTCCAAGCGATATCAGAAGCAGATGCAGCTTTTCTTTCCATCTCCGATTCGTTCGAGCTCGGATTGGGAATGGACTATCCCTGGATCGTTTCCCCAGGATGAACTTGAGTCTGAGGATCAGGATGTTGCTGCTTCGCAGCCTGCACCTCCATCCGAAGCTGCCGTGGCTCCAGTCACATCTTCCCCTTCACCTCAGGTTCAGCGGTCCGATATGTCTGGTGCCAGTCGCATGCGAGCGGATCTCTTGGAGGCTCAGATCTCTGATATGTCGGACGCGCAATATCGGGCTGCCTTCTACAACGAAAGCGAGCAACATCGCCTGATTGCAAAGAAATATGTCCGCAAATTTGAACCGAAGGAGCCCCGTCATGACTCCCAGCCGCTTGGCTCCATCCTCAAGAATCGGAAGAAACTCCCTGGACAGGGCACCCCGAAGCGCCTTCGCATGACCCGTGCGCCCAAAATTGTGCGCTTTAAGGAAGGCACGCTGAGCCCACAGCAACGCTCTCACGCAGGACTGGATGTTCCCAAGCGTCCGGGTTGCAAACGCAGGAATGGCGGAAAAGTGCTCCCAGTTACTCCCACGCGCCGACCTGGTGCGCGACCCAATTTCTTCATGCGCAATGGTGCCGCACCGGACACCAAGGTTGAAGAAAGGGAGATCGAGTCGCCCTTGCCGCCCGTGAGGAAGGATTACCCGTCATGGTTGCGCCATCCTTCTCGTGCGGTTGCCGATAAGGCTGAAGAGAAGGCTGAAGCCGATGCCCGCATTCAGGCACTTATGGAACTGCCTACACCGGCAGGCCTTGCCAGAAGCGGAACTGTGAGCATCGTGGTTGAGCGCATGAAGACAGAGGCCGCACACAAGGCCGCAGAGAAGGCTCAGCGTGAGGAGGAAGAGCGGAAGGAGGCCAGAAGAATTGCACGCGAAGCTGCCGAAGCCGAACGAAAGGCCGAATCAGAGAGGAAAAGGATCGAAGAAGAGAAGCGAAAGGCTGAGGAAGAACGGCGCCGTCAAGAGTTCATTCGAAACATCGACCAGCACCGGCAGTTGCGCGCACCCAAGAAGCCTTTCATCACGGCTCCCGAGGGCCCGGAGTTGGCGAAGGCCAACAGCATCTTGAATGGAACCAACTCAAGCGGCATCTTTGTCACTACACCTGAGGGTGCCGGCCTGCGAAAGCACGACTTTGCCTCTGTCATTCCGAGCACGAACTGGCTCAACGATGAGATCATCAACGGATCCATCGTCTTCCTTGACCGATCGATAAACGAGGCTGCTGGAATTAAGGACTTCAAGCAGCAGACCCGAAAATGTCTAGCACTGAACTCGTTTTTCTTCAAGAGCCTGCTAGAAAGCGGCACTAAGGGTGTCATACGGAAGCTCAAGCGACACGGCGTCCACAAGGACAACTTCTTGGACCTCGAGACAATTCTGATGCCTGTGTGCTCAGGAAACCACTGGACGTTGATCGTCATCCGCCCGAAGATGAGGACTGTCGCCCACATGGATTCGCTCAATCCGGCGGGCAATCAACACTACGTTGATGTTGCGATGAACTTTGTGCGCTTCGTCCTGGAGGGAAACTACGAAGAGTCGCTCTGGAAGACGGTACGCCACGACGCCCCACGGCAGACAAACGGATATGACTGCGGCGTCTTCACGATCACCAATGCCATTTGCTTGGCCCTGGGCTTGAGCCCTATCGATTCCTATTCAGCGACGGATATGGAGACGCAGCGCAAGCGGATTGCGTGCATCTTGCTGAACAAGGGCTTCCACGGAGAGTATTCTGTTTCAGAATACTGAAGCTGGTGCTTGTTTTGCTCAGATTGTATGGTTTTTTGTTCTGTGGTGTTTGGTTTAAATCTTCTCTGGCTGGCGAAGACATGAAGGTGTCGTCGGCGTTTTGGAGCATCAAGAGAGGCAAAGGGACTGGCGTTCTGGAAACGAGACCCTGAAAGACTTGCATTGATAGCGAAGGATTGCGGAGAGTGTTTGGAAAGGAAAGACGACGGGCCAAGGGGAGGTCAGCCCGATGGGCAGGTGCGCAACGGTACTGCGCAGGTTGAGATGTGATTTTTCTTGTATCAATACTGTACTGCCCTGCCACCCAGAGGGCTCGCGCGGTTTAGCTTGGGAAGAGCAGTGTTAGAGTACCGTCCACAAGACAAGCACCGCGTACATTCACACAATGCTAGCGGCTGGCGTGACATCGATGCGCCATGAGGCATGCAAGCTCGCGACGGCTGTAAAATTGGTAGCAACGTCGACGCGCCGCTGGACCACAGATGGGCGGCTCCCATGTCCAGCCGCACCGAACTAGAGCTGGACCTAGCGATGGCCAGGGCAGGCGGGCGGACGTTGGGAGTGGATCACGACGATGGGGCCGGGACGGAGAGGGCATCAACCGCAACAAAGCGGCTTCGCCGGTGCCACCCGCGTCGGGAGCAGATGGAGATGGGCGCGGCTTTGCACGGGCTCGTCGTACGAGGGAGAGTTTGTCTCCCAGCCCGCCTGTGCCGGCAAGTAGAGCATTGTACAGTACAGACTGGACTCTGCCCGCAAGACAGAAGAGCCGGCGTCGACTGGGGGCGGCAAGGAACAGGGAGCAGCGGGCTGGTGGGCTGATGACGGAGCGGTGGTCCGAGGAGCGGATGAGGCGGAGGGGCTTTGGGGGCTTTGGGAGGGGACACAGGCCACGGGCCGAGGACTGGGACTGGGACGCGGGTCGTGACGAAATAATACGTAGCACGAAACGAGATGCCACGAGTTACTTTTCTCGTTTCTTGTAGATACGAGGTCTGAGCTTGTTCGACGAGGTCGAGCTACGCCGCGGTAACGAAGCTCCGGTGACAGAGCCGCAGGGAGTCACTCGCACGGTGCCGTGTCGAGGGGTGGTTTGGTTTGGCACGCGCAGTGAATTTCAGGTACAGTATAACAAGACACATCGGCATAGTGCATGATTCAATCTCTACGGCGCATACTGCACCGCATTTGTGGTGGTAGTGCTGCAAGGGGTCGCATACCTGGCCTGGGTTGGCCAGCTTCGTACAGAATACTACTTCCAGGACGGTTATGTGGCAACGGGCGGGCCGTGAGCACGAGGACTTTTTCGATGGCTACGGACCAGGGGCTAGACTTGTCGATTTCGGATGAGAGAAATAACCAGGCTGCCAGGGCTTCCTCGCTCGGTTCCCCCGTCGTCGTGGCCCAGGAACGGTCATGAGCAACACGTCTTTTCAGTTTGCAATTGTCCGATCGGGGAGGCCGACGGCCGGTGGAGACGGAGTGACACGACGGGGGGGAGTGGAGGCGAGCGGACGTTGGGGCCTCTCCTCTTGCCCCCCCGTTTCGGCTGCCGGCGATCCAATGATGAGGCATGCCAGCCGAGGAAGGATTCTAGAAGGGCGACACGGACGCGGATTCCACGCTTCTGGAAGGAATTTTCTTGGCCCTTCCTTTGGCCCTCCGTCCGCCTCCCTCGGCTGCTGCAGTTGTTATGTCACCAACGAAACTGGACCCCCTCCCCCTTTTAAGCCCTGGTCTCTCTCACGGGTCTGGGTGCAGCTCCCGTGGCTCCACACGCGGGCGGGAAGAGGGATCGATCGCGGTGGCGGCTCGCAAAAAACCTGCATGCGGTCGAGGGGCAGGCGGAAACAGGACAGGGTCAAGAGCTTGCAGGCAGGGTCCCGGATCAGGATTCTGCACGGCGGCCCAGTTTTAAGAAAAAGACGGCCATCTAAGATTCTGTAGCCGCAAAGGCAAAAGGGGTTCGGGAACGGGGCGGCTTCGTGGCTTGAGTGAACGCGTGAATGGGCACCTCATGAGCACACTGGTCTCGTAACTACGCAGGGACAAGAGAGCAAGAGACAGGGCGGCTTGCGCCGACCGCATTCGTCGATGCGCTGTCGCATCGCCGATGGGGACTCCGGGTCGTGGGGAGGGACTGATACTCCGTACATACTACTTTGTAGTGTTGGCCATGAGACAGGCATGGGCACGTCGAACGGCGCGTCAAACCCACCATCGCCCATTTCGAGGTTTGTCGCCGTCGTGGCGTCGGTCGTCGGTCGTCGGTCGTTGGTCGTCGTCGGGTCTCGGGAGTCGGGACGGACTTGTCGCGAACCTTGTCGCAGCTGGCGACGCTGGGAATTTTCTTTCTCGCGGTGCCAACTAAGATTTTACGTTGGGAACAGTTTGCGTTGAATGACCACCCACCCCTGTCATGTCAAGCCAGGCGCACGCGCGTCCTTGCACAGTCCAGGACGGTTGAGGCTCCGGCCGGCGGTTCTGGAAGCCGTTTCGTGGCGTCGTCGGCAAGTAAGGGGGGCTTGCGAGCTGAAGGGACTGAGTTTTGGCATCTCGACACGCTTGGGA